ATATGATTTATATGTAATAAAAAAAGAGTAATGCTAATGGTAATAAATAATATAATAATAAATTAGAATATATATATATAAACTTATACCGTTAATATTACCGTAAATACATTGATAATAACAATACATTTAAAATCTGCAACTTGTAATGAATTTTTGGCACGCGAAAAGATCTTGTAAGATAGGAGAGGCTATTCCTGCTGCTTTACTATGTATTTCCTCTCTCTTAGTTTGTAACACATATATAACAATTTTTTTCTTGCTCTATAAAGTATATTGTATATTACTTTTATTGATAACTCATAAATGAATTATAAATGGTTACACGGCAAGAAAAATAAACATGTGAATATTTACGACCACTCGTTATATATTTGCCTCTCTCGTTCGACCGGAATTCCTATTGTAATTTTTACGCATGCGTTATAAATCTTTGAATCGAAATTGTTACAGAATAAGGGGGCAGGAAGCGTAGATTTATTGTGTATAAATTGTCTAATTTATTACATTAATTAAATATAAGTAATTTTGTTGAAAATATTTTTCCTTAATATTGCATATAAAATTTTTCTTAGTTGGATATATTTACGTTAATATTTCAATACATTTTTTATTATATACTTCTATACTCAGTAGATATGTCACTAACATTACTTGCGAAGTGGTTACTCATATATTGCAAAAATGTTATGTGAGTACTTATACGCGGCATAAAAAATGACCGACGTACGCAATGACAAGTCTGACAAAATGAATGAGATAATAGATATGAAATGCAAGTTTTTATCGGAATGCACTTTACCAGACGATAAGGAAATTATTCCGATAAAAGTATGTTCCGAGTCCAAGTTGGAAAAAAAATATAAGCTACGATGATATGTGCGGATCTTGGAAATTTGTCAATTTATTGTTACGCAGCCAATATGCGTTTATTTATCTTTAAAACTTGATAATGTTTGAAGATATAATTTACATGACAAAACAATGAGACAAATTAATTATGTTATTTCTCGGTAAAATCATCTACTTTTATCAATATAATACGTAACGAATAAAAACAAAGTACATGTACTTTTACCGCACTTGTATTAAATTTCTCTCATATTGTAACGAACACGTGCACTGTCCTTTTTTTTAGATGAAAAGATTTTGTAATTATAAAAAAATATATCATACAAAGGTGAAAGTAAAGAAATATTGTTAAATCATTATAATGTTGTGTCGTTTAGCGACCGGTTAATAATGAATACACGTTACAAGAGACATTTATATTTATTTAAAAAAAAACCAATACGTAGTTTTTGCAAAATATATACTTATACTTATATATATCTATAAAATAGTAGATCTCACGCAAAAAAAAAAGATAATACAGCACAAACTAACGTAAAGCGCATTACAAAGTTCTACGTTTTCCAATAGTTAGTCGAACTTCTCACATTCTTCACAATTCCAATCAATTTCCTTTGTTTTCTCTTTCATTTGCTTGTAGATATTGTAGAAGACGATTGGTAACCATAATCCCGATTTTCTTCCAGTGAAGAGTCGGATTCAATTGTATTGTCAAAAGTTTCATTCCACCATTGATTGTTCTTTCGTACCTCATTTGTTAAGTATTTCATCTTGGGAAACCAGCAAGAGTCACCGCACTTTGATGTACGTCGAACAGTTTTACATTTCTACAAATAAAAAACATCAAGTAATTTTTTTGTCGTCCTCTTTTTGACGTATACTCACCTTGCACAAATTCGTATAGTTTATAGTTGAAAGTAGACCCGTGTTTGCATTCTGACGCACCACAACTGACGGCGAGATATAACCGTTTGTATGCGAATTCTTAAAACTTCTAATAACTACTTGTCTATACGGTCTTTTTAGTTTCTGTGTCAATAAATGATTAATTCGTTTCAACTTCCTGATTTTAATTAATAGAGCTCTAAAAATATACATACATGACGTATAATATCTAAGTAAAAAAATAGAAAGACATATAAAAAGAATATTTTTTTATTATAAGAGTAAGTACTGTGAAAAAGATTTTTCTAAAAATCTAAATTTCTTCCAGAAAAATATCTATAAAACTACTGAATATACTGGTCTTACTTTTTCTCGAATGCGAGCTGCATTAACAGTTGGTGCTTATTTTCCAGGTTTTTCGCTAATGTCTCGCTATAGTTTTTCTGTTGTTCCAGACACTCACGAATGCATGAAATTATACATTGAGATTCTTTGCAGAGTTCCGATCTGCTCACAGCTGTTTCTGTCAAATCAGCTGACATGTATGTTAGAGATTGTTCTTTCAAATGACATTCTTTTTTCAGTTCGAGTAAGGACTTGCGTGAGTCTTGTAACTAATATAAAACAAACAAGTAATTTATTGATTACGCATTATTGATGTGATAATTAGAAAAATATATTCAAATTGCTATTCCTCTCGAGAACATTACTATCTTATTCGAATATTAAAATATAACCGAGTGTATCGTACCTCAGTTATATAAGTTGAAATATTTTGTTCAAGTAAAGTTTTCTGTTGGCACAAATGATAATTGTCGTTCATATATTCCTGGAGTTGTTTAATCAAATCACAGTTCACATTTTCAGCTTTTATTAATTCTTCTTTTTCTTTCTCAAGCTAAAACACAAAAAGTTAATTATTTAAATATTTGTTTCTATTTATCTTTTTATATCCATTAAATTATATATTTTTAATGTAAAGTTAACATATATGTATATACATACATCTCGACGTATAGTATCCAAATAATCAGCGTAACATTTACATTTATCTACTGCTTGACAAAGTTCAATATTTTTTGATGCGAGGTTGCTTTTAGTTTCTTTCAATTCTTTACTTAATTTGTTTACTAAATCACGAAGATCACTCGCTTCATTTTGTAGTAATACAATTTTAGAACAATGATCTTTTTCCTAAAAAAAATAAATAACGATACACACACATATATGTAATATAATTAATTTGCATAAGAACAAATGTATTACCATAATCATTAATGATTCTTGCGAATCAGCCTCTCGTTTTGTTGCTGATATCAGTTGTTTCCGAACTTTATTAAAATTATCAGTTACTCGTTGATAATCACCTTCGGTCTGACATAATTTAAAAAGTGTCTGTTTGAGCTAAAGAAATTGAGAAGAAAAGTGTTATCATAAAACATTGTTAACAAATGTAAGATATTGTACATATTTATATACAAGTTACTTTTGCTTTCAGTTGATAAATATCATCCTTAGCTCGAGCTTCAATAATATCATTCTGCTTTCTTAATATAGAATTCTCATTCTGTATATATGAAAACAGACGTAATTAATAAGTCAATATACACATATCGCACGTTTTTTTCTATACAAATTTTTTTATGTAAATACCTTTAGTAACTCATAATCGGCTTCTAATTTAACCATATTATCTGATTTTTCTTGCAGTAGAATTTTCAAAGAATGTATTCGATCGTACAGACTAATTAGTGCCACATTATGCTCTGATATACTTAAATTCTCCTCTGTCTGTTGGTTTATTGTAAATAATCTTTTCCGAAGTACTTCAAGTTCATAAGATTGTTCTCGAATTATTTTTTCGCTACTATTAATTCTGTCATTTAAATTTTTGATCTACAAAGAAGTTTTTACTGGAGTTTTTACTCTACTAAAGTTCTTTCTATAAAAATAAATAGAACAATGAAAAAGTTCGGAGAGAGACAGAAAATTTAAACATAGTTACTTCTTTCTCTCCGTCTTCCAGTTTTAATAAAAGTTTTTCGTATTCGGTTTCTGTTTGCTTAATATGTTCCAATTGTATCAGATTATCAGTTTCTGATATGTAACATTGTATTGCACACGACTTTGTATATTTGCTTGCAGAGAAGTTCTTTACCTTCATATGTAATTCCTGGAAGTCTTTTACATGATCATGTATTTGTTCCTGAAAAAATTGAACAATATAAATTTTTTATTAAAAATTAATTGATAAAACAAATATACTTTTACATAAAAATAAACACACACACAATAACATTTTGAAATATATATTAAAAAATTTAAATTATTTAAATTATTAAATTTATTAAAATACTTAAACAATTAACTTTTTCTATATCAAAACAACATTATCACTATTATAAAAAGTATGATAATTCTATTTACATGCACATTTATTTATTGAAAGTATACAATTTTTATAATTCTACCTTATTAAAGTTGAAGAGTAAATTATGTACGTATACATATATACATATTATTTCTATACATACACCATACCTGTATTACTTTTAAAACTGAGAAATATAATGAATGCATTGTAGTAGCGATTAAATATTTGTCGTATTCCAGACAACGTATTCTTTTCTGTAGACTATCAATAGCATCTCGTTGCAAATCCAATAGCAAGTCCTGATTAGTTGCCTTCAAATTTAAGAATTTATCTCAACAATGTGCTCAGCATTGTGTTAATTAAGTTAATCAATAACTTTTAATATTGATATAAATAATTTAGAATTACCTCTGTAAAACAATCATTATATTGATCTTGTATCTCATCAATGCACATCACTAGTCGGCGAATAGTTTCATCTTTCTCACAAAGCTGTAAAAATACTCTCTTATTTAAATGCACATTATCAAGTTTGATATTTACAATCAATCAGGTTTGATATTTATATAATTTTATTACATAAAAGAACACTCACGTATAAAGTTTGTGTTATTTTGTATTGTTAATTGCATAACACAACAAAATCATTTGGAGCATTTGTTAATCCAGATATAACATTCGGGTTCAATCACTTCAATAGCACACAAACTTTTTGAAAATTGTAATAAGCATACATCATGCATAATGCTTGTTATTTTCATTATATTTATAACATTGTAAGTGTAAAAAAATTAAAGGCAGAGAAATACAATAGTCCATATATTTTTGCAAAAACAGAATTTTTTAATAATCACTGATTGCCATTATTTACAATTATATTTCAGCGCATATAAGAGAGCCGAATAACAATTTAGTCTATTTACATAATTCACATTTTAAACATCATGCACATTTCTATGACTAAAAACTGAAGATGATATCGAAGACCTCAGCTCACTCACGTCAGTCATCGTTTTATGACTCATTTGATCCAAACTTCTTTTAGCTTCCACAACGGCATTTTGTAAATGGCCGATAGTTTGACTTTGAAGTTCATTCTGCAGGAATGCAGAACAACATTGCAACTCATATCTTACTAATAATAAGTAATTTAATAATAGAAAAGAGAGACAAACCTGTTTCAATAATTCATTCTTTTCTTTTTCATATTGAGCTATAGTGAGACTTTGCTTTTCAATCTGTAAAAAGATTAATTTCTGTTTTAAAGTACTAAGTATAGATATACATACCTCTCTCTCTGAACTCTCTTCGCTTTAAGCAAATAGATAAAATTTTGTACATGCGTTTATTTAAAATATCATTTAACATACACAATATATGTAACACGGATCTTACTTTCGCTTATCATGAAGTATAATTATTGAATATTTACCTTATCTTGTAGTTTCTCATGCGAACCTTTTACTATCTTACTTTTGCTTATCGTGAAGTATAATTATTGAATATTTACCTTATCTTGTAGTTTCTCATGCAAATCTTTTACTTCAGCTTGGCTCATCGTTAAAGAGTCTCTTTGTATTCGTATAACTTCTTCCAAATTTTCTAACTGAGTACACAAACAGTTTCGGTTATTAAATTTTACAAATAATATACGCATACACACACGATATTCAAACTATAAATTTTGAAAAGTAACTAGATTACATAAAAGCAATGAAACTTACAAGTTTTTCTTTGGAATATACAGCATTTTTAAGTTTGCTTAACTCTTGAGAGCATATATCTAATTGCTTTCTACAATTTTTTAATGAATCTATTAACGTCATAGCAGACTTTGCAGAAAAGGAGGAAGGAAGTAATTCTTCATGTATCTGTAAAGAGATTTTAATAAACTTTCCAAGTGTTAATTCTTTCCTAATCGTGAATAAAATAGAAGTTTGAAGGATGATACGCACTAGTCTCTTAAGCAAGTCTCCCAAATCCTGAACAGCCAAATTTGCAGATTGCACCGAGTCTTCCACAGTTTTGAATAAAGGAGATATGTTCTGTGAACCAAGAAAGAACAAAATATCATATATAACAAACATAAATTTAAGTATTTCTCATTATAAATTCACACATGTATTATGAATTATTATTTACCTCATGTTTGAATGGATATTCACAACACAAAAATGTTGATTCTGCGCCACAGTCCGCACGCTTTATAATAAAACAAAGTTTCAAAAAGACGAGTATACAAAATACATTCGTATTTCTAAAAACATTGCAGTATACTTACAACAGCATTTGCGACTTCTGTAGATTTCTTAATATTTGCTACATTATGTAAACTTTTTCTTAACTCATTCTCTATCTCTGTTTGTGTCTTAATCTAGAAACCAAACGTTTTAATATATTAATGCTTGTGTAATTGTTAATTTATAAGTATATGTATATAAGAAGTCAATGTTTATACAATATTTTCCAGTTCTACTATCTTCTTTTTTAGTTCCATGCATTCTTTCCTGTGTAATCGTCCACTATTTTCTATCTCCGTTTGAAAAGCACTCAACTGTTTCTCCTTAAAATCAATATTATTTTTTAAAAGCTTATTTGATTCTTCCTTACATTGCACCTGTTTCAAAACAATGTTAAACTTCATAATAAAAATATAAAATTGTTTACTTAATTGCATAATGCTTAATTACCTCTTGCTGCAATTTTTTAATTTGATTTTCCAAATCAGTTACATGATTTTTCCATTTATTCAATCTTTCATCATATTTCATCTGACAAGTTTGCTACAAAAATATGTATTTATTTTTAAGATATGTGGATTAGTTTTATATAAATTACTAACACCTTATTTTTGCAATAAAACAAAAATAAAGAATTTACATTTATGTACCTGCATCATATTGAGTTTTAGGTCATCATATTCTTTTTGTAATTTATGTAAATCCTTTTTCGTTTTTATTATATCATTTTCTTTCTGTAAAACAGAATATTTATATATACAATAAAGAAATACGAATATTTGCATACACCTATCATATTTTTAATTTAATACCTGATTGTCACAGATATGATAAGACTGCTCCTAATGAAATAATAATCAGTATGTTAATCATTGTATATAGTTTATATTACATTTATATTACGTTAAATTGTTAATGTAAATAAATGTTAATGTAATGTAAATAAAAAACACTCGATATAAACGATAATAACCTTATCGTCCTGTTTCGTAGAAAGAAAAGTTTCTAATACATCTTGCATTTTCGTATGTGCACAGTCAATTTCTTCTTCAAATTTGGCTAATTTGCTTTCTCTTTCACAGAATATTGTTTTTGCGATTTCGTTGTTTAACAGCTACAAATAAGTAATTAAAAATATATAGCGGATATTTTTAACTTTATAAATAAGATACATAATTATGTTTCAATACTCACTACTTCACTGGCTTTTTTCTGTAAATCCTTTAAAGAATAATCTATAGCACATAACTGACTTCTTAATCCCTTTAGTTCTGACGTCATGCAATCACCCTGTAAGACAATATTTACGTTATGTTTTTGATATAATCTCGAAATACCAAAAGTTTCTAAATTATAGAAATAATGATTTTTTTTCCAAAACTAACCAGAGTGTGAAATAATTGCAAATTAGTTACTATTTGCTCAACTTCTTCCATTATTGTATTTAATGAGTCATTGTTGACATATACTCCAGTATATCCACATTCATTGCGTTCCTAAAATTCATTTCAAGCGTCGCATAAGATAAAAAGAACTTGATAAAACTTTTAAAATAGATTTTTAACAAATATATATATATATTTTTTCCAAACCTGTGTATTTTCCTGCATACTTTTAATGCAACGTGACAATTCTGATTCGGCATGATTAATTTTATTCTTTAAATCTTTCAGCTTAAACTTGCTATTTATAATTTTATCGCTATATTTTAATCTTTCTTCCTCCTAACATAACAAAACAAATATTTATAAATATTTAATATTATATATTTAAAAATATATAATATTCACTTAATATTCAATTAATATAAGCGCATAAAACGTTAATCCGTATATAACTAGACGCAATTTTTACTTGTAATTCTACTGTGTTGATTGTTTCTATTAATCCTTCTCGCGTTCTTGTTAAATAATTTTGCACATTAGTAACCATCTTGCTCAGTTCTTCATACTAAAAGTATATATTAAATTGAAGAGGTTTAATCGTTACTTCTATTATATATATATTAATGTACTCAATCATATAAACATACGCTTTGGTGTCGTGAATTAAATGTAGAGACAACTGTATTTATTTCCTCTCGAATATCCTCTGTTGCTGCTTGGGCTTCCACAGTGCACATTCTGAATTCATCCATCAACTTGAATTGTCGTGCACTAGACTAGCAACCAATATAGTAATTATAATATTACAGTCTATTTTACACAATAGAATAAAAGATAACAATAATACATCGAAGTATAATACAATAAAAAATATAACTAATCTTACTTTAAGGTTCTTAGAATCTTTGCACTCGCACTGGTTTTCTTCTTTTTTTATCTATAGAAAAAGAGAAAAAATAATTTAATAACAAATCTTTTAAGGTGTCGATTGAACAAAACATTTTGAACATTTATTATATTCATTAAATGTTCACAAAATTATAAACAAACATTCTTTATTTCTATATCATACACTCACCATACAATCGAAAAGACTAATCTCTTTTTCTCTCTCCGAATACATACGAGTAATAATTTCAATACAATTAACCAACTTGTCCGAGATACCAGTTTCACAAAAAATATTTTTATTTGTGCAACTGGTAGACATGGCGCAATCATTTATCTAAAAAATATATTGTTTAGAAAGAATTACATTACAATGTATGAATTCAAAGCATGTATTTCTCTCTATATAATTTGATATTTACGTCATTATTTGTGACAGCCAATTTTTTCATGAATTTTTCCAGTTCACACTTTAAATCAGTCAAAATTTCACATTCTTTCTGCACATGTATTTTTGTACTATTCAAAAATAATATAAATTCATCCTAAAAATTACAAAATTACTAATAACAATTATATCAAGCAAAAGAGTTTTCTTTCTATATTTATATATGTACGTTTGTAAAACAATATATTTGCCAATGTTATATAATAAAAATATATCAAAACAAACCTTTCTAGAATGTGAGGTATCTGTCAGAGGATATTTCTGGAAACGAAAAAAAAAAAATATTGTCATTTCATTATTATATTAGATACACGTTTAACATTTTATTTAACTGACCTCTAAACAGTTGTTTGTGTCATTGCAGACTTTCCTTGAAGGCGTATCCTAAAATTATACCAAATAAAGTATAAACATAGATCAAATTACCGGTAAATTATAATATAATTGTATAAAATTATCGTAATATAAAAGCATCTTTTATTGCAAGAAAGCTGATGCAGAATTTATATTAATTTCATAAACGAGGCAATCATGTTGATGTATATATTTTTCCGTTTTTTATAGATAATATTAGGACAAGCTTACTTTGTTAATATAAAAGAAAATTTCAACAACATGGAAGTATACTTATCACAAATGTATATTTAAAAAAGTTCATAAACTCATATTCATTAAAAGTCTAAATATCTAGTACGATTTATTCATTGAGAGGGCTACAGAATCACACACTGCATTAAGTGCTATCTTTACACGGAAGTGATAATTTTCTAGCAGTCTGTAAAATTTTCTTATCAAGTTTTTTAAAATATTTATATTGACTAGCTTGAATATCAATTTGAGCGTGACTCTGTAAATTAAGCGATTTGTTCGGCAACTTTCCATTAATCATTGATAAGCCTTGTTTTTCACAGTGTAATACGCTCTGAGAGCCTTCGAGTCGAAATGACACGTCATTCTTTCGTTGTTTAGATACACGCAGATTCGACACTGATAATTGTTCAGGGGGTTCATGTGAAGATTCCATTTTAGTCACAGAAGCGATATGATCGCAGAAATTATGGGCGCGAGAACAGAAGATAGAGGGAATTTTCTATAAACGTATAAAATAATGAGTTTATACATTTAAAGACTTTACAAAATTTCATGAAATACCTCTAAAGTTGCTTGCTGCAGTTCTTTCCGCATTTCTCTGATCAAGTCGTCCTTCAACATATTTCCAATACTTGCATGATAATTTTGTTTTTCCAATGTAGCTATCTCTGTTGTTAGTGTATCTCGTGTTTCTGCTGTTTCCTGAAATAATGATACGACATATGTTAAGAACATAATATTAAGTATATGTAAAAAATTTGTGTATTAAAACATTAAAAACCATTTTTTAATGTACCAACTTTTTCAAGACACGTCAATTTATCCTCCAATTGCTGCACTTTCTTACATTTTTCTTCCAGTTGTAATTGTAGAGTGTTTCTACCAATATTATTTTCATAAGTACATATCATAAGCTTGGATTCAACATTCTGGAGCTGTCGACGTAAGTTTTTGTTTTCCATATCTTTTGCATTTAATACACTTTCCAGAATGTCAGGTGTTAAGATAATCTGAACAGCAACATAAGTTTTAAGAGAGTCTCTCGATTCAGTATTGAAAAGCATGAACTAATTATCTTGCTCTTGTACAAAATACTTGTATAATTCAGAACATTTAAAAACGATTATTATTATAATAGAATGGTCTTTTTTTATAACTTATATACATATGGTACAACATGATTGCCTCCAAATTATAATTATTATAACAATTGAAAGAGAAACAAATATTTACAATTATCAAATATATTTGTACTTACCTCACAATCTTGATCAGAAGCAATCATTGGACAAGTATTAACTTGATTTGATTGTTTAGTATGTTCCTTCAGCTTTTCGTAAAAGCACTGAAGTCTAGAGACATATTTCTTCATAGTCTCATCCTTGACTAATAATTCTGTTTTGAGATCTTCTATTTTTCTTTCCAGTTCCACTTGACAACTAAAACAAATAAAGGTAAAAAACTTTAGAAACTTCAATACATTATCTTCTTTAGTACAATAAAGAAAATTGTTTTTATAAAAATAAAAAAACTCAATATTTTAAGATTTTGTACATATTACCTAATCATTTTGTTTTCATTTTGTTGAAGTTGTTCTACTTGCAAACTCAAGGATTTTATATACTCAGTCTCTGTCTGTTCCTGATTTGAAGATACATTATTGACAATCATATTTATACAATGTATTAAAGAATAATTATATATTATATAACCACGCTGTTAGTACTGCACTTAGAAATATAATACTCCAATAAAATAAAAACTGTTAATTTATTCAGCACATATTTTTACGCATATTTGTGTATAATAATTAAATTTAACACAGAGTGTAGGGATGAACAAAAGAAGAAAGCTTTCAGTTTGCTTAGTTGATGCATTACATCATATGCTTTTGCTCAAAATGTTTGGATAATTTGCATTTTGAAGTTTACTATGTTCTATATTCAAAATAAGTCTGAGCTTTTCAGTCGTGTGTGCACATATATTTACCTGACCACACATACAGCTGTAATAAAACAAAGCTTAGTACATAGTTTTTTTGTAAAAATATTTAAAATAGTATACAATAAGCTTACTCTAATGGAATTGGAATATCCTCAGGCTGAATCTCAAAGAATGTAATACCCTCAAGACTCCAAACATTCTGTCTGCGTGCACGTCGAATCACTTCTAATAATCCTCTAATATCACTTTGTAGATATTCAATTTTTTGTTGTAAATATTTCTCATCCTTTTCCAACTGACTGACACGATTTGAAAGAGAATTTAAGGCCTGTAATTTAGAGACCCATAACAATAAACTCTCTTGTAAAATGTCATAAAAATAAGATATAACCTAAACTATGATATACCTCTTCAGATTGGTTAGATCTTGTGAAATTATCCATCATCTGTGATGATTGTTTTAATTTATCTTCTAATAATTTAACTTTATTACTGGCAGCTTGCTCCAAATCTTCTACCGTATGTACCAGCATTATATTTTGTTCCCCCAAATCCTTAATCCAATCGCTCATTATCTGCAGTTTCATCTGCAAGATACAAAACCTTTTGTTAGAAAAATAAAAAAACAACACACAAGCGAATATTTTCAGGCTGAAATCCTATTTGTTTAAAAAATCATCGATAAGATCGCAGAATCGAGCGCAAAATATGAAACAAACGTTCCATATTTTGAAAACGGAACTTTACAATGAGGTAATGTAATAAATGCTCACTGAAACTCGGTCTGACTCGCTGTCAGATTCTCGATCAATTTGTTCGATGCGACTTTCGTACAATTTGCGAAACTTGTCGAGAATACGTAGACCCTCAGTTTCGCCGCATGGTTCGCCAATGTTGTCATCGGTCGCTTGGCAGTTATGATCTTGTTTAGGTTTAGGTACCGCTAAAACGTCATTCGTATCCGTGGAACACAAGCTGGCACTAACGGAGTACATCGCTTCGCGAACACACAATTGGGTATTTATAAAATATTATATAGGGTTTCCCTACACCCCCGTTCTCCGACAAACACACGATACGTACTTCAAGTAAACACCGATATACTACTATCTCGTCATCTTAACGAATCTTTAGTAATTGAGAATTCGTTACTCTAACACACATTTGAATCTCAAAACCTATCCTCTTTCCGATTCGAACGTGTCAAATATGGAACACGGCCATCCAAGGGCCGTCGTAAACAAAATTACTTCCTTCTAGAAAGCAAAACTGTTCCAAAACATATGTTACTTAAGGTGCGATCACATGCAATCCGACAACTCGAACGAAAAAATATAACCGCACCCTTCCGCCGAGTACACATGTAAGCGTTTATCGAAAAACTCCAGACAAATTCCCTATTCGAATTAGTTTGAATTTCGAAGATTTTGGAACGCATCTCCTTGGGATTTGTCAGCGCGACGCGCGCACGACCGATGCGCTCGTGAACGTTGAATATCCAATAGGATTGTTTGTTTTTGCAGGGACAAAAATACGAGTCCACACTGACGCATCTATTACTGCACCCGTCCGTGAGGGTCCCGGTGGCGAGTCGGCGTGCGATGAGTCCATCACAATCCGTAGTGGAAGTTGGCGGAAGCGCCGAGCAAAAAGGATTCCAGAGGGTTTCTAGACACCGAACGCCTTGACAAAAACCGCAGGATTTAAGATACAGTTTATAATACCAAGCAAGGTTTAAATGTACGACGAGAATGGGATTGTGTCACGGCAATGACGAACCGCGTTACGAGTTTCAATCGCGGTCGACTGTGTAATAATTCAAGTAGAGCTGCAAAGCCGCGCGCGCGGAAAGAAGGTGCACGACCGGCGCAAACGCGGCTTCGAGGCGTTGCCTTCTGGTTCTCTGTCGATTGCGGGATAAACGTGATCTTCCGAAAGCTCCCGTCCCCGACGTGAGAGTCGTGACGTGAGAATCGTCGTGATCTCACGTGGGTTCTGCATCGAAGCCTCGCAAGCTGTTTGGCGAGCTGTTTCGCCGACATGAGTCAGACGTGCGAACGAGCGGGTTGTCGCATCATCACAAGTCGTCAGACCAACAGTTCCGTCAGCTGATTGTTATTAAACAACGAAATGCGTGGCAGCGGGCGTCCCGTTTGTCTAGCCACACACACAACACACAGATCGCGCATCACGGTTCTTGATTATCGCGGCCTGATTCCTCCGTATTTACATTAAGACTGATTGCGAACCGCGCACGAGTGGAAACGGTGTGCTGAAACTGGCTTAAATTTTCATGGAAACATGGGGAACAAAAATAGCTGCTGTGTCTATTCCAGTCCGCAAGTCGAACGCAAGGTGATAGGGTCGGAGATTCACACTACGCGTAACTTGGACGAACATTTGCCAGAGGGTGGGATTAGCGTTAATAATTTACAACATATCAGTGAACGTGAGCCTGAGGACTGGGACTCGGATCCATCGTTGCATCCATGTGCGGGAACCATTTTTATGGAGCGTTCCAAACAAGCCATAGAGAGTGAGTATTTCTCTGGAACAATATTGCAAAAGAAAGTTAAATTCTGATGAATACACAAAATTACCTGAGCTTCTTTTTGTTTTATTATTTTGCTTCTAGATGGAATGGTAAGAAAAAAGAGTCAACATCAGATAGCGGACACAAGGCCTTTGAAAAAAAGTAGCAGCTGCAGTACAATATATTTGGATGACAGCACAGTTTCACAACCTAATTTGAAAAATACTGTCAAGTGTGTTGCCTTAGCTGTTTATTACCATATTAAGAATAGAACTTCACAGCGACAGATTGATATATTTGATGAGAAACTACATCCATTAACGGTAAAAGAATTTGCAAAAAGATATTCACTAAATACATATGCAGTACGTATGTAAATACTGTGTATATATCTCTTTCAGAGGGATGGGGTTTCAGACGATTATGATAAACATAATCCAGAACACAAACAGATATATAAATTTATAAGGACTCTGTTTAACGCCGCTCAGCTTACAGCTGAATGTGCCATTATAACATTGGTTTATCTTGAACGCCTACTTACCTATGCAGAAATAGACATAACACCAGCTAATTGGAAACGGATAGTATTAGGAGCTATTTTATTGGCGTCTAAAGTTTGGGACGATCAGGCGGTATGGAATGTAGATTATTGTCAAATACTGAAAGACATTACAGTGGAAGACATGTGAGTTATATTATTACATTTTCTGTAATTGATACAAAAATTACTGAACACATGCTTGTTGCGTCTTACTTTGCAAAAAATATTATAGAAAATATAATTTTATTCTTTTTTCATTTAGGAACGAATTAGAAAGACAGTTTCTAGAGATGCTACAATTCAACATAAATGTTCCTTCGAGTGTATATGCCAAATATTATTTCGACCTTCGTACACTTGCGGAAGCAAATGAATTAACATTCCCTAGTGAACCTCTTAGTAAGGAAAAAGCACAGAAACTTGAAGCAATGTCCAGAGTTTATGAAGATAAAGTCACAGCGGAAGCTCTACGTACTGGTATTAAAAAATGGTCCAGCTTAGACAACGTATGCATAGGCGGACCTAGACGTAGCATCGCTATTTTATCTTAAATACATATGTATATGGATATGTGTAGACCAATACCAAACAGACGCAAGATTAACTTTGTTCAGGTCTTAAACAGAGGTATGTGGAATTTGCAGGAACCATAATTGTTACCGATCAATTTTAATCATTATGGGAAAAAAGAAATATATCTATTTAATTATTATAGCATATTTGATGTATATTGTATATATCTTTATAAACTGTTTTTTATATCATCCAAGCTAAACGCAAAAATAATCACGTGTATACCGTGCGTGTATTGTTGAAGTGTAATAGAAAATTTTCCATCGCAGATTTGGTTTGCAATAACATAATCTCAAATTCGATCGTTATATACGTATATTTTGTGGAAAATTAGATATATATATTTTTTAAGTTATATTTCTTATAATGCATTGTTCTTGTTATTAGCATTAAAGGACCGAGGAAAGCACTTAACACATTGTTGACCGGCAATTTTACTGAAAATTTATCTCATGTCACCGGCTATTATTTCGTAATTGGAAGTAAAAGTAAAACAATAAAAATAAATTATTTTATTTAATTTTATTTTTATTTTTTTTTTTAACGCATCACGAGTTAACTCGTGACCGGTCAGCAACGTTCGGCCATAAAAACACGAGTTAACTCGTGACCGGTCAACAATGTGTTAATAGAAAAAACATTCCAAATTAGGTTTTGTTTTTCTCAATTAAAAGACTCACACTATTTTGCTTTTAGCTGTTCTATCATTAATGATAGAAAACTAAAAATTATTACGTACTCTTCAAAAAGTTATACACACTCTTCGGTTTATCAATTAATGTTAATGATATATTTCTGTTGCTCCTACAAAACAACTACTCTGTCCGAGATCTTGTAATGTGAATGTAACAAAACCATATGAAAATGAAGCAAAGGGTAAAGTAAATCGAGATTTAGTAGTAGTATTACTATAGTTCTTATATGAAAAATAACTTTCTGATATTATATTGAAAGATTGTATTTATTATCCAAAGCATTTTATATATTGACTGAATTTAATAAGAATCAAACTCTTACGGTTGATTTTTCTTAATGATATTTTAAAATACGAAAATGATATACAAGCTAAAATTATTGGTATTTGATATGTAATGCATGATTCATTAAAATGCACTCAAATTAAAATTTTGCAAGCCAAAACTGTAATGCATATTATACATGGTCTGGTTTTCTACTTTGTTTAGATGTATTGTATAGTTTGAAATCAAATAGAACTCGTAATTGTTGTACATTGGTGTGTAACAACATGGCGTGTATTAATTTGTAACAAGTCATATACAGATGATAAATTTATGATAAATTTTTTGTCACATAAATAACGAGAACACCATTTACACGTAACTATGTAACATTGTAAACATTAACGAGTTAGTTCTTATAGCTTGTTAGGAATGAAAGATATAAAATTCGTCTGATAATATCGCTTTTGTACCGGCGCTACTTTCATGAATTTATATCTTTAACCAATATACAAGGTAAAGATAAATCACTGAAAATACCAAAATTAATTTTTTTACAATAAATTTATATTTATTTCGTCGATGCTTAATACGAAATAATTATAAATAGTACGGCTCATTATTTATAGAGAAACTATTAGAAGAGAAATTGAGTCAAATTTTTGCTTGTTTATTTTCACTTCTTTTCATAACTGTTGCGATGTGGATATTTTATACACACGCCGAGTTGAATAATTCTTCATTAATTTTATATTTTGCATGCGTCACGAAGTAATTATTATTCATGTAGCCATGTAACGTGCTGCGAACAATGTTATGAAAGATATGTTATGATAAGATTTAAATATGACAGTTACATACAAAAATTAATTTATTTCGTAACATACATAAATTAAATTTTTGGAAGATTGTCGAGGAATGCTCATGACGGAAACAATGTTTAGGGAGATTGTATCATACTCGTATTTTTCAATCCTATTTTTCAAGATTAGATTGAGGTATCGTTAATTTAATCATGTATCATAACTAATGAGTTATGTGTATGATATATAATTTAATATTTTGTATATTTTTACTAATTATATATTACATATATATGTATATATACTACGTATGTACGTATGTATGTTACGTCTAAGAATTGAAAAGTATAATCTAAAGTTTCGTTGAAGTTTTTAAAACGCTATCATGCAAAAACATGATAACGATTTATTATTATTTTTATATTTTATTGTAGGAAAACAGAGACAAGTCAGAATGTTGTAACGGTCGAGATTGTAATAAAACGACTGTTAAGTCCATAATATGTACACGCGGTAAACAAAGTGATTCTCAGCTTCTGATGCATTGTAATAGTGCATTGATTGATAAGCGTAGTATAACATATCTGCTATTTCTGTCCAGATTACAATATTTTATTTCGCTGTCCGATTTATAAAACTATATTTTTATTGCATTACGAAATATAACTGTATAAAATACCATATATACATATATATATATATATACATACACGCTGTGTATGCTGCGGAAATATTTATCTTAATCGACAACAACTGACATACTATACGCGATGCCAAAATGTTATTAGGATTATATTGTATAGACAATTGCACACATACACACATATATACACACACACAAGTACGCGTATTGCACTGCGATATTTTCATTCGTCTCTGATTTTTTGATAAAAACTAAATCTTTATATAAATTTTCACATGCATGACTATTTTTATAAATAGAGATTCCATTATAAGGACAATCTTCAAGTCTTATTGCGTCCTGTAAATAAATTGCCGAATTTTTGTAAGATTCGTAGAGAGATATGTATGTATCATAAACCAAACTACTTTGTTACTCGCGACACGAAATAATATGCTTGAAGGTGAAAGTTCCAAAAATCACCTTTAAGTCTTCCATCCTAGCGCGTTTGTGTATAGAATCTTAAACATCAATATAATAAGTATTATAATATTAATATATTATGATCGATGCTTTTGTAATATAAATTTGTGATAAATAGCTATTATCAAACAATATCGTTTTGTATACACACACCTGCACACGCGCCTCTATCTATAGTATTTACTTTCAATGTAAAGTGTTTTATTGATTTATAATAAGAATGTCATTTATATTCCATTCATATTTTGCGTTTCACTAAAAATCTCATTGCAATTTGCCGGAATAAAATAACATTCATCATTTTTTGCTAGAAATTAGCGTTTTTCACGTAAATTCACTTCATATATGCATTTTTCTCTCTCGGACATACAAAATATAAATAAATAGTGTGAAAACTTTTCTGCCAAGAAATATTATTGTGATAACGATCATATGTAGAAATATGATAATCATTATCATTATCCTCAAATACACATATGTACAATTTACATTAAAATTCGTAAGTTGTATGCAGTCATTCTTAGCTTTTTAATTCATCAACTTCCGAAGAGACAAAACATGTAAGTTTTTTTATAAAAATAAACTTGTGCCTCTGAAATAATTTGCTCAACAATAATTTTTATATATTTACATATATCCTAGTTAAAAAAAAACTTCAATGTTTGATTTCTTTTTAAGAGAAATTGGAGAACAACCAACATCCAAATCATTGACATATGTATAGGAAGGTATGTGGACGGACTTCCAGGTATAATTTACAATTAAAGACGATTTAATATTGTTTATTTCATAGTGTTTCATCGATCAGTAAATACATATTAATACTATATATAAATGACCCAGTTCCATTTTTTGTATCATAACAGAAATTTTCCTAAAATCAAGGAAAATTATAGTCAAATCATATTACAAAAAATCAGTCTAATAAAATCAGAATTCTTCTAAATTATATAATAGAAAATTACATAAATTATATACAATAATATACGTATCGAACAATTACTTTACCTGTACATTTTGCATTTTTTTACAATTGCTTCTCGCAATAGATATGATATCCACTGTAGGAAAAAATCAATAAAATTTATATATTTCTTGTAGAACATCCTACTCTCCATCTATCTCGATTATCCAGTTTGTTACATCGCAAATTCTTTAAAATTAAATATGATATGACATCTTGAATTATTGTTTATAACTTATCAAAACGAGTCATTAAAGAGAAAGCTGGGGCCGAATATTGCATTGTATCTAACTGTATAATACATTTAATTTAAACATTATTAGAACTGTAAATTCAATCCGACTAAATATCCGAATAACTCTCATCAAATTTATATTAAATTTGAAGATCTAAATATGCACGGGAATTTATTAATTCAAAGTAAAAATCTATTCACTTTAAAGAAAAAACAGAGAATGATGATTGATTTAAATTACATACAGTAAAATAGCTGTCCTAATACGTAGTAGTCATATCGCAGTAAAAATCATGTTTTACATCATGTATTTTATTTTTAAGAGAATCCCAAAATAAATATGTTCTATTTTTAATTAATAAAATATTATATAATATTATTGCATAATAGTACTTTTTTAATCATTTTAATTTTGAAGCAAAAATGATTACTAGGACAGTCATCTTACTACAGTTTTTCAACAAATTTTAACATACTATATATATATATGTATGTATCTATACAATTTATTTTTTCCGTATTATTTTGAATTCTGAAAATTTATGAATTTTACTCCAAAATTCACATATTTGACTGTTTGGCATTAAAGTCCAAATAATTATCGAATCTTCTTCTTTTGAATAAATAATAGAACAATACTTATTTCAGATATAGTTCCGCGATATTACATATTTGAATATTTACAGCCTTAATAATTATGATGCGAAAAGTTTACTTCCATCGCTGTTTACGAACGCGCGATCACTGTAGAATATTTAATTGTCCGGAACTTGTGGCATATACCATTCCTTGGCCCGGCTGAGGCGCCCATCTTATGCAATTCAAACTGACATAAGCCGATGTTTCTCGATTGCTTTGCAGCAATTCCCGAATAAGCACCATACTTTCTCTGTTACGCTTAATATCCATGTCACTTCTCATTCGAATTCGCCAATCTTGATTGTGTGGTCTGTAACTGTTAGGTGTAGCGTTATTTTGTCTCGTTATATTACTCGTAGAAATATTCTCATCAAGTGTCTCATCGGAGGAATCGCATATTGACTCTGCGGTATCTGTCGACATTCCAGTTTTGGACTGTTTCTCCATCAGCTTGTAAATTACGGCCATGGGAAAAGGTCTAGCGGGAACATGAATTCTGCGTGCTAAACCTACTAAAAGATGTTGTTGCGTGGGCGACATCGAAACAGACACTACAGTTTGATCAATCTTGGTTGAATAAATTCTCTCTCCTAATGTTTCCCACTGCAAACTATAAATACCTAAACCGAAATGAGTATATATGCATAATGTTTCTTTTCCTTTTCTTCCGATATATAATTTTATTAATAGTTTTACGAAATAATTTTTTTTGTATGATTACGTATATAGTTTTTGCTTACCTAACATGGTTGTAACATTGATACGACCTGTTGGCATAAGGGTCGCTAGCAATTTTCCATCTGCAGATATATCGATACTCGCGTCGTTATGGATCTTACATTCGCGTACCACGATGTTTTTCTCAGCTAAAAAATTATATTAACTTAATAAGCGTATGTAAAAAAATTCGCGTACGTAAAAACACGCGTAGTGAAAATGTAATGATACATATTTTTACAACGCTGCTTTACTTACAGTCCGTAATATCAGGTATATCACCACCGGAGAAGTCCCATGCTTGTACACGGTAGCTTTGAATTTCTAACGTTGGATTAAACGACATACCCACTGGTATATTATCTAAAAAATGACTTAATTTGTATATATGTTTGTGTATATATATATATAATATATGCTGCACAATTCGATATGGACTTTTATAGGCACAGAGTATAAGAATAAAAAAAAGATAAATTACCAACATCCCAAAAGTCATTATCATCGTTTCTTGGATCTTGTCCGTTTCCATTTCCATTTTCATTTCCATCGCCACCACCGCCACCATCTCCATTACCACCATTATCACCACCACTTCCTCCTCCTCCTCCTCCTCCTCCTCCTCCTCCTCCNATGGATTTCTCCGCTTCCGGACCGCATATTCCACGTCGTGTTCTTTCGGCGTTGCTATTATAATACTACTATCACCACCTCCACCACCACCACCTCCACCACCACCTGCTCCTCCGCCACCACCTCTACCTCCTCTACCACTACTTCCTCCTCTTCCGCCAGGATCGTTACCATCGTTGCCGCTACCACTTGGATGAAAACCAGCACCTCTTCCAGTCCGTGATCCTGTATTAGCCGCGACTTCACGAGGCACAAAAGAAAACCGATTGCGCCATAACGTTAGAAACGTTGGGGTCACCTGAATTGAACATTTAATATTATTTATTATTAAATATTATTAAGAAACTACGAATATCGAGAAAATCATACTGTACCCGATGTCTGTTTGGCACTTCGATCCAACTGGGTCCAGGTTGATCATTCATTGATTCATTCGTACGATCGTTATTTCTGCTGTCGTTGTAATAAACAGAACTATTCATCAAATATGGCGGAGGCGTGTGTGGCGGCGAAGGTGGCGCATTCTGCCTTCTTCGAGAATTAAGAGCCGAATTATCAAATTGTGAATCGTTTACGGGCATGCTGTTCACTTGTAGTTCAGGCACGTTGAATTGTCGTCGATAAGATTCTCGGTCCTGAGTAGATCTGCGATCAATAAAGTTGTAATGTTGATCATGTAATAAATTTGTGCCACGCGCGTAACGAGAATTCCAGCGAAGTCGACGGTTTCGTTCTATTGATGAGTTGCGACAAAATCTCCAACCAATTATTTCGGTGTCATTCTCTTGCGTATTTCTTGATTCATTGGTGCGTCTCATTGTCGGTTCAGATAATGTGGTATTTCTATAAATTCGCCGATAGCCTTCGTTCACGTTTCGCGGTTCGCGCGAATTTTGCGTAGTGTCGGTTGTCCGATTTTCAAGTCTCGTTCTCTCACCACTGCGATCATCGTTGTCGATTGTGCCGCTACTTTGTATTCGCTCCACGATGCTTTGCACTTCTGCTGACAAAGCGTTTTCAGAAATCGATTGGCGATTATCTTCGTTTTGAATATTATCGCTTGAATTGTTACCATCGCCATTAATGTTAGGTCGAGATACCGTTGGATTATTAGTTCGGTTCTCGAAAGACGTACTCGCACTTCCTCGTCGATGACGAGATAGCCGTTTTAAGTGTCGTTTTAAGTGCATTGCCATAAGACGTTGGCGTCTGCTCTCGGTAACTGAATGAACGTCTGACCAATCTCGCCCATCTAGAGAGACATTAGACGCATTTGACATATTAGATGCATTTGATATTTCAAGTAAGCTTCTCGGAGATCTCTCTCGATCTGCGCTTTGTCTCGAAATGTTCTCACTTGTGCGATTATTTTCTCTTTCCAAGTTATTATCAGCGCTGTTGTTATTATCGCGACGCGTGTCCTCGTTCTGGTTATCGACCAATAAATCAGAAGCGAAAGGTCCATATTGATTTGACTCTAATTCTCGTCTTGTCATTACTAACTGTGCCAGCAATAAATCTGTTAATTGCAGTGCCAGATGTAACAATACGTACAAATCTGAAAGAAAAAAGAAATAAAAATTGACATAAATTCATAAAAGGCAAAGAAAAAAGTATATAAAGATAATATAAACTTACTACACATCTGTTCATAAAGAACATTATTCTGGAAGCCATTGTCTGATCTTGTAACTTCGAAGAATTGAATCATTGATCTCACCATCAAACCGAGTACTTGCCTGCATTGCGTGTATACATCATCAATTAATGACACTGTTTTCACGCAGACATTTGGTTTTGTGTATTTGTAATACTTATTTTATATGTGTTAATAAAATATAAAATATAATATAAAAACTTTATTATAAACATATATATTCTTCATACCTAGCTCTTAACCTTGTAGCTTCTCGAATCTCTTCCATTTGCCGATCGTCGTTGTCTCTAGCAGTTTCTGGCTGACGACTACCATCCAATCGTCTATTGATGTTACTGTTCCGAGCTAAAGCTCTTTGCTGTCGGACTAGATATGCCAGCCGCACGATCATTTTTTGTAGATATTCAGACGTGTTTGAGCCTCGTGCCGTTCTATCGCCTCGAGATACTAGATCTCGAATATCTAAGTCTACGTCTGAATTTTCATTATTATTACTCGTATTTTGAGGTGCATTTCTGCGTAAATACCACGGTCTCCTGACATGTTCATAATGTCGAAACGGATTATTCGCAGATTGGGGTCTGGAACTCTGTCTTGTGCCACGATGCGATCTCATCGACCATAACTTTAAACGTCTTAAGAGAAAAATATCGCGTTAAGATAAAATTATTATCTGATATATATAGTTTAGTAATTTTATTCTTTTTACTTGCTAATTTTAGTATATAGTAATTTTATACAGTAACTAAATCTTCACATATCTCGCTTTTAAAGATATGTATGTAATTTTATTTACACACACACACACATTTGAAATTAAACATATTCTCATAATATATGTACCTGAGATATAACTTTTGTCTACCACGCAGTCTATTACAACCGCTTGTAGACGATTCAAGTGATGATCCGGAGGCTGAACTGCCGCCTTGATTTGTCGAACATTGCGTAGGTGGATCAGATGTAGAAATAGAGTTAATGTTATCGTCATTCGTGCTGTTGTTACCAGTTGCACTGCCAGTCGCAGAATAATCGGTATTTGTATCCGATATTTGGGTCGATCTGCTAGAACCAGCAGTACTAACGAAACTCGAGATACTAGGTAACGGTTCCGACTCTGTTGTTATCGCAGTAACCGCTGGCAGATTTGAATTAGCCCCGATATTCGAGACGACACTAGACATACTAGGTAACTGCATGTCGCTGTCAGTCGTCAAATTGGCATACGTATGATCGTTGTTCGTTGCTCGCGCATCATCGGCGACGCGTGAATTGCAATTCTGACAGCGCGTTAGTCGCTCGTACAAGCCGTCTAATATTTCATTTAGCTTGAGACATTGCATCCGTCGTAATTCTTCGTCACTTGGCAACAGATTCGAGAGACTTATATTAGTCGTGCTTTCTTCGACGTTGTTGCGATTACCAGATGATGACGCTTCATCGCGATTTCTCTGGTGACCAGTTATTCCTTTCGAAGTTGACGGTTGATTCGGATCATGCGATCTTCCGTCCTGATCACTCTCGCTGCTTTCTCTTTGATAATTTTCCAAGAGAGTTTTCTTAAAATTTCTCCCAGAATCATTCACCGATGCTGATGACGTACCGGGATTACTGTTGTCTCTTGTCTGCGCGTCTGTCTGATCTGCGTTCTGTCTTTCCACGCGAACTGTTACATGCAGTGATCGTATCTGCCGTTGTAGATCTTCCCACATTTTACGCACTTGGTATAACTGAACTATTTCCAAGCGCGCCCTGTTAATAAATCAAAATTTTTAGTTTTTACTACCATAGAAGAAAAAAAAACAATAATATTAAGGAAAAAATAATTTCGCGTAGAAAAATATTGTAAAAATAATTAAGAAATTGGAATCGCATATAGAGTACGTGTCGATGTATTGTTAATTTACCGGCACAAGCGTTGCATGTTGTCAATGTGACGACTAAGCAATTGAATCCCTTGCCGAACTCCTAATGAACTTTCTCTCGGATCTATATTGCCAACATCAAATGTTATAGAGTCCAAATCGCTAGAATCAAAATTTGTGTCGTCTAAATTTCGTTGGTCCTCTTGTTGTTGTTGTTGCTGTTCTTGTTGTCTGTCACTTGTGGTCGATCTGTTTTCGTGATTTGTTTCGTTGGCACTTCTTGCGATAGGATCGTCAACACTTTCACTTAATCCCGCGAGAGTTGTATCCGTCACACTCGAATCAGACGATTGTTGAAATGTAGTGCTGTCAGAACTGCTGGTAGCAGGTACTTGATTCTGTTCTGTTCTTTGGGATTCGGATCTTTGGGACTGATTTTCCCGTAAACTTCTAAACGGAAACAACGGCGGTTGTTCGTATCGAGTAGGGTTTGCAGATATAGGCGACAAGCGATTTCTTTGATCTCTATTGTGTCTATCGTCAAAATTCTGATCTGTATCCTCTGAAAAAGATCTCGAATTGACTTGTTCGTTCGACAAATCGTTGATGTATTCTGGATTTCTGTTTGAAGTATCCAATTGTATCCATCGACTGGTCCACCGACGGGAGTTTGAAGCATTGGAATTTGTATCTTCCAAATTGGAATCTGAATTACTGTTTTCTTCAAGAAGCCAGTATCCATTCTCCGAATCGTCTAATGACGCCTGCGTGGTATTACTGCTCTCTCCACGATCTGCACGCGAATTTCGTTGAAGAATATCTATCACTCTCCTGAGCGAAGGTACATTTCTATATGGGATACAAATTTCAGATGTATAACTATAGATTTTTAACAATAGAACGTAATAAAATATAGAATCAGAAAACTCATTCGAATATTGAAAAGTGTTTTTGATCAGGTATCAAGTTATATTACCTTCGCCTACGATCACGAAATTCTTGAGATCTTGGAGTTTCGTGCACATTTTGTGTAGTTCCTGATGTTTCATTATCCTGGATATTACTTTCGTTTGGTTCATTGTGCAAATTGTCAGGCAAGTTATTTCTGTTTGTTTCGGTCAATCTGAGAGAGCTAGCTGGCATGCTTAGATTTTGTGCAGTGGCTTTAGGTATGTTCGGTTGAAACGCCGAATGAGTTGAAACTGTGAAATTAGACGCGCTGTTGCGCGACGTTGATGCTTGCGAATAGCTCTCATCGCTCGAAGATGAACTGTCGTCTGTTAATAAAAAAATTGATAATTAGCAATATTATTAATTTTACGTTAACATCGTATCATACGTGTATTTAACAAGAAAACAAAACAACGTTACCTATAAATGGATGCTTTCGTTTTCTTGAGTGCTCATCTGTCATGTTCGTAGACGAGAACGATCTTTTCATAGTCCTTCTACCAGTTCTCGGCGAAATATTCGCGCTTTCGTCATTTTCTGCATTAGACCGTGTTGCATCATGTTCTTGATTCCTTCCGGCAGAGCTTGTACTAGGAAAGACATTGGGTTCCGAATATAAACCTTCATCGCGTGCGCGCGGAGGTTCAAATCTTATGATGGCAACTCTCGAGGAACTAGTGCTGGGTGACTGTTCATCGTACGGAGTAATTGTTCTCCACTCGTTCAAATTCATCTGCGAAAGATCGGTCGCAACATGACGATTTCGTGATGGACTATTACCGTACATTGTGAATTCATCACGCAATCGTTCAATCCTAGAACTCGTGTTAGTAAATTGCATCTTCATATTGTTAAGCGCTTCGATTTCATTGTTCAGCGCGTTGCGAAGCAGCTGAAGGCGAGGGTTACGATTGTTAGAATGGTCGAACAAGGTCATGTGTCGTTGTAATCTCTCTCGTAATTTTTGCAATCTTATCAGACACGAGCTATTATTTTCGGCAGCAGCATTCAGAGCTTCTCTTAAATTCTGAAGAGTAGTACCAATTTGAGTAGTACCGATCTCTTCTTGTTCGGAAGAACGTTCTAATAACAAACGCTGACATTGTTGCAATCTTTCCAGATTTGAATTGTTCGCTTGAGCACTAGAATTCAGTGCATTTCTTAAGCGCCGTATGGACGATTCAGTCGCCGTCGATTCATTTTGGTTACTTCCTTCTTCGGGAATAGGCGATGATGTGCTAAGAGGCATGGGGTCTGTGCCACGATCCATCTTTAAAACGACACAACGCAACTTTTTATATACATATATTATACATTAAAATAACACTCACACGAATAAAAGATTTGTACAGTTAGAAAGACTGTACAGGCAATGACATTATATATTGCTTACCGTATCACGATTTCTAGAAACGTTAAAGTAACGTCTTACAAGCGTGACATATCGATCGAGTCTTCTGTAGCATAAATTAATTCTTCTTTCTGAATGAGAATTGATTCTACGCACTCTTTCGCGCGCCCTGGCAAACATGCTGTTCAATCGCTCGTACGATTCGTCCCTTAGATCGTTGACCACGTTCGCTTCCCGATCACGTCCCCTAGCCGAACTGCTCGGCAGATCGTCATCGTTGCTGTCGTTTGCCGATCTGTTTTCGGTACTGTCCCGATTTAAGAAATTGCTGGGAATGGTCAGACTGGACGGATGTGGACTTCGTCTGATATTTGGATGCGCTTCTCTGTTTTGATTCAGTTCTATAACGTAAAAAACATTTAAAAAATTACGACAATCAAAAAATCTCATAATTTACTAGTATCGGATGAAGTATTTGCAACATATTATTATCAAGAAGCGATTTTAGAATATCTAATAATATTAGCTCATACCTGCGAAACTTTCACGTAGCATGGATGTTGTATCGTAAGAAGATAGAAGTCGTCGTCGCTGAATATCCGCATGAATCCGTGCCTCTTCCCGCGACGAGTTATTCCTCAACTGCTGATTGTACGTGTTGGCGAATCGCGAAAAGCTGGATATTTCGTAGGGCATGTCCAATTCTCTGCGCATAAACAGGTAGGCACTGAAAACATTTCTATTCAAATTTTGCAAATGTTCTAACACAAACTTTGATAAAATTGCACGATAGAGTTAATATACCGGGAAGTTCTGTCTGCAGTATGAATGTCCGCTATTCCTCTTCCGTATATGGATCCATGGTTCCACAAATGCCATGGTGAAAGTTCAGCATCAAAATCTCGTGAATATCGAAAATTCCTAAAAATTTTTAGTTATAATATTTACTTTGATAAATCCGCACATATGTTTATATTTGTAACTGTGAAATGTTTAGATGTATTTGTTTGTTTTACTCACATCATATTAGTTCTAAGTAATTGATTCACTCCAGAAGTCCGATCCCATTGTGATTGAACTTGTGGTGTATTTGCAATTCCCGTGATTAGTTTTCGTCCCAGATTGTCAAAAGCTACATATCTGCAATTTTTACAGAAATATGTACAGAAAATATGTGTTTACAGACATGCATGACATCATAATTTATCTCTCTTAAAAAATAATCTTTTGTAAAATAAAAACATACCTCACTTTTTCTTTGTCAGTCTTTGTAGCAGCTACAGCAAAAGGGCGGGATTTACTCCAATCCCAAAAGTGAATTTCGTTATATGTAGCTATAACTAATAATCTTTCAAATGGATGAAACGCAAGTGAAGCAATAACAGTGTGACTATCAACATTCCAAATTTCACTACCACCCTATACAATCAGAAATTATTACATCAAGGTGTTAAACACACAGTATTTAATTGTTGAAGCAAATAAGTTTCCAAATTTTTCAGTACTCACACTTAAATCCCATACACGAACTTGGCCTCCTAAACAGCCAGATGCCAAGATCTGACTAGAGGAAGGATGAAAAGCTATGCACCATGGAGTACGTGGATGTCCAGATAGAGTTCTAATATTTTTTCCTGTTGTAATCTCTGTGATATAAACATTGTGGTTTCCATGTGTAGATGCTACCATAGTCCTACAATATTGCATATGTGTATATATACATTTGTAAATATATGTAAACATGTAAATCTCACAATATGTTATTATAGTCTAATTAATTTTTATGATCTTCAGATTTTTCTGTTTTTTATCTTACCCATCAGGACTGAAGACCATTAAAAAAGAGGCTCTAGGAACACCAGGCAAATCACATTTCTGCAAATAAAAAAAAAGAACAAAAGAAGAAAGAGAGTAAAGTTGTACAAGTAGTTTTATTTTATGTACATCTGAAAATATATACATACCACTTCCTTGTGGTCTCTTAACACAAGATTTGTTTCAGCTATTGGTTCCAATTCACGTGTATTAGTTTTATGTGTAGTATGTAATCCAAAATCTCTTAGCATTAAATTACGCAATATATTCCTAGACTTGCTACGATGGAGCAATTCTGGTTTCTTTTTAACCTTCCCCATTTAGCAGATTGTTCTTGCAATTTCTAAATAAATTATAAAACATTATTACACACACACTCATATATATTTTTAATATAAATATATCCCTCTATTCATATTCTCGCTTCCAATATGCTTGACAAAATGTACCAATCTTATTGTTCTTTCTAGTCACTAACTGAAAGAAAAAAGCAAGAACGAAGGAGATATTAAGTCTCAACTTGTTAAAAATAAAAAAAGTTCGACTATATCGCTATGTAAATTTACTTTTAAAAAGAATCGATAATAGAAACGTCTTAATTTTCTAACCTTAAAATTAATAAAGAGAACAATCTTATTTACAGTCTTAAAGCATTCTGTCTTTCTTTTTCTCCCCAACTCACTTGTATGCTTGCAAGTGAACTATGTAAACTATTTGGCACAAGTTTTTGCATTAAAGTAGGTTAGGCTCAATATAGTGGCCTATATCCCAACGAAATCTCGATAATAAATAGCACACGTAAGGGAGACAAGAATCAAACGATTAATTAAAAATTTTGCGATCCCGTAGAATATCAACGTATTGTTTCAACAGTATTTGCTAACGAAAAGCCGACTGTATCGGGGAGAGCTAATTACTAATCGCTAGAAGTCGCAAGTTACCCAGAAATAGCTATGGCTAAGTCGAGACGGGACGAATTTACAGATTCACGAGTCCCGATAATCTTCCTCTTCCGCATAAATAGACTTGTTCGTTTACCTGAGCTATTTATTTTGTTGTTCTGTCAGAACACCAAACATGTCAAACATGCAAAAAATATACGTATTTCACTGCACTAGCAAATATGCTCCGAGTACATATTCAATCGAAACATCGTCGTCCACCATTACTTCAGTTGGACTCATCGTGAATCGTGAACTACCGTGCAGCACCAGCGAAACATAAGGGAAACCCATATACAAGTTCGTCGCGTCGATCACAACGTTTCCGACTGATTAAATCTAATGCACGATTCGCTAGATAATGTTTACGCTTATCTTTTTTTGCGGCAATTTTCGAAAACGTACATCAAAAAATCATATTTGTTAAATTAAAATTCATACATGTCGCCAAATAAATAATTTCTGTATAAAAATATGTATATAAGTTAAATTATTTTTTGTTGTGATATTTATCTGGCGGAATTTTTTTTTCAAATTGTGACGTTATAAACGAAAAATTTATATTTTTTTCTTACAACTTTTCTCTTACATCGAAATAAAATAGGTATTTTATTTTTTAAAAAGTTTTCGATGTTTTTTAAAGTTTTTAATGTTAACACAATTATTAGTTTATCTCATTAGTGTTTCATAACACTATTATAACACAAAATGTTACCAAAATATCCGAAAACCATTAATGCATTATTTACGACATTATACGCAACTTAGATTAATTTGACAATATATTCAGCTTCATGGAAATGTTCAGGAGCATTGAATAAACAAGTAATATAATATAATTTATTTAGTATAATACAATTATATATGCCTCTCATAAAAAGCGTTTCTCAATCTTGTACATAACAATATAATATGTTTTACATATTTCATAATTTTTCTCTGTATATTGATGATGCTCTTTGTATATGTGATACTTGATGAATGCATTAAAATTCTTTATGTACAACATTCAATACGATAATTTCATAGAAATATATTTTGCGCTTCTTTTTTAAAATATAACCACGTAAAACAAATTGTAAATATACAATTGATTTCTTGACTAGTTGATTCAATTAAAACATGATCCACGAAAACATAATCATGCGCTGTAAAATATTTATGTGTATATGCAAACGCTGCAAGACAATATCCTTTATGTAAGCTTTCCGATTAATGATCTAATATACGTAGATTGCCCGAAACAATTTTGTTTTCTAAGACAGTTCCAGAAGGTAGATCTATGCGTTCTCCATGATTGGCGATTATAATAACAGTGCCTTTTAAAGTTACTCCTCTTCCAAAAGTGACATCGCCAGACACCGTCAAATGATCCAACTCAAGAAGATCTGGTATTGTTGGAAATCTAGCCAAGAACTCTTTCACCTATAGAAAGAAGAAATTAAAAATGCAATTAAGTTATCTTATATTTTAAATTGAAAAAAAAAAACTCAAATAAAAGCATGTAAATTTTTGCTAACTTTTGAAAAATGATTGTCTCCTAATTTAATAAGAGGAGTTGTGGGAAACATTCTTTGAGGGCTCATTATGAGAGACCCGTTACGTAGCGTGTACAAGTTACTCATTACAAGCATCAGGTCCGATGTCTTTTTCACAGGTAAGAATCTACTGCGTGGTACATTTATACCTACAACATTGAAAATTATATAATTTTAAATTAAATCTTACACGTGTATGTACATCTTTTAATTATTTTATATTGTAACAATCAGTAGGAAAACATTATAAACTTTAAAGAAAACAAAGCGAGCCTTACCAATACTTCCTTCAAATGATTTCATAGCAGCTCCTACAGCTGTTTCAAGCTGTATTACATTTAATCCGTTCGGGAAGGTTTTGTTGTTCACAATTATCTCCATATGCAATTTATTTTCCTGAAGTATCCTTTCGACAGCTGTTTAAAAAACAACAGACGTTAAAGGTGATAATTCCAGAGTATTCTTATTATTTGATTACGTTATCTCAACATACCACTGAGTTTAATCCAGAGATTATTCGTATTGAAGTATTTAAATGTTTTGACAGATTTAAAATCATCAACATGATCTTTGGGAACTTGAGCTATCTCAAGTAGACGAAGTTTATCTTCATATTTTATAAGCGTGCCACCCTAATATACAAAAAACATATATATTTCTAATCAATGCTATCCTTCAGAAAAAGTTTCAGTTTTTTTAAACAAAATATACCTTGACATCAGCTCGCGTTTTGTTGGTTACTTCCATTACAAATTCAAGAGGTGGTTCTGACTTTTGACTCAACAACAATTTTAAGATTTTTATATCTACTGTAGCACCAAGATTATCTATGTTAGAAATAAAGCAATATTCACGACCCTGAAACACACATTAACTCTTTTTATAAAAATTATTATTATTATTAACATGCAAGTTTAATACCTCTCGAATAAATTTTTTAAGTAAACCAGAATTCTGGAAACTTTCATAGAAGTCTCCGTGACCGGGCGGATACCACCTATTAACAAAATTACACATATTACATATTTCTATATATATATATATATAACTATTAAGAGATAATGACAACAAAACAACGCCTTACGCTTCCATGTCCTCGTCAATTTGACAATGTTTAGCGATTGGAAGAAGAGAGTCTCTATTTATACGTGGATAACAGCTCTGATTAAAAGTGTAAATATCTATATCGATTCCTTTGTATTTCCTAATTATACGTTGCGTGTCGTCGTCCGTGTTGAACGAATCCATCAGTACAAGTGGCACATTAACGTTATACGTTTTATTCAAATGCTGTTTTAATATGAGAAATCACAATATTAATTATATTAATTATGAACGTAAAATCCTGTGACAAATTAATGAATATTACATACGCGTGTGTATTCAAAAAAAAATAAAATAAAATAAAAGTAACTGAAATACCTCGATCTGTTGAACTGTAAGATCTAGAAAAGTTAGTCCATTTCGCACGGCGATAACAGATTTCGGTCCGTGACATCCCATACTTGTTCCAAGACCGCCGTTCAATTTAACCACAATTAATTTATCCAACAATGCTTTTATTTCATTGGTTTCCGGTGATGGCAAAGAATTATAGTCCTTGACCTACAAACAAATAACACAATATCATCAAATGTTTGAAATATCTTCAAAAGAAATTCGACACATCTTTCAAGAGAACTTTTCGATTCTATATAAAATGGATTTTAGTTTCTTACCGCATCTTCGGGTAATTTTTGAATATGATCCCATTCTAGTGACGGACCTTCTTCCTGCAGGAATCGCTCGAATAGATGCTTGAAACCAGCGAACTGCTGTTCTACCAACTCTTTCTTATTCCCGCAAGCGGTTGCTTGCAGCTTCTCGAGTTCGCGCTGTAGTTCGGCCTGTGCATCTCGCTTCGTACGCTCCCGAAATGCCTGCGTATCTGAAGAACTGCGTTGATGACCACGGACCTGTGGAGGTTTTCTCTAGGATAAAACTAAACCAAAATATTCATACCTATTCTCCGTATAAAGTCCTCCCCTTCCGTTCCAGTCAATTGATGGCTGATCGAATGTAAAAGATCGCGCATGATGACGTTAAAACCGCAGCCGTAATAATAATAACCGTAAAAATAATAATTAAAAAAAAAAAAATTAAATAAATAAATAGTCGTGTATACACGTATAAGATTCTCGATATCTGCGCGACAGATCGCCCGGTTAAAATCACTTAAAATTGTCGAAGTAAAATTTCTCTGTGTACAAATGCGTCTTGCAAAATCGGCTGCGTGCGTAACTATGCACTATTGTAAATAATCACGAAGAGATTCGCGTATAACTTTCTTTTTTTTTTTAATTTTTCAATATTTTCAAATCCGTCTTTTGTTCGTAAAATGCAAAGAACGTGATCGCGCCGTTAACGTCCGCAAAACGTCGAAGAGAACAAATGAAAGAAAAAATTTCTATTGTTAAGCAGTAGCGTGCGTGTTTTGACGAAGACTTAATGTCAAGACAAGACGCATGTATTACATACGAATGATAACGTGAAAAGTCATGACAGTACAAAGGTATATGTATCTAGGATTTTATCGCTTCATACATAGGGAAAAAAAAAAAAAAAAAACGGCTGACGTCTATATACGTCGATATTTCTCTTTTTCAGGATTAACAAAGAATCTCGCAATGATTAACGGTCAACATTGCGCATGACACGATACTTTAATCCATCTTTATTGGCGGTTAAAACAAGCTGATATCTTCAAGTAAATAACGATCGGCAATTGACAATGACACAGGCCTTGACCTAACATCGCAATTGTGTCGATTTGTAACATAACAATCCGAGTTCAATAATACTTACTAAACTTTTTCCGCAATTTAATATCAAAAAGATAACAGAACAAACAATTCTCGTCGTTGTCTTTTTTTTATTTTTTAAACATCACGGTTTTTTATTTATCTTTTCCACTCAGAGATAAGAGTCTTATACATCGCAATTACCTACTTTAGTTTTTTTTTATAATAATTTAAATACATCATAATATAATTAGAGTATTAGGTTCGAAGATATGTTTTCATCTTATGCAAGCAATAAAATTTGTATAAAACATTTGTTGTAAACCTAACTATTAATACAACAAGTTGTTTTTAAAACATTACGAAATCTTTCTCAATTCATAAAATACTTTAAGAATATTCTTATGAAACAGACTGATACTGTTAGAAGAGATAAATGTCGGCCTCTATTAACCTCTTTGGCTTATGATAAGATAATTTCAAGAACTGTATATTAGCTCAAATTAAAAATCTGTTTTATCTTCTCATTTTGCAAAAGAATATTTTTATTTCTCTCTTTACTTAAGTCACATGGAATTTAAAGAGATTAGAAAATTTAAAAGATAAGAGGGCCAACTTAAACACACACGCGTGCGCGTATGTAATAAGTAACAACGCGTCCATGTAACAACATTTTTAACAGATGATTGTTAGATACTAATCTTTCTTTCTTTCTCTCTCTCTCTCTCTCTCATAAAAACTCCAGTTATTTTGATCCACTTTATATCTTCTTCAGCAGCATAATTACACTCAAGACAATAACTGGCAGTACTGCAATTATTATCTCATCGGTTGTTATAAATACAGTGTCTTAATGTCACACTAATGTATCCAATAATAAAATCATTAACAATCCTGTTCTATCGTGTTTAAAAATTATTTTACTATTCACGCAAGATCAGAGATTCTTTCTTACTTTATGTCTAAAAACGTCATCCTTCACAAAACAACAAAGCAGCTTTCAAGAACATGTGAATATTATGTGTATGATATTAGAAATACGTCAAAACTCACTCAATGCGAAACATAGTTTCGATATAAAATCTCGAACAATAAGAGAATTAAACGACCACAATAATCAGTATTATAAACGATCAAGTATATTCCAGCATGACACTGCTTGCTTGAGTCAGATTCGCCTATCATTAGGTTACATAACAACAGATTGATACGCAAACCTTATATAAAAGTTTTTGTTTGCTTTTTCTCACGTTGTTTTTAGATTCTAGCGATTTCAACTTTTCGAGATAAATAAAGGTGGATGTCGTTTGAAAAGAAATTTTTAATTAATATAAAACTGAAAACTAATATGAATTTACTCATATCTAATCCGCTCTTTTTTCACAAAAATAATTTGACTTTATCATCGACTTTTTTGTATCGACGAAAATGTCGATCGAAAAGTTTGTTTCTCGGCTCTTCGTAAAAAGCCTCTGTTATTCACTCAAATCAAGGAAAAATGAAAGAAGAAACTCTGCGAGCTGCAAATTATGAGACTGTTCAAGTGGATAAGTGACAATTTGATGACGGCAACTAAGCGCGCGTGCAATCAATGTGATAATATATAGACAAGCACAGATACAACAAATACTCACTTGCAACAAGTACTCCATGTGCGCTACCTTGTACACGAAGCGTGACGAACGAGTGACAGGCGAGGAATGCGACGACATCGCGGCGCGAGAATTCGTCAGGCGAAATTCGAACGATCGTGCTACTTCAAGCGCGCTCTTTTGTAAATACTTAACGCGGTGTAATGTAGTACGTTTGAGTGTTACAATGAAAACGACAGAACTTTTTCGAGAAATTCACGTGTATCGATATTGTCTATTATACAATTTGACTTAGTCGTCAAATAATTAGCGACAAGATGACGTGTGCTTTTTCACCTTGTCTGTGATAAAAAAAAAAAAAAACAGGTATGCTGCGTGCGACTGTACGTTACAAAGTAATTTGGAGTTCAACGAAGTTTCTTTTCTTTTTTTGTCTACAAACATTAACTATGTATTTACATCTAATTTGCGTTTAATTATGTATTTATCTAATTTGATTTTCAATAGCATATCTCATAAATAAAAAATCAACTTTTTTTAAATAAATTTTTTCAATAAATGTAATAAAATAAATAAATAAATACTACAAGAAAGAAGTACAAAAATATAATAAAATAACAAGTGTTCTTGAAATACATAACAAAAAACTTACAATAAATTATACATATGTAAATCGTAACACTTGTATTACCTCGCGCGAACATTAACGCACTTTAAACATATATTTCACATTTAAAAATACAAAAATTATACATTTGTTTGTACACCATATAAATCTTCAATACGTTAAATGTAAAGTACTTGCTGAATGAATGTACCTGCGTTGTATGTTTTACATTTATTTTCTCGCATAATTTCAATACACTAAACCAATAGCAATTTATTATAATCAAAAAAAAAAAAAAAACGGTCAGCTTTGTGATTAAATAATCGTCAAGGCCAAAGCACAGACTTTTGCATAACGCATAAAACATAAGAGAATCAACCAAAATCAATTAAAGCTTTCTAAAACAAGAAGGAATGAAAACAAAAAGCTAAATTAGTTGATTTTTTTATGTCTAATGCGTTATACGTTATGCAAAAGTCTGTCCTTCGGCCTTCAAGGTTAAAACGTGTGTTTGCATAACCTCAAACCACACATTCGTTTAAGTCAAACGTTTTAACGCTTGAATGTAGAAGAGCAACCGAGAAGAGCGAATTAATCATCGATCGCTCGAACAGAGATTTCAATGGAATCATTTAACTTTTTCACATCAGTCTTATCAACTCGTAGTTTGTAAGCCAACCAACTTTACTTACGTGACGAGCAAGGCGGAGAGAGAGAGAGAGATAAAATACACATGACGTATAATGATAAGGAAATTGTTTTTTATTGGCTAATCTCTATGTAAAAGCAGAAGTAATTGCGATCTCGTTTACCTTCTTATCATCGACCTGCAGCATTTTTCAATCTCTTCCAACACTTGTCGCGGGCTAAAAGAGTGCGTGTCCTTTATGAAGGTCACACCGAGCGATCGGGGATTTGCAACTTTTGTATAATTCCTCAAGTGTCCGTACAGAGCTACCTGAGCACTACGAAATATCTCCAAATGTTGCGAAAGAATCCATATATTTTTCGCGCGAATATATAAATATACAACAATTTTGGCTGACGAAGAAGAGTCACCGGTTCGTAAACCGGGCCGCATTCGAGAACAGCACTCGTGTCCACACGAGCGTCATTCTAGGTTTGGTTGGCATTTGTGGCTCGTGGACTGAAAGGGTAGTTCATACGCCATTTTCGGGAGCGTCATTCTATCCTTATCACTCATTAGATATAAAACATAGAATAACGCTCGTGCGACACGAGTGATGTTCTCGAACGCAGCCCCCCGGACTCGACAAGTATGTCGATATTACAGATGTTTGCCGAGAGAAATGTTCGTATTCGTGTTGTTGCGTCGTGTCGCCGCTAGAAGCGCGCGCAAAGATTTATGATAACATGTAGGATATGTTCACATACTGATTATTTTGCATCTTGCTTTGGATTTTGATTTTTCTTTTTAGATTGCTGTGTCGACTTTTCAAGTACAAAAATTTTGACGATGGCGGAGATCACAGACAAATGTGCAAACGCTAATAACGAGGACTGTCCGCTGGCAAAGAAAGTTAAATTGGACGAGGAAAATGCGAATGAAAAAAAGACAATCGACGACAATACTAACGAGTTGAATCTATCGGATTTCAAAGTGGCGAAAATATTGCAAAATAATTGCGCGCGAAAATTGATATGCGTAGAGGGAACGTTTGAGGGTCGGGAAGGATCGGCAGTTGTTTTGCTCGAACAGAAGAGCTTTTCTTACGACACAAGTGTGTTGAAGAAAACTTTCTTCGACGAAGACACAACATTTCGCAAGATCTTCACTAACGATATCTACAGAACTTACATCTGCTCTCCGGCCAAGGATTATAACAGTACATCAATCTGTCACTGTTGATTATTTTGTGTAGATATCAATTGTAGATCGAGTTAACGTATTATTTACTTACAAACAAAATGTTTTTGTTCTTCAAGGCTTACAAGCGACTGTAATACATCCCGCCACACAGACTCATATTGACAAGTACAAAAAACAGGATGTATACATGATAGATGAAACATACGATCTTTATCAGCAAGTTACTCTTCCTCACATAGAATCGACAAGTTTAAGTTTAGAGGTACATTATTATATTTACTATGGAATGTTAAATTGCTTGTTTAGTTTTTTTTCTTCATATCTGCATAAAAATTCTTATTGAGGATTACTCTAAAATTATCTGAAAATTCTGGCTTATTTTTTATTTTATTTTTTTCTAGTGGATAACTAATATTTTGGAACACAAAGCTGAACAAGAAAGTGTTATTTATGAAGACCCTGACAAAGAGACTGGTTTTATATTAGTGACAGACTTCAAATGGAATAAAGAACCAGATACATTAAAGTTGTTGGCACTGCCATTCAAGAAAATTAGATCATTGAGAGAGTTGAATGCTTCTCATCTTCCTTTACTGAGAAATATACAAGATGCTGGGATAGCAGCAATTAATAAAAAGTTCAACATTCCTAAGTCACAGCTCAGGATATATTTCCATTATCAGCCATCATATTATTATCTACATGTGCACTTTTGCTATCTTATGTTTGAAGCTCCAGGTAAACTGTGAATAAAAAACTTTACAAATATTTGAAAGCAATAGAAAGATGTGAAATATGAAGAAAGAATACGTCTTAGTTTATAAATAATCCAAAAACATTTTTGTTGTAATTAGTTTTTTTTGTGTAGGAATATTTGTGGAGAAGGCACATCTTTTGTCAACAGTTATAAACAATTTGGAACTAATGCCGGATTATTATATGAAAGCAGTACTTTCATATGTGGTGTTTAAGGGTAGTCCACTTTATGAGAAATTTAAAGAGCACGGAACTTTAGAAATGTCATCATGTGAAACATAGTTGATTACACAATAAATAAGACTGCTTTTACCTTACAAGAATATGTAGTTATGTTTTATATTCATACATGCGGAAACACAAAAAAGAATTGAATCTATATATAAAACATGGACAGATCGTGTAATAGTATGGTAAAGGTAAATAAGAATAATAAAAATGTGCTTTTTATTATTTATATAATTTTTTACTTGTCACTTTTAAACTTTTTTTATTACTTTGTATCTGTGTACGATGATTTGACACATTTAGTAGAGAGCAGTAAAATATTTTTGAAACATGAGAAAAAAAGCTTTTTCATATAATACATATACATGTGTAGATATATCTGTGTATATGTATTCCTTTTGTTTCTTATTAAAAATTTTTCGCAATCTCGTGTCGTTTTGGCATAGACGCCGTTTAATTTTACGATATATGTATAATCAGTATTCATTTTCATATCCGAAAGTAAAGTGAAACCGCCACACTTTTTAATTAATAGGAACATGTAGATAAAAGTGCTTCAACATAACCAGGTATATTAAAATCATCCTTTTATATATTGTCAGCTAACATATTTGCTCATTCTTGTATTGCTCATAGTTACTAGTTTATATCGAGTATACATTTTATCTTGTTTTACAAAAAGAGAGATCGGACTGGCATTACTTAGAGGATCGACTTATGTCAATTTTCAAACTGATGTTTCTACAAGCGGAGATCATGTGTGTGTGTTGTATATGTAGAATTTATTTACTTCTTTCACTAAATATTTATCAAAAATAAACCAGAAATATCGGATTATATCGTCAATGGCATTATCAGCATTACAACCAACCGTGGCTTCTTCGGAATTGATTACTTCTATGTAAGCCTCTTGCATCTGGACCCATTGAGTGATACGTAACGTATAAAACAATATAAAGATTTGTTATTTCTTTGATAATCTACAAAAAAAATAGAAAAGTATGACAAAAAATCTTTTTATGTAAAATATTTAAAACGTACAAAAAAGAATTTTAATTACTCTTTTATAATTTATCCATCGCAGAAAAATTACTCAGTCTCAAAAGGAGAGTTGTAAAAGGAAATGTAATAGATTCTCTGTATTTTAATATGAAAACAAAAATCAATTATTTATATTCTACATGACAGATAGAAAATATGCAAAAGAATAATTTGTGCGTGTGTGTATACATGTATATGTATAAACATACATACAAATTATTGCAGCACCGGTCACAAAAGTTTCGTTAGAATAAGTTTTAATTTCAAGTTATGAACTAACTGTAGAAACGCATATATGATAATGATGTATATGAATAGTTTTGCAAGTTTCACCAAAGTTTTTCTCTTTAACACTAATTCATATAAGTGATATATTCAGAACATGTCAAAACGTACGTAGTTGCTCGATTAGGCATAATAGAATTATATGTGATATGACACACCTGTTTGTTTCATTTTATCCAAAAATGTTACAATATGTTAAAAATTTTCTCTCAACAATTCTGCACGTGTGTGTATATATATGTTGATTTTAAGTTTTACTTAAATTTACATAAGGGCATTTGCGTGTATGGTCGTGCGATATATAATGAGATCAATAACTGTTGTTGTGCCTAATATGCTACATCGTCTCGCTCGGCGATATAACTTAATAACTAAATAACAACAGAAGTAAGTACACAATTAAGTATCTGGAAGCGCATAAGACATAAATAACTAAGAAGGTCTGCGCGGATACTTTTTTCATTGGATTTGCAACTGACATTTTAAAACGGGAAAGCTTTTTACTGTCCTAGCTAACTTAATAAATTAGCTATATAATATCAGGGAACTTACAAATTATTTAGGAAGCAGATATCATATATTTAACATTAAAAGTACTTAGATTTTTTTGTTGTGGACTCATTTTCTTTCTCCCTCTTCTTTTCGCTTTTTTTTACTCCCCCCTCCCACACACACACTCTCTCTCTCTCCTTTTCTCTTTCATGCATAAACATATTCGTAAAGAGCGCTGAATAAAGTTTAATAATATAAAAATTAAGTACTTCTACTCTGTTATGTACGTCTTCCTTTTATCGCGTGAAATAAAATGTGTTTGGAAATAGCAAACTTACCTATGACAATCCGTTACCTCATCATTAATTTATTTTAATAAAAGAACATTATTAAGTAATAACTAAAATAATTACACATACATGCTTGTAAACTCACGTGGGTTATCATTGCATGTGTTCCATGCGTGTGAAGTACGAGTATACACAAATAAACATGTAAAGTGAATGTTTATATATATAACAAGTAAATTCATTAAAGGTAAGTTTATATATATATATATATATATATGCACAGTATAGGCATATGTATTTTATTCTTCTGTATGTGTAAAATAAACTTGATATCATAGTTTTTTCAATATTATTTGTATATATATATATCTCTCTGGAAGAGTTTAAAAGTAATCTTTTAAGTAATAAAAAAAAGACAAAAAACTACCCTGGTCAGGTACAAATATTTACTTGATCAAATCGTTGTCTTCTTGAGTTTTATTTTTCTTGTTTTATTTCTCTCGACAAACTTGTCGTTTTAGCACTTTGTTATCTGATCAAAAGTCTCTAGATATATTCTCGATACGCAAAGTAAAATAATTTTGTATAACAACACAAAAATGACTATGCCACGCAAGTGCCCTATTAGTTACAATGACGCGTTATAAGATGGTGTATCAAAGTTTCTTTTCCAGTAAATATTTACATATATTCATCATATTATTTCTCTTCGCTATGTTATTTGTGTACAAACAAATATAAACAAACGCAAGTTAATCGAAACTTAACAATTTATTTGCAAGACTAAAGATAAATGTAATATTCTGGACACTGGGACAATTCGGAAATATAGAAATGCATGTACGATTTTCTTCTCTTTTTCCCATAAACTAACACAACCATCGGACTTATTTTGATGCACACTAAGAGATACACGAATATAATATATATGTATATGTATATATGCGTATACATGTATATATATACATATATATAATACACACACACACACACAACACACATACACACAGTTATTAATGTATGCAAATTAGAAAAATTTACGTTTACATAACTTTTCTTAAAAAATAATAGATTAGTATATTGCTCTTTTAAGGGATGAAATAAAAACTTGATGTAACACACAACTGTGTTTGTATGTATATCAATGTGAGTTGTGTGTGCGCGCATACGCACGCGCGTGCTGAAAAGCCTTTACAACGTTATCTTTTATGTGGATCATCCGAGAAATGGACTCACAATTCAGTATCCAATGAGTCCAGATACCAAGTCATAAGTGAGTGCTTGAAAGGGTATCTTTTTTCCATAAAAGGCGAAAACTTCGAACGAATGTTAAATATCTAATATAAATATTTGTGCTTTGTAGAACTTCCTTCTTCGCTTGACTAGTTGGTCATGATCCACTACTAGTGTTCGTAAGTAAATTGTCATGACAGTGCTTCATATGTACAATTATTATGGAAGAATAATCTTGCAATAGTTAACGAGTTACATAACGTTCATAGCGTAACGAAACAAGTACTGGCTTTCTTGCGGATAAAATAAAAACATGTTTCTTTTGTTATAACATCAATTAATTATCGTAAACTGATTCTATTTTTATATCATCGTTTAATTGCTCGTAATGCCACACATCACATTCTCTCTTTATTCCATCTTTATAAAAAAGTTCTTCATAAGCCAAACAGAATCAACAACTTTTCTTAATTTCTATAAGAGTACGAATTTAGAGAAAAATCAAAATTATATATAACACACCTCAAGTAACACATAAATATTAAACCAATTGATAAATTTAGAATACGTATGCGAGTATTTAAAACTTGCACTTTGTGTACGTGTGTTGTACGATTTTCTGTATATTTATGTCTGCGCATACAAATAATTTTAACCAACAGATCTTACTAACATTTGCACCATGTACCTGCAATGATGCTATAATTTGTTATAGTCATGTAACGTCTTTTAATAATTTAAAAAAATAATTTTATATTCTAATTCCAAAAACAAAACTAATGAAACGCTACAGAAAAAAGTAATCTTCATACACAAACTTTTTTTTACATCATTTAAATACATGATTATTTATGCATAAAGTATAATGAATTAAATATTCTTTCTTAAATAAAATAATTTATATATATATGTATATGAAAAAATAACTTCGCTTTCTATCTTTGTACTCATAATAAAATGACCATCTCGTATTTATAGTCTTTTTTCTTTCAATATTATGGCATTACATAAATTTTATATCGGCATTTCTTGTACGCTAATTTTTAAAGTAATCAAATAAGGTCGTTTTTCTCTTCATTGTCAACAAATGTGTTTAGAAATCTCAAATCAATCATTACTTATCACTCAAATCTCTGTGCACTTTTACTTTCGCAAAAAGAAAAAAACAAAAAAATGTTGCGGTTTCTTCACCGTTTGAAAGCCAATACGTAAAAAATTTACTAAAAACTAAAAAAAGTACAAGAATTTAAAAGCATAGAAATATGCGCGTGAGAGATATCGGACATACAATCATCTTAAATAAAATTTGGCGTCGTGACATTTACTTTGATCCATCCTGGATAATAATGCTATTTCTTTGACTGATGTTGATAATGGCTATTTCTGATGATCTCATGACATAAAATGGCTCGACACACGCTAATGATATTTAAATAGAGTTTGTATGATGGACTAGCTTCAGTTATACGACTTGAATAAGAATGCATCTTTGACAAGTCATCATATGTTTAGGCATATGCTGCAGGAATATCATAGTACAGATGTATAAACTTCTTTAACATATAAATTCATTAATAAAAATATTTGTCGTATTAGTTTTTTCGCAATTTTATAAGAACGCTGGTTTTAAAGCAAGTTATACAATCAATATATCTCTCGCAAAATAATATTGATTCTTTACTGGTAGTGTATAACAATTTCTCTGTATGTTGCAAATTGTTATACTTCATCGATATTATTTTCACATTAGATATCGATCGTAAAAGTTGCTCAAAGCAGTTTTCACAATTGCACTAAAATCAGAATTTGAATGACAACCGATAAACACATAAATTATCTCTTATGCTTTATGAAAAGTCATTTTTATCTCATGCTATTACATATGAGAGATGTATTTTTTCTAAATATCTTCTCTCTTTCTTTCTCACGCAAGCGCGTATGAGAACATATCAAAAAAAAAAAAAAAATAAATAAAATAAAAATAAAAATAAAAATAAAAAAAAAACAAATCCAATCTATATCTCCTAAGTATATAGAATATATATATGTATATGTATAAAACATGTACATATATATATACACACGTATGAACATATATAAATTAACGATCGTTCACACAGTATATTATTTTGCAATTTTGCTAAGCATTGCTACTAATATTTAAACATGTGTTTTCTGTTTGTTCACTGGTACGTTATATATCTGTTAGATTAACCTGCAGCATAAACATTACAAATTAAATCTGTCACCAGATTTCCTTGACATTTTAGAACCCAGTGTCGTGTGATCATAAGTAATGTCAACGGTTTCAATTTTTTTGTTTTTTTTTTGAAAGAACAAGACACGATACAAAACATGTTTCGCGAAGTTTCTCATGGAAGACTTTTAGATAATTTCTTTGACATTGTGTGTGTGTGTGAGAGAGAGAGAAAGAGTAAGCGCGGACCCGTATATAATAAAACTCTATTGTCTTAAAAAAGAAGAGTGGATACACAAGATAGATTCAGTAACAAATAATAATAAATTCATTGTTTTTGCGAGCTCAATATACTCAAAGGAATTAAACAATATTTCCACGGAGAAACTTTTGAAACATCTTTTTGTAGAGTTGATGTGTGTATCCTACTATTGGGTTCTGAATGAAAGAAGTAGCAGTTCTTAAGCTTCGGTCGATGCTACAAGGGAGCTCTTAGGCGTGTACGCTGTCGCGTTCGGATCCAAATTCGACACGGTACACCCAGGACAGGGGGAACTTTCGTTTGAACGTATTTTTGTTCCTGCAACTCTCACTTCACTATTTAAACGAAGCTTGGACGTCGCGCAGGTTGGCGCTGGACCAAATGTGTCTTGTGGCATCACAGCTAAATCTTGCGCTATTTTTGTTTTTAACATCTCAATTTCTTTCTCTTGAGATCTGATTAAGCCTAATATAACAGAAAACAATATGATATATACTAGCAACAATCTTCAATGTACACTCCTTTGTTTTTTTGCGATTCTTACTTTTTTCTTTCTAATCATATTATAAAATATTGTAGTAAAGCTTACTTTCTGTTTCTAACCATATTGTATGTATTAAGAAAATATATAATATATACAAAAATATATACTTACTTTCTCGAATTTCTAATTGTCGCTTGACTTCGCCGAGTGCCGAAAAAAGATCAAGTTTTATACGTGTTTCCGCACTCAAACTATTTTCCAAATGCGCGTTTTTGTCTTGTAGCGCATTGAGTGCAGCAACCAAAATTTCAGATTCTCTGTGATTTTCTTGACAACGCGCCGCATCTTTCTCCAGTACATTACACCTGATGTCAATATGAGAAACATATGTTTATGTTTTGATGATTTGAAATTCTTTAAAATTATCTACGGTTAATTTATATACAGTAAAATATAGCACACTTCTTACCTCTCTTCTTTCGATTTAAGTTCACGACGCAGGTTCTTAAGATCCTGTTCCATTTGAGATCTACGATTTTTACACGCATCAGTACATTCTTGTCTAATAAGTGGAGGTGGTGGCGGTGGGATTGCAGAACGTGCCTCCTCGGCAGCCCGTCTTGCCCTACGCTCGGAAACTAAGGACGCCTCACATGCAGTCCGTTGTTTTCTTTCTTCCGCAATTCGTTTTTCTAACGATGACATTGTCTGTTTATCCAGTTGACGCGCTGTCACTAGACCGTGTAATCTAAGATAAAATTTATTTATTTATATTTTACAATCAATGTTTTATTGAGAATACAAGTACTGTTTCAATGATGTTTTAATTGAGAAAAAATATAGTAATGTTGATTTCCAAATCACGTAATTTGTCTGATGCAGATATATATTCAACACGAAACAAACAATATTTATGTACCGTAGACTTTAGGTTATGTTATGTTACATTTACATAAAGGTTTTTGTTCTTTTTTTACCCTAAAACTGAATTCAATGAAAAATATATATAGAGTCGGTTTATCTTCAATTAATTTAATGGACCGATTAAATATCAATTATGGTCGGTCAATTTTAACGGAATAATCAGCCGATTAATTTAATCTGATAAGATGATAAAACCGATTCTTACACTCTCCTCGGAATTAAATCCTTAGTTGTGAAAATAAATAAACAATAAACTTATTACAATAAGAGAGATTAGAACTGTTAGCGCGTATATGATAATTTTAAGTGCGTGTATGCGTACATAAACACAAGCATGGACAGTGCTAAAGAAAAGAGCTTTCGATAAAATATCCTTTTTTCTCTTACAGCCCATTTAAGCCTGATGCAACAAAAAGATTTGAATAGAGTATTAAAAAATATTTTAATTTAATAAAATAACATACTTACTTGCTTTGTAACTGATCGTTATCATGTTGGAGCTGTTGAATATCGCCTTTAGCCTGACGCTCTCCACTGAGTAAGGTATTAATTTGTGATCGTAATTCTTGTTCTAATTGTCGACTTGACTGCAAATCTGATTTCAAGCGTTTTATGTCTGCTTCAAGCCTGCGACACACCAGTAACCTATTTCAATGACAAATTATGCAGAAGAAATTGATGAGATCTATTAAATACACATATACATGTATATAAATAAATAAATATGTATATAGTGCTGTAAATTGACTATTTAAATAACAGAGTACATAAAATATAACAAGTCTTTATAGTGTTAAGAGAATATACATAAAAACATACACACGCGCGCGCGCGCGCACACACACATGTATATAAAACACTAATAATGTTATTACAATTTTCACCAGTGTTTTTGTAGATTTATTAGTAGAATTCCTGCAGTAACTTGTTTCGTGAAAAAAGTGTTTTTCATATCATAATACCTTTGGTAATAATCTTCTTGTTGCTTTTGTTGTTCTGCAGTGATGTCACCTGTGTTTTTAACTTGTCGAGTCTTACGTTCACGTTGGACATTAGTCGACGATGAATCTCGACTTTCCTTCACGTTGTTCCATTTTACTGAACCGTTTGATTGCGATTTTATAGTAGCGTGTCCATAACCTTTGATGGATTTATCCTTTTCTACTTCATTTATGTCAAAATCGTTTACAGATCTATTTTGACATATTTTCAATTAGTACTTTTTACGAAAATATAAAAAAATAAATACATATATAGTTATTCTTATTAATCTAAAATTGACCGTACCCCACTTTTTCAATGATTTGTATATCATTGTGTGATACTGCATTTCCGTTACTGTGTATAAATTTCTTATCACCTTTGTCTGATGGTGAATTATTAGATATACTGTGTTTATTATGCTGTTCTTCTTGCTTTTCGCTCTTGTCTAAAGATTTTCTATGAGTACTTTTAGTAGCACTTTGTGCTTGTGATGTAATTTGGCTATTATTATGTACTCCACCATTTTGTACGTTTGTCTCTACAGAATTATTATGCCCCCCTAAAAAAAGCAAATAACAGTGTCAAAATGTTCAATTAGGATAAAAATCTTTTTATATTAAAAAGAAAAAACAATATTGATACTAAATACAAACTACCTCTGCTTTTTTCAGGGCTTGGATTATATTGTGGACTCAATTTGTGAGTTTGGCTTTTGACATGTTCTATCGATGCGGTAACATGGTGTGTCAGTGTGTGCGCTTGTATTGACATATCTTCTGGCTCCGCAGGCAGTGCTTGTTGCAATAACTGCAGATAGAACTCGTTCTCTTTTGCCACATCTTTCTGTTTCTTCTGTCAAGCAAACATATATCAAGATGTACAAATATTCATCTATGTGAAAAAATATTGACATTTTATACATATATTCTTATAATAAATTAATATAAGTTTGAGCGGGAGACATACCTGCCTCATTCTGTAGCCTATATAGCCTTTAAAACCAAAACCCAATGTAACTACAGGATAGCCAATGCTGCAAAACATGTGCATATAAATTACTTTAAAGATTTGTTTATAAAGGATTTATATTAATCTTATAAAAACAAGATGAAGAACTATACCAATGTGCTGCAAATGGCCGGCAGAGGTCTAGATGAAATGGCATATGACGCAAGTCACGCAACCGCACTGCTGCTTCTATATATAGAAATAGCAACCATAGTGTCACAGTTGGTAGACACACTCCCTTATCTGTACAATATTAAATTTAATTATTCTTCGTTATTCATTTTACAATATATTCTAGTTTCTATAATTGCATATATAATACATAAACAAGAAGTAAAAGATCCTATCTCGGATCGGATAAATATTTAATGTAAAATAGTTTAAACATCTTTGTTTTTCTGTCACATACCTGTGTGCCAAACATATTGCACCCAAACATAAGTGCTGGCAGCAAAAAACAGCCAATGCACAGGGATGAAAAAGAAGCAAATCATGTCTGATGTGAGTGCAATACAAATAAAAAATACAGAGAAGGCCTGAAAAAAATATAATATACTTTTGTATTATTTCCTAACTCCACAATAATTTATTATTATATAATATCAATATTTACCAAGCCTTGATATTTAAAGGAATCGTAAACGCTTCGGAGGAGTAACCAGAACGGCCATAAAAATTCAAAACGGAATTCCAACATGAAGTCTGCCAGAATCACCATGGCCCATATTACAAGAAACTTCAGATAAAGCAAAGTACTGTAACAAATATCATTGTTATTAATGCATTAAAAAATTGCTACTTGCCAAATTACATTTCAAGAGAATTATCTCTCCATATCGCATGTTTTATCTATAAGCAGTTCTTTCTTTTTCTTAATCTTTGTTTTTATTCAGCGTAATATCAAACAAATGATTAGATAGCAAAGCGCATAAAGTACAAAAAGGTATACAGTTGAAAAACACAAGAAGCTTACATAAGACTACAATCTTTTGAAATAAGGAAAAAAAAAAGAATCTAAGAAGAATCAGTTGACTATCGAGTCTGTTCCATCTTGTTATTGTAATACTTGGCTGCAAATATGTAGCACATGCAGCATTCAAGTATGGTGATATATATGTATATATAAGGAGATGCGAGATGGCACATCGGAATTGAAAGCTAGAGAAAGACAGAGAGAAAAATGATGAAAACATGAACGTTTACAATATGTGTGTATCGGTGTTCAGTCTGGACACACATAAGTGTCAAGCGGAACCGGGAATCGCGCCGATCGTGTCAATTCGGCGTCGTGATGCTCGGTTGAACGCGTGACGTCTGTGCTGCGACCCGACTCGCGGTCGCGGCGGGATTTTGGTTATTTTTTTTTTTTTCGCGAGTAATGGCTAACATTTCCTCTCGTGATGCACAGAAATATATACACTCGCATATGGCGGGCGCGAAAATTTACCTTCCGTAGATTCCCTCGGCGAGCTTGTTGCGTTTCAAGGGCCTCCGAAGCTTACCGCACTCGACATTTCTCCTCTTCATATTCCTCGACACTTTCACCACCAAGCAAAGCGACGTTACTCGCGGCGCGCTACGGTAACAAAAAAACTCAGCCGCGGCGGCTAGCAAGCGGCGGGTATACTTCTCGTCTGGCGCGGAATATACACGTTCGCGTACGAAAAAACTCGGGCTCTCTCTCGCGCGCGCGACTTCTATCAGTCTCTTTTGTTGTCATTCGCCTCTAGACAGAATAACAGATTCGAGGTCTCACGGCGGTTTACCAAGCAGCTGATTGGTCCATCGCGGGACATGGCGCTTATAATAAGCGACGAGGAATCACCTGCCGTTTATTAATTGCGCGATGCAGCGCGACGTGCCGCACACGCGTTCGAGACGGCCAATGTCGTTTCATGAAAATCGCAAAATTGTTATTCTCGCTAAATCGTGCGACAATTCGCTTTCCGATAGCTGATTTCTCTTTATCATATACACTCTCTTTCTCTCTTTTCTTATTCGATCCTTTCGTTCTCTCTTGCACGCACGATTTTACATCTACGATTTCGGGGTCTCTACGAGCCTTTATCGATCGTAGATGTCACCCGACCGCGCTATGGTCGGTCCATCGGCTTGTTTCGCGCGCGTTACCAGCGCCGCCGCTGGCAACACGCGTCGTCGTTCTTCCCGTCTTTTTTTTTCTTTTGCCGCGCTCTTTTTTTCATCGGCCACATGTGTTGCTGAGACCGCGTTCCGATATTCACTGTCGGTACTGAAAATCCATAGCACGTGTGACGTCAAGTATAGATCTTTAGTACTGGCAGTGCATATCGGAACGCAGCTCGATAGTGTTTCTTGTACAATACATATATATACAATCGTCTGCAGCTGCGCAAAAACCGGTAGAGTATTGTATGCGTATCTTTGTATATATCGAGAGGTTCCGCGAAGACTATCAGACGGAGGTTATCTCGAAGACGTGTCTTCCACATATTTGTCAGATTAACGCAAACTTGTGGACGCAATTTCCAAACGAACGATAGTTGGAACAATAACAATAAACTGTGATTGCAAAAATGGAAAACGAAAGGTACTCATCTTACAATCGTAAATTAAAGATGTATTTGGCGCCAAGCATTCTTCTGACTATCATTTTTGCCTTTGCCGTATACAAAGCAACGAAAGACAGCATTGTAACGTCGTTAGTGACTACGTGTTTCATTACGTCTGTATTTCTTGTGAGTTTTCTGTGTTGCGACGCGGTGCTGCGTCTGTGTCACACACTGATCTTGCTCGTGGATCAACAGTCCGGAGAAAGTTTCTCAGCAATGAGTTACATCTTTCACCTGAACATTGCATCTATAGGAGTTGGTGTCATCAGTGTGATTATATTTCTGGGACTAATAATTATTGTCCGGGAAAATCCATTTAATTACATCTGGCAATTTGGACCTTACATAAATATCCCATTGATGATATTTTCTTTCTGTTTGCTAAGGATGACAAACTTGGCTAAGTGGCAATCATGTTCTCTTGCTGCCATGAAAGGACTAGATTATGGTACAGGTATGGCGTACAGTTACTATTATGGGTATCTACGATTGGTTCTACCATCTACAGGAACCAGAGACAGCAAAAGCATCAATGAAAAAATTGAAAATTTTGAGGACAATCATAATGTTAATTTTACTGTTCACAAATTATTTATTTTGATATCATCTTCCGGATATATCCCACCAGATTTAAAAGAAGCTTCTCAGTGGATGGAGAGTGCAAGTGAGCTAGAAGAAGAAACACGCAATAGAGCTGGTAATATAGGTAGAAAATATCGCAACAATGTTTACAAGATATATCCTGGTGGATTAAAACCAGGCGTTAAACCCTATTATGTAGTGGCAGAGGGTGCCTCACCTTTACTAACATTTCATGAAGTAATACAACATAATCATCCAGAATCTGAACTATTTAAGAGATATAAAACTGAGATTATCAAGACATTTTATGAAAAGTTACAAAATATTTTGCAAAGTAATCCAGATACTAGAGACTTATGCGAATTAATTTACTATAATGATTATGACTCTAGTGGAGTAAAAGTTAATGTTGGAGAATTAATTTTAGAAAGAATATATAAACTTCGGAGCTCTTAAATACAACAAAAATAAAAAATTGTATGTGTTAACAAATTCTATCACACTGTACAATATTACATCTTTGTTACCAATGTAATTTTACATGTATAGATATTTATCAGAAGCATTTTATACAGTATTGTTCAGTACAGTAAGTGATTATTGTAAGAACACAAGAGTGTGTATATATATATATGTATAAGTGATTTAAAGTTTATATAAATTTATATCACGATTTTATGCTTTATGTTATTTTGTAATTGTTTATGTTATAAACAATTACAAAATATATATAAACAAAGAAAACATTATATTTTATATTTTTATACTACTAGAAAATATTGTAACAAAAACTTTTTATATTGATATTGTCTCTATTTTCATTTATATATGTATAAGAACTTTATCTTCTCGAAATGAAGAAAAACTTTTATTATACATACATTGTTTTTTAAGCTTCTTTTTTGTGCCTATTTTATGCTTTCTAAAACTTTGTACAACAAGAAAGTAAAATATATGTATACGTATAAAATGTATCATTTATTCACATATACAAATTTCTTAAGAAACATTACAAAGTATTGTAATTCATTCTCATATCATGGGAAGACGTTTTAACTCTTTTTAAAGCGTGCTTTAACGAAAAAGCTCGCTATGTGCGGCGTCCGCAACTGACAATTACGATTTTCATGTCGAATATATACGTCGTCCGTAACAGAGAAATTTTCTGACGACGAATATATTTGCCGTCCGCACAAAAAGTTGAAAAAGTTAAAGACTGTTCACATGATTATTTTTTATGAGCATTTATATATGTATAAATGTACGTGTTTCTTTAATTAAGAATCAATATTTAAATTTTTACTATTTGCGTATAATTCATATGAAAATAAGAAGTCGCTTATCGATGAACATCATCTCTTAAGGAAACTTGTAATTCTTAATAGAATCACTGGCTAAAGGCACACGATTACAAAGTTTCAACCACGTGCTTTCAATTGTTGTAGAAGTGATCTACAACATTTTCAAATATATGGCTGCAAACATGTAGAGACCGTCACATGAACACAAGAGATTTGTTTTGTTCACATGTCCATTTCGAATTGCTCTGGAGATTCCTCGATCACCAAATTGTCTGTAATGTCACAAACGTGAGAAAATCGCTAATATGCATAAATAGTAAATTATTAAAATATATATATATGTATTATCACACACACACACACACACTTAACCGACTGGCCAAAACTTAGACGCTTTGCCAGCAGCAGCTATTTACTGAAAACTTATTAATCAGCTTAGTAACTACTATTAATAGCGTATCAATAATGAAATTTCTATGTGGTGACTTCATTTTCTAACCGGTTGATGAAGTATTTCTATAAATTAAACTGACCTTTATCAGCAGTTTTAGAAGTATTTCTCGTGATAGTTGGTGTGGTGCCCTTTAACAATTCTGGCGGTATGGTCAGCGTATTTCGTGGCGGAGTTCGCGATATAGGAGAGTTCCGCAAATTCATCAGAAATGCACGTTCGTATACGATACGAGTTCCTGCATAAAGTATAAAAGATTTTATCATCTACACTTATTATTTATATAAGTTGTAGATATAATGCACGATGTAAAAAATAGTAGAACAAAATGCTGTTACAAATGCTTTTTCTCTCAGGAGAAGAAAAATAGACTTCACCTGAGAAAAAAAAACAGTAAAACAAATAAAGATAAAAAACTAAAAAAAGAAGCAGGGTAATATAATAACATGCAGAACTATACAATATACAAGAATCAGATCCGACAGCTATAAAACGGCCACATATACGTGTGATATCTATTTTTACACAAATGTATTTCTGTACTAACACCTACCTAACGTGAAAGGGGTGCAAGAATCGGCGAGATTCCCAGAATAAGAGATTCGTATAATGAAAGTAAAGAAATATGAAACAAACTTCAACTATTGTTGAACCTCAATAATAAGAATTTCTTGCGGTACATTTTTTCTACTTAAAAAATTACAATATAACGTAAATACAAATAATATAATCGAAAACAAATCACGTTGCACAATGCGCTCGCTTGCAAATTACGTAGCTTGTTATTGTTTACCCCGTTCAGGTATTATGCGATTGAACGGTAGATTTGCAATGCGTTTGTCGTGAGGAATATCGGCTGCCGTGCGTGCGATAAAGCTAAAGTTATCTCGAAGGCCTTCGTCGTTTTCGCACTTGTTTTTCGAAGCGCCGTGACTTTTAGCGCGTCGTGGCCAGCGTGGCGCAGCGATAAAAGTATTATGCGTCACCGATTATACATCGGATGATGTTGGGCTGGACACATACGCTCACAAACATTAATTCGACCTTGGCCGTTTTGCCAGATCGGTCAGAAATTGTGTGTAAAGCGTTTATGAAAGTGTTACGAAATAAGCGTAACCCAATCTATTGATATTCTATATACAAAAGAGACAAAATATATTATCAATTCGAAACTCGTACGTGTGTGATTAATTTTTAACGCGAAGATACTTTGTTCGATAAAACTTAATTGTAAAAAATGATAAAGCAAGTAGAGACACAAAAAAATGTTGCTGACATTTTAAAAACTAAATGTTCTGCGTTTTTTCCTTTTGCGTATGTATTACATACATATATAACTTGTTTACTCGACTCGCCTTTTCTCAATTCCCTTCTCTCTCTTCCTTTCGATGACGCAAAGAAAAAAATAAAGCGCGATAGAGGCTATCCTTTTATGTGACTGAAACGCAATAGTTTACACCGCGTATTATTTGTAGATTAAATTTGTCTCGTAAGTCCACGTTACGTTAGACAATCAAAAAAGTTTTAGATATAATTAAACTTAATTCAAAAAGTAAATTAATCAAGTGAGATTCGTCTCTTTTGAAATAATTGTTTCGTTAAAAACAATTAAGTTTTCCCGTTTCTCTCTTGCTTCTATTTTTATTTCTCATACCTCTCGAGAAGGTGTGCGTAAAAAAAGCAAACTTTATCAAACAATATCTGTAATACAAAAGAATCATTATCGCAAACAATATCTGTAGTACTGAAAAATCATTATCGCATGTGCAAACGTTATCGTGGCGCGATAAAAATGAAAGATTGCTGTAGTTATACAAATATGAAATGTATACAACGCAAAACATTTTCAACAAGTTTCACGCACACACAAAAAATTTATACAAATTCCAAAGTATGTGCAATTATATAATCGTTTGTTATCGAATAAAATGCGTGTGCGCGCGACAAGAAAAATGAATAATCATATATCGCGCCAGACTTGAGACGCATTAATGGCGCGTAAATAATAACGTCCTTGATGACGATTTGCACGTGTGCATTTGTTTATCGAGGCCAAACCGACACCAAACAGTATCAACAATAATATTTCACATGTCTCGTCTTTTACTCATCCATTGAAAGCAGATGTGCGACAATTTGTTAATCACATGTTTTTTTTTTTACCAAAGATATTTGCCGTCTCCTATCTTAATTTTTCCAAAAAACAATATACATGTATATTCAAAAAGATTAATAATTATGAATCAAAATGTTTTGGAATATGAAGTAAAGAACTATTTTCCGTACTCGAATGCACGCCATGCTACCAACAAGTAGCATTACTTTATTTCAAGTTTATCTAAATTTATGGATTAAAGTGCTAAGATATTGCAACGACAGTTTTTTTTCATGATCATGCGTAGAAAATGTGCGCAGAGTTAATTACTAGGAAGCACATTGCGGTTATTCCAACAGCTTCACTAAAGCATCAGAAAAGTTAAAATGTGGAAAAAAAAAATTGATAAGAGCTAGAAAGAGAGAAAGAGAATAGAAACACACACGCAAAAAGCGATTACACTGACCTCCCGGTGTCGTGGAATAAAGCGTTCCTCCAGGAGTGGACGAATAATCAGCTGGAAGCTGATTGGGATCGTGGATGACGATCCTCTTGGATGGTATACTCTGACTCTGAGTAGCCTGTCTGGCGATGGGAGATGCTGACATTGTGGTCTTTTTTTTATATTTTTCGCGTCAATTCAAGAGAAGAAATCGACTTTCTTCGCGCGTTTTTGTTCCCCCTAACTAAGTTCTACCAAAAACAAGGTGTGATGCGTTGCTCGTGGCTTCTCCACCCGTTAATAGGGAATAAGTGGCACCTGCTTCGCGTGACGCAAAATAGAAATGTGCACGCGTGTGTGTACACGTTCAGATCGACTGGGTTTCTTTTGGGTCGGCAGAATCGACTAATTCACACACGATCTAAAATAAAAGTTATGTGATCGCGATAACGCCGTCGCACTCAGCGAAACATAACCTAAATTTAACCCCGCTTATAATCCTACAAGATAATGCAAGATACAAGCTAGAGATTAAATTGCAATCTTACGCAAAGTGTAAGAAAACGACGAATCAGCATTCGCTTATATAAATCCATCCACCTCTCTCGTCAGCATTTCGGTGGGGGTAACAGCCGAGAGAAGAATCGCCGCGAGAAATGGAGAAGTGAAGTTGCTTCAGAGATAGAAGAGTCTCGAGAGCGCAGTTTTCTCGTTTCGTCCACGAGCGCCGCGACGTTCACGTTTCGCACATGTGAACTACACAAACCAACCGATAAAGAATATTATCTTTCAAATTAAATTGATTCTATTCCGTGCTGCGTGCGCGAATTGATTCGATATATATATATATCGAGAATCGAAATATCGCGCGCGCTTCGATATGCTCGGATTGGCGGGCAATCGTGGCGGACGCGCGACGCGTGGACATCGCGGCGCTTGTGTACGGTGACAGTTAAAACGTATCCGTGGCCGGTCATTCTTTCTGTGGCTACGTAGTTCAAAAGGACGAAAACAGTTCTCTGGGGCTGCTCTATAGTAAAATCAACAATTGCCAAACAATCCTAAACGCCGCTAATGATAAAGGCGTGTATGTATGGAATTTGGTGTACACCTGACCGGCGCTAAATCATATGGCAGAGGCGGAAAAAAAGTTTGATTCCGTGCGTTCGCACAATTAACAACTGACTACTGTCGCGAAAAAACGAAACGTGAAAGAACTTTTCTCTTGGCGAAACGATTCAACGCTAATCGGTGTACGCGCAAAAATTTACGCTTTGAGAGCGCGACGGTAAAGTCCGCAATACGCGTAAATGCGCGCGGCGCATCGGACAGAAGCGCCGCAGAAACGTGGAACGAGCTGGCCATGTGACAGGCGGCCGGCCAATCAGCTGTTTGGCTTTGTCGTGCCGCCAAGCTCATTTCCAGTCCGTGTGCACGCGGAAAGCTGCGAGCACCGAGTGGCTACAGGTAGAATCGCGATTAGTCTGGGTTTGTGCGAATTATGCGCGGCTGATCGCGATCGAGAGAACACCAAATCGCCACAGCTGACAAATCGAGGCGTCCGCTCGTCACGCGTCACCCCGCAAATCGCCGCCGTAAATGCTTTTATATGCGGAGTCGCCATTTTGGTGATACGGCGAGCCGACGATATTTGAGGCAAAGTGGGTAGCCCTATGATCGTTTTATTTTTCCCGTGTGCGCGAGCTAACCGCGGAATCCACGCCAGCCGATCGACGGCCTAACAACGCCCTGGACATGACACAACAAAATAAAACCATGAACTTCGTGATACACGACGCCAACGGTGAGTGGGATCCACGATGCGCGCCAACGCGCAGTCGGTACAACCACGCGTAACCCTCGCCGCGTTTTCCACTTTTCCATTTTCCCGTTCGACGGCCCTCCTAAATGCTTCCCGTCGTGGCGCACACCGACCGCGAACGATCCCTCGCCCTTTCTGCTCCGCCAAAATCATGACTTCCCGTGCGAGAATTCGCGCACGCTTTCTCTCTCGATCCGGGGTTTTGTCGGTGGCAAAAACAGTCTTGCTGCCTTGTCTCTTGATGCTCTGCCACCTGATCGCATTCCTTGTTTTTCGGTTTTGTCACATTTCGACTTTGTTGCGATGCACACAGCTATTTCCTTGATTCGCGAACAGGATACACTTTTTTTGTCCCATCCAAGAACTAGACTATTTTGTATTCTGTCGAAACTGTTTTTCTTTTTGTAACATTTGAGTTCTGTTTCGTGAAATGTGGCATTAATACACTTGCAGGATACTGTTTGTTAGTCTTACACAAAATTGTACAAATTTGTTATGCCTGTGTGTATATTTACAAGTTCATTTCTCTTAAAGTCTTGTATCTTAGACAAGTGTCTTTCTGATTTCACATTTTCTATGATGTCTTATGCGCAGACACAAGAAACATGTTTCTTTTTTATCTCCACATATAGTGTAGACTTCTAAGACTTGAGTTCTATTAAATACTTTGTACAAACTTACAATGTCTCTATCATAAGAGTAAATTTTTCCTTATAACTAATCATTTCTAGACATTTGTTTTCTGCATAAGAAATTTATAATTTTATATCAACTATATGATTATGTGCATATAAACATACATATATAATTACATTAGTTGTCAGAAGAAAATTTATAAAAACATTTAATATGAATTAAACATTGTTTACATACAGTAATATGAAACTGTTTTAAACACATAGATTTATTTTCTCTATTGAATAATCAGTTTTATGCTATTTACAATAATGTTTTTTTTGGTTTTTGGATAATTTTGTAATTTAATAAGTGCAAATAAAGAATTGAATATTTAATGCATGAAAATTGTAATGTTATAGATATGTAAATAAATATTTTTAAAACATGTTGATTAGAAGAAGTGAATATTCTGTAACATCTTATGAAAAGTATAAGTAAATTATTTGTTATGTTATTTATTGCAGGGCATCAACAGTTGATTAAATTAGTGCAGAGTGCACCTAATAAAGCATTAGGTGGTATTGTTAGCACAACAAATACAGGTGGCCTTAAAGTGTTTAAAGCTCCCAATCAAGAAGCACAGGTAAAATTTTAATTTTATAAGTTATCTATACACACATTTACTTTTATATATACATATATGTACATATGTATATAGTATGAATACACATATCTATAGAAATTGTAATAACATGATTGTTAGAATAAAAGACATGTACATATATATCATATACTTCCCTGTAAGTGTATTTCTAAATAGATATGAAAAAGAGTGTCTTTTATTTCTAATATAACTTAATGTAGTTATATAAAATTTGCTGTAATGTACATAATTACAGCAAATACTATGTACATATCGTTACAATTAGGTTTTACCATCAAATGCCCAAGTTCTGCGAACTATCAGTCTACAGAGCTCATCTACACCTGGCCAGAGTAAGTTTCATGTAAAAGTCACTTTTACAATTTTTTACAAAGAATTACATTTTTTTTTTTTTTTTTTATTGTATTCTTCTATAATTACAGGACTGGTAACAATACCTTTGCAAGCTGCTAAAATGACTACACCAAAAACAGGAGAACCAGTAATAACAAAAACAATACAGCTGACTCCTACACAAGTGGTAACTCTACAATACTTTATGACAAAATCTAACGAAAAAAATTACATTTCGCAGCAACTTGATTTGAAATGTAATAAATTTTTGTATAGACTGACATAAAACAAGCTATTGTCTCGCAACAACAGCCGCAGCAACAGCAGATACAGCAGGACGAGCAACAACAGTCTAATAATTCTCAAACCAGCAAGGATAACAATGGCAAACCTTTTATCAGTCCAATACTCGATCACAGCGGATCCAGAAAAAGGCAAGACGCTGAAACCGGCGACTTCGTGCCTGAGTAATATGAGTTTTCATACAATGTGCGAGCTATAGTACAATGTCAATTTCTACTGTTCTTATGTATTACAGTAAACGAAGGAAAACGGAAAAGATCGGCAAGGGATTAAGACATTTTTCGATGAAAGTCTGCGAGAAAGTGAAAAAGAAAGGCACCACTTCTTACAATGAAGTGGCTGACGAACTCGTTGGCGAATTTACCACTGCTCACATGAATTCTTTGACAGATCAGGTACATATCGTGCTCCGTGATATCCGTACAATTGAAAAAATAACATTTTTATTTTGATTGTTGTAATTCAATTAAATTTGCACACTTAAATACGAATTTTTTTTTAGCAATACGATCAGAAAAATATCAGAAGGCGTGTATATGACGCCTTGAATGTTTTAATGGCAATGAATATTATTTCCAAAGAGAGGAAAGAAATTCGATGGCTCGGATTGCCAACTAATTCGTTGCAGGAATGCGTGGCATTGGAAAAAGATAAGAAGAAAAAGATCGAAAGAATCAAAGCCAAAACGCAGCAGCTGCATCAACTCATCCTTTCTCACATTTCTTTTAAGAACTTAGTCGAACGTAATCGTTTAAACGAGAGTCTTCGCGGGCCACCAAAGCCGAATTCTGCCATACAGCTGCCATTCCTTATTGTGAATACCAGTAAAAAGACTGTCATAGATTGCAGCATTTCGAATGACAAGTACATGTTGCACATCTTAGAAACTAGTAATTAATCAATAGTACAGATAAGAATTATTTCCAGTTATCTTTTTTTTTTTTTACAGAACTGAGTACCTGTTTAATTTTAACGATAAGTTTGAAATTCACGACGATATTGGAGTTTTGAAGCAAATGGGTCTAGCTTTCGGTAAAACATTGATTTCATCTTTTTTTTTCTTTTTTTGTAAACAAGTTATTCTTTTTTATTTCTCTCTCGATAAGTGTGTATTATATAAAAAGATATACAAATATTTTTATAAAATGTTTTCTTTAGGGTTAGAAAAAGGGGAATGCACCGAAGAAAATCTACAGAAGGCAAAGCTAATGGTTCCAAAATCGCTGGAAAAATATGTGGAACGTACGTTTGTCTGTTGTGTCCTGTAAGTGTGTGCAGACTTTTAGTCAGCTTGTCTAAGAAGCCGACAATTGTTGTAGAAATGGCATCAGGAGACCTTGAAAAGTTTATTCCAATAACTATTCCGGGTCCGAGTACATCGATGGACGATTTAGATATAAAATTGGAGGGTTCACGGCCGCCGTCGTCATCACACACTTCATTGTCGGAGGATCCTTTATCGCCACAATATTACTCAGAAGATGACGACGATGAGGAAGAGAGCGATCAAGACGATCAAGCCGATAGTGATCTCGAAGTTAAGTAGCACCCCGAATAACTTCAAAGGCTAGACTCAGGGTTTGTATAAATTCTTTTGTTATTCTCAATATGTTGTTTATAATTTTTTTTAAAAACAGAATTGTTCTTCAATATGTTTTCTGATGAATTTTTCAGGATACTCGCCACTATCATCAGCGATGTTAACATTAATAATATTGCCGCTGTTGCCAACGCGTTGTCTTTACCCCCGGTCGCCAGTTTTTAACATGCATCGAGCAAAGATGTAGAGTTAATGCACGAGTAATTATCACAGAAACGGAGAACAAATCCGTCGAAGAAATAAGAATGATCAAAAAAGGAAAATTTATATTGATTGGGGCCAAGGAGAAAACTTTTAGCAAGTAATTGGGCCGAGAAAGTTGTTGGCAAATCTAAGAGTGGCTCTTTTTTTCGCATCAAGTAATGAAACTAGACACGATGCACGCGTGTAGAGTGAACAGAGTAAAAAAACAAAAAAGAAAAAAAAACGAAATAGCAAGATGACTGAGAACACAATGGGGTGCTATATTTTAATTGTGCATCGTCATACGAGTTTATATGATTAGCGTCTATGTACTATAAATTATAATCTCTCTTACAACACAGTATATCAATATTATGTGTAATGACCATTACTCATTTTCTTATGGCACGTTTATAATAACAAACTGTCTGTGGTAAGCAGTAAAGCGACAAACAATAGATGCAGGCACACATCTGACTCGAATTAAAAATACAAATAAATTGTAATGATGTTATAATATGAAGTTTGTAGTTTGTGAGTTAGTTTCTCGAGGAGAAAGGTTAAAAGTATTGAGTTGTTCGGAAAAAACTAGCAATTTTTAATTAATTATATGACTGCAATCTTATGAAAGTTATTATGATCATGAAAATTGTCACAATCTACCTGCAAAGATAACATCGAAACGTTAATCAAACATAATCAGCATTAAACAACGCAGAAGTATTGTACTTGAGAGTTTGCGAAATTATTGCTTTTAATTTTTCTGCTACAAATAACAGCGAAATTTCCAAATAACTTAATACTAAATAATATTATATAAGCAAGAGTTTGCAGTAGTTTTATGCAGCAAACTCCAAAAAAAAACATTTTTCATATCGCTATTACACAATTAAAGACTGCATTTAGCAGGAAAAAATTATTTTTTGTTAAACAATTTTTTTATTTTGGAAGCGGAAGACAGTCCAATGAGTTGGCCTAGACCAGCCGAGTTTGAATCTCGCCGCCTCACTTCTCGATGGTTCGGTGTCCATCTTATCAAAAATTGCAAGTCCACGAGAAAGAGAATTATAGAACAATCGGCAAAGATAACGTGTGCCAAATAGCATTAAATACTGGTGTAAAGAATTAAAGGCACATAAATCAGAAAAAAAACAAATTTTTTTATTTTCTTTAAATATTTTAAATATAGAAATAGAAAAATATATCAAGTACAAGTTATTACAAAAAGTTTGGTGGCATTTCAAGTCTAGTAATTGAGTTCCGAGCACAAGCAGGCAAGTAACAATTTAATCTGAACAAAAAACAAGAGCGCTCAATAAAATTTTGGAAACTGAGTGTTAACTCAGTCTTGTGATTTAGAACTGTTTTCTGTTGAACGCAAATGATACAAATACATAAATGTTCATAGGTTCATTATTATATTACATTTATTAGCATCTTGGATTTACAAAAACAAAAGTTTCATTACTCCTAGATTAATTACTCAGTCTGTGTACAATATGTAATTGACTTCTCTCTAAAATATTTTAAAATCCCTTTTCACTCCAAGTCATCATCGTCATACAGATCATCAAAGTCTGAAACAAAGGCCATTATTTCATTGAATCATAATTTTAACAATAACTATATATTGTTAATTTGAACTATTTATAGATAAAACAAACTATCTTGATCTTTTGAAATTTGTGTAGAAATTGTTATTATACTATTAAACAATAAAAAGAGTAATATTTAGTATACCATTGAAAAAATGTGTATGACACCGTTTGTTCCTGACTTTATTCTCAAATAGAGATATTCGGTTTAGAGAGAAACTAGGTGATCCCTGGTTAGGATAGGATTTTGTAAAAGAAAATATCTTTCTCTTTTTACATCCGGATGATATTTTAGTATTACTACTACTATTAGTACTTTCACTATTGGTAGATTCACTTTCGCTACTTGCAATACTTTCGTTTTTGCTATTTTCGTTATTTTCATTATTGTTATTTTCACTATTTTCGTTATTGTTATTTTCACGATTTTCATCATTGTTATTAGAAAAAAAATTTTCCTGCTCTTCTATGGAATCGCATACACCTGCGAATGTATTGTAATTTACCTATAAAAAAAAGGAAACTAATAATATTTTATATACCATTAAAGAATTCTGCGTGGACAGCTTTCTCACTTGCTGTAAGATCCACTAATAATCTACTACCTCCAACCTAAAATCAATACAATATGTAAACATCTTATATTGACATAAGAGCGCTGATATTTATAAAGAGATCTTGATTCTTCTATCTAACATTGCTTTAAATTCCCATCCTCGGACAATTTATAACCAATGAAACGGTCCGTATACAGTATCACAAAATAAATTTACAATTTTAAATCGAACTGTGAATAACAGTCCACAATTCTATCAAATAAACAATCTCTAGTAACTATGTCATTATCACGATCTGCATATTTTATTTTCTACTGTTATAAAAAGAACAAAATCTGGTTCTAACTTGTATTACCTCTTCCAATTCAACATAAGGCCCAGCTCCTTCGGGAAACATTTCATCAGCTACAAGCGTTGGCTTCATGATGAAATTGATAATAATTTGCTTCTACACTTGACGTTTATTTGTGAATTTTGTTGTCACGAATAAATATACAAAATACAGCCTAAATGGTAGCCTTGTAGGTAGTTGGCGCGACTCAAGGTTATTCTGATAAACAAAACTAAATATCTCTTGTAGCGTCGTGGCTGAGCAGTCTAATGCGCACGCTTGTAACTGTAGTATCAGTCAGGTCAGGTGCGCCAACTGAAAGGCATTAAAATCTCCCAAGTGAGCTTCTCATACATGAATATGTGCAAAACAAGATGTGAAGACTTGATTGTCACACGATTGCGAATAAGAAAAACGGAGAAGACAAAAAAAAAAGACGATAGTGCCGCCTCTATCGTTATCTCTCAAGTATATATGCGATTGAAATCTTTACTCGATGAACAAGATCTTGAAAAGCAACCCTAAAATTAAAATCTATTATTTTTCATGTAATATTTATTGAAATAGTAAATCATACTTTTGCATACAAAGATTAGGCTTCTGATTCATACGATATTTCATGAAGAAACGATAAACTGTATTAGCGGTTTTTTTAAATATTTACATAATAAACATAGAGGAAAGGGAAAAATGGATAGCTTTACTTTTAAAATGTACAATTTCACAAACAGAGTAACAATAAATATGAAATAAAATGTTTTCAATTAAGTTCAATTTTATATTTTGCATATTTTTAAACAATCTGAATTACTGTAATAACATTTTTAGGATATTATTTTTAAGTAAGAGCGAGATATGAATGGATAGATAATTTCTGATTAAAGATACTGCTAATGGAATGCGAAAATAGCGCACAGATCCACATATTTATTTTTCACTATATCGTGCTTTGTCTAATTAATCTTATTTAACTTTATGTTTACACCTTGTTAAAAGCAGCGATATCTACACTTTGCACATACTTTTCGAGATCTTGGATCTGCTCTGTTAACCAATCTACCGATACTTTCTCGTCTTCTACGACACAAGAAATTTGAAGCTTGTGAATTCCAAAGGCGAGCGGCACGAGTTTTGCTGTAAAACAAACAATAGTTGATAGTCTTATTTTATTATTTTGTATATACTTAGTATTAAATAACTAGAAGCAAGTTCTATTAGAGAATTCCAGCACTTTTCAGATAAGTTTTAGACATCAAAACGACATATTAAACACGACAAACTTACATGCACCCCATAGAAGACCATCGATCTCGATCTTTCTAACTGCAGCTTCCATTTCCTCCATATTTGTCTCGTCATCCCACGGCTTTACATCCAAAATAATACTTGATTTTGCAATTACAGCAGGTTCTATAAAGTATAAGACAATTAGCAATAATATAATTAAGAGATTTACTGAATCGTATTACATACTTTTGGATTTTTTAGCTGCGTACGCGGCAAGTCGTTCTTCCCTTATCTTAGCTGCTTCCGCGTCCTCTCCCTATCGAATCAAATGCAGTAAGAATTTTCATCGAAGATAATAATTTATAAAATAGGTGGATCAGTAATTTGTGAAAGAAGACTGTACGTTAATCTACACATGATAAAAAAGAGGCTAAATATCATGAATTTTATGGGAATATCTGGTGTATATGTTAAATAATAAAATTTCAATCGGACACGTTTTCTTCTTACTTAAATGTAGAAACTTGTACGTTTTAATTTACAACATTTGTGTACGCTAACGTATATAGTGTTAAAGCCGTCTGTGTAAAAAGTATGTGTCATGCGAAAGAAAAATTTAAATATTCGCGTTAAAACAAAGAGACCAATCAAAACCGTTCCTTTATTTACGCTCACTTGCCTCTGAATCTGACCCAAATAAATCAAGATCGTCATCATCACTATCCTTTAGCCTACTCTCCTTCCCTTGTTTGAAATCTTCCTCATTTAATGGATCAGCAGGACAGCTATTTACTGCTGAGTATGGTATACGTCTTTCGATAACGTCTATACGATCTTCCAATGATTCGAGATTCTTTACATGTTTCTTCAACTTTTCAAGAGAACGTTTCAGACCTTGAACGACTATTTAGAAAGATTTTTCTTTTTTTAAAAAAAATAATTATGCATGTTTGATACATATGTATTTCTTTGTCATTATTTACAATTTTTTAAGATGATATATCGGTTTAATGAAAAATTATGTGAGTTATTATGCTTTTATGTTAACTTACTCTTTTGTGATATTAAATAGACATTATATTTTTAATATCCAAACACATAAGATTAATACTAAGCATAGAAAATTAATAAAATATACATACGATTTCGCAGATCCTGGTTTTCCTTCTCAAGTTGGACAATACGAGGTGTGACATCCTGATCAGCATTATGAGCAAGCACTGCAATATCGTCCATCTGAAAATTTGTAATACAATTCCAGTATTTTAGAGCTACTTTTTACTTCTCGTAAAAAGTAAGCAAATACATATAATAACAAATAAATGTTTTCTATTAAAAAAAACCACGTAACATTTATGATATATATAATGTCTATATTTCATTATTGTAATTTATATAAAATTTTCCGAGTGTAATTCTTTCTCATTTAAGTCACAGCATCAATATCTTACATCGTGAAAATGTTTACGAAGCAAAGATAGGTGACGTGATAGAGATTTATTATAGTAATATTGTTAAATTAGTAATAAGCAGATATGAAAATTATATGTATTATGCGAAGGATAAGGAACAAGGAGAGTGCAGTACTCACACACTGTAAGGATTGTTTAATATGCTGACGAGCCTTGGCGACCTCATTGGCTAAACTTCCAACAACAGGTAAAATTGGACTAGTGTTGGACTGTTGAGTTCCCTGTATCCACCAAGATTGAAGATAAGCTCAAACTATTACTTCAAATTTACCACATGTCATCTCCATTTTTAACTAGCTACTTGAATACTTGATACAGCAAAATACTAAATTAAACGATGTCAGTAGCGAAAAATCATCAATTCTTCTCGTGCACTTTACATTGAAACAAATTGGTTCGTTTACATGTCATTTAAAATATCATATAGCGTAGATCGATAGTGTTCGGTAATGAACATGTAAAAAAGACCTAGGTCGTTTCGGGATAAATTGCGCATGAGACAAAACTTCATAATTTCTCGCTTTTAACGTTATCATTCAATATGGCTGTAACGAGTATTCAAGTCTAATAAGTCTTGATAATAAAATATGTAATATACTATAATCCGACATATTAAAATGTGTTTTATTTCTTCAAGATAATCCATTCAATTTTTGTATAATAATAAAGTAACAAAAGTATATATATTTTTATATACATAAAAAATGTAAATACTAATTCTCTCTTTCTTTTTTATTTTGTTAATAAAAAGATATTAAAATAGTATTTTTTTAATATCGTGAATAGACGTGTGAGTGTGTGTGTGGGAATAAAAACTTCGAATTAATTTCTATGGAGATAGACATGTGTGTTAGACATAGCAAAGAAGAAATATAATACACATTGTATGTTTAACACATAAAAATGATAGTGTACTACAGAAATCAACAGATTGCATACATATTTACAAATTAGTTGAAATAATTATATCTTTTTAAAAAGAAAAAGAATTAAGCAATTAATTGTAAAAATAAACATGCAGTTAAATTTATTGCAAACAAAACCAAAAACCAACAAACAATATCTACCAATCTACGGAAAAAGCAAAATCTTGTCCCAAGTGTACAGAAGTGATGATTCGTACGTCAGTAAAGTTGTCATTAAAAGATTTAATTGCGAAATAAAAAATTAAGATAAAACAAGGGAATAAGTACCACTCATTTAAACAAATGTAATTAAACAAACATAATACACAATTATCTTGCTACAACAGCGTGGTAAAATAAAAGTTATCAGTGCTGATAATACAAAATTATCTTTAGGAAAGGATACACATTGAATAGCAATCGGTAAGGGATTGCGTTGCAACATGTACCTGATCCATTATCTGTTCTTTGTTTCTTGCAAACGATATCACATTTTCTTTATTTTTTCCATTAACGCTTCCTTCGCTGTCCCTATTTTTATTTTTCGTATCTTCTTTGTTTTTTTTCTCTTTTGCTTCTTTCGCGTTATATTTTTTCGACTTATCGCTCGAAAAAACGCCGTCCTTTTCTTTCGCGTTATCTTTCGAACCATCGGATTTTTCAGTCGTCTTAATATTATCTTTATGTTGCATGTTGCATACGTCAGCAACTTCTTTGTTGATCTTCGCGTTTTTCCCTTGGCACTTAGAACGTTTTTTACTCGATTCGTTTGACTCGCTCTCAAGAGTCAGCTTGTTATCTTTCGATTTTTCAGTCTTAGACTTTAACGTGTTAGTATTGATTAGATCTTGGCACTTATCAGTTACAGAATTGTCAGACTTAAGTGTACAGTCTCCTATAATCTTACGAGTCTCCACCTTGCAACATGTTCCAAGCTACGCAGATACAGAGTAACATTTTCCACATAATGTACAGACAATAATTCAAGAAACAAAACAACATCTCTCGCTATCGAGAGATGTATAGAATTTTTATTCAAACTTTTGTAGTTTGTAACATTTATGTGATCACATGCACAATGCATTAAACACACTTTACGAGATACAAGAATAGCGTTTGCTTTTAATTGAAGCAAACTCTCAATCCAGATTAAATTCAATATCTATGGTTTTTTATTCAATGAAATATAAGTGTTCGAATCGTAGTTAAGTTTTTTTTTTATTTTAAAACAGAATAAGAAACAAATGTTTTTATATACACTTAGGTTGTTCTTTATAAATGTAAACCTTAGTTCAGATCAGAATATATATACGAAATTCAATAAATTTCCAATCATTTAATAGACAACAGAAGATCATGAGAGATTGAATTTAATTGGATTACTCTAAATTGGACCCGTTTCAAGAACGCTATTAAAGATAGTACATGTTATGTCTAGTATTGAAAATATAAATAAGATGTCAATCACAATATATCTCAAGTTAGCATTAATTTTCTTAAGGACCTGTTATAGTCGTGGGAAAAGATTTGACGATTCTCTCATTGCACATAAAACAATCTCTAATATCTTGTAAAAGAGTGATCATATTAGCAAAAGATAAGTTTGTTCTCATCACCAGATATTCCCGCGCTATATGTTAGAGATGTTAGTAAGCTACACAGAGTAACGTGAACATACACAAAGAAGAATGACAAATGCACACGTGATTATGTGTGTGTGTGGGATGCCATGATCAAAACTAAGAAATTCAAGAGTAAATTTACTTGACAAATCGTAAACGTACTCTCAAAAAGAATGTGATCAAAAGGAAACACTTGGTTGTTGTTGTTGTTGTTATTATTCACTTATTAAAATTTATCGTATTCCGAAGACAAATGCAATTTTAGTAATTTCATATGTCTCGGCATGTTCAAACATCACTACTTTAATTCCATTCTCTGTCGACAATTTTGATTCAAATGAGCAAGTGAGATGAGATCGTGCAGCAGAAACAAAACTTCTTACCTTGGCCATTCTTTCAAAGTATTGTCGTTCCGCCTTGTCATATGACGGCTTATCATACCATATCTTTTCCTTGGCAAAGGAAGACAATGCTACGGTCGACATCTTAGCGGTTTTATTTTTTACGAAGCAAAAGCACTTTAAATTTCTGCAAACAACAGAACAAGAGCAGAGTGAGAAATTTGTTTTTTTTTTTAAACAATTTTTGCTGTTTTTTTTTTATTCTTATGAATCAACTCAGAAATAAAAATTAAAAAATTTTAGAAAACCAACGCAAGGTTTTCCTTCTTGTCTGAAGAGTTATTAGTTTTTATAAATGTGTTTAAAAAAATAAAAAGCCATATATGTTTTTTCTTGTATATTATACATCAAAAAGCACAAAAATTAAACTTTTCTCTATTATTGTGTATTAATAAAAAAACATACATGCATAATATTCTATTGGTATACATATATACACACATTGTACATTATATATTTATTTAAATAGATTTTTATGACATTTATTTCTTGTTTTCGACTAAGAAATTGAACAAAATAAAACATGTGCGTTTCTATACACTAGTAATATACTTAATATTGTTGTATTGATATAAATACGTCATATACATATGTATACATGTGTTCAAAACAGTACATAGTGTAAAACAACATATTTGTAACAAATATATATATACTAAATATTTACCTATTATTTTGTATAAAATTATTTCTTAAAAACAAATATTTAAAATATTCAAAATAAAAATTATTACGCCAACATTAACTATCATCTGTATTTGAAAGATAAAAATCCGTCAATTTCTTCTTTATCTTCTCGTGCTTAAGAATTTGCAATGTATATTTCTCACATGTATTATCTTTGTTATCTGTTCTAACTTCGTTTTGAATTTTGTTCAAGACATCATATACTCTTAGTTTCTCGTGTTCTTTGCACACACAGGCGTGTATACTGTTCGGATTGAAATATTGTATAAACTTCTTAAGTTCATCAAAAGATGCATGCGTAGCGTAGCACACATTGAACATTTTTTCTTTACAATTATCCCACTTCCCTATTACGCTTGTATCTTTTCCCTTCCACTTCATTACTGATGGTACAATAGTCAGAATATTATCTTTTGAAACATTGTCACGACACTTTAGATCCGACCCTTTACTTTTATCCGTACAAGCGTGTATACGTGTGGATAACGGATCGTTTGTAATGTGATGTGCCAAGTCTGAAATACGGCAATAGCTATTGTACACATAATCTTTAATGTGAATACGTGTATTCATAGATATAGACAACTCTTTGTAAAGAAATTCGGAGCCGTACAATGCGGAACATTCTAAAACAACAACATTTCTTGGGCTCTTCTCCAACCAATCTGTGACAACTTTACACATCACATTTATGCATTCTTTCCTGCTTGGAAAGGAAGCAAAATTGGGATCTAAAAATGTTGTATCCAAGTACAGTTTTGTGAGCTTCTTTGGAAATACACCAAATTCATTGCAAACATGCAAAGGCGCTATCTTTTTGTAATCCCTTGAATTAATTCTAAAATCTCCTGTGTACAATATTACTTCATCATTCTTTTCAAATAGAAACATTACAGACCCAGGACAATGTCCAGCAGAGATACATGTTACATATATGCATAAATCAGTTTCATTTTTATACGCTATGAGAACTTTCTGATCGACATTGATCTCCTTCACATAAGTTTCTATGTGATCCTCATAAAAGTTATACTTATTAAGTAAAAAAGCTTTACTAATAGGGCTACAGTAAAGATACTTTTTTTTCTGCGATAAAAATCTAAAGAAGTCATTGTTTAACCCTTTCATATGATCGGTATGACAATGACTGAGAAAATATGCAGAGGAGCGCAAGTGTTTTTCCCCATCAAATCGATCCACTGAGATGCCTGGTATCTCTTCGATACACCCAAGAAATGTTGACATTTTGACTCATAAAATTGCTCCTGCAACGAAGAGAACTCCAATATCAACTGAGTTGGTAAAATTCCAATAATTCTCCTTATATTATCAATAAAGGTCATTGCATATTTTCTCCTTCCCCTATATATAATTCGAAATATGCTATACACGCGAATTACACAAGGTTATGCGATTGCGAGTAAAAATATTCGCATATCATTTTGTGCTACCAATATTGAACACAAGCGTTTAAAAAATACTCAATTTCAAATTAAAAAAAAGAGTCGGATTTATATTTTTGGTTATACCTCAAGTTAAACTCGACCGAATTTGTCACAATGATGCCGACAATCGTCTCTCCACCAAGATCACACGGTTCCTCGAGATATGGCAAGCGATGCAACGGTGGCAACGATTTTGCCCTTGCAAAAAAAACCCGGTCACTTGAAAAAAAGCAGAATACAAACCTGGCGGATTTTCACGATCGTTTCCTAGTACGTGCGCATTAAGGCTCATCTACATAACCAGCTGACATAAAGGCCATTCTACATAAACCGCAGACGCAGGTAGCAGAATTGACCAATCACTTTAGTCGATTTGACAAATGTGAATGGTCAATTTCGCGAGATCTGCGACCAGCGTCTGCGGTTTATGTAGAATGGCCTTAACACAACTTGAATTCGTTGCGGGTGATTCATTACGATTGCCAAGTGGGTTGTCTATCGAAAACTTATGCGAAAAATTATCCCGGCAATTCGTTTTCTTCAGTTGGTACGTGCTCCGAATATTTATCCGCGTCCCGCCAATATAACTGTTCTTGATACTTTTTTCTTACGAAAAATTAGGGAAGTAGACATTATTTTTCTTATTTTCAGATTTGGAACAAGAGTTTTGTACGTTACAACAAGTGTGCTTCGATATTTGTGCATGTTTCATAACACGTGTTCATGTACGAGTCGATAGAAAGAAGTCGGAGCGGAATCGCAATTAAAGTTTAAAGGACTGTGCAATGACGACTCAGGAAAGTCAGATAGAATGCGATGTAAATATTCATTTTGTCGTTCCGAATCATTGTAAATCCGAAAATGACTGCGACGAAAAGATGTGGCAGGCGTTCAACGTTCGTATTTTTATTTCTCGTATTATATTTATTTTAGTTTGTACACGTTTGATACGTTTACCCTTGACATGTCTGAAAAAAACCGCAAATAATGTGTTCGAATAAAATTTATTTATTCTGCTGTTATGTGAACCCGAGATCACATCTCATATCATTCTATTATTTATTTATTCTATTTATTAGAAATGCAACGAATATGGTTTGCAACCAATGTGGATTATTGAAGAAGCATGTAACAAGATACAGCCATCAAAGAACGATGTATTTGTCATGGAAGAATTCAAGGGTGATGTATTTGCAAAGCTGAGAAATTTTAAGTGCTCGTAAGCATCAAAATTAGCTTTTATCATTATACAGTTATTTTGCTTATTATAAAACATATCAATATTTATCTTTTAAGAATTATACTCTATGATACTGAGAAAAATCAAAGTAACTGACTAAAGTAACTTCCAAGTGTGTATTTCAGCAGAATAGTGTCACCAAAATGTCTGCTTAATTGTTTTAACAATGGAGAACCCATTCCAGAAGGAAAAAATCCAATATATACAACAGCTATGAGAGGAATGTGTATTTGTGCATCAGGTTTTAGTTCAGAGAACAAGGTAGTAGATTTATTTCACAATCACTGCAAATAAGTTTGTAGTCATTTATAGAAATACTATAATCTTAAAATTTTAATTTATTTATGCAGGATCACATACAACAGTTAGTAGAATATATGGGAGGTTTCTTTACAAAACAATTGAGAAGTTCTGTCACACACTTAATAGCTGACTCTGTGATGTCAGCAAAATATGAGGTAATTCTCTTTCATTATAGACACAAAGATGTGATTGAATAAGAGAGAGAAAGAAACATTTTATCATGTTTATCCAACTTGTTAATGATAATATAGTTCAGTAATAATTACTTCGAAAATTACATATGTTTGATTAATATTTTTTCTTAGTGCGCTATAGGTATGAAAATACCAATTATGACAAAAGAATGGATAGATGCTGTCTGGGAAGCAAATTTAAAAGAAGATAGAGAAGTAATTAAGGCAGATGATCAGATATTTGATAAATACCAATGTCCTGTTTTTAAGAACTTAACGGTTACTACGACCAATCTTTCTAAACATCAAAAAGAAGAACTCAAACGTCTGATACATGATCACGGAGGAGTAGGTTAAATGTTATTTTTTTTTTGTAATTGCAATTGAGACTTCAACAATTAACTTGCGTGATTTATTGTGTGATGTTTTACTATTGTTTTTGTTTTAGACATTTATGGGTCCTTTAGATGGAAAAAAAGTGCGAGTAGTTCTAGCTAATGAAAATGGCCCGTTAAGTGACAAGCTAAAATACGCTATGAGCAACGACATTGCTTGTTTAAAACCTGATTGGGTGTACGAGAGCATTAAAGTGGGATATGCTTTACCGTTTCAAAATTTTATTATTAAATCCAATAAATCATGTTCGACACCAGAAAAGTCAAACAGTACGTGTCTAATAATGGCAGGCTATTATCTGTTAAAATAGTAGTAATAAAGTATTAATTTGCTCTTAAAATAATATAATTTTTTATGCATCTCTCAGCTCGTGCAACACTGAATTGTTCAAATATTAGCACCATACCGTTTGAAAAGCCTCAAAACACTTACGTAAACGAGACTCTCAGTTCGACAATATCGAATTTTTCTGTTGTAGATGCAGGTACCGTTAATTTCTCTGGTTAGTGAGAATCGACATAGTTATTTGTTGCATGTAATTGCGATTTATTTTGTCTTCACTTTCTACTCTTTAAAATATATGTATTTTTTTAGCAGCAGCTGCTGTAAATGTTCTGGATCGACTCACCTTTAGCGAAGCTAAATCAGCCGGACCGTTTCTTGACGGATGTAATGTAAATCCTTCTCATAATTTTTTGTACATTCTTTGTGTACTTCTTCTTGTTACTTGTAAACGAGACGTACATGATGAGTCTCTCGTTTACTCGCGAGATACTTTATGTTTGCAGATTTATCTCACTGGATTCGCGACAACTCTCAGGGACAAATTAAATAGAATACTGAATGTCGGGTGTGCGATGCGTCTCGACGATATATCGGATGCCGTAACGCATGTGATCGTTGGTGACAAGAACAAAGCTTCCGCGGAACTGAAGGCGATAAAAGCGAGAGGTTTACGGTATTGTTAACAGAAGATAAAAATTTTATTTTTTTCGCATCTTTGATTTGAATTACTTTAGTTTATTGTGTGCTTTTATATTTTTGGAGCAGATGTTGTATCGTGAGTATAGAATGGCTGGAAGAGAGTATGAAACTGAAGCGGCCTGCGCCAGAAGAACGCTTTTTGTTCGAAGCAAGAGATGAAGCTCCTAAAACAATTGTCGGAACACCTGCTTCTCCGCTTAGTAAAAAGGTAAGGTGTATAGTATTTCAAAAGTTCTATTTTTAATTTTTCCGACTTTTAGAATGCGTTTAAAAAGTTAATATATTTAAAGTACTGTACATTGTACGTTGTTTTAGAACTTACAAATGTTGCAACAACCAACGAGACCTTCTGTGCCGACTTTCAATTTAGCGAAGAAACTTTCGTCTGCGAACGAACAACCACAATCTGATCTTGTGCAGCAGTATCTCCGAGAAAGTAGTGGTAAATGAAATAAATTACTTTTCGGCAACAAATGTGTACAGATGTCAGTAATCTGCCAACTTTCACAGTCGATTCTTTTGGAAAACGAAGTCTTGTATAAAATTTTTGATGAGATATATAAATGTCTTTGTTGTAACGGCGAAATAATTGAATTACAGAATTTCATACTACGACGGAAGAATTCGTGAAACCTCGAACGCTTGTTCCGGAAGATAAAACTGTGACAACCAGCCAGATACGTCTGTCAGATATCGCACAAACTAAGAACATCACCGAAAACGATAGTATCGAACCGCTCAGTCAGAGCTTGGTGAACGAGAAATTATTCAAAGTTAAGTTGTTAAGATTCTAGTTTCTCTTTTCATGTTCCGAACAATTGGCACGCACGCGTTCATGTATATCATTCGTAACACTGTGTGCATCAGGTTTAACATTTGTTGTGACTGGTTTCGAGGACATTAATGTGAAGGAAACAATTGTCATGCTGGGCGGTCGGGTGGTTTCGAATTCGTATAGTGGTATCCCGGACTATGGCGTCGTACCTATGCACGGAGCGTCACTAAAACACACGGTCAATGAAATTGTGACCGATTTATTCATCGTACGTGTGTTTATGATTTTTTTATTTCTTATTGAAAGAGAGGGAGAGAAAGAAAAAGATTATATTTAGAGAATATTATACTACTAATATTCGTTCGGTTAATGTGTTAACAGGAGGATTGTATCAATCAGGAGCGTCTCGTCGACGTTACGTATTATCACAGACCGTTATCTATCAAAAAATCGTGTAGTCCACTGTCGGAATGTGTCATAACGATGAGCATGTATACCGGCTCGGAACGAACGTATCTTTCGACATTGGCCACCAAACTTGGCGCTATGTAATTTGTTTATTTTTACATAAAACTAATCGTGCAATTATTTTCTGTATCGAAAGACAATATGTATTGTAGTATGTTTGTATGTGTACATCAAATATATTTAGATGTCAGGATATGTTTGCGCGCAAAGCCAATGCAGAGAAGAACACATACGGCAGCACGCATCTGATTTGTCCAACTCCAGAAGGAAACAAATACAACGCGGCGGTGAGGTGGAAATTGCCCGCTGTCACTGCCGCTTGGTTGATAACTTGCGCCGAGCAATTAACGCACGTGAATGAAACTCCATTTCTCGTCGGAGAAACAATAGGTAAGTTTTTATTTATATCTGAGACATCTCGCTTAGTAAACGTGCATTCTGTTTCCAAGACAGATTTTTCTTATTTATTCTTTGGTTATATGTGCGTAATGATTTTGTATTAAAAGCACCAGATAGATCACATCTTACGAATGTCAGCGAAAATATACCAAATTTGACGGAACAGATCACACCTAGAACTATTCTTACACCAAAGCGTTTCTTATCAGTCAAGGTATCTGCAATTTTATTAACTCATTATAAAAATATTAAGTTAACAATGATTTAAAATTGGGACATACAAATATATAATATACTATTAATGTGTGCGTAAAATTTTAATAATTTTACAGCCTCAAGGAACATCTGCGGAAACTCCATTAATAAACAAGAGACTCAGTCTCGTAATGAATCAAACACCGAAATCACCATTTCATTTGTCTACTCCGGAGACTCCTTATGGACAGGTTTTCAAGCCTGATCCTTCACCCGATACACGAAAAGGATGGGTCAAATGGGTGGACAATTTTCCAGATCTGCAAGTGACAGAACCACCTGCAAAACGGCGCGCTCCTAGCACCGTAAGTATTGTTATCTTTTTGCAAAAGTGATTACGCGTTCAAATTAATCAGAGTATAATCGAGTCTACTTACAGCCGCTTTCAGAGTTGAAGAGACAACTGTGGGATAAACTGAAGAATCCAGGTCAAGTATTTGAAAAAGTAAGACAAACAACATGTAAATATGTACAAATAAATTTTGTAAGTATTATGAGACTAAAATATTATTTTACATATTTAATTGGTAGGAAGATAAAGCAGATGAAGCGACACTGAGGTCAGACGATTCTTTTGTGAAAAAAGCTGAAGAAAAAATAAGCGATCAGCCGAACAAAAATGTGTCATCATCTTCCATGTCTATTAACCGAAAACTTGATTTTAATGAAGAAGATACTCTAACGCCTAATAAGTCAAGTAACGAGATAAACATGTATGTACGACTTGTGTGTAAAATCTTGAATCTTTTTACATCAATATATAGTGTGACGTGATGCCCTTTTGGGGTTAATCACTATAGAAATATTGCAAGTTTCATAACTAGCATATCTAAAATAATATGATGCATAATAAATAAAAATAAAGAGACAATATAAATCTTGTAATAAATAGGCAAATAGCAGAATTAAACAAAGTACTTCAACGAACATCGAGTACTCCCGAGAACAGATATTCGTTATCTGCTGAAAAGAAATATGATGTCGAAGCTTCTGATCATATACAAAATTGTAAGTATTTATAGTTCATCAAGATATAGATTTAAGGAAAACGTATGTGTGCACCCAATTGTTGCGCACGTTTTATGAATAAATGTTTTATTAATTCAATAATTATGATTTAGGTATTGTAAAGGACTCGCAACCTATTGATGCTATTGTATGGGAAGATCCGAATCATCCAAAACGAGTACTTATTATGTTGTATAATTTTTTTGTTGACTTATACGCAAAAAAATTATGAATCATTTTCTTATTGAACAAATTTTATTCTTGTACGATTGACTTTAAACTTTTCTACAAAATCACAGTTTAATTGTCTGTTGATCAATGAACGATATATTGTATATCATTTTTGCAATGCTCTTATTTGTCGACTTACACAATGTCAATGTATTTCTAGCCATCGTCAAATCTTCAAAGATATGGTAATAACCAGTGCGGCATAGTTGATCGTGAAAGTGAAGAAAATAACACGAACGAGGAACATATTAAGGAAGATGCGACGAAATACAGATGCGAATCACCAATCACACCAAAGTTTATGCTCTCGGGTATACAGGTATTAAACGTTTGAATATACGCACTGTATGTCACGCAGAAAAAATAAGTGCTGAGTATTCTTTTCTAATCTAGAATAGGAGTGCGTACGAACGAATAATAAAAGAACTTGGCGGAAACGTGTCGACAGACGCGAACTTCGACAATAGTGCCACGCATCTCCTGTGCGTCAGACTCTCTAGGAACGAGAAAATGCTTGGCAGTATAGCCGCTGGAAAGTGGATTCTTTACCACTCGTATTTACGTGACTCCGAACAAGAAGGCAGATTCCTCGATGTTCGTACATTAGCGTGTCTTGATTTTACTATATGACGCGTTTCTTAAAAATATTTGGTTTTGTATCACAATTAAAAATTTCGCAGGAAGAGGAATACGAATGGGGTAATCCAAAGAGTCAGAAAAAGATTCCACAACCGAACAGTGACATGGAGCAAGCGATAGCGACTGCAGCTCACAGATGGAGATTGAAATTGCAGAAGGAACCGGACGGTCCGTTTTCCGATATGGTGGCACTGCTGATGGTATCCGATGAGAAGTACGATCAGTTCAAGAGACTGATCGAAGCCGGCGGTGGTTTAGTCACGCAAGCAAGGTGATAGATACGTTGTAACTGCGATTCAAACGAACATTATGAATTCTGTTATTTTTTATTTTGACTTGTTATAGACCGCCCTATGATGCTAGCCCGTCTGGACACAAAATTACGCACTGTTTCGTTAATGTGAAACAGGTAAGCAACATTTAAAGCTGATAAATAAATTTCGTTTTATTGTATCACAAAGATCTCTAGAATAGATGATTGGCAATAAGTTTGAATATATACATATAGTTATTCAGCCTTTGTTAAAAAAATAAGTTATTACATTCAACAGGTAAACCAGCCTATAGACTGGGCCATGCTGGCTAGTAAAGGTATCCTCTGTTTCTTGCCGCAATATCTTAGCGATTATCTGACAGCAAGACAACCGCTCAATCCACGAGAATGCGTTCTTCCAGAATTCAAGAAGTACCTAACACTACTGCCCAAGTAAACAAGGATTATGACTGACTAGAAATATTTGAAATATAATGATGTACATAGTAAATATGAAGTTTTTGCACCGTAGAGGTGAAACATTTTTTTAATTTAACTGAAATTTACTGATTTTTGTTCATTATCACATGTATTTACCTGTACATTTAATATATAATTTTACATCTCAGTATTGTTAAATAATGTTAATGTATCATTAAATTAAGTTAATAGCAATATTAACACTTTTTACTGTTTCTTGCAAATATGAAAAATTCGATAAAACAATTAGTTGTTTCTATTATCACTATATACACATTTTCTAGAAAATTGAATCATTAAGTTTTTCAATTTCTTTTGACATTATATCTTTCTGTAAAATATTATTTATTTCTAAAAATAATATTTGGGGTTTGACAATATTTCACACACATTAGAATGAGAGAGGAGAGAAAAGTAATTTTAGTTATTATCTAAATTTAATTTAAGTTTCGAAGTCGACTCTCTGCTTACACATAATTCTTATGACAAAAATAATATACTTTATGGGAGATTGAGCCATTGGTGAACTAGATCAGCTCCAGTGCGATTTTATGCACTTTTATTATCACAAAAAGTAAAAATAAATTTTACAACAAAACATAACTACTAAATCTATAACTGTTTCACTTTCAGTCTTGATATACAATATAATTTCATTAAGTTAATAGCAAAACTGAATACTGTCAGCTTTCTAAGAATTTCAGCCATTCTGTATCAATTTTTTCCATCATATTATCATCATTAAGTGACGAAATATCGCCCAATATGTCTTCAAAGTTCAAATCGCTTGAAATATTCAAAGAGGAACAGTTCGACGTGTCTAAGTTCGCATATGTGTTAATTACCGGTTGTGCTCCCGGCACCACTTCTTTGCACGAATTGGTTACCGTTATTATCTCCGTATTATCTGGTTGTAATCTCTGTGTCACCTGATTATTATTTGATTCATCCTTTTTATTCTCTTTCTGCTGCTCATCTAAGCCACTTTCATTGCACCATTTATAATCAGTCAATATATTATAATCTTTTGCAACTTCTGTTACAAGTGTATTTGTAAATACTTCTGTACATTCTTGTTGTTTTGAATCATCTTGCGCTTTATATCGTTCAGTTTTGTCCGAATAAATTTTCAGATCGATATTGGTCTTTTCAATGTTAGTGATCTTAGGCAATACTTTACCAGCTCTTTTACTCTCTTCTTTTTCGATATTTTCGCTTTTCTTGATAAAATTGTCAATTTCTCCTTCTGACAATTCAGATGTTGATAAGTGATTAACATTTTTCTTGAATTGTTTTACTGAGCTAATGGATTCATCTCTGAGCAATTCATCAGATTTATCCTCTATTAAATTGGAGGCATTCTCAGGACTCAAAATACTCATATTTACTTCTTTAGAGAGCTCTCCTCCCATAGGAGTTACAGGTGGAGTATAGAGCGAAAGTTCCATTGGAATAGGTATAGTTTCTCTAGAAGAGTTTGTTTCTTCAGTGTTAGTGGAAACGATTTTTTTACAAACATTTGTTTCTTCTGTATCACTGAAACTGTTTACTTCCGAAGAACTTGTTTCTGTTTTAAATGTTCTTTCTAAAAAATCTTGTTTCTTGTGTGCAGGAAACGTATTGTAAACATTCTCTCTAGAAAAACTCGTTTCTTCTGTATTAATAAGAACGTTCTCTTCAGAAGAACTTTTCTGTTTTGTGTTATCGGGAACATTTTCTGTAGAAGAACTTGTTCCTCCTTCGTTACTGAGATCAAGTACATTTCTAATAAATGTCAGATCTTCATAACCAATTGGCCACACACACTGAAATAAGCAGAATTGTAGACATTACAAACTGTACGAGAAAAAGAGATAGACATTGGAAAAAAAATACATGTATATATTTACATCCGGCGCTTCACAGGCCCACACAGCTTCTTCCAAATTGAGTTGAAATATCCTGACCTTGTTTTCAAGACCATTTTTCATACAGAGCGGACAAAATTCCAACATATCTCAAAAGGTCCGGGTCGTTCAACATGCGACAAATCTCGAGATACAGACAAACGATCATGCACACGAGAACGGTGATTTTGTGCGCAATACCAAGCACCAACATGAAATACAATAATAACACATTACGTTAACTCAAACACAAGCGAAACAAATTGTTTGAATATTCAGAGTAAAGTGTCGGTCACAATGTCATTTTTTATATTTATTTACATACACGCGTGTTCTCGCGGGAGTATAAAACTTAACCTATAAACTGCCGGCTTTTCTACCATGACCATGATATACTTTAGCAAGGACCAAAACCCTTTCATCGCTAAGCGAATTAGTCGCAGTTGTCGGTAATGCAACCAAAGTGATTTCTTTGGGTGACGCCAGGGGTCAAATTTTCAAATATAGGTCAGGTATTCAAAATATGTAGAGGAGTAATAATGTCCTGATAATTCATCCTCCTTATTAGGCCTCTTTACGCATTACTGTATACTAAGGATATATGGTAGATAATCAGAGGATAATATGCCATTATCATATTTTGTAAATATACTGTTTATTTTTTATATCCGAACGTATAAAATTCTTAATCAATCTACTATATCGTTTTAGAGGAGGAAACATTAAAAATGGTACGCATAACACATATCTTCTATATAAACTTCCATTAGATATTTATAAGAGAGTCACACGAAGTTAAGATATTATAGAGATTATATTTAATCATCATTTTAATTACATTTTATTAGAATTTGTCCATACATGATATATATATATGCGATCACTCGATATTGAAGAGCTTTTGCAAACGATCGCGCGAAACATCGTCTGTCAAAGACATATTATGCCTCATATGATTTTCCTTCCTTTTGTCTCTTCACTCCTCTCATCGAATAATTGCGATTATATATATAAAGGAGCATGATATGTGAACGAGCTCTAGTTCAGTATCACACCTACCCACTCACTCATCCATACACGCATTTACTGACCGACTTCGAAGGCTGTTCTTATCTTGATAGTTGCAAATCAATTGCGCGATATACCTTTGGAAATAATGAATCTCGTCTCGATCAAACGAACTCGGGACAGGAACTCCGCTCAAATAAAAGCGCAAGTATACAATGTTTTTTTTCCTATTAATCGTATTTCTGATATACTTACTAAATTATAATTTATTCAAAAGTGCAGAATTATAAATCTCTTGAGACGTTTCAGTTTCTAATTCTCTTGGATTCCCTTTATTTCCTTTATATACGGATGTAAGTATCTATAAGTTGTGATCAAACAAAGATCTGAATAACGTGTACATATGCAGCTAATTTTATCTTGAAAGAAAAAATAATTATTTTCTCTTGTTTGGTTTTAATAAACTCCGTATGATGATAATCAGCTTGATTTAATGTGTGTTGTACAATTTCTTTGATTCATTAAAATCCGAGAGAAACTGAAGATGAAAGTAACTTTCTTCATACTTTCTCGGGCCGCCGTGGTGTTTCATCCGGGAGGTCAGTTTTCTACGTTTCATCGAGCGCTTCACTTCTGACAAATTGTTAATTGCTGCACAAAGTGTTCAATGTTCACTTTTGCTATATTTTTTATAGCAAAATTGCTTCGCGAAAGCGTTACAATGCAATTGTGCGCGCTTCGTGTAAAGTGTGTGTCTAGTTAAAGAAATAAAAAAACGCCGAAGCATACGAAATTTTATTGAAAAACAATGGAATTTCTCGCGGAACCTATTCTGGAAATTTCAAATTTTTCGAAGAAGGTGAGATGATAAAATAATAAAAGTACTGCGTACATAAAAAAGTAGTATTGTGCGAAATGTCTCATTACGTCTCACAACGATGCAAATGCACAAGTGTAATGCATTAATGCTAACGAGAACGCAAATTTTTTATCAAGCGAACGCAGGCAATAGCGACCAACGTGTTGACACAGGCACATCATGTGTCCCGAGCGAAACGAGGACAAGCGATTGGCGGCATTCGAGGATTCCGTGGATGTACAATTTGGATGACGGGGCTCTCTGGCGCTGGAAAAACTTCTATTTCTTTCTACCTTGAAGAGTACCTTATCTCGCAAGTATGTCACACGCGTAACGTGCTTTTCATTTTACAGTTTTATTTCATGATTCTTGCTTATAAAATAAATTTCATTCAGGGAATCCCCGCATATAGCTTGGACGGCGACAACGTGCGCACCGGTCTGAATCGTAATCTCGGCTTCAGCAAGGAGGATCGCGAGGAGAATGTGCGTCGCGTCGCCGAAGTCGCGAAGCTCTTTGCGGACGCCGGTATCGTTGTTTTCTGCAGCTTCGTGTCTCCATTCGCGGCAGACCGGAGAATGGCACGAAAGATTCATGAAAACGCCAATTTGCCGTTTTTCGAGGTGTTTATCAAAGCGTCGCTTCAAGTCTGCGAAGCTCGCGACGTCAAGGGACTGTACAAGAAGGCGCGTCAAGGTATTATCAAAGGTTTTACTGGTATAGACCAGAGTTATGACGTACCGGTCGAGCCCGATCTCGTCGTCAACACCGAGAACGCCTCTGTTGAACAGTCCGCCAATGTTGTCATCGACTTTCTCCAACGCAAACAAATAATACCAAAGTCGAACAGCATGAAGCAACGTGACCAAGAACTGTTCGTAAATGAGGACAGACTGGAAAGTGTCCGAAAAGAAATGACAATACTTCCAGTTTTAGAAATCGGGAAAATTGATGTGCAATGGATACAAGTTCTCGCCGAAGGATGGGCGGCACCTTTGAGAGGATTTATGAAAGAAAACGAGTATCTTCAAGTAAGTTCGAGATTCCGTCCCGTCTGTATAATTGTTTTATGATTAGAAAAGTTACGGTTTTCTACAGGAAAGATATATTACTTAAATCATTTGTTTTCTTTTAAACAGACGTTGCATTTCAACTGCCTATATGAAAACGGGGTTCAAATCAATCAATCGATTCCCATTGTTCTCGCTGTGAACACTGCCGACAAGGAACGTCACTTCGGTGCGACTGCACTCGTCCTTCGATATCAAAACAAGAATCTCGCTATCTTGCGTAATCCGGAATTCTATTATCACCGCAAGGAAGAGCGTTGTAGCCGTCAATTCGGCACTAATGATTCTAGACATCCTTACGTCCGGATGATTCAGGAATCTGGCGACTGGTTGGTTGGCGGCGACTTGGAAGTAGTCGAAAAAATCAAGTGGAACGACGGTCTGGATCATTACAGGCTGACGCCCAACGAGATCAAAACAAAATGTCGTGAGATCGGCGCTGACGCGGTTTTTGCCTTTCAGCTGAGAAATCCGATACACAACGGACACGCATTGCTAATGCAAGTTGGTGTTGTCGCTTCTACTTTACAGAATAATAGAATTGAGAAATTGTCTCTGTTACAGAACGGAGATATAATTTCATTATTTCAGGATACGAGAAGACGTCTTCTCGAGCGTGGGTTCAAGAAACCGGTTCTTCTTCTGCATCCTTTGGGTGGCTGGACTAAAGATGACGATGTTCCCCTGCCAGTTAGAATACGGCAACATGAAACTGTCCTTGAAGAAGGTGTCTTGCACAAGGATACTATTCTTGCTATCTTTCCTAGTCCCATGTGTTACGCGGGTCCTACAGAAGTTAGTATACAAATACATACAAATACATATGTATATATACATATATTGCTTTTTATTATATACATTATGTGCGATGCAAAAAATGCTGACTTAAAAAATACTTAAATAAATATAACATATATTAAAAAATACATATATTTAATCATTAAAATTTCAAAAATTATTTAATAAGTAGTATATAATTATAATTGTCCTTATTTTCAAAAGTTTGTTATAATAATTTTAAAAAATATTCAGTTATTTGTACATCTATTCGTGTCTTTTAGGTGCAATGGCATGCCAAAACTCGCATGATTGCAGGAGCAAATTTCTACATCGTCGGCAGAGATCCTGCCGGTGTGCCTCATCCCGACAAATCTGCCACGCCAGACGGCAATCTTTATGACGCCACTCACGGGGCGCGTGTTCTTTCAATGGCGCCGGGCCTGCAGAATCTCGAAATTATTCCCTTTAGAGTAGCCGCTTACGACATCAGAGTGAAGAAAATGTCGTTTTTCGAAGCCGAACGGCAACAAGACTTTCTTTTCATTTCCGGCACCAAAATGCGCAGTAAATATTCTTCTTGTTTTAATCATCTGTTTGAAAAAATTACATTGATTGTTTTATCTTTTTTTCTTATTTAGGTTTGGCAAATGGCGAAGATCTTCCAGAAGGCTTTATGGCACCAAAAGCGTGGAACGTTGTTGCGAGATATTATCAAACTGCGCAGCCAGAAGCGAATTAAAATAAATAATTAATGTTTACAAAATAATTATTAATTTTTAATATAAAGTTAGCAACTAATGTAATTTGCAACTAATGTAATTTTTAGTATTATACATAAGCAAAATTTGAAAAACTTCGTTACACAAAAAATTACTAGGACAATAAAAAAAAGAAGTGAACTCCGATGAAAGGTATGTGGGTGAACTATTATGTGAAAAATAGCGGAACAAGTTTTGCATTTCGTCACTAATCTATATATTATATCTTTGATATATGTTTATTTATTGCATCAAAGGACACGGAAGGATATTTTGTAGCTTAAACATAGTTGACAATCACCCGAGAGTTGATGATGGGAAAGTATTCTGTATTTCTTTAATCCGGTATATCTGCAATACAATATTCTACCATTCTTAACTTTGTCTTTACAGATCTTTCTCTCGTAAAAAACGTTTACATGCCGTTCACGCTTGAGTAAATTGATAGCAAAAAGATTACTGTAGATTGCTTACCTTCTTCCTCGGAATCAGATATCCGAGTAGCCTGGAGCGAGCTTTGCTTTGTTAACGTTCGGACTAGGCCACGTGGTCTCGGCGGCGGTGATTGCTTGTTCCAGAGCGCTTCCAGTTGATCAAAGTGCTGTGATTGTGCTAGAGCGGCTTGTTCGGGACCCAAGCCGGATTGCGATCCGGCCAAACCTGCTTTGCTGATCTCTTCCATTGACGCACTTACGCTGAAACGACGTTTTAAGCGTTCTTCGATGGTCGAAACCATAATTCCTAGAAATGAAAACTGCTCGTAGCTTATAATTGCTCCTTTTAGTTTTATATTGCTTACATTTATCAAGAGATCAGTTACGATTCTTTTAAATTAAATGATAATAAGAAATAGCTAAAATATATAAATAAAAATATAGATAAAAAAATAACCAATAACACACATACCTGACGTAAGATGCCCGTATTTTCGCTGCCAAGTATACGTATCTAAAGACACCTCTTTCTTCAGCAATCTCTTAGCGGGCCGTTTCGGCCCGGGAGGCCTCAGGTCTCTTGGTGCTACGTACGGTGGCAACTTAACGTATTGCGCGGGAGTATTATGTAGACATAAAATAGGCATGCATTTGTGTTCCAGTAAGTGTACTGCTATTCTGGAACAATCGGTGGACAATTCGACTCCCAAAATCGGCACGTGCAACATGATGGAACTCAGCGGAGTGCCCTTTTTGGTGTCCCAGACAAAAAGGCTTTTGTCTTCGCTTCCCGAAGCGGCCAAAGTGCCGTCGCCTGAAAGACGAACGCAGGTCACGTAGCCGAGATGACCGACAAGAGTGTGCAGATCGGCGCCGGTGTTGATATCCCAGACTATTAGATTGGCATCTCTCGAACCGGACACTACTATTGATTTGTCGAGAACCGCGACCGCCACGCAGGTCACATGATCGGTGTGGCCGACCAGCACCTGAGACAGCTTGCCGCCGGCTAATTGCCACACCTTTAGGCTCATATCACGAGATCCGGTGATCAGGTACTGAGAGTCAGGTGTTACCACCAGGCACGTGATGTCCTGCGAGTGCGACACTTGGTGCTTCTCCTCGGGACCGGCGCCTAGACTCACTATGCGTACCTGGGTGTCACCAGATCCGCATACCGCATATCTAAAATGATGAATTGAGTGTGAACTACGAGACGTTAGTACAAACAAATCTTAAAATAGAAATTAAAGTTTAAAGATGCGACAGAAAAATGTGTCTAAAAGAACGAGATAAAGAATATAAAAAGTTTTACATGATTTGTTGCGAATTTTCACCTCATGTCGGACGCGACAGCGAAACACCGTCCAGGTCCGCAAACAGACTGAATCAGCGTGCCGCTGTCGGCCGCCCAGACTCTAATGGAGCCAGCTCGGTCTGAGCTAACAACTCTCCTTCCATCCAACATGGCAGTTACAGCGGTTACTGGCGCTTGATGTCTAAACGTAGCCACGACAAGCCCGAGAGTCAAACCCCACACGCGGACCGTCTTATCCTCAGAACCTAAATAGTGCATATTTTATATAATCACAACACAGTTAATTAAACTTTAATATTTTTTTTGTTAAATACACATATAATAAATATAATTTTAGGGAGATACCAGATGCAACAAAGAGTCCTGATGCCGAAAATGCAATACAGGTAACGCTGGCGATGTGTCCTTCCAATGTGGACATCAGTTCGTGTGTGTTCAGTTGCCATAAATTCACCAGAGAATCAACACCGCCGGTGACCGCCATGGCGCCGTCTCTGGAAATGTCTATGCAGGATATCGGCGCGGTGTGAGGCTGCAGAGAATCTTGTTTACCGGATTTCTGCGGTTTTGGCGGCGGTTCTTCACCGCGGAAACTCCAGTAAGTAACGCGACCACCTCCACCAGTTATTAAGAAATCGTCTTTCTCGGTCACCTGCGGCAAAAACAAAAGAAAAAAACGTCGTAGAGAGCAAATAGAGACATTTAAAAAATTTAGCAAATTTTTTACTTACCTTAACCGAAGTGACACTCGCTGAAGGATTAGCGGGCAAGGTTTTGATCAATCTTCCGCTGTGCATGTCGAACACAGATACTCTGCCCTCAACACTACCGGCAATAGCTCTTCTGCAATCTTTCGCCAGGCAGAGGGACTTAACTGGTCCTTGATGTCCCCTAAGCGTATGGATTTCCGTGCCAGTTGCTAAAGATCTTAAGTAGAGCTTTTGATCTTCGCAAGCGACCAAAAGAAAAACTGAGTCCGAGGACACGTCCAACATAGCCACCGGAGAAGGAAGAACAATGCTGTTAAGAAGACTGAAACTTTCCAAGGACCAGAGGCACACAGTGCCATCAGCTGAGCCCGAAACCAAAACTTCTCCGGCCGAATCTACGCGTATAGTAGTGACGGGACCTCGGTGATGATCGACCTTCATTAAAACCTCGCCGGTGAGCAAACTGGTGGCAATAATTCTGGAATCTTCGCCGCCGCTAACGATAACCGAGTTGTTGAGAGCTGTAGTTAGAGTGAGTACCGGCGCGATGTGCTCGCAAATTCGGCGTTTCATAACAAGATCCTTCATGTCCCAAACGATGATGGAAGTATCCTCAGAACCAGTTAATAGGTATTGTGATTGGTAGGTGACTGCTAAGCACGAGATTGGACTGGAATGTCCTTTAATGTAAAGAGAAAATGAATTAATATTTTTTATTTTATAACAGTGTTTTTTTTAAATAAAATACATATATTTTTATACTTCAAATAATAATTTTATTTGTGCTAAACATTTCTTGTACCTTTAAATGTATGAACGAGCTGACCGGACATCACGTGCCATAATTGAGCGTCTCCCTGCGGTGGCACGACGACGACGTGCTGACCAGACGGTGCCGCTTCGATCAACTTGACTCCCTGAGGACACGTAATTGACCGGATCTGTAGCGGCAGAGGTGGTTGCAGCCATCCGTTCAGAGGCACGAGCAGAGGTGCAGTGTAACCGTCGCACCAAGCCATAGCCGCCATAACCATCCTGCTGACCTGAACGAAACCATATTAGGCAACAGCATTTCCCGCTAGTATAAGTGATACTCACGAGGTCACCACCGTCTTCGGCGACTGGTCTCAACCAGCAGATCAGCTGCGCAGCGAGTTGAAGTGGATCTCTAGTGAGTACATCACTGGACTTCCTGACGGCGTAATACACGAGCTCCAAGTCACGTTCGAGAAGGTACCGCCTAGCGTGCTCAAGGACGCATCGAAGATAACTCACAGAGATCATTTGCACAGCCGCTAGAAGGAAGTCGAACGCGCAGACGGCGAGTTTTTTCAGCTTGTCGACGTCGGAAGCACGCAGCAGATGTAGCCACGCTTCTTCGACATGGCGAAGCGTGTACGTGATATCCTGCGTTTGTGGCGCGCTCTGAAACGGCGTCTCCTTGAGAGGTGGCAGGGACGTCGGGTTCTCCGGCGATTTTTCGGAACTGTTATCGGCGTTCTCGGAGAAGAAGAGACTCGCCAGCTCCGTATGGTAGCTGCGGGAAATGTCCTGATTAGAGAGATACTTTCTAAGGACTACTTCGCGAGCCTGACCACGCCAGGAAAACATCAACCGACCGCTCATCACTCGCACCTGCAATATCCAACAATGCGAGGAAATGTAGATAGATAAAAATGAAAGAATTACTCGTATTCTAAAAAATTAATTGCTTACTTTGAGCCACGATGCGAAGGTTCTTCTGACCAAGCACCAGGTTGCGAAGTTGAATTGATTCTCATCTAAAAGTAGAGGTCCTTCGCCTCCAGTCGGCATGATCAACTCGAGTATTTCTGTCTCGGACAAACCGTACTCGGTGCAAGCGAGAATCGAGGCAACACGCGTAGCTGCACCAAGTCCGACGAGATTCTCCAAGTGTTCCAAGACCATGTCGACGCGCGGCGTCGCACACGCACGTCCCGAAAGATCGACGAGACTGTCGGTGCCGCGCAGACGATCCTTCTGCACTGGCGTGAGACGCATTCCTTCTGGCGGAAGCGCAGAAGTAGCGATGAAATGAACTCCTGCGGGAAGAGCGAGCGGCAGCCAGGATAGAGCAGCGACGATATCGCACTCGAGCGGATGGAAGCGATGAAGATCGTCGAGAAGGATGATCAGTTGTTCCTCGAGCGGATTTTCTTCTATGCGGCGCATAATGAGGCTGAACCAATTATTGAGGTAAAGTGGATCGAAAGAGGCGTCGCGCGGCAGATTGCCATCGTTATCGCCAGCAAGAAATCCAACGTGCTGGCACAAGATACGGAGCAGCTCCAGACTGTAGGATGATCGGGGCGTCGCGGTGCACACTCGAACGACGCGAAGCGTCGGGGCCATGAGCCATTCGGTTGAATCCTGGTAGACGCGCGCGAGAATAGAAGACTTACCGGAAGACTTGGGTCCGTAAATCAAAATGGGCCCGTGCTTATTCTCCTTGCCTAAAAGTAAGTACTGGTAATGCGTTAACTTACGTTGTGAGACACTTAATACTCTATACAGATATAAACCTACCTGCAAGGATAAGTTGTTTGACCCGCTTCACAGCCTCGTCGCTCTCATCGGCTAATGGCAATTCTCGAAAAAGAGCAAAATGCGCCATACTTTCAGCGTAGACCTCCTGAACCATTTTTTTGCGACTCTTAATCTCCGGATCGGTTTCAACGGACGCGTTCACCAGCTGCTGAAGTCTCTCCAGTATCAATTCCCGGAACTTACCGAGGTATTCGTCGTGAGCTTCATGATCGGCGTCGATATCGCCCCTGTGGTGTTCCACTTGTAAGCGTACAACGTTATCGTCAGGAAGGATTGTCTGGACGCGATTCTTGAGTTCTTCGGCGGCAGCCGTGTAGCCTGGCGCGTTGTTGCCCGTCCATTCGCGAATCACGGCCATTATGCCCGAGGCTTGCTGGTCTAGACCTAAGGTAAATGCTTTGATATTTTATATAATCGATAAATTATTTATTATTCTACACATGTTTACGTTTCTGTGTAGTAATCAAGATCGTCCGGAACGTTACGAGACGTTTATATCACTGAAACTCGAGAGTAAAGCGAAATTGTTCATACAAAAAACTAAAGTTTCTATCGACTAATGACTTCATTAATCACGTATCAGTAAAAATCTTCACAATTAAAACTTTCAATCAATTTTTTTTTTTTTAACGCGAGATGAGACTAATAATAAATCGTTTCAAGCACCAATTAAATTTCCCGGGAATTGAAAAACGAATTAACGAATAGAAAATAATCGAATAGAAAAAAGCAAAAGCGATTTCAATTTTTAAGCTTTTATATAACGCACACTATAACGAAATATACGCGAGCGATACTTTTCCTGATAGTGAGCAGCGTATGATATTGAAGGCATCTTGTATTTTTGGAAAAGAAAAAAAATACACACAGGTATTAACACTATATACACTATAGATTGATCTGTCAGGATGAGGTCAGGGAAAAACAGTCGGGAGACGTGCCACACTTCCATCGCTGTGCCACTGTACGAAGATTGATCAAATATTGACAACGGCAGCGCGTCGATATTCTGGACCGCGTTATTTATTTAAGAATCCAGTGAATAAATACGTCCGCGTAGACAGTCCGCAGCGATAACTCCAAGATCTCTATTTTAACTCCTAACATATATAGTGAATTTTTCGATGAAACTCTCAAATTCCATTACTTACTTAGGCCGTATTCGAGTTGCCGCTCCGTTGTGCTCTTCAGGATGTACCTCAGCTCCTCGTTCTCCGGCCGTTCCGCAATCGCGCGCTCCGCGGCTTCTTTTAACGCCCAACGTAGGATCGGCTCATGTTCCTTTTGCCATTCTTGCTGAGCTGTTTGCACGCTATTCACACACAATTCGTACATTTGCTCCGAAAAACCAAAGAGCCTTCGCGAAAAATAATTTTAAATATCGGTGATTACCTAGTCGCTTTTAAAATGTAAGACTGTCCGTCGCACTCGTAATGATCATTGAGAAGAGTACAATGTGTGAGAAGCGTCTGAAATGTGACCTCTTTCAATTCCGTCGGTACCCACCCTGTGGTATAATTTGTTCCCGTCAACAGCTGAAAGGATAACAAATGGACACTCTTTTGCATCCCCAGCGTGTGTGCTGAGAATATAAGAGAAGAGGTAAAATAAGACAGTGACATATGCGCGGTGTAAAATGAGAATTTATGGTAAGATATGAGTGTTTTTATAGGACAACAGTAATTGTATACATGGTAACCCGTTCAAGAAAAAAAACTTGTTTCAGTATCTCGAACGTATGCACTTCCTAATTCCACGTGATGAGGAAAACAAACATATAACGGCGGCAAAAAGTCACTCACCAAAAGAAAAGATCCCCTGGAGTGTCGGTGAGATGCGCTTATTTCCTCCAGAAAGTATTTCGCCAGATGTGGATTAACGTCCGGATTGTCGCTCGTTCCATATTGCATGTCCATCAAAAGCACCTGCGCAGGCCATATAAGCGTACGTTTCGCGGGTAGATAGTCATCAAAGATGAAATGAATTCACTGACTGACCTCGATTCCCATGTCGTCGTAGATTGATTGTAACTCCGGACCGACTATTTCCAGCAGCTGTTTGCGCTCCTCCGGGAAGTCTAGGCGCAGTTATCGAACAAATTTAATTCCACGTTAGTGCAAGTAGTTTTCTTTTGCAACTTGTTTCAATTTTTACCCGAGTAGTGTTTATTTAAAATATTTATTAAACTTTGTTGAGAAAATTGTATTTCCGCAGTAAACACGCCAAGAGTTTCGTTTATCATATATCACGTAATAAGAGAAAGAAACAAAAACTGGATTTCACTTTTCGAAATTTTGCACTTACCGTCTCTCTCGCTGGCGATGAATATCTTGATGAGCCTCGGCGCCGGTAGATGCGCAGGGGGCAGACCGCCCTTAACGACCCCCGCAATCAGTTCCACCTCGAGATTCATGTTTGTAAGAGTTTCCGCTATTCGATTTAGCCGATAATCATTGCTTTACACACACCCTTACACGTCCCACTCGATGTACAGGAACTCCATTTCACGGAGAACCTGGGATATTTTTATCTTCGATTCGTAATAATGTTGTACTGTTCGATCGCCAGCTTCACTGACCGCTTTGTCACTTAAGGACTTTTTCTTGGATTGTTTTTGGATTTGTTTTTTTTTTTTTTTTTTTTGGAGCTATTGTATGTCTTATTAAATAACTTTTTGAAATTTTTTCTTATATATATATATATATATGTATATGTATATATATATTTATTTGTTTTTTTCAACTCACATAAATTCTCGCATGTCTCTTCGTACGGACGTTTGGACTGTTTAATATAAGCTTATATCCGAGTCTTTTGTGTAGTCTGGACGTACGTGTAGTACTTAGAGAAGCTTTGATCACTAGATTGTTATATATATATATATCTTTCAATATTGGACCTTCAAATTGCGTCCGTGAGGTATTATATCTTCTTGAAATTGCTTATCATTGAATTTCTTTTGCGTTTATTTTCTGACTTTCAGATCGGCTGTGTCGCCTCGCAAGATATATTTGCATATATTGATATATTTGATCGTTCCGGCGATCAATAATCAAATAATTTTAATCAATGTACAATAATCGAATCTCTCTCAACAAATCAATTTCTCTCTTTTCGATCTTGCAGCTCATTTATATATTCTCTCTCTCTCTTTTATATTTGTATACATATATCTATATGTATATATATATTCTTAACATATATATTTATTTATTTTTATACATATACATTTATTTATTAATTCGGTAACTAGTTAACTGTCTACGATTGTCTTCGCTTACAGATGCAATGTGTGTTACATTAATATGTTAATAATATTTTTTTAGGCGATACCCTCGAGTTTGTCTCTCCGATATCCATCCCATCGATCGCTAAGCAACATATAGATCGATGAATTGGCGAAAGCGATCAAATCGCCTTCCGATCTCGTTAGTTTGTACTTGTCCCGAACGTGCTCATTTGGTCGTTGCCTGTTGGCCGACGGGCCGGACGTGACGGGCTTGAGGGAAGTTTATCAAGGCCCTGTTGTTGCGCATCCTATGTTCCCATTTTAAGAACGAGGACCTTCTGCAAACGGAAATAGGATACTCCGATATGCAATAGAACCCGATATTAGAGTTTCTCTCGACGTTCGATCGATCGGTCTGTAACTCTCTTGTATGACGACTTAATTTAATCATATTTTATTATATTGCTTATTTTCTCTCTCTCTCTCTCTCTCTCTTTTTCTTTCTCTCTCACTCATTCATTCACTCACTCTTTCTCTCACAGATTAAAGCCCAACGTGATATCGACGAGATGTATCCCGCTCGCGCACGCTCGCGCGCCAAAGTCGAATCGATCCGGCTTACTTTTTACGAATTCAGAGCGTGCGTGCCGCATTTTACGCACAAGAAGATACAAGAAGAAGTGTTTTCCATTTATCACACAAGATTTGCGTTTTGACTCGAGTCAATTGAAGTCAATAGCTCCGAGTGCGACAAATAGAAAGCACTTATTTGCGCGAACTCGTAGCAGAAAGTCAGTAAAGAAGTGACTAAATAAAAAACAATAGTTTTTTCGGCGGGTTCATAAAGTGTATCAATTTCTTCTCCATCCGTTTTATCTTGTCTCAATTCTGGCTACGATCTCCGCGCAATTTATTCGAATGTATCGATAATTTAAAATTCACAAGACGCAATCTCTTTTTCTCTCTTTCTCTCTCATCAACGCCTGTCAGATACACGCAACGGCGGCATTGCGATTCGCGTTGAATGTACATACATATGTGTGTGTATATATGTGTACAAGACTGCCCGCAGTTGGTATGAACTTTTGACCCGGTCCACCACACGCGGTTCAACCCCTCGTAGCTATTATTACCCCCCTTGCGGAGTTTCGAAATAGGGAAATGTCGTCGGAACACATGCGGTTCAAGAGATCTGTACTTTCTAAAATTGCAAATCAGACTCGGTTAGAATCACCAACACGACAATCGATAATATAAATGAAAATGAAAATGAATTTAAGAATAAAACTAAATTAAGTTGAATAATTGTTTTTCAAAATTGAGATAAAAATCAAGTTTATTAATAATTACATATTATTGTGAAGGACACACATATATAAAACGTTTTTTTTTTTTTATATATTTTTGAATATTTTTTTAAATAATAAAGTATGTATTCTTATGTAATGTATACTAGCGCAATTTTTTGCACGCTCGTTCACAAGAGAAAGAAATGATTGATAACAATGAAATGCATTTTCAGCTACAATGGTATTTGCAGACAAATCTCGGAATACGTGTTGCATCAGAGAAGGTGGAGAACGGGCGTACGTATACATGTGCAAATGTTTGCTATTCCGCGCACACACTCGAGCTATACGTCGGACACAGCAAACAAGCTTTGCGCCCGCCAAGTGTCGGCTACAATTATCCTTGCGATGAAGATCAACCGTATGAATCAGTGATGAAACAGAAGAGCTCGTGTTTGAGAATGTCGGATCCGAAATTATCGAAGAGAGATTTTGGTTAAAACTTCTGCGACATTTTTTGTGTTGGCACTAACACCAACAAAGAAGAGAATCGCTGATCGTTATTGAGAGAAAAAGCGGAGACGAGGAGAATCTGTTGACACGAAGGGCGACGATATAAGAAGTTAAAAATAAAGAAATTACCGTCTCTCTTCTAGAGAATTGCTAAACATAGGTAGAGTCCGGCCAGTTTATCTTCCGCCAATCGTCAAACGTATGTCTCTTAAACGTGCATTTGTTTACTCTTGACACTTGAACCGTGGTATAGAATTTCCTTAGCAAATGTCACCGATTTGCAACGAGGTTTTTAAAAGATATCTAATTTTAGCGCGTTTTCAACATATCAATTGTTTGCTGCGGAGAATGCACGTTTTCAGAAATTGTACGAAAAGAACATGACAATACGGTTAAGATAGCGCAAATTTTTCGGTGATTCTCAATTACTCGCTTTATCTGCTATTTGCATATACACGGTTGCTATCGCGCTCCTCCATCTTTTGCCAAATTACGAAGGGACGATTGATAAGTATTCAAAAGGAAGCATAGATAACGACAATAGTAAATTGCTGTTGTCGTTGACATTCTTCAAAAAAACAATGTCAAATGTTGACTCATTATTGCACATAATGTTCGAAGCATGATCTGAATCAGAAAAAATGATTTGGTGGAAAGAAATTTTTGAGCAACAATAAAGTTATTGATGCCGCAAAGAGCACTATTTTGACGAGTTATCGCACAATCACTACGTCCGATAATGAGCCAGCGTTTGACGTTTGTTCCTCTACTCTTCTACAGAGTACTAAACTTTTCAACGACAACAGTAATATGAGTCTTCTTTTGTTTTGTTTTTTTTTTTTGTGACTCACGGGCTTTAGAAGTTCCGCCCATTCTGAAAGTCAGCAAGATGATCTTACTGTCGCTATTTATGCGTCGTTTTGGATACTTATCAATCGCTCCACATTATTTGTATCCGTTACGCGATCGTGACCAAGAATCGCTCGCACGTTTCGATATAAATTTTCGGTCACGCTTATTAGAAGAAAACAGTTTCAATCAAGATCGTGTGCATTCTCGAAATACAAAATTATCAAACATAAGATGTCGTGTCATACTCCTTTTCCAGAAACCGATTCTTCTGTCTTGTTTCTCTTTATATCCCTCCTCCCAATGTTCTATTTGAATCTCGCTGGAAATTCTATTCCCCCCCTCCTCTCTCTCTATGTTTTATCAGACCACGATCGACCACCATCGAAGTGGTCGCCGTCGCCGCCGCCGCTACCCCCGGAGAGATGTTACGGGAAAAGTGATGGAAAAATCGCGCGGTGCGAGTCCCGCATCGTCAGTCCCGGCCAATACGGAACTTTTAAAGAGGTAAGAAGAGATCCAGTCAAAACACACATTAGGCTTACCAGGTCGTCGAGCAGCTATTGTGGCGAAAGGCCTTCTCCTGCTCACGCGCGGACGACGGCACCACTACTGATAACGCGGAGTCAAACGGCCGACGCCTCCACTAAAGCGCCGAACGCGGAGCGCCGACGCCGACGCCGAACGTCGGCGTGGACAAGAGTAGGGGAGTAATATTATTGGATAAGTGCAAAAGTTTTAATGGATTTTGTGAAAAGTGGACCAAACACTTTTATTAAAAACGATTTATTCATTCAACCAACTAATTCCTATTGTTTTCTATTATCTTTTGATAGCACACATTTGTACGCTTTTACTATAAAAAATGACCAGTTTTTTGTCGAATGAAGAAACGTGCTTTTGTAGATCCGTGAAAAGAAGCGAATTTTTCACTGTTTTGTAACAATCAAAACAAATAATATTTTGATGAAGCGATATTAGTAGAGCACGGCAGATGTAATGAGAGATCTCACTATTTAGTTTCTTGAGCTTGCATTGCAACAAAGTGTAGAACCTGGACTGTTGTCTTGATGGAAAATAAAAGTTTTCCGTTCAACCGAAACTGGGTGGTTTTCTTTAATTGCTGTCTTCAAATTGTCCAATTTGTGACAACACTTATTAAAATTGATCATTTCGTCGAAGACTCAACTCTTAAAATATCACACTAATCTCAGTATATAGCATATTTTTCCGAGAGTACAAATCGGTTTTTCGCACAAGCTGACCGCATTAATTTTTCTACTTCTAAGTCCGGATATTTACATATTTATAAATGTTGCCATAAAACTGCGTTAGATCATGACATTTTTGACAAACCCATCAAAACCTTTGCATTCACCCAATACAATACATCGATATTATTCGAAAATCGATTCATTTGTTATTATCTGCATTGTAGAAATTTTCGTGAATTCAATACGCACTTGCATACATCGTCAATCCCTACGTATAATCCTGTAACTCCAAAACGCAAATTTTAGAGGAGAGCAGTTTAAAAATTTAAAGCTTCATATAAGTTCCTTAGTTAAGGGATCTTTTGGTTTTAAATTTTTACTTATAAATATTTTTGTTTAATATTTGGTGACCATAAAGACCATGACTTTCTCAGTGTCACTATGCAATAAACTGAAAATCCCGTATGTGACACTTATGTAATTATACGTAGGGAATGACGATATACGCACATAAATAAATAAATACGCAAATATATACTTGTACACTTACGCATATTGTGTGTACAAGATCGTGACACAATTCATTAGACAACATTAGAAAAGATCAGACAACGCTTTTATGACGGCTGAAAAAAGAAGCAACTGACGAAACGATTCTCTGTAATATACGAAATAGAAACGCGGCGCACGGTTTGAGACGAGGATTAGTAAAGGATGTTAAAAGAAGATATATACAATATATTGTGTATTTTTTTTTGTATAATATACTATACGTATAATATAACTATCTATGTATATGTACATAATATATTATATAATAGTAACCAATATCATTATATATATATATATGTGTATATATATATATATATATATATATGTATGACAATCGATAAATAAATAATAGATCAAACTGTCATTTTTTTACCTTTTTTTTTACATTTTTTAATCTATTATTACTTCCGGCATTATAATAAAACGGTGAAAAAAGAACAATCCCAGAAAAACCTCGTTTGGCAGCATCGACAAAGTTGAACGAGCACAAAATTACGTTTTTGTTATTTCTTTTTTTTACAGTATTTATTTATTATTTATTGTAACACTCGCCACAGTTGTGTCTATACTGTTCTCTATAACTTTATTTGCTTATAAAGTCTTTTATAAGACGAGAGCTCAATCACCCCAACGATCAATTGTTATCTTACACTCATGTGAAATTCATTTTGCCTATCTTTTTACAATTAATTACTTAATTAGTTCACTTGCAATAATTCTTCGATTGCAACGAGTTCAGTTCGAGTGTGTGTTTCATAATTATCATTTTCTACTTTATTCGCTGCAAAATCTAATTTTACAACGTAGGTAGATTAACAACATGTCACTGTCTAACGCGAATGACATATATAGTGATTAATATTATGTAACTTGTTCACGGAGTTTTTATGTGTGTTGTGTTTCTACTTATTATATAAATTTTTGTTGTTTGGTGATTAAAATGCGAAGTACATTGTTCATCACCATAAAACATTTTCGCAACGCGCGTTCTACAAATTTTATCATTGTTATACCGAAAATGTGAACTTGCACTCAATTCCGTTAATATTCCATTCCTTTTATACGTACAATTATATTCGTAAATAATATTTTTTTACGATTTCAGAGATGAGATAAGAACACTTGTACAGTAAACTGCGATCGTAATAACGATATACAACAATCCGTATCGATCGAATAATACGAAGATTCAGAAAATATGTAGAATATATGAGACAAACGAAATCTCAAATTATTTATGTGAACGTGTATCATCTAAGAAAAAACACGTTAATTATTTTAATACCAATTATTGTTCTTTAAAAAAAGACTTCCTTGCTAAATAAACAAGAATTTCGCGGATTATAATAGTTATACCTCAAAATCGTAAAAAATCCGATATTATTCACTTAGACGAGCTGAAACGAAGAAATTCTTCAGAGAAGAATAGAGACCAGCTGTCGTGCAGTCGCATTAGTTTGTGACGTCAAAGGCAAGAAATAACGTACGATTTTCGCGAGTTCTTCTCTCATCTTTTAGTTTTTCATAAAAAGTTAATATCTGGTATTGTGATGGCTTAGTGGGTGTACGAAGATGACACCCTATACACCAGTAAAAACTTAATATTATGCGAAGTACAGAACGGGATGTTAATGCTTTTACACATAAAGTTGTGCTTTTCACTTAAGATATTATTGAGGCATTATTTGTACAATTTTATATGTAAATGCATAAACGCTCTTGCCTGTATATATGCCGCAAACTTAATTCAAGCGAAGATGCATTGCGAAAATCGAAAAATTGAATGTGACAGCTTAACTGTTTTCTCAATCGCCAGTAACAGTTGAGAAAAAACAAGTATAGCTACTTTGGCCATTGTTTAAATCGTGAAAATCACATCGTCAGATGTGACAAAGTTCTTGATATATTTTGCAGGTTTCAGAATTGTAACAATATTGTTTGTCGAAAAAGTAGAATTTTAAGCTCTGTAGGTAGCAATAGTTACTACGTACTACGTTACGTCGTTTCTCGCTTCTGACGTGACAAACCGATACTTAAAATGGATACGCGCAATAAAATACATTTATATTAGTACATTGCAGTTATCGTCGATAGAGGATCATAATATTGCTAATGATAATAACAATAATTACAATCTATAATTAAATGCGTCAGTGTCTTTCAATAAGGCTATCACTGTTAACATAAGTAGATGGCATAAGTAGAAATTTGAATCGCGCGACATGTTTGTTCATATGACCCACCACCAATCGATGCACCGTGACGGACTCGTGATCACGCGATTCCTTAGTTCTTGTTGCGATGACTCCATGATTTACAAATCCTAATAATTATAACACTTTCGGCACCACCTAGTTGTTTTACTTTTTAAATAATTCCTTACGTCGGTCACTCCTTTACTTGTGTCTTAAGATGCTGCAAGAACTCGTAATAACTAAGAGATGATTCAAATCGGTCTTCTATCAATCGTTCGACGAACAATGTTTTAAAGTGGCTATCATCCCTAAAAACATCATTTACAGCATTATAGAACATAATATATGTCACGTTAGCCAAAAGTATACTTAAAATGAAATCTTAATTTGAATCAAATATACATTAAATATTAATGCAAATTATATTCTTATTGTTGAGAATTATACATATAATTGTACATAATTAATATAATATTCTAAAAACTTGTAAAAATTCTAAAAAGATAAAGGGGATTATTATATGAATATCAATAAAAATGTGTATATTACTTCTACAAGTACTCAATATATTTTTTTAATTGTAAAACGTTTTCTTTTACCTGATAATTTGTATAGGCGCGTAGTGCGGCTTTTCTTCTTGCAAACTGAATACGAAATTTCGCAACTGTTCATTTTCCGCTGTGTCCAACTGTGGCAACTCGTACTGTACCATAAATGCAATTGAATTACTCTTATATTCTCCAGAAAGATAAATTGCAAATTATATAATTTTCATCTTTCGGACACGCGCAAAACGCCCGACAAAAATGTCAATGCATTTACCATTTCTTCCGGGATAGCTGCAAATCCCGGAACTCCGAATAATTTAGAACAGTAAAGCGGATTGACGTTCTTCCCGACGTAAATGAAGATCCTATCGCCGGCGTCCATCAGAAACACACCTCGGAAGTCGAGTTTCTCCGCGGATAGATGAATCCGCGGTGGCTGCGGACAAACCTTGCCGTCGATGTCCTTTGAGTTGCGATCGTCAAGCGCATGCACGGCGTATAAATCCGGATAAATCATCTGCATCAACTGCGCTAACGGTAATGTTTTCAATTGGAACATAAAGAACACACGATCGTCCAAGCGCGTGTTTGTGCCGGACCTGAAAGCTATCTATAAATTTGCAGTAAAAATATTCTATTATTTTCGCTGAAGAGAAACAAATGTATCTCAATGTGAAATATCTATAACATATGGAATATTGATTACGTACGGTTTTTAACAGCGCAATGATATATAGCGGTAACAACTTTAAACTTCCTGGAGCAAGAAGTCCTCCAGTGCTGGAAGATTGTAACACCTTGTATGCGGACAAGACGTCGATAGCGACATTGGTTAATGCGTCTCTCGCGTCCGACAAAGACGACTGAAGTGATCGATCGACAGCTAAAAAAACACAATTAACAAATATTATTTACGTGTTGTTTTGACAATTAAAAAAAACTCTAACTTAGACAACAATAAATATGTTATCAGTAAAGTTTACATACAAATTCACAGCAAACTAAAAAACCGACTTACCCATTTTTGACAACAAGCCTATTATGCATTGCTGATCCGCGGAGTGCATGACGTCCGATAAGTTTGCCACAACCGGCAGACACAAAGTATGTACTCTAATTCTTCGTTCACCTTTTAGTATAAATTGCGATGTAAGAAATGCGATGTAAATGTTCACGGTAAAATACTAAACAAAATGTATGTAATTACCTTTGCTCGAGGTATAAAGAAGAGATGCTTGGAAGCACACGTACTGCAAATCAGACAGATTCTCGTCGATGGAGATTTGCATGCCAAAGCCGGCGTCCGGATTGATGTTCGGCAAGACAAGAAGATCGGTCGAGCGAACGAAAAAGCTGCCATGGAACGCGTGGATGTTGAGACCGCGGGTGCAACGAAGCCGCATCACTGCTTCGAAACCGATCTTCCTAGTCAAGTAACGGCGGAGCACTCTCTCCAGCGTCTCGGCGCTTTGCAACTTCGACGCTCGAAACAGGGGCAGATGATGAATGCAACCGCCCGTGAATTTTGACATACATGCTGCGGTAAACAGGTGTAAAAAAAAAAAAAATCACATTTACCGATTCATATTATTAATTTGTATAACGAAAGAAATTTGTTCAATGAGAAAATTTATCTTTGTTTCTTGGATTACATATTAATATCGCGGAAAATCTTATTACTTACACAAAGTCGCTAGATCGCTGTACTGACTGTTTAACAAGAACAAATCGATCGCGATCTGCTGTCCGCTGCAATCCAGAGCGAACCTCTTATAGAAGTCCGTTGCGGGATTGAGATGTGGCACATCCTTGTTTGTTCTGGTGTTGGGGTCTTCGCGCGGGTGCAAGGCACCTGGGCCGAGATTAGGCAGACACGTCTGAAACACGGTAACGCGACCTCCAGTGGGGGAGAGTAGCTTGAACGCGGCTTGAAGGCCGGCCCCGAGAGCGCTGTTAGTGTCGTGAGTGCCGCAGAACTTGCTGGGCAGCTGAGCGAGAAGATCGCGCAAGAGTTCTTCACGTTCTCTCAGATTGACAATCAGATTCTCTGGACACGGTAAAAATACGTCATCGATGTCCAGCATGATCATTTCGTGCGGCTGCGAAACGTTATCGGGCATACTGAAGAAGTGCAGAGCGGAGTCAACAGCAAGAAAGCCGACTTGCGTGCGACTATCGCCTGGCAGACGCGACAGTTCGTCGGTGATCGTGTTGCAGACAATTTGCAAATAGCCACTCTCCACCGCAAGACGAGAAACATCCATCACGAAGAGGTAAACAGCAGGTTGAGGCGGACGGACCTGAAATTCATAATACAGTCGATGTCAAGTGATGAAGCTTTTTCTTTCTCTCGCAATCAGAAAAATAGATTTTATAATTAAATACGTAAACATTGTCATTTTATTTACAAGTACTATCTGAATTTACTTTTATATGTGTGTGTGAATATATAACATTAAAAAAATAATCACTAACCATGTATTCGCTTGGTGCAATAAACTCTATTGTACCAGTTCTGACCTCTGGCCGTCGTAATGGATCGCCATACGATTTTGTCACAGGATCGAATAAAAACTCTTCAGGAACTGTGGTAACACGTAATTACACGTAAATACACGTAATTAATTTGTAATATATAAATACACGCAATACAAACACCAAAAAAAAAACATCGAGTACAAATAAAAAAAAAAAAAAAAAAACAGATAAAATTGGAATAAGTTTATTACGTTCATTGAGCCTAGAGCAAAGATTGCATTTCCATCTTCTCAAATCAATAATGTCTACAAACGGGTTGATGTATGTTCTACAAACTCGACAACGCACGATAGTATTACACTGAATTACCGCCAAGTGCTGCTGTAACGAATTAACGAAAGTTTCAGTATATATTTAATTGTACAAAAAAATCTCTCTAAAAAAAAATTACAAATAGTAACATTTACATACAATTAGATCTTTAAAGGGATGTATCAACACGCCGAATGGCAATCGTGACTTCTGTAAAAGCGCATTCGATTCTGGAACCTTCGTCAGTGTACACCTGAATATACTGCAATCATACATTTCAGTAAGAGAAATATTCACGTACGGAAAATATTTTTAGTAATAAAATATTTTTTTTTTGTTATAAATATACTAATTCTTAAATAGACTTACTCAGGACTACAATTAATGCTATTCAGGAATTCTTGATGCAAGTTGATCTTTGGTGGCTCGACTTTTTCAGGTGGCAGTACATTTCTGCATTGTAAAAGATCTATTGATTCCACTCCCTGCAATGTTATCGACACAGTGAAACAATGCATTTTTACACTCAATTACGTACATGATTGTACTGCTTCAGTAATAAATAAATACCCATAATTTGTTAAAGCCACCTTGGGCGATATTCATATTGCTCATCTGATGATTTACTTGGTTAAATTGATCAGGATACGTACTGGGATATCTTCTATTTAGATTCGAGTCTAACGGTACATTTGGACTGAGATACTGAGAACGAGCATCATACTAAAACCACAAATAAGAATATTGAAATTTATTAAATTTATTATTGATAAGTATTCAAAACAACGCATAGATAGCAAAGGTACCATAACATTGGTGTTGACAAAGTTCAATTTTCAAAAGAACAAATGTAAAACGCTCATTATCGCACGTAATGTTGTGTGAAAACTCGTCTGTCTGATACTGTCATCTATGCCTCGTTTTGGATATTTATATCAATTGTCCCGCTTTTAAAACCGTCAACGTTATTTTCTGATTTCATTACCATCTGATGTCCCGAGGGAGGCGGCATTCCCGATAGCGGTGGTTTCACGCTATGCATCTGATTTGCTGTCGAAGGCGGCGCAATAGTTCTTGGAGGTCCTGATAGTGCAACAGTATCCTGTTGCGGATAATTTCTCTGACCAGGCAGATTTTGATGTACATTCTGTCCCGCGTAGCCAGTAAGTAAATTTTGTTGAGGCTGAGAAAGCGAGGAATAATCCTGAGGATTTCGTAAACCTATATTGTGAGCTTGCGACGTGGAGAACAAGTTCTGCGCACTGGGGTTCGCTATTGATGCCGTACTGAATACATTTTGCGCACCAAGGCTTGTCATTGACGACGTACTGAATACATTCTGTGAATCTCCGTACTTAAATTGAGAACTGTTTTCGGAAGAACCAATTGCCGATTGCGTTAGAACATTCTGAGTTCTCGTGGATTGTTCGCTGAAGGTCGCTAGATTTTGTTGTACGTGGCTGTTTTGATTCGGAGCGATGTTCGAAGAAGGTATATTGGACGTGTGTGAAGGAGGAATAGAATGACTTTGATCGTGTGCCGAAGTCTTGCTTACTCTAGTGAAAAGTGTTTGACTCGCCACAGTTTGAGCTACGGAGACTTGACTAGTCTTATCGATGCTACTGGATATTCCGCTCACAGTGCTCTGTGGAATGTTAGAAGGCGGAGGATTAAGCGCCCATTGAGAATTTTGATTCGCTTGAACGTGCTCTGATTTAACAGGATCCGAGGACGTCGAGGATGATGAAGATTCCGGTTTCTTAACCAGTGGAGATATCTGACTCGTAGAAATCATGGATCTGTGCTGAATTTCTTGGCTGAGCTGAGATGTGAACTCAGTTGACGGTGTACTTTGAAGAGGGATATTGCTCTGTTGAGCACTGGGAATATACTGACTATGACCACTAGGATTTACAGAACTGTATAGTTGTGATGTTCTAGATGGTGGAGGCAACACACTTTGAGGCCCACTTATCGGTGGCATCGGTGGCCGAGACAACTGAGGTCGATATTGATTGTGAAGATATTGAGTTGGTGACGGATCTCTAGAAGTCTCCCTGGACGGATCGCGTGATGATTGCGATGATGGTGTACCTGAAAATATATATGTTACAGCTAATTTGAAACTTCAACAAATTTTCCAAGTGACACTCATCTCATGCTTGTATAAGAAACTCACCAGCTAAATTGAACTGAGGAGATTGCATGCCATTTTGCTGAGGTACAGAATTTTGACCATTTACTATTGGTGATGGATTATTTTTTAAGGAATTGTTGGGTTCTGTATACAATGGATACTGATAGCTGCTTGGTTGAGACATTTTGTTGCTTTCAAATCACTGCAATAAAGTGTATTATTTAGAACATAACGCTACCTTCTATATATAATACACACACATACACACAAAATGCTATCTATTATACAAACACTATCTTGTCTGATGAAGATTATTGTCCTCAATAAATCTAATATAAAGTGTATTATACTAACAGTACAAGTCTTATAATTGACTATTATTTTAATTTTTCTCATATGTGATATATTAAAAAGCATACATAATACAGTACTACCCCACAGCAACAAAAATCTTACAATATGTCAAAATACATAGTTTCCAGATACATAGCAACTTGCTCAAGCTCTCTCTTTTCCCCTCTTTCTTCTCATCCTTCTTTCTCTCTGTCAATCTATCTTTCTCTAATAAGAAATCTTACACACACATACATACACTAACACTGCAAGAAATAGCGAAACTTTGGGACGAGAAAATTGGCTTGTTCAGCAACAACTAAATCTTTAATTGCATCTTAATAATTGGCGAGAAGAAAATATAGATCAGAGAAATGTTAATAACGTGTGAGGCATGGCAAAGCGCATTGTCAGCGTGCTGGAGAGGTTAAAGTGCGAAGGACGGGCCTGTAGATGTCTGGACCGTCCTACTTGCCTTTATTAGTGACGCGAGTCATCCGAAATTAGGAATAAATAGACTCAGATTCGTGCATTGCCCGAATTGCCACTTATTATCCGTGCGGTCTTGTGGTACGGCAGGACAATAGCAGCAAATAGCGAAAGAGCGAACAGCACACACAACATTACGTGGCAGCTCCCGCGACCGCCGCGCCGTGACATAGACAACGGCACGTGACAGTACCAGACGGCATTGCAAAAGGTTGATACCGCCTCCATTTCGAATGCTCTATTATACGTATTATATTTACTATATATACTACACACGTAAATTTTATACGCACGCTTATTAGATAAATAAAAAATATACACAAATTGGTTTTTAAATACACAAATATATTTATTTTTTTTTTTTTCCATATTATATGCTTTACATGCAAAATGTATATAAAATTACACTGAATTACGCTACATAAAAGGTATTAAGTATAAAAGTAAGAACGAAATAAAAATCTCAACACGTAAGAAGATGAATTTTTTTATAAGGCGCATGTTATAGAATATATACTTTTTCTCTCTCTCTCTCTCTCTCTCAAACGCAGTCATTAGAGAAATTTGCACAGCTCTTTGGAATGATGCAAAAGACAACGGTAAAAATGAGAACGCGATGGAAGATGCGTGACCTCTCACTCCTTTATTGTTTCACAATCGACATTTCTCCTTCCAAGCATCGTCATTAAATTAGCGAGTTGCGATTTTAGGTCCTCAGCACAATCTTCGTTTTCGTTCGGGCAAACAGCTTTACACGCTTCAAGTAACTCCCGCTGATTTAAATGTTCTTTCAGTCGGTCTTAAATAATGAGAAGAATTATTGCGTGATTCCAAATATCGAACAATCCTATTGTATATTCATATATTTGCTGGTACTTTTCAAAATACCTGATCCCGATGCGACACACTGCAATACAGACAGAGCATTCAGCACGATGTGCGCGTCGAGACTCTTGGCGGATTTTTCGAGAAACGAGCGCATCTTACTCCCAAAATCGTTATTAATCAGCGCGACTTCAGATTCCGCCAGACAAACTTTCGTTATTATCTTTAGACTTACGAGCGCTTCGTTTTGCATAAGTGGATGCTGAGCCAGAAGCATATCTACCAAAGGCTTCATCGCGCCGTTTCTTATAACCAACAAGACGATTTGCTTGTCTCTAAAGCCAAAACCTTACGTATATAAAGTTAAAGAATTATTCATAAAGCTCTGAAAACAAACCTGCTATTGTTTATCAGCCAGGCTATTAATCGACTCGCTTCAGCCTCAGTTCTGGGACAGTCAACGTCGCACCACTTAACAAGTTGTTCAATGAATCCTTCTTTTTGTGCCAAAGAGATTGCTGATTCTCCTAAAGCAAAGTAACTGAGATCATTATGTCATTCTTATAGATTTGTATTATATATAATGTTGCTTGATTTTTGAGAGGAGTTCTAAGACACTTACTTTGGCCACCTATGGCTATTCTAAACGTGCCCAACAAATAAGGAATGACAAGTAAATTAGGATTGTCTAACATCGTATAAAGTATTTCGAACAGACCATCGGCGAGTAGTATCGGTTTATTTTCCGCGTGTATGGCAAGACGGTGTAGAATACCGAGCAAGCCGCACTGAAGTTTAACGCTGTCAGACGCATAGTTACATTTCTTGAGAACACGCAACACTTTCTGATGAAGATTCTGCTCGACCATGCGCTTGCAATGTTCGTCGTTACATGCGAAGTTGTTTACAGCTATCACAGCAGTATACTGAACGAGTAGTTCAGCGTTTTCCAGCCATTCCACTAATTTGTGGTAGACAATGCCTTTGTCGTCGTCGTAAAGTAATTTTATACTGTCATCTAAATAAAAAAATAGCACGTTTGTTAGAGCTGAGTTTTTGAATTTTATGAGTTTTTTCTCGCACTCACCTCTACTGCAGTATTCAAGAATCATATTGCAAGCGAACTGCAAGACGGATCGCTTATCTTCGTCGTTACAGTATGGACCATATTTTTCCACAAATTTGCAAATCAATTCGCACGCTCCTGTTTTGATTAGTGATAATCTTACTTTTTCTGAGAAAAACACAATATAATTATATTACTAGAATTTGCATATTATAATTTAAATGATAATGTTAATAATCTAATTCAATATTGACTTGCCATCTTTTATTACTCGATCATGCATGATCTCTAAGCATATTTCCCAACATTCAAAGGAAGCGTTACTGGCCAGTATATTAAACAACAGTTTTTGTAATTTTTCATCGAAAACAATAAAGTCATTTATAATTTCAATAATGCGTAACGCGTGCATTACTGCTTCATTGCTGGATGCACCTGCTTCCAAGACGTTGGTAACAACCGTAATTATTTTGTGAAGCAATGACTGTAGAGCAAAAAACATATACAAAGATTAAATTATCGCTATATATATCAGGCTTTTAGAAACTTTGTTTATTACCTGGTTTGTGTGAATTTCTTTGTAGAACACTAAAAAATTTAACAATAATCCAGTAGCCACCTCCCGCAAAAAACTAGCACCCTCAGTATCTTTCAACGCAACACTTTTTTCCAGAACGGTTAAGATTATTTCCGCACCACCTTGATCTGCTATCAGCTTGTTACCACTTACTACAAAAAAGTATACAAGTGATATTTTCCATAGTAATGCAGCATTTATTCTTGTAAATATTTACTACATAGACAAAGATGTTATCTGTATAAATATATGTAAGAAAAACCTTAATAACTTATTTTATAGAAAAATGGAGAATAAATTTAGATATAACAACCATTCTCGTAGCAAATGTTTCCTAAAGCTCTGCAAGCTTGTGCAAGTACGTCTACATTTTCTTCTTTCAAAAGATTTGTCAACGCTCGTACCACTTCCTTACTAGTACACTTCTCTCTTCCTCTGTCAGTCTTTGAGATCTCAGCTATGACATTTGCTGTCTTCGATACAATCCTTTTAGACTTGTGTGCAAGCAACAGGATCAGAAAGACTTCCTCTAAATTGGTGTTAGCTAAAATCATATGTTACCACTGAACACAACTGTTGGAAATTGTGTGTACTGTAAAATTAAATTTGTAATGACTCAATTTTTTTTTTTTACAACAACCTGTTTATTGTTTTTCTACTATACCTTCTATAGATTTGTTACAGTTTGCTATGTTTTGCAAATTTATTATACAGTCCCGCAGCTTAGAAGTGTGATCAGAACATACATCTTGTAACTTCTCGTTTCCCATTGTACATCTTAGATTGTCCAAGAGTTTCTCGAGATCACTCTCCGATTTGTCTGTGTCGCAAATTGTGCACGAATTCTCTACAGCAATATCTATAGTGTGTTAGAAACAAACGAAAGTAAAATATATTGCAGAAAATGAGACTAAATAGAAGTGTGACAGAAAACGATCGAGTACCTGCCATGCTTTCTCACGTGTCACTCTTTGTTTACAACTCTTTTCTTTAAACCCAATAAAACAATATCAAGAAAAATCTTGTACGTGATTTTTTTGATCAGTTTTGGTGTGTAGAGAGTTGTGTGGACGATGTACGGGTCGGCAAGTTTGTTTTCCAGATTCAAGATAATGTATGATTGTCCTTTTCCATCTGCACTAGAGTAGCGCTGCGCCGAAATCAACTGGAGCTGGAACCAGAACAAGCTGACTCGCGAGGACGAGGACTGCTTTTGCTCACTTTTGTTTGTGTCCTGATCAAAAGTCTATTGCAGTCTAGTGCGCAGCCTAGATGAAAGAAAAACGAACAAATTGCGGCCGGGAGATTTAAAAATGGCGGATACCGTCGGCTACTTCTGGTTCGAGTAATTTGCACGGCGATGGCAGATGATGGCAGAGTCAAAGGATATCGCAGAATTATCCACGGCAAAATCTACAAAACGAGAGGAGAGAATTTATGGTAATATTGAACTCCAGAATCACATTGTGATGTATATAGTAGTATATATTTGTACGCATATTAACTTGATTTGATTTTTTAGTAGCTCTCCAATAATAACCTGTTCATACACCAGTTCATTGCATTTGCATATTACTAACAATAAAGATAACTTTATTTTTTGCTAAAGTAAGATTTTTTGTAAAAAAGCGCGGTTAACAATTCTGAGATCGAGTTGATTTTGAATAAATAAATATATATTTATACATAATGTGTCTAATCCACTTTTATACTTTTGTGTTCTCATTATTGACAATATTAATCTTTTTCACAATTATTAATGTTTCTTAGCTGCAGTATTTCTGAGTACTGTCGCGGGTATTTCTGCTCTCTCTGGCTTTGCTAGAGCAGTGACAATAGCCAGAAGACAAGATCCAAAGTATTTCGGGGAGGGAATATCTGGCATTAAACTCCATGAAACTGGAACTTCGTTGGCGATACGTGCCCTTGGTTGGGGTTCTTTATGCGCTGTTACGGGATGCGGTGTAATTTTCTATGGAATTTGGAGGCTTACTGGTGCCACTAATATGACAGAGTTCAGATTCAAGATGGGTTCTCTGTTGCCAAAGATACCCAAGAACGATCCGCCTCAAAGTAGAACAGAGTTCGAAGGCCTAACAGATCTGCTGACATATATTTCTGAAGATTGGGGACGAAACACAGGTAATTTGTCTTCCTTAATAATATTAGATAAATCCTCTAGACACACTTATTTATAAATCTTTTAAAATTTATATATTTTATTACAAAATGTTAAAAATAGAGTAATCTACTTAAGTTTACTAAATATATACATGATTTTTTAAGTATTTCAAAAGATAAAGTTGTTTATTAAAATATTTAATTAAAAATTAGTTATAATGTTAGCTAACACTTGATCAAAGAGATTTATATCTAAATTATATTAAGTTATTTCACATATTTATATGTATATTTTATTTGTATATATAAAATAAAATTTATACAATTTATTTGAAAATTTTTTTCTTTTTTTTACGCGCAAAAGTTGTGCGTAAAAAACTTTTGGTCTGTTCTACAAAGTTTAAAGATAAACATATTGACGTTATCTTTTGAGATACATAGTAAATCATGATTTAGAAATAAGTAAAATAAGTGATGATTCATTCTTACAGAAATAAAGAAGATGTGAATACGTATGCAATATTATTTGTCGCGTTTATATTATCTTATGCTAATAGATTTATCAATTATTATACGACCTTTGATGTTATTTGAGTCATGTGATCAGTCATACGAGCTGTCGTAGAACATGTGATGTATAATTTGCATACAGTAACGTTGTGCACTTTTTACTTGTATATGCTTCCTGTAAAAAAAAAGCTAGATATTTAAAGCATTGAATGTGACACAACATTTACACATGTTTCTTACAAGAAAATATTCATGTGTGGAAAGACTGTTATATATTTGTATATTGTAAATATATAGTTTATCTACATATGTATAAGAAAATTTATTTGAATACTTTTTCTGTTCCTTCCCTACGCACAAAAGTTTTTTTTTCTAGAACAAAGTTTAACAACAAAAATTTAATCGAACGGCATAATAAAATCGAGATTAATTTATAATGTTGTAATTTTCGATAAAAAAAATTTCGGAGTATATTCAACCAAGTGCAATCAGCGAGACTTGACAGAGTCTCGACCTTTGAGACAAACGAATTTTTGTTTGAAAAAAAAGTTAATCTCACTCGTTATCTAGGTGAGATTGAACACGTCAGAAAAACATACATATGTGTATATGATTTCATATATCATACATACATGATCCTAGAATATAAAAAAATGATTACAAAGTTATTTAAGATTATAAATTGATAGTAAATACATATGTAAGCGCTGTGTAGAAAATTGCAGAATCATATTTTGAATATTTATGAACGGAAAATTTCAGTAACATGATGATATTCTGAATAAAACGAGTAAACATAATGACACAAAAAAACAATCTACCTTTTACATTGTCACATATTCTAAAAATGTGTTGCACATAATAATTATGTAAATAATTAGGTATCAGTTACAAGCTCCATACTTTCATTTATCAACAAACATCGAATACGTTTCTCAGCACATTCTTTTACGTATTATTTAGGTCGCTTTTACTTTGAATGCTTACATCAAATTAACGGTAAAGAAATTTAGAGATTCAAAATAAATCTAAAAATGTTTGATGTATAAAAATAAATGTTTAGATTGTAGATTAAAATGTTATATAACTAGTAAAAAACAAATTTTTAAACAATTGTTTAAATTCTTTTCATTTCGTTCTTTTTATTGTCTATGAACTGAAACGCGATAAAAATACTGCAAATTGTTGCACATATTTATATTTGCGTATGATATAATTAATTATAAGTGATGTGAAGATACGTTTAAGTATGGGAGAAAAAAAGAAGAAAGGATATTGTAGGATAAGAAAAACACATATATTCGAATTTATTGTTTTGCGTTTTGTATGTGGAGATTGTATGGAGGATTCGAGACAACAAGAATTATCGAAGACACGTTTTTGTTCTTATAAATTATTATTAAATAAAATGTCATCAATGAATTGCAAAAAGATATCGATAGTAACAAAATCATAATAATAATTGTGCAACAGCCGGTCAGACCTACTGTATAAGTAGGTAAAACGTCACGGACGGACGTTTCTATGTATATATGCGCAAAAACAGTAGCTCCTCGTTAATTACACTTACAAAAAATGAAAAGAAGAATCGCTGTATTTTTTTCTCGAGCGAGCCTCCTTTTCAGGACGTTTTCCGCGCGCAAGCGGACGCAAAATTGGCTATGAACTCCCGGTTTAGATCCTATAACCCTCTACTATCTAATTCTGAAAAATCCCTATACATATTCTAAAATCGACAGCCCGTTTTTTTCTTTTTTGTTAGATTTAAAGATATTCCATAAACCATGATCCTAGATTTTGTAAAGTAGTTAACTTTTTAAGTTAGTTGTCAATAGATTACAAATTTATTGTTTCATTTCAGCCCTATAAGTATATAGAATGTAAGAGAGAAAGAGGGGACAAAGAAAAAAACAAGAGAGAGAGAAAGAGAGAGAGAATCTTGAGACATACATATCTTTAAGTATGTTTTAGGATCTACGAAACTCTATTTTCCAGAGGATTTGCAATTCTTAATTTCTCTGTGAATTCAATATATATTTAAGACTTTTGAGAAATATTATACGCTCAAGATACTTCTAAGTTATGTACGGCTTCTAGAACTTAGAATTTTAAAAGTACGAGTTTTAGGATTTATAGAAAAAAATATACTAACTATATATATATAAATAATTTTCTATAAATAAAGAATGAGACATTATATATATATATATATATATATATATATATATATATATATATCATTCTTATATGCATTTAAGCTCTCTACAATTTAATTTTAATAACTTTATAAGTAATTTAAGTAATAACTGTATTTAATGATTGAAAATCAAAGATCTCAAGTTTTCCATATATTGCTTTTTTTTATATTACAGTTTATGTGCTTTCAAGAAAAGAAATTTAAAACAAGTTGTTTCACAAGCGTATCAATACGATTACAATGACGAGAACTTGATTGTTCATTATCTGTGCAAAATTCAACACGTCGACGTGTGAAATTCAAAGTTCAAGATAATATTAAAATAACAATAATAATTTCAATATTTTGAGAGCTCTTTAAAGACTTTCTACAGCGTGCAGTGACGCATTTTTATTACTTTACACACTTTAAGACTTAATGATATTTTTGTGAAGATTTTCTTACTGCGTGTATGTGTATATGCCTATTAAAAAAAAAGTGTTTCTCAAAAAGTTGTGTTTAAACCTCATATGAGGTCTCTATCACCGGAAAATATTTTATATGATGATAGAAATAGTCTAAGACAAAAATCTTACAAAAAGTTTTAACGATAGAAGCTTCAAAAGTACAAGCGAAAAGCTTATCAAACTTTTCAGTCATTACTTACAATTCCTATATACTTACAAAATCAGTAAAACATTTTCCGGTAAATTCGCTATACTGTTAATATAGTAATAGTTTAGAGAAAGCAACATTGTAAATCTTCTTGGTAAAAAAATATCGCACCATGCTTCGAAAACTATTGGTATATAAATTACGAATCTTATCTATTTATTAGCCACACTGAACGTATGAAATCCTAGAAGCCGTCGGAATCCTCTATCTATTTTTTAGCGTTAATAGATCCTGATGTTATACAGCTACGTCGACCAGCGGCGTGAGAAACGACAAGAAAAAAATAAAGAGCAGAAAACGTAAAAGGGAGGTAAAAGGGAGGAAGGATAAACGCCCAGGCGCTTTGGTGTGTTGCCGTTACTTAATTGGCTTTGAGCTTTTCGTTATAACCGATGTGATCGGGTGCGCTATTAGCAAAGTGCTTTTTGTCAGACTTCTTGCCAGCTAGGTATGTCTTGTGGAAGAACCGCGCGAACAGAACAAAATAGCTGAAGTACATCGCAAAGCTGCAATGAATATTCATGCGGGTAATGTGGCAGTCCACTTGGCCGCTCTCCAGATACTGGTACGCAGATATGTTGATGAAGCAGCCGATCACCATCTGCAGGAGCTGCAACGCGGTGATCACCATAGAAATCGCCTTCGGCGGTCTGTACCGCATCGCTTTCAGCGCGTAGTAGGTATACATGATCGAGTGCACGCAGTAGTTCATTACGACGTACCATCGCGCGGACGCGGTGTATTCCGAATACGAGAACCAGGAGTACAGTAGCACGGTAATGTGGTGGTACCAGTGCAGGAAGATCAGCGGCTGCTTACGTAGCACGATGAAAATCGTGTCGCCGAGCTCGGGCAGCTTCGACAGCACGAACATCCACGTCCAGAAACCCGACACGACATCTTGTTCGATAAAGCTGCAAATCACGAATATTTTGTTATTTGCAGCGAGTAATACTGTTTGGAAAACGATCTCGGTTATGCGAGATATTGTGCAAGAAAATGATACGCATGAAAAAATTAAAAGAAAGCAAATATGTACGTCGTCAGCATATATATGTGTTAAAATGATTAATATTTTAATGTTAGACATTCGATTTTGACGCAAACAAAACTGCAAAACGTTTACGTTTTATACGTTTGCAAACTTATATTTAAGCACAAAATAATAGAACAAACGTAAAAGTATGTAGGCAAATGTATGCAAACACATGCAAAAATATGCTCTATTTGAATTTTATCTAAGTCTAACGTTCAACATTAAAATATATACAAAATTAATTGACAACGCTCATAAAAATACCGACCTTGGTATACAAATGCTGTGGTGCAGTCCGTGATGTCTAAGAACGTGGATCAATTCCGGCGCGGTTCTTGTGAAGCCGATGATAGAAAAGGTAGCCAATAGCGTATTCCAAAGACACAATATTCCCCTGAGTTGAAATCTGGGCCGACTGGCCATGTAATGCTGCCCGCCAAATATTAGAATCATGTACAGTCCGCAGTAGTAAAAACCGTTTGTCCAATTCTTTACCATCCATTGCTTGGTCTCCTGATGTTTGAACGTTTCCTCGAAATTAAAGATGTACGAGTAATTCGGGAGGGTCACCTCCATATAGTCCACCTTGTTCATCTTTGCCGCGTCTTGAAATCAACGTTTCGCGGACAGATCTGCAAGAAACACGTGAAAATACGTGTGTAAATTTAACAATTTTGAACAAGATGACTGCAGTATTTGAAACAAATTGTTTCAATAAAAAAGTTAGCTTTTGACAGTAAACATATCTATTTTGTATACGTTGATATTAAAACAAAATCTTCACAATATATCCACTATTTATTTACTCTTTTTATCCAAAATGATGTAAATTAATCTAGAAAAATACTTTTACATACATATATACATATATATATATACATACATATATAAAAGTTTTTATTCTTGTAGTCATTGTACTTTCTCCGAGAATTTAAAATATATTAAATAAATATAATTAGAAATTTATTTTTTTTAGATATATATATAATATTCAACACATTAAAATTAAAATTCAATATATTAAAATCGCTTAGATCCGATCTTATGTTTAAGACTGTCTTAACACACGTTAAAATGCGTAAGAGCCGTTTTGTTAACTAGAAGAGAAATCCGAGGATGAACTAGAGATAATCTCAAATAGACAAAAATACAAAATTCGATTGTGAATACATCGGTTCAAAAGTGATTAAAAATCTGCTTCGGTTGAGAATGTTGCAAAATGTTTTTTTCGAATAACTAAATTCGAATATTGCGTCTTTCGATATTGGTGTTCAAATTTCATTAGTCTTGTTGTTTGGTGTGTTACGCGTGTCTGATGACATCACATTACATGTTAAATATTCCTTCGTCAAAGAGCATGAATTTCCCACATTCAGTCAAAAATTTCGCAACAACGCGCGTCTCTAGCAAATATTAGTTTTTTTCCCACGCTTATGTCTTCAAAACTACTAAAGATTTTTTTCAATTTTTGTTTTTTTTTGGGGGGGGGGTTTTTTATCGACGCAGAATCGTTCAAACTTTTGATTAAAAAAAAAAACAAAATTGAAAAAATTGATTTTGCAAAGATATGCGATATGTTAAAGTCATTTGTGACAATTGTCCACAAAAACATATATATACAATCGGAGAAAAACAGTGTAGAGAGAGAGAGTGTGTACAATTGCGCGTAAAGATAATCCATATACATACACACACACACACACATGAGTTGCAAGCGCGCCAATCCGAATTCGATGTTTGATCTCACGCGATGTCGATCGATCGATATATGTATAAGAGGTTTCGTCACGTCTTGTTTGTTATTGTTTTCTTTATAAATATAAAAATCTTTTTCTATAATTATCTTTTCACATTGAAAATTTCTTTGTAAAAAAAAATATAATATTTTTTTCATTTTATGCGAAAGAATGTACCAAAGTACAGTCACAACTCGCAACTATTAAAAGCGTAAAAAGCAAATAAATAAACACATAAAATATGTAGCTAATAATGTTTTAGAGTGCGCTTATCACAGCTATTTATATTTCAATTACATAAAAGAAACTATATGTATAAAATTTATACGTGAACTATTTTTTATTAAAATAATTTTAAATAAAAAGATAGGAAAAAAGCAATAACAAGCTACCACCTGATGTTCGGGTAAGATTTTTTTTAATTCGAAGATTTTAAAAAATGTTAACAAACGTCTCGATCCATTATGGGATTTTCCTCAGTGTTTTAATTAAAAAAATCATGATCTAAAAATCATGATTCGAGATCATGAAGAATATGGATAAGAAAAGACGATACGTTTGTTAACATTTTTTTTTAAATCTTCGAATTAAAAAAACATTTTACCCGAACATCAGGTGGTAGCTTGTTATTGCCTTTTTCTTATCTTTTTATTTAAACATTCAACGAGCATTAAACATATACTTAAAATAATTTTGTTTTGATAAAATAACCTAAATAAATTAAAAATATATATCAAATATATATCAATTACGTAAATAATCATTGAATATTCTTTATAATTGCAGATGTACAAACAATTCAAATACAACAATTCTTAGCAGAAGCGCAAAAGGAAGTTTGAAAGAAAAATACTTTGCATAAATAGATAAAAAAAAAAAAAAGAAAAACAAATCTTGCATAAATAGATAAAAATTTAGACAAACGATATCAGCAAAATTTACTTTCTCGTATGCAGTGTTTGTTCAACAAATAGATTTCAATAAAGCGCAGAGTTTCGCAAAGTGATCAGCATACATTTTATAGCTCGACACGTTAGATGACGAGCTTCCTGTATGATTTTAGATTAACTTGAGTGCGCGACAAAAGTAATTTCTCACATACACGTGAGAATAGCCATATATATATTACATGTAAAAAAACTTGTATACATACCCGTAAACACTCGGGCTGATGTTTTTCCTCCAGATCGACGATTCTCAAGATCGTCGAGCAAACAGAGTTGAACGCGTTATCGGCGAGTTTCTTGCTTTGATCTGGCAGAGAACTCGACGTCGGAAAGAACCTCCGGATACTTTAGTAACAAATATAATATAGATATTCGAACACGCGTGTGAAACGTCAACGATCGTTTCTTTGGGTAGAACCGGCGTATTTGATATGGGCAAGGCCACTTGCTATTGGAGCGCAAGCTACCGGCGCTTTCCTTCCTGACACACGAGTGCAATCGATATATAAACAAATGCGAAGAAGAGAGATAGAGAGTCGCGTGCTTCTCCACGATCACTCGATTTCCTTTGGTTTTTTCTTTCGTTGTGGAAAAAAAAACGAATTTGCCGTGCGATCACGTGCGGCAAATTAATCTTACTTCTGCTTGTCGCAAGCGAGCGATCGTTTCTCTCTCTCTCTTTCTTTCCGTGTGCACGTCGTCGTCGTTGTCGTCGTCGTCGTCGTCGTCGTCGTTGTTACTCTCCTCCTCCTCGGCGTTCCAGTCAACTGCTCATTCTCTGGAATAACCAGAAAACGATCTGCACGAGACTGCCGCTCGTCACTCCTACTACCTCCCACCCCTACCAGTGGAAGTAAAGTAAGAGAATAGCAAATTGCCACAGTCATAGAATGTGCTAGCTTTTGTGAAAGTACACCTCATAGGTTTTCAAAGAAACCGAAATGTGTCGCATCTCTCCTGTTGATGTCGTAATAGCAACCAATAAGATCGTCGCCCCGAACTTCCAAAGATTATGCGATCTGTGACTTCTATGTGGATAGAGCTTAACGTGCGAATAGAAAAGACGCGACAGCCAATCAGTTTATTTACAACACATTTTACAATGAAAACGGAGTTTATTCTGTGACAAGCAGAAACAGGTACTACTCTTACGGTAATTTAATAGCGTAGGTAGCTACTAGCTAGTTGTAGCCAGTCCAGCACACAGTAGCAGGTTTCTCTCAGGGGCAGGATGGTTTTATTTCAACAAGCTTTTCTCTTTCTTATTTATTCGTTAGCGAGCTCTGTTGCCCAAGATATTTTGGGATGCGGCGGTTACATCAAGAGTCATGCTGATATTGACTTTACAAAAGTGAAAATAAAACTGTGAGTACATTTGAGTTCTCTCTTTTTGAGGTTACCGCAAGTATCTTCAAACGTTTGATGTGCGCTAATTGAATTGTCTAATTATCAAATAAACTTGACAGATTCACAAAAACTGGTAGTGTAAAAGATCAGACAGAATGTGCACCAAATGGCTATTATTTTCTTCCCTTGTATGATAGAGGAGAATATATTTTGAGAGTAAGTTTAAAAGATTTGCTGTTCTATATAATATTTTTGCATTATTAAACTTATTCATTCCATAGCATATTAGAATGACACAAGAGTTCTCATAAAAACATTATCAATATAAATATTTTTTACCAATTTTATATTTTGATATTAGTACAATTAAAAGTATTATATAACTTATTAATACTAAAATTTAATTTTCAAGTTTTTAATTTTTTTAAGAAAGAAAGAAAGATGCAGCTAAATTATCCATGTTTTTTTTCTATTTAAATATTAGTTAAACTTTAAGAAATACTAAAGATAATTTTGTTATGTTTTTATATAGGTAGATCCTCCCAGAGGCTGGAGTTTTGAACCAAAAGAAGTAATTTTAGATGGTTATGTAGATGATTGTAGCGAAGGAAGAGATATTAATTTCATCTTCAAAGGATTTGGTATTACAGGGAAGGTAAATACAATACTTTTTTTTATTATAAACATATAAAAGTATTTGTATAAAATTATTATCTTATAAATTATTCTATATTTAGGTGATTAGCTTGGGAAGTGATTCTGGTCCAGAAGGAGTCACTGTTACTTTGTATACAAAGAGCAGTGAACATCCCTTTACATCAACAGTGACAACAATAGGTGGTGTTTTTTCCTTTACCCCTATTCAACCTGGAAAATACATTCTTGTTGCATCCCATCCCATGTGCGTGAATAACAATTGACAAAATTTTATTGTAACTTGTTTCAAAATGCGCGATATCTATAAAATAACATTTATTTTTTAGATGGATAATAAAGAAAAACAAAGTTGAAGTTGAAGTACAAGAAGGAAATATGGAACTACCTGATGGCAGTCTTGTGGTATCTGGCTACGATGTCAGTGGTAGAGTTACCAGTGAAAACGAGCCAGTGGCTCATGTATCTTTTATACTTTTTGGTGTAAGATTTATTCTGTCTTTTTATCCGCATTATCTTAATAGTTGTCGAATTTAAAATCTGATATGTCTAAAATTAAATTTTTGAGACTTGTTTTATCACAAGCAGTTTTATGAACTGTTTTTTTTTTTTGTTCTTTGTTTTTACAGAATGGCGCTGCGGAAAAATGCGAGACCATACCTGTGACTAAGAATTTCGAGTCAAATTTTGAATTCGCTAAGGAACCGCTTTGTCACATGACTTCTGACCAAACGGGTAAATTTGTATTTCCCAGTCTGTCACCTGGAAATTATAAGCTCGTACCTTATTACGCCGACGCTCAAACCAAGTTCGACGTTCAACCACCCGAGTTGTCCTTCCAAGTTAGCCACAACAGTGTAATTCTTGCACAAGACTTCAAGGTGACAGGCTTCACGGTCAGCGGCCTCGTTCTTGGCTCCACGAACGGTAATCCTTTGCCGGGAGCAAAGATATTTCTGTCGCAGAAAGAAGTCGCGGTCACGGATAAAGATGGAAAATATATGTTGGAGAAGATGAAAGCGGGCCAGTATACACTTAAAGCGGAGTTTGGTGCGCGAAATTTCATGGAATTTCTTTTATGATTGTTGAAGAACTAAAAAAAAAGGTGGCAGAAAAATTATATCAACAAATTGTCTTTTTCAGAAAACGTACAATTTAGCGAAAAGACAGTTAAAATATCTCCCAGTTCGCCTGAACTTCCGGTGCTAATACCGTCGGCGTATAGAGTCTCGGGTAAAGTAACCCTGTCGGCGAAGGATACGCTACATTTTCGCAAAATATCCATTCAGAATACAGCCGCTACGTTCTACAAGGAATTTGATACTAATGAGAAAACAGGAGAATACTCCGTATACCTCGCGCCAGATAAATATCAGTTGAGCGTAATCGTGAGCACAGAAGAGAAAACCAAGGGCTTGCAGTGAGTAATAGAATTGTGATATATAATTGTAAAAAAAATAATAAATTTTCATAAAGATTTTCATCTTCAGATTTTATCCGCTGCAACAAACGATTGACGTGACGTCTCAACCGATTACCGATGTGAATTTCTTACAGTTAAAAGCTACATTAGTAGGCACAGTGCATTGTTTGCCGAAAACAGATTGTAGTCAGGCTTCTGTCACCTTGAAAATACTCGATGGCATTACTATAAAAGCAGTACAAGTTAAGGGTGAGCCGAGTGAAATTTCAGTCAGCATTAAATAAAATAATTAATTTGTGCAATAGTTTGAGCACTGCAATAACAAATATGACTTTATCATAACATATTTGCAAAACTAAACCTCCTAAATTTAAATACATTTTAATACATAATGTAAGAATTTGTTAGTTCGTATTTGTTATTGCAGTAATGCTTAACAATTTGTTACGATACTACTGTCCTTGTCTCTGTGAAGTTGTTTTTCGTTACGCAGTCGGTCAGTATCAGTTCACGGACGTTTTGCCGGGCCACTACGAGGTCTTGATTGATAACGACGTATTTTGTTGGGAAAATCCAAGTTACAGGATCTCGATAACGTCGGAACGCGCTGAAGTGCCGCCGTTCAAGCAAACTGGTTTCTCCATCACGTTTATATCTTCGCATGACACAGCTGTCGAGTATTCCGAGCCCAATAACACGAAACTGGTTACCATATCTTTGAACAAAGGTAGCACGAGACACTGTGTACATAAACCTGGCGTGTATACTTTTGTTCCGAAAAGTTGTCACGTGTATCCCAAGTCGTCTTACAGCTGGGATACAAACACGCTCGCTCCGATTCTGTTGCATTCCACCGAACACACCCACAAAGGCAATATCGTGAGCTCAAGCGCGCAAAATGACATCAAAGTGAAAATTGAAGATTCGAGCGGCAGTGTCACGTAAGTAGTTTAAATTTGGAATATTATATTTTTATTATTAATATAATCAACTATTGTGTTTGTTGCTCACAGGACTGTCCCATTAAAACATCTAAAGAAGGACAACGGATACGTTTATGAATTCGAGTTCAAGGCAAAAACCGATAACGTGTATACTATTACTCCTTTATCCAACGTTTTGTTATTCACTCCATCTTCTCTGAAGGTCTTTGGCGTGAATGACTGCCACAATGAGATCGCAACTTTTGTTGGAAATTTAGGAAAGGTACACAATTGTAATTTGTTTTTATATCAAGTGTAATTCGTGATTCAAACAAAAGTGTTTTTCAGATTATATCTGGACAAATTTCTCCACCTCTCAAAGACGTGACTGTGTACATATTTGGGAAAGATAAGGAAGTTCCAATTCACACGGTAATTACACAGGAGGATGGCAGCTACAGCGTTGGACCTTTGGATGGGAAAATCGAATATAGGTATATTTGCATCGAAACATGTGTATCAGTTTTTGTTATTATCAATAAATTGGCAATCGTTTGTGTATAGTGTTAAAGCTGAGAAGGATGGTTTTGTGATAACCGGACCTGATGCTAAGGGAACATTTTTGGCGCACAAGTTGGCAGAAATTATCGTGCAAGTTTCTGATCGTGCTGACAATTCTTCATTGCAGGTATTCTCGATTCAACAACTTCTTATCCTCAACCGTTCAAGTATCAGTTAAAAAAGAATATAAATAAAAATTATTTATTTTGTAGGGTGTGCTTCTTTCTTTGTCCGGCAGTCAAGGCTACCGCAAGAACAGTATAACTGGCGACGGTGGAAAATTCATATTCAATTCTTTGTCCCCGGGCGAGTACTATCTTCGACCCATGATGAAGGAGTATCGCTTCGATCCGTCCTCGAAGATGATCAATATCTTTGAGGGAGCAACCGTCCAAGTGAATTTGTTTGGCAACAGAGTCGCGTTCAGTGCTTACGGCACGGTAACATCCTTGAATAGAGAACCGGAAGTTGGTCTGGTGGTCGAGGTACAAGGCCAAGGAAACTGTTCTGACCTTCAAGAGGAAACTACGACCGAGGAGAACGGCAATTTCAGAATTCGCGGTCTCCAGCCGACAGTGAGTTGTGTTTACGTTTACGTACTGTTACTAACTATTACTGTTATATTGATAAATAATGTTTGATGTAATTATTTATATTGCAATTGATCAATTTTACAGTGCAACTATATCTTTCGGTTGAAACCAAACGTGGAGACTAATGCTCATATACAGCGCACGATTCCCAGTTTGCAGCAGTTGCAGCCCGTAGAGGATATTCATGGCCTGAGGCTGGTCGCCTTCCGTCCGATTTCGCGTACGGATGTTTCCGTGCACGTCACGTCCGACCAGCCGGAGTACTACCGTACAATCAAGGTGAAGCTGTGCCGTGAGAACGCGCCCGACACGCCGGTGCACGTCTCGAAGCTGGACGCGCAACAATTCACCAGCAAAACCGTTGGCAGCTACAACGCCGGCTTCCTGGTGCACTTCCCGCCGTTGCAAGCCGATGGCAGGAAATATTTTGTGCAACTCGAGTCGTCGCTATCGCAGACCGCGCACAAGTACCGGACCGTTCCAGTCTACTTCGAGGCAAATTCGTCGTTCAAGTACTTCAAACTGGCGTTCAACGCAGAACCGAAGAGCGATCAGAATGAAATGAATCAGACATCGGTAGTCGCGCTGCCGTTCATTATTTTAGTTGGACTAGCGTTCTCCAATCGCGAAAGATTATGGACCTGGCTGAATGCGCTGCTCGAGAAACGCTCAAAGCCTATACCGAGCTCCAGAACGCCTGTCCAAGCGATTCCTATTGATCCGAGAGCGGACGACATCATCGTTGAGCAGATAATGAACATCAACAAAAGAAAAACAAAAGCACGGAAGACATAAATTATTGTGTTGTTTTTCACACAAATTATTTTCAATGATGATCTCTTAACACAGTGCAAACCAGGATTTATAATTACTATTATTTGCCGACGTATAATGTGTTAAGAAGAAACAATTTGTTGTTGTACGGTGGATTAAAAATTACATAACAAATACCACGTGTAATAATAAACGACTTATTACTATTAGTAAGTGGTATTTCTCAATTTGATTGTGTCTGGAGACAAAATATTTATTTCATTTTGTGGTTTTTCGGTTCAGAATTATAATTATTTACATGTCTACACAGAATTGAACGTTTTACGAAAAAAAGTTAATTTGAGATATTTACTCAAAATCTAATGGAATACATAACAACATTGTATTCTATTAATTTTTGAAAAAAAAACCTTTATGCGATTATGTATAAAAACTTGATCTTATATATTTTAACGCGTGACGTTAAACGAAACTATAATCTGCAATGATTTTCAGGATCGCACGTGTGTTATTTGATACGTAATCACTTAAATGATCAATTCTGCAGCAGATATATGAGTTTGGACATTTTTTATCGTTGAAATTTATGCGCGAAGCTGCACGAACTTTTTTGTTTATATCCGATAATATAAAAAAAAACATGTATGAATGTGTGTAAAACTTGTGTGCTATATTTATAATTTAGATGTTTATATTCAAACTTGTTATTAAAAGTTCCTATTGAAAATATTTTACAGTCTTATATACTTTTCGTATATAATAATGTGCATACCTTTGTCTCTCTCGTTTTATAAATTAGAATTAGAATTAGAAAGATGAAGGTCGAATGATAGACATTTTATTTGATCAGTACATATATGCAATTTACAAATGGCATTTGAGCTCTTTCTGCATACGTGTTATTAGACAGCAAAGAACGCCTGAAAAAATGCATAAACGCATAGATAAATATCTGATATTTTATTTACAAAACTAAAATAGAGAGGTTTTATTACACGGGATTTTACGTACCACAGGATTTGCGTTGTACATACATTTATTGAAACTATAGGCCTTCTCGCACTTGTCTTTTCCCTCTAAGAGTTAAGAATAATTATAGATAAAACATTGATTGAACCAATAAAATGAAGAAAAAGTACGCGCGTGAAAGAAACAAGAAATGATTATTCTGTTTTTGCACAATGTTACATATAAGTCGCATAGTTAATTAAAATTAGTAATACTTTCTCGTATGCAAGCGCGCTTTTTTTTCACAGATATCGTAACTCACCAATATTGCGACACTCGTCAAGCATTTCATTTCCGATATGTCTGAACGCCGCAGGCATCATCTTAGATAACATCTTGTAGTTAATTTTGCCATCCTTCTTCATCTATTCATAGAATTGACAAAATTTCTCAGTAATTTATCTTGTAATTAGAATTACTTATATTACTGTCTTGTAGAAAATTTCTTTTACCACTCCTGCTTTTTCCATTACGCATTTGAAGTAACAAGCTAATTTCTCGTCGTCCGGAAAATCGCCTAATTCTACCGCATCTAGTGTTTCTACGATTAAAATTGTTAACATTTTATTAAATGATCTGAGGTAAATAAAAAATTACATATATGAGAACACAGAAAGAAAAAGATGCCAAATATATTAATAATAAACGCGTGAAGTAATGTTTGAAACTTACAATGCATAAAACAAAAAATATCGCGTTAATTTGATGTTTCTGGAACGTACCAATTGTGGTTCCAGTTTCAGCAGTGCATTTTTTTCGCAAACCTCCAGCTAATTTTCTTAATTCATCATGTACGGTAGTCCAATCTATGTCCTATGAAAATATCTCACGATATATGAAAAGTGCAAATTTAAATACATCAAAGAACTCCCAATATACATTTTTACACTTACCTCACTAGAAACAATAACGAGCTTTATGGCGAAACAGACGCAGAAGAGAATTAAATGGTTTTTTATCATTTTTTTTTGTATTTTATACACTGTTAATATTTTGTATTTTACACACGATTAATTTAATCAAAAATGTTGATTCGCTTATCTATACGATTATTAAATGCGCAGCCGCGCAGAATCATCGGGAATTTATGTGAATTCTGAATAGGAAGAGTGGGAGATAATAGTTAGCTGGCAAAAGGAAAGATATATACTTTGTTAGAAACTAATTGGCAAATTGCACGATCACATAAGTACAAAATTAAACGCGCGCATTTAAAGTACACATTTTATATATAAATATAATACAATGTTTTTTTCTCTTTTTCGAAGAATATTTCTTGAGAATAGTTTTAAACAATTTAATTTTGGAAAAACTGAATTTTTTGTACAATAATATTCAAGCTTTATATTTTTTTTCGCAAGTTCTTTTATTAAAAAATATTTAAGAAGAGAAATACTAACTTTATAGAACAATCGATGTTTTTTTAAATAAGAGTAAAGAATTTGTAACAGTTTTATTTTGTCAAAAGGAAGTGATATTTTGTTGTATGATGCAAGCGAGAAAAGCGTGATAGCAAACATACATTTAACGTGCAACTTAACATGTAATTAACAGTAACACGACGTGATCTCTTCCTGGTTCATACTCGGCAATTTGAGTGATATCGAGTGTTGTGTAACTTTGCATTACTGCGATATACCTACGTACGTTTTATCTTGGCAATTAAATCATTTTATTGTCACAAAAGATTCGCGGCTACATCGATCAAAGAGAGAAAGAGAGAAGATCGTGTTAAATCGTTTACAAAATTTCTCTTTTGTTTTCGAGAACAATTCTAGTGATGATTTTTTGGTGATGACTCGCGTCGTCGTTAAGATCGCACACGCTTAGTGCCGTATGTAGCGCGTTCGCTCAGTGTCGGAGCTCTTCCACTGACACAGAAGCAGACACGCGCGCCTACGTTTCCTACTCGATTCGTCACACAAAAGACTCGTTTACGAATAAATGTATCAAGTGTATTAGAGTTGTAGAGAAGCCCTCTCTTTTCATTGATCATCAAATGTGACCTCAACTAACAATTGAAGCGTTTCACCGTCATAATCTCTCTGCAGAGTATCAAACTTGATCTCGTCAACGAAAACGGTGTCAATTTGTCAAACACACACACACACACAGCGAATATTTTTATAACGAGTTTTGTTCAAATCAGTTCAGGATTTAGATGGTTGAGTGCTTTTTATTTTAGCAGCGTATCTTACAATATACGACCCACGCAATATGGCGCGCGCGTACACAGCAATTACAATAATAAAAAGTGTACAGTAATTTAAAACGTAGAAATTTCAACACATTCGGCGAGATAGTGTTTTGAGCATTTCTTTTTATCTTTGGTCGTCTTGTGCTGCCCATCCGATCGCGATCAATTAGAACAAATAATACGTCTGAAACAAATAAATTGCGCATAAATAATCAAACGAGTGATATTCATCGCAGATGTTGAACACTCTGAATTGTTCACTTACCCTCGGAGAACGTTCCGCGTAGCATTTGTTGAATGTGTACGCGTATTCGCAATTATCACCTTTTGCTGCATCGGAGAAACAATTACAATTAAAATTGTATCGCGGAGTGCGGTACGAAAGATCGTGTGTAATCGAAATCAAAATAAAAATGAAAAACTTAAAGAAAAAAGAGAGTAAAATTTGTATAAAATTATTTTACAAGAAAATACATATAAACGGTAAAAACACACGCATCAATTTTTTTGCGACGCTGGCTTTTTTTGTTGTAAGTTTTAACTGTTCTCAGTTGACAGTAAAAATTTCAGCAATATAAAGAAACAAATACTTTAAGCGCAATTTCTTTAGTTTCGAACACACGCAATCGATCGAAGAGAAACAACGAAAAAGAAAACGCTATATATACCCAAATAGTTACCGATCCCTTTGCACTCGCTGATTGCTTTCTCGACCTCGACCCTGTAAGCGGGTATTCTTTGGAAGAACGTCAGCATACCGTTTAGACTTAGCTCCCTCTTGTCGTCGACCAAACCGAATTGCTCCCAGAGACAGTACATATAGCACTGAAAAACAGATCAATTTTATAATACTTTTGGATCTTTATTTTATTACGCGTACACTCTTGCGTTTCATCTACTCAAGAATTCGGGATAACGGTTTGTTTTTAATCGGACGTAATTGATAATTTGCCTGCAATTCACAGATAACGATTTGTTTGCGTAATTGACGACTCCCAGTGCTCACCTTCAATTGACGTGTTTCCGGCCATTGACCGTTTCTCACTGCTTCTATATCGGCTGAAAGGAGAATTCAAAATACGCGTGGATTCATATATCAATAAATCTGTAATTAATTAATTGTGACTCCAAGTGAATCAATAAAGACTCTTGTTGAATGAAATACCTGTGGCAACTCCCGTTTGTGTTTGACAGGCGTTTACAACACTGGCCGCAGTCGCGATCATCTGATCGGAAACAAAGCTGGGTCTTGTCTGTAAAAGAGCTTGAGATCAGTGCCATTGAGATTAACAGGCGGTAGTTGCGAAGAATGTGAGCGTTTTCGCGAAAACTACATCGATAGATCTCGATGATGTTTATCAGTTTTTGTTAAAAACTATCAATGTTTTCACATTAGAAAATTAAATTAATTAATTCTTTACTTTCTTCTTTGCAAAAAAAAGTCGCAAAATCAAAAACGCCAAAGGAAAAGATCCGCCTGAAATAAAGTCGACAGCTCTTTGTAAAAGAAAAAATAATCCTTTTTTGTTCCATCAGCATTCTTATCAAGACTTGTCAAATTTATTTTGAAATTCTGACGGACTATAGCCTTCTCTTTCTCTCTTTTTTTTTACATCTTAAAAAATAAAATAAGTTTTTATCCCAATTGAGCTTCCTTTTTTTTGGAAATTTTTCACATCTGTCACCGCCCCGTTTGTACAATCGCACCTACCCCGCAGTACACGATCCACGCTTGAAGGAAGAAGCCTACGACGATCGCGAGGAACCTCATCCTTATTGTCTTTCAAGCTTTCCTTTTTTACTTTGCGAAAACCTTCCTCTTCAGCTAGCTGGGCTGCTGATGGTTGTTGCAAACGTGTGTCTCCTTCGCCGGCGCTGTTTCCGGCGAGTGTCGACTGACAAACGGCGTGCCGAGTGCGCGCCTTGCGCGAGGCGAGGGTGCGACTGAACGTCAAAACCTAGATAGATAGATGGATAGATAGAGAAAGAGAGGGAGCGAGAGGCAGAGCACGAGTGTGTGTGGTCGGTCGAAATAATGGGTTAAAAGATGAGGGAGCACGAAGATCAAAGGAGAAACGGAGATGGAAGCTGCGAGCCCTGCCGCCTGGCGCCCTGGAGGCTGATTTGAGAACAGGTCGCACGAGCTCTCTGTCTTTCTCTAATCATCTTTTTCTCTCGTTCCCATGTGTGCGTGTGTGTGCCGCCCTTGCGCTATTTCCCATACTACTTGTCTGATAACGCGCTTTTCTGGTGTGAAAATTCAATTGACTGCGCTCCTCGTGCGTGTGCAGCACCATATAGTAGTTTATATACGATTTATATGTGTAAAACAATACTCTCTCTGAAAACAAAAAATGTATACAAAGTAATATGAATTTCAATATATAAAAAAACAATATAAAAAAGAAAATCGTGCGCATATACTTAATGAACAATTGAGTAACAAGCGTGCTCTTTTGATCGCGCTAAAGGTGAATTACTGTCTTTTCACACAGCATAAAAGCCTTCGATTCTAGGCCAGGTCATCACACACATAAACCCAGTCAGATTTGATTAGCGGATGTTACCAGTTTATGATCCCGACCCTCCTATAATCTGTCTCCTCTATTCTATGCGACGTTGGCACACAAATGCAACTGATATCTTCCTCTTATTAACTGGAGGAAAACCGATATAATTACCAAAAATTAAGATAAACATGTGAAACAAAGACAAATTAGCAGATCTAATTAAATTTTTATTCTTTTAACGCAAACAAACAGGAAATTAACATCTAAGTTTATATGTAAATTTAAAATATTTTATTTTATTATTATTTCATTAGTATATAAGCAACTTAATTATTTAAAAATAAAATTGTTTCAATAGATATGCTACACGGTGTGTAAAAGCGCGTCATTTTATATGAAAATAAACGAATGTACATACGCTCGTTTTTGAAAAGATGGAAAATGTAGACATGCGCAGAACTGAAGAGACTGATCAGCAAACTACTTTTAAAAGGTTGGTGACATTTCTGGTGACATCGAATACTAAAGTATCGATTAAAGAGTGGAAAACTTCAAAATAAATATAATCGATTTTTTAACAATAAAATAATCGATTCCAATTTGTTGATTACGTGTTTCTCATTTCGTGACAAGCTGAAATTAAATTGCTGTCAATAAAAAATATCTCGATGAAATATCATAATTTAATATATTGCAGTATGCAAATAATAGTATTTTGTGCTTATGCCATAACCTTGCCATGAGTACATTCCCGCGCAAAAATATTTGTGACACGTTTCAACTTTTTTTCAAATTATTTGTTTCAACTAGTTGAAAAAGCGACGCCAATTATTTAAATGCTGGCGGGACGAAAAAAGAAAACTGTAAATATCCATCTCCGCTAAATAATCATGTAAATAAATACACACGCGTACATACTCGGACATGAAAGCGCTGTACTTTTCTTTCTGTACTTTTTTTACTGTGCGTACACAGTATGCGCGGAATAAATATTGACTATTCCCATCGGGACAAGTATTGACTACCGAGGAGTCCGCTAACGATTTTCGTCTTGTTACGGCCTATTTGAATTGCGAGTATGACGATTAACGATCGAGAGCGTGTGTCGCGTATCAATTACTCGCGGCCGGAGACCGAGACGTCGAAAGTCTCATTCAAGATGCGACCTCTCGTCCGCATCGATTTCCACGAGCGTACCTACGATGACGCGATGCAGTCCGCGGGACTGTAATTGACAACGCCGTCCTAAATTTTGTCGGATTTTCGACTCGCGAAACGATGGACGAACCGAAATCCTGGTGAACCAGCTTGGCGATTCGTTCGCGCGATTATCCCCGCGAGCATCTCGGCGTTGGAAACGCGCTCGGTCTACGTTTTCTAACAGATACATGGAAATCTTGACGGACTAATTCTCAGCAGTGGCAACAGCGCCGGCAGCAGTTGTATTGACCGCGGCGCGTGGTTCTTCGGACTTCCCATCGCGTTCTCGTTGTGTTCCGAACGTTCGGCTGAGAAAGAAACGAGGATCGCGAGAACGTTGGGGAGGTACGTCGCCGCGTCCCCAACGCGAGTCTGAGAATATCCGCGACCACGCGAATCGGCCGATGCACGGAATGCACCGGTGATCGCGGTGGAGAAATGATTCAATCGGCGATGATCAATGACGATATGTCGCGCTGGCGACGCGACAGGCGGTCCGAGGACACTTCCTCGTCCGCGGTGATCTCGACACATTCTTGAGTGTTCGCGCGATCGACATCGAGTTCTGAAGACAGTTCGACACCTCGACGAGAACTCGCGTCCGTCTCTTGTCACGTGGTTTTGCGTGGTACGTCACGTATCGCGTGCGATTTAAATACCCTTGCGACAACGTTGTTTTAACCGACCGTCAAGGATGGGTAAAACGAGAGGCGTGCACGAGACGACTCCCGAATTGAGGAACCGGATGGTAGGAATGTACGAGGCCGGTTTGGGCCTGCGGGAAATAGCTGCTGCTGTCAATTGCTCGGTATGTAATGACAATGCTTGCTCTCGTTATAAAATATTGTTAATAACTTCATAGTTTTGTTAATTTGTCAAAATCATATTATTGTTGCGTACACATCAAATAGTACATCAAGTTTTTTTGTTTTTTTTTTTTTTTTTACTTCTCTGCTAATTAAGTTAATTTTTTTTAAAACTTTTAATAAAGATCTTGTAATAAGATTTGTGTAAGCTTTGATTGTTTCATTGTTCTAGCAACGTACGGTGAAAAGATGGTTAAACAGATTTGACAAAGAAGGCACGGTGGAAACACGGGAGCGTTGTGGTCGCAAAAGAGCCACCACCGTGGAACAGGACGAAGCAATTGTTCGTCTGGCTACCCAAACGCCCATAACAGCAGCGAGAGCAGTTCTTCCTGCACTGGGTCTCACTTGTTCTGTGGATACAGTAAGGGAAAGACTGCACAAAGCTGGAATCCACAATTGGAGTCCTTCTCGTAAATACATGCAAAGAATTCCATTGGGGTTAGTAATATATTCACTTTCGTGAAAAAAAGTATCTTTTAATGTATCTTCTGCTTTATTATATATTTGTTGCTTCAACAGTGAAGCGGATGGTGCGGCGATTCAACAGGCAGTGTGGCGACCTACCGGCACTCAGTTAGGCAAAAAAAAAGCCAAGGATTCTAACACCAAGACTGAGAAGAACGGTGCCGCAGCTAAAAAGAAAAATTACTCGAAGAAAGTCAAATTCCGTGAGACTTACGTCGACGATGGCGCACCGTCTGAAAGTCAGAAGCAAAGCCAAAGCATGGAGCAACAGCAGCAAGAATTTGTCTTTCCTCAACAGAATCTTCCTCTAGCACCTTCCGCTTCCCAGACTACTGAAATACAAGAGTTCGGCAACGCGTTGAGTCTGGTGCAACAATCCCAGCCGATTTACCAGCATTCAGAACTGAACATTGTGCAGAATTGGCCGTTGGATCTGGTGCAAGGCAGTCATCATTACCCGCAGGTTGTTTTTCACTTATTTATGAAATATTTGTAAGTGCGGCACAACTGGAGGTATATTTTATTGAAAATTGTATTGCAGGGACAACCGAATTCGTTATCTCACGAACAACCTCCGCCGCAACAGCAACTGCAGGAACTGCATACGCAGCAAGAACAGCAACATCACGCGCAACAGGTACACCGTGATTAATAATATATTCAACAATACTACCATCCATAACAATAACAATATATTCACATTCATAGAGATATGACTCACAGCAGTTTTGTTTTTTTGCGGATGTAAAGCAATTAAATCGTTGGTTGCGTAAAAAACATGGTTTTCTTTGATGTTATTCATGAAATTTGACTCGTCGAATGCAAACACTGCTAACGTATACCGATATAAAAAACAGGTCCAACAGCATATGCAAGTGCAAGTGCCGAATCATCAAAACGCTCATCATCACAGCGTTAATCAGCAGCAATTGACGGTGGAGCATCATCAAATACCGCAGCAACAACAGTGCGGCAGCATGCCCAGTCCCAAACAGATGAGCGTGAACGCATGCTCGGAGAGTTCGAACCTTTCCAGTTCAAACGAAAACAGTCAATCATCGTGCGATCAACAGAACAATGATTCATCGTCGAGGGAAAGAAGCGTGAAATCGGAAGCAAAACGACAAAAGAAAAAGAAGGGTGGTAAGGTGAAGGGGACGTTGGAAACCAGCGTGGAGATCAGAAATCGCATGATCGGAATGTCCGAGGCTGGACTATCCACTTTGTCTATCGCGCTAGCGATTGATAGATCGGTACGTGTAATGTTGTTTTTTTTTTTTTTTTTGACTTCACGATATTTTGTACTGTGGAAATTTTTTGAAATCGGAAGTTATACCACAAACTCGAGAAAAATCAAGGCAAGAGATTTATATGCACGTGATTTTGAATTAATTAGGAACGTACTGTTAAAAGATGGTTAGAACGTTGGCATAAGGAAGGTAATGTGCAAACGAAGGAACGAAAGGGAAGACGTCGAATCACTACGAAGGAACAGGACGAGGCTATTATCGCGATGGCGACTCAGCATCCACTTACCGCGGCTAAATACGTAGCACCCGCTTTAGGTCTTAAATGTAGCGTGGATACGATCAGAGAAAGACTTCACAAAGCAGGGATACACAGCTGGAAGTTGGGCAAGAAGCAAGGGTTGGGATTTTTTTATAGTATACAAAATAAAATACAAAATATGATATGATGGGTAACGTGATATATTTGCATATTTTTAGAGAAGGCAATGCAGTTCACACTGTACATTTATGGCAGCCGAGCGGCAACCGTCCTAACAAACCGAAAATACCCGGGGAAAAGAAGAAAAAAGGTACAGGTAACAATAAAAAACGCGACCAGACAACGAACAGTAGTCAAAAACGTGTCGCGCGAAAAAAAAAGAATGCCGAATCAATACCACCAAAATCAATCCCACCACTGGCAAACATAATGTCGGAGCAGCCCGCGTTGTCGTTTCATAATCCAGGAACTAGTGAGTATCGTCGAAGAAAATTGTAATGATATTTTATAAATTTATTTTTATTTACGAATAAACCTTTAATCACTTCCATTTTTATTTCTCAGTGGCGAGTTACGCTTCAGGCCCTAACATAATGCAGCCTCCTCTGCACACCATCGCTGTACCGCCTTCAGCACTACCACCGCCACCACCACCACCACCACCACCACTACCACCGCCACCGCCACCATCATCACCACCACCACCGCCACCACCACCGCCGCCGCCACCACCGCCGCCACAATCAATGCAGCCGATGGGCCCAATAATGCAACAGAGGCCGGATTGCAGATTGGCACCGGCTCTAGTTCCACCTGTGTCGGGTCCGAGTAACGCCGGTGTCGGCTATCCGTCGTGCATGGTCGGCGGTAACGGTCACATGGAACAGGCGGATCCTCTAAATTACGAACCGTACATCTGGAGTTTTTAAAATGTTAACGTGACAATCTTTTTCAATTGTGCAAAATAGAAATTTACAAATTTTTTTACTCAAGTTAGTTCTTGGTTATCTTCACGTATCGCGTGTTGTTAAACAAGATCTAGACTACAATATTGTATAGTGTACGTATTTCATTTAGAAATAGATATCTATATATCTCTGAGAGAAAAAAGTGATGTTTAATCGTGATCTAAAATCAATGTCATATCGATGATGTAAAGCTGCTATCGATATAGATACAGGATAATACTTTTTTTATATTACGGTTTGTGTGTAATTTAACTTACGCGTCACTTGCAATATTAGACGATATTTGAATAATGTGCAAGAAGAAAGTCCGGTGACTGTTGTTATATATCCGAGAATCTTATATTGTCCTTAGCGACACTTTTATACAATAAAACACAGTATTTAGTTGTAAATTTCCTTAGATTAAAGTGAATCAGCGTAAAGATTGTAGTATGTAAATAGAAAATCTCTCGAATAGAATAAGAAATATACATCACGTGTTTATTTTGCTATGGATCTATTGTCTCTTCGAATAAATAACGTGGTCACACTATCAGGAAATTTATACATAATCAAACTTCAATCAACACTGTGTGTTTTACGTTGCAATTTGGAACAACTTTTATTTTCAAATTCAATTGTATCTTATTGAATTCAGTTTTTGATATGTTTATTTGACTTTTTCTCTAAGTAAGTTTTTCTATGTATAGATCTTAAATACTGTATATATTTTGTATGATGCATTTACATACGATACATGTACGAATCTCGTTTCGAACTATATAGTACAAATTGGCATGTTCCAGTTAGAAAAGTGTATCAATTTAACTCTTTATACAGACTGCCAAAATAGTTTATATTTGACATGTGTGTGTAAACTGCGCTTTTTATTACACACACAAATATATATTACACACACATACACACACACACACATGTATCGATCTTTTTTTATATAACGCAATGTTGCCTTTACACTATTATAAGACTGTTATTGTTTTATATACTAGTTTTTCTATGTATAATATAACGTCTTTACAACTAAAGCGTATCATGTACATTTTGTAAAAACGATTTTCTGTTATAATACTATTTTCTCGAGAAAAGTTGCTTTTTTTGAATACACAATGAAACATTCATGTAATTCGTCCATGTACACTTACCAGTAGTACAAAACTTTAAAGTAGAATTAGTTTCACCAAATTACGAGATACTATAGAAAACTTTTATTAAATATTTTATATTAAATATCCGTGTTTTATTTTGCATTTACTATTGAATAATACAACATGTATTTAATTTTTGTCAAAAAATTCATCTCGTTATATTTTACGAGAAATTGACAATATAATGAAAAATAAAATAAAAATATTTTCAGGCCTGGTGGATCAAAATTTCTCTACTTGTTTCGTGTATTTATTTTGTGTAAGAAAAAAAAAAAATTAATCTCTAATATTGCTCAGTCTTTTTAAAGCAAAATTATCTCTCACATGAAAGAATAGACTTAAAAAATTATTTTTGAGTTCTTTTTTGTACATATATAAGGAAAGATAATAACTGTACGATGTTACTATCATAAAACTTTACTGCTACTTACAAATACAGTTTTTTCTATCAAGTTAATTCCCAGATTTGTCCAACGTTATTTACAACCGCGTTCGGATTGTGCTTGTGAAACATGAAGTACCCCTGAATTTGTGCCGGACTGACGTCTCTTTTATAGGACATAACGCTATCTGCGAATTTCTTGGCGAGTGTATTAGGATCCTTGCCCGGTTCTTTGTAGAATCGCAAGAACATCTGTTCAATCTGATGCGCACTGCACCATCCTGAGAAGAAACATATCGAGATGATCTTAGAGATACTTGTCATTTTGCGTTTAACCTTCTATTTGTTCAAACGTACCAATGTATTCTTTGACGTCGACTCTACCCGGTCTAACAAGAGCAGGATCTAATCTATCCAAATAATTGGTCGTCATAAATAATATTCTAGCTTCTGTGGAAGCTACACCGTCTAAGCAGTTCAATAAACCACTGAATGTCACTCTGTTAAGACCCTCGTATGCTGCTTTAACTAAAGTCAAAAACACATGGAAATAACTACTAAATGATTTATTCACTTGTTATTATCTTATTTCAAGTTTTATCACGTATGTACCTTCTTTGGTTTCTTCTCTACTAGTAAAAGCAGCATCAATATCTTCAAGCAAGATAATAGTCTGTTGCGGAGCTACTGCCAATAAATGATTTAATCTATCATCTGTCAGTCCTCTCTCAGATAAATTTAAAACGCATATACCACGCTCTAACTCGCCGGCCAATGCGGTAATATAAGAAGACTTTCCGCATCCTGGAGGGCCGTGTAACAAGTAGCCTCGGCGATATGGAATCCCTTAGAAAAAAATTAAAATTTCTTATTATTAGAAAAAGAATAATACACAAAAATTGCATCAAGTTTGATCAATCATGTCATTAGAAATTTTAAGATAGAGTTATTCACTTTTCTTATGTACCTCTTTCGCTATACCATGAAGGATTGTTGATGAATTCCCGACAATCATTTAATATTCTTTTGGAAACACCATTGTCCAAGACAACCGATTCGAGAGGTCTTCTCTTTCTGGCGTGTCCAAATTGCCGCCACTCGCTTCCCATGGCAGTATACATTATAGTTTTGCCCTCATGCTCTTTCAAAGCCATCTGTCTGGCTACATGAATTAAGTATTGCTTCTGATTTCCTGATATTACATAACACATTTTTATAACTATTTAAAAACTCAACCTTCTTCAAGAATGTTAAAATATATGTTTCTGTCTTTCCCAAATGCTGTCAACTGAACAGTTTCCCATGGTATACCCATATGTAAATCTAAAGTCTGTTGTTCCCTTATTCTTTCCACTTTTATCCAATTCCCTTTATATCTGCAAGAATTGAGAAAAATATTAGACAAGAATTTCTACTCAGAAAACTAATAGTACTATTTCTTACTTTTACTCCAAAATAATTTTAAAAAAAGTAATTAATACAAAATTGTATTATGTGCATATTTTACTAAAAAAAAAAAACAAAAAAAACGATTACACCATTCTAACCTAAAGAAGTGAGTTCCTATACTTGGAATAAAGTCATATTTTGTCTTCACATCACCAGTTTCTTTCTGTTCAAAGCTGGTTTCTACAGAGAGATGTTGTGTCTTTCGTGCACCCTTGTATGTAATCCACTGTAATAACCATTGATAACTCTTATCACGACATGGTACCTCTAAAGTGATCATATAATGACGTCTATAAATACAATTAATGTTTAATAAGTTTTTAATCAGTAACAAAAGAAATATTTTTTTTTACAATAATAAAACACAAATACATATCACAATACCTGAATATTACAGCTCCAAATTGTGCCCCCTTTCTTAGTAAAGCAGCACCGGCTCCAAGACCAAAAAGACCGAAGCCAGCGCCAAAATATGGATTTTCAGATAAAGTTTGTATATATTCTACAAACATTGTAATTTAAATTAATATTGTACAAAATTTATACATATAAACACTAATATGTAGTTTCCAAAACACTCTTGTACAAAATCCTTTTTTGTCAAGGTTATATTTCATTCTGTTTCAGAGACCTCTATCGATTTACAAAGCAACTCAAAATCAAAGTGCGCGTTTTTGAGTCGAATGTATCGCATCTATTGTTGCCTCCTTTCCGCGTTGCCGATTGGTTGGTTGATCGAGTCGAGTTGAGTCAAATCGAATCGGTAAGATCGAGAGAATAAATAATGACAGAAAAGCGATTTTGACAGTTCGTCGTATATGTGGAGAAAACTAAAAACGTGACTAAAGTAAAGTCACGTGACAGAAAAGAGTAGAAAAACAACACGTGACTGTAATTTATAGTATATATATCATTAAATAATATATATTATACATATAATTTATAATATATATTATATGTCTTCCTAAAAATATCAAAATCATTAAATTTACTTGAAAACAACAATAAAGGATGCAGAAAAAAGTTTAGCTTGCAGTTCTGTTACAAATGATTATAATATATTTCAATTTATCTTACAAAAAGAATCTCTAATACGTATATCATTGTTTAGTAACGTCAACTCTCTGCAGATATACCACAAACGTGGCCCGAATCCTTATCGTTTTCTCATTTTTTCGCTTTTTTTTAAAATATTTCTTGTAAATAAATGTCACTGAACATCTATACGTACACGCTACTTCCGATCTAAATGTAACATAACAGGCATGTTCCTGCTTTGATTAATTTTTCCACAATAAACGCAGAAGAAAGATCACGAGGTCGCTATGAATGATAGCTAATTTCAAGTTTTTTTTCCTACGTTAACGATTAATGCGGTCTAGAATAGCTACGGGAGAAAATATAATATATACTCGTTGATGCGCGCGTTTTGCGCACGTTATGTATAAATTCTTTCGCCGAACGCTGGTACGTTTTACATATTATAATATTAATACGTAATAATGTTAGAGTGCATTTACAATATGTACAATATTGCGGGTCCATGCTTGGGCACGAGATAAAGCCAAATCACTGACTTAAAAATCTATTACATATATCCTACCAAAGAAATATATAATGCCAAATAATGTCTAACACGTGATTTCTTTTTGTTCTAACACACTCTTAAAAAAAAAAGAGAGTTTAAACAATATAATATTATATATTTTAACGATAAATTCCGCAAAATCGTTTTTGACAAATTCTAACGTCGCGTTATATCGTTCAATTTTTTATTTCGATTATTATCAAGAAATTACATAATGATCTTTGTAATATACAAATGAGACATGTAAAACACATTTTGTCTAAGTGCAACATGGACCTCGATTTGAAGTGCAGTACACCCAACACACGTCTCTCATATCGAAACTTTCTTACACGCATATTATTAAATCGAGTTTTCCGCGAGTCCTTCTCTCCCACAGCGATAATAATTACCAGCACACATTACGCAGTCGTGGTTCAATTCGTTTTAGCCTATAACTATTACAGCTAACTGTTACTCGGTTTACACGAGTTTCATTTTTTTTCATTTTCTTTTAACTCCTAGTCTCACGTATCGTGAACTAATCGCACCACCGTCGAAAAGCTCACCGGACGGGACGCAATACTAGCTTTTCGTGGAAGCCTTGAGCAAATCTATCCGCGACCCTGATCTGCTTTCAGCTTTCATTTTCCAGCGGACAGATCCTGTTATTATTATTCGCGATACTCTTTCCGATTTTTTCTAGATCCCTTTCAAATTCGCTGTTTTTTTTTCTCTCGCCAACTTACAATCTAAAATATACACTTGATAAATCACTTCGGTGACATACAACAGGTCACATACTCCTTGATTTCTAAAAAAAATATGGTTCGTAGGTAGAGGTCAATTAATGTGTAAATATAGATATATAAGTCGATCTCTTAATGATACAAAAAGTAAGAATTTCAAAGGCATCTTCAAACGGGAAGAGAAAAGATTGTATTTTGAATATGAGGATTTGGAACAACAGTAATAGAATAAATAGGAAATTCATACACCGATATAATAAAGTTCTCTAACGCGGAGGAACTTCATAAAGGACGTTAAATATGAAAGAACCGTATATACTTTTGGTTCTTTGAAAGGACAGAATTGTTGACGAAAGTTGTCGAAGCTGTGAGCTTCCGCGACTGGGCGTTCGCATTTAATTTTGTTTGTGCTTAATCAATTATCGCATTTCTTCTCACAAAAATACGAAGAAATTTCAACAAGCATAGAAAACGCACAAATTCTTCTTCATCAATGAAATTGATTTTTTCAAATGTTTCTAAAGATTTATGTTAGAATTTGCTTAATATTTAATATAAAGTTGAGTTTTATAACTATAGGGCGATAATTGCGCACACTTTTTGAATTATAGTCACTTCTTTTTGTAAATCGCACATTACAGGCGTATGTATATGTATATTACGTATAATATAATATACGTTCTAACATCTCTAATGCGCTAACATATCCAGTCGTGAAGCGGCGTGGACGGCTAGGTAGAGTCGAGGACGAAATTTCTCGTGAAAAATAGTTAGGACAGCTTTATCGAAAAACGGAAGAATCTTTTTCTTTTCGTCCAGCTCATTCCCGACGATGGTGCGAAGCAAAAAGGGAAGGGACGGTAATCTGAGACTGGCTCGGTTTTATGGACATAAATTAGCCTGACCTGTGTCTAGCGCTTAGGTGCGTACAAAATTCTCAGAGTTTTCTTTTTCTTTTCAGATTCGCTCTGCATAAGTGTCAATGAAATTTACAGAATCGAATTGATTATTCAAAAGACCAGTTGTATTATTGCAAATTACCGTGATTGAAAAACACGATTGTTGTTTTTAAATGTCTTTTTCTTATCATATTAGAAATTCTAAAATTCTTAAGAGCAAGATTGGTCGATTTCCCCTATAATGATACACAAACTCCAATATGTGTGTCAATACTGTCACCTAACAAAACAAAAACTTACTCTGAAAGTGTCCGAAGTCATTTAAAAACAATTAAGAGTCAATGTATAAGAAATAAATTGTGCGAACAAGGTAAAGAAACGGACATTTTATTTTCCGAATACGGACAAAAATACGATCGACGTTGAAAACCGAAATATAAAAACAGAAATGAGGGAATTTCTCAAATCACAGTATGCGTCGTAGACACAGGTGACGCGATATCAATTTCACGTTATTAGATTTAAATAGCCGTATAACTGATCGACAATCGCGATAAAACAATTGATAAATTCTCTCCAATGTATTCCTCACTCTGACAATGCAATAGCAATAAATGCACAATAATAATATTGACAATAATAATTATAAGACAGCAATAGCAATAGCTATATGAACAACAAATTTGATTAGAGACAATAATGCGTCGTTTGTGAACATACGCTGAGCATACGTGTTGTGCTCATCACGACTCTTTTACAAAAATACAAGAAACAACAATAATCGCTGAAGTAATTAGAATCCTTTTTTCTCGTGTGTTTCTCGCTCGAATAAAGAAACTTTTCTCGTAGAACGAGATCAGTGATTATCAGAAAGCATATGAGTTAGTTGAAAATCGCTACAACTCAATTTACAGGGAACGCCGTTGTTGGCCTCTGTATGCAACTCTGTGCGAAATTCGCAACCATCCGATTATCATATGTACATCAGTAAGATGTTAAAAATACTTCCTGACGCATGATTTGATATCACGGCAAAAAACATGTACATAGAAATATATAAATAGTTATAACTTAACAAATGATTAAATAGATAAATAGCTGCGTCGAGTAATATCAACAAAACGCAATTGTTAACTTCAATAAACAATTAATCTACGATCTATAAGCTGCGCAAAGAAGAATGCAATCTATAAAACTCTGCTTAGGCTTAGGCCACAGTCTATAGAATAAAATACGCGAAACGTCGACGTCAAGTTCCATAGTCAATAACAAAATTGTAAACCACAGACGAATCTGATACATAAGATATGTAAATACTTGTTACTTCAGAACTGAAACAACCGATTCCGCTACTTTTGAAGATGAACAATGTCAATTAATTATAATTGCGATTTGTTTTTAAGTTTAAAAAATTTTACAAGATCTTTATTTTTTAAACAAGTCATTTTATATAGAATTTTTTATGTAATTTTTCATTTTTTCCTTGTATAAATTTCTTTTTTTTTATGGAACACAAGACGGCAATAATTGTTCCCTTCCCGACGTAACAAAATAAAATAAAATTTCTGCGATTTTTGACAATGCAGATAAATCGAATAAAAACACAATTGTTTTTGTACAAAAAAACTGCTAGAATTTCGGCTAAAATGAGTAGGGAAGTGGACTATCGAGGTGGACTACCCGAATGTTAGTTTCGTGGACTGTGACGAGTTTTCTGCTACTTAGAAAATGGGTCCCTATATATCGTGTTTTCTTTTTAAATTCGGCTATCGTTAAAAATTTCAAGACTACTTTGTCTACATTTCATTCCGCTACTTTGATTATAAACGCTACCGGTCACGCGCAGTGTTAATATTGTCTCTATGTGGTATGCAATGTAAAATTCTTCGCCGTTTGCTATTATTCTACCCGCAAACGACGTACAGTCCTCTCCAGTATTTCCGTGTCCCTCTTTAATAGCGTACTACATTGAAGCTTTTCATCCGACAAAACGTTCCGGAAATGCAAACATTTATATTACATATACGCAAACCGTTAATGAAACCGTGCTCTGAATTTCGCTGAAGCAACAATAACCTGTTAAAATATATGTAAAACATTAATAAATTAAGTTAAAAGCAGAGTTTTTCGATCTAAAGTAATTATTTCTGTACAAAATAAAATGACGGACAAACGGATTGAGCGCGCATTCATGTCGATCTAGTCTGTTAATTTAACGCGTCTACACACACGTATCGTCATAAAATTCGCGCGTCGAACTTACGCGTAGTAACTCTTCGTAGATGGTGAAACGCCCCCGTTAACGAAAGAGACTATCATCTATCCTACACTTCGCAATTGTTCTCTACTAATAATAATGGTAACACAAGGAGCTTTCCGAAGATAATCTAATGATATGGAGTAAAAATCCGTAGAATGTGAAAAAGTCGAATGTTTCAAAAGTCTTCGAAACGCAGCCCTTGCTCCCCCGTTTTCTGTGCGCGATTCTCTCTCGTACTAGTGAGGACGGCGTCACTATTTTTCCCTTCTTTCTCCGTTTTTCCATTTTTTTTTTTTTTTTTTTTTAAAGCACTCGGATGCGTTCGTCTTCTTTTGCAAAAATACGTTCCGCAGAAAATTTACCGCGACGATGAACGACGCTGCACACATCGAGAATGCGGATATTTTTTTTCTTTTAACGAAGAAGAAAAAGTCAGTACTCTCACTAAAGTTCGACCCGGCAAAACACGGGTTTGCGACAACGAGCGGTAGAAAAATTTGAAAAAGTTTTTCAAAATCGCCGTTTCTTTCAGAATATCTTACTCCACATCTTCATCATTTTCTAGAAGAACTCTCTGCCCAAGTGGGAGCGGTTTGTCTGTTGCGGCAGCCGCGGTCTACCGCGTCCGTTTGCGCCCGCGGCATGTCGTCTGGTGTTGCGCAGTTCCCGATCGACTTCGAGCTCCTCCAGCTTCATGGTCAAGCCGAGCTTCTGCTGCACCGCCAGCCGCAGTAACTGGTTCAGTGTCTTTCGGTCGTCTTCCGCCACGGCGAGCTGCCGCTGAAGCTCGTCCACTTGCGTCACGTACTCTTCGCAGCGTGCAGCGAACATTGCACGCAGACCTGGAGAGCGTATGGTTAGCAGGGTTTTAACACGATGTAGAGATAAGCAAACAAAGAAATAAAAAGCACATCAGAACTTTCTTCGAAACGAAAACCAGACCATTTTAGGGCAATCAAAAAGAAGCTTTACGTTCAAAATATTTAACCAAAACACATATATGGCATAAATTTACATGAAAAAATGTACAGCGACCAACCAGATACAACCGGCAGTATGTTGCATTACATAAAATAAGCGAATAATACTGGACTAGTTTCCGCTTGAAAGCGGAATGTTATGCGCAACAAATAATACGCTTCACGAGTTTTATGCAACACAATAATTATGGCACAGAATCAGGGAGTTCGAAAAGTCGATCGCAACACCCCACAATATTAGCAACAGCGCTTTTGTTAAAGCTGACAACAACCGTTTGTAATTGACGTATTAGTGAGCGCACAAACACATGTTAGTAAAAGAAAATAAAAAGAAGTTACATTATTGAATTTCACTGATAAATTATGAGTTGTGTAAAACATAAAAGAAAAACAATTTAGTATGATTTTCATGACAAAAATACGATATAACTCATCAATCTCTCGAAATACAATTTTTTCGAGTTTCTACATGTACAATCAACTGTCTTTAAAAATTTCCTAATCGTGGAGCAACACTAGAAAAGAGATGCAAATACTAAATACTCACTCGAAAAAGTCGCAGCATTTTCCTTCAACATTCTAAGCTCATTTCTCAGCTTGAGCATCGTTTCGTTGACGATGAGCTTTTCGTTTTCGTATTTGCTCTTCAAATTCATTAGTGCCACTTCTGCCGTGTTTTTATTTGATTTAAGTACCGTTCTTAACGTGGCAATTTGTTCCCGTTTAGCAGATAGCAAGGCCTTTAACCTGATCACTTGTTCTTGAAGATCCGTCACTTCTGCCTTATTTTCATTGACAGACGCTAAAAAAAAAAAAAAAAAACAAATCAACAAGATATAAACTTGTATGTAAAAATTAATTATATATCTTGTATCACAGAAAATAAATACAAGCTTTTTTGATAAAGCGTAAAAAGAGTGTATCTTACCCTCGCAAACATTGCAGACGTTCAAAGACTGCATTCCCTTGACCTTGGATAGTTCAATCGTGTGTTCAACGGCGCTTCTCAGATGTTTTATTTGGTCCATTGCGGTTTCTATGTGTTTTGCAATTTCTTTCGCTTTGCCGAGGCTCTCCAAATCCTTGATCTGGATATCGGTCTTGAACAGAGTCCGGCCCCAGTCCATCTTGCCGTTTTCTTCCTCCTTCTCAGGCACGATCTCCGACTTCTCGTGGTCCAATATTACCCTCGAAGGGGTCTCGCCGTTCACGGTGCACACGTGATGATAGAGTTGCGCGAGTTCATCCGAGAGATTCTGCAAATCGTTCTGAGCGGAGTCGAGAAAACCGCCCGCTTCCGCGGTGAGTTTCGACAGAGTAGACACATCCGACTCAAGCTGCGCGCTCCTCTGTTCAGTGTCCAAGAGCTGGAAGGAGAAGAAAAATGTTACACGCGTAAACAAACGCACGATACCTATTATATTAAGTAATGTTTTGCCTTTAAATATGCGTGTTTATTGGGAAAGTTTTTTCTTTTTTTTCTTTTTTTTTTTTTTTGTATATAAAATCCAAATTTGCTAAACTCGAACAGCGTATCTAGCAATTTGTAATTATGTAGATTTTTCTTTTCGAGCATCGTGCAAAACAGGCTCGGCGAGCTCCGATCGAACACATGCTACGTTAGAGATTTATATGGAGAAAATGATCAATTCTGATTGGTCGGTCTTAAAGCGCATTCCGCTTTAAAAGCCACGGTGCATAGCGTATTACGATCCGTACACGTCACGTCTCTTGAGCATTGATAATGACATACATTCAAACGCGCTGTTGCGACGATTCACATGTCAGAATAAAGAGAGTGCGAGTCCGCACATTCTCCAAGAAACATATTATTCTTACATGTGGATCTGAATTTAGACAGAGAAAATGGAGTATTGTGATGAAAATTCGTCAGTAGCTTTGAAAATATGTGTGGGTTAAATATATGAACAAAAAAAAAAAAAAAAAAAAAAAGACAAGAAGCATATATTGTATAATGAGCTGTTAGGACAATGAAAAGCAAGTAATCATTACGGATCACATTAGAGGAGCCAACAAGACAAATTGTTATTGAAATATCTGGTAAAATACGTCAAAAAAGGGACCACACGTAATCCAACCTTTTCTCGAAGGCTCTTCTCTGACTCGGGTATCTGAAACGCCACAATTTCTATTCAAAGTCTAACATTTTGCATTATTTTGCCAGTATCGCACACATAACTCTAACTCTTCTTTCTCTCATTTTTTATAAATTTAAATTGACTTACGTCTTTGTTCTTCAAGTAGTTTTGCAAATGTCGCTCCAAGTTAAATTAAAAGAAAAAAAAAGTAACAAGACGGATAATAAATATTAAGTACCTTGTTTCTTAGATTTGTCAGCTCGGTTCTTAACTGCTGCGTGGAATCGGACAAGGTCAAACCATTTTCCAATTCTGCTAGATCTTTCTGTAACTGATTCACTTCGCGCGCGGACATTGTGCTCCATTGATGATATTGCACTATAGCCTGTAACGACAAGGTGTAAGTAAACCACAGTTTCCGTTTTTCATATGATGTAAACTTACTTTTTGTTTTAAAATTGTAAAAAAATCAATACACAATAAATATATTTGAAGATAGTTTTCGCGTTAGTGTCATTTTTATACCGACGTTTTGTGGACATTTTAAACCCGAAAACCACTTTTAGATGAATTCTACTAACACACATCGCGAAAGTAAGCAAATATCAAATAACCATACCTGATTGAGTTTTTCTAGAGTGGTTTCTTCGCTCTGTTTTTCTGGCAGCTTTGAGTGAAGATGATGCAACGATTGCACATGAGCCGCCAGCTGCACTATTCGTGCGACGAACGACTGCAGTTCGGTTTGGCTCTTCTCAACCGCGTACTGCGACTCACGCAAATTCTGCGTCAGATGAGCTTTCTCGGTCTCCGCGAGCTCCAGCTGCTTTTCGAGTTTTTTCAGTTCGTTCAAATGAATCTCGGAGAACAGATCAACCTGTTTGTCAGTGGCAGATGTGCCCGGTTCCTGTGTCTTCAGGTCAGCCTCGATTCTACGCAGCGCGGGTGAGTCGTCCTCGCCATCGCTGCATATCGTCTGATCTTCCGTGATGCCCCGTATGGAGAGCGCGAGGTTACTGAGATTGTAAATCGACTCGCTATTGATTCGCTGATCCAGTTCCTTCTTCAATGCGTATTTGGCTTCGCGTTCCGCTTGCAGCGACTCTAACGCTTCTTCCATCTGCTTCTCCGCTATCTTCTTCAGGTTTGTCAGTTCTTCCACTTGGCTGTTCAGCAGCTCGACCTCCTCCGTCAATCTTCGGATCTCGTGTTTGGCACCTTCGAACTCTACCTGACTTGACCGTAAACCCGACACTTGCTTCTGCAACGAAATATTCTCATCCTCCAGCTCGGAATAGTCCTGAAGCAGACGTGTCTCACGGAATCTGCATTCCCGCAACTCCGTACGCAACGATTTGCGTTCCGTCTCCGCTTGCTGGTGATCCTTGAGGATTTCTTCGCGTTCCTGAAGTGCATGATCGCGTTCCGCCTCCACTCGTTCCAACTCGTGACGTAACTAACAATAACGCACGATGTTAAGAAAAATATTCTCTTTGTCCGTTTAAATACTTCGAATCGATAACTATAAAGTAACTCGATATGCACCTGTTTTGTTTCATTTTCCAATTCGATAATCTGTGTCTGCAGTGATGTTTCACGTGCGGCGCTTTCATTAAGAAGACTCTCTTCTTGCTCGATGCCACTCTTTGCAGTTATTTTCGTAGTGGTCTGAAACTTTGCGAGGGCCTGAAACAACAGAAAAGCATGTGGTTACATTGAGAATAAATGTATGTTTTTATGGGAGAGAATTTAAAAAAACAAAAACAAGAGCAAACATTAATTTAAATCTTCAAAAAGCAATCCTTTTGAGAAATTTGCACAATGTCTGAACTTTTAGTTTTAGATATTTATGAGATATATTTTTAAGATATTTATTTATCACACGATGCTCTAGTACACTCTTCTAATTTGTGTTCATTCATTCAGTATGCAATTGTGAGTAAAACATTTTTACATATTGTGCTTTTATTAGTTAAATTTTTACTGCGTTAATTGCATCACGTTTGTATCGCATCTTTGAACTTGAATCGCTCTAAAAACTTTTGCAACAATACGAAATATAAATTTTTTTTTCTCGCTATTCTCGTTCTCTTCTTACTGTGCTTGCGACGTAACAGTCGGACGTGACGTAGAGCAACCGTATGTGCTCCGACAAGTCCAAAGGGAATATCCGTGTCGCGTACTAACCTCCTGCGTGATTTCCAACTCGTGCTTCGTGTTCTCGTAAAGAACCTCGAGGGCGTTGCATCGCTGCTCCAGCGCGGACTTCTCCTCGAGCAACGCGAGCCCGTACTTGGCCGACTGCACCTTCTCGGTGGAGGCCAAATCGAGCTCGCGCGACAACCGCTCGATCTCGGTCTTCAGCTCCTCGAGCACGACTTCATCGACGGCAGCAGCCATTGCTGTCGACGCTGCGCTGACAACAACGACGAGGTTGACGGCGGCGGTAGATTTCTCCTCCTCCTTCTCCTCCGCCTCCTTTTCCTTCTCTCTCTCTCTCTCTCTTTCTCTCTTCCCCTGGTGTTGCTCTTCTTCTCGGTGCCGCTTCTCCCTTCTTTCTCACGTCGCCTCCTTTACCCAACCTTTGTCGTTATCGGAAATAAAACGAATGGACGCCGGTCGCCGTCGTTGCGCGATCCGCGATTGGACGCATCCTTCGGTGAATCGTCGCCTTTTTCTTCTCGCAGCAGATAAACGGGAACCGTCGTGTCTCTCTTTTTGACGGACACGCACCAGACGATGATATTCTCTTATGTATTCGCCTTCTCTTTTACATTCTGCTCGCGAGACTACTACCGCGAGGCCACTCACCGATTTTGACAGATACGCCGCGACGACGACAATTCGGCCACAAAGAAGCGCGGACGGGTGATATCACGCGAACAACCGGATGCATGTTCCGTGTTCGAGCCAGGCTTTTTTAACCCGTTTCGTTATTCCGTTTCCAGCGCGCGCACACACGCTGTCAGTAGCGTTGCTAGAAATCCACAGAGCCCCGAGTGTGTCTGTCTCATTTTGATAATCGACAATATTTCATCTGTCTTCAGTCACGGCTTGTTTTATCACGACAGGTGGATATCACCGTTCACACTTCGGTACCACTTGCTTTAATTATTTATATATATACCTCTCCTGCAGTCCGGATATCGAATGTTTGCCCCGATTGCTTGTTGACTTACTTTCCTTACTTGCCTCGTTTGCAAAACCTTGAAGTGTCGCGCTTGTCACATCTCTTTTTTGCAATAACGAAGAGATAAAACAATTAATACGCAGTTGAAGAATATATAAAGATATTTGATCAGAAAACATTTATATAAAATTTTATAATTTAATTTATTGTCATGCAAATTATACGTTCAAAAATAAAATTTTAATTTACTTTGTATAAAACTTTGCAAAATAAATCTCAATTTCTAACGCTTTTATACAGTTCTAAGCGCGTAAGAAAAACGAAATTTATAGAATAAAAATGTGCAGAGACAATTGATCTATGACGCATTTATTACGATGACACGCAACTTGCGTGGATTTTTTTGGAGCATGCGTGCAGTGATATGATTACGTAATGCAATTTTCTCTTTAACTCTAGCAATAAATACAGAATTTATAAATATATCAAATATATTCGCAATTGCGATCATTGAAATTATAAATTATGAACTCGCTGGACACAAAAAACTTACAAAAAAACTCTAAAAAAAAAACCCTAAAAAACTAAAACTGAAAAAGACACTTCCAAACAAGAGATATTATTTTTAACATTAAGTAAAAACCTAAAAAACGAAAACTGAAGAAAACACTTCCAAGCAAGAGATATTATCTATATTGTATTTTTTTTATAGCAAGATTTTTGAACGACCGTATAGCTCTAAGTTTTATTTAAATATTAACGCACGTATTGATTTGGGAAACAGAGAGAAATAAAACCTCGCTCAATTTTGCCTCTCCGTACACATTCTATTTCAAAAATTCAGTTTAAAAACATAACTTCAAATACTCCACAATCCTCTTATTAGTTTGTAGCTTATTTTTTCCTTCTTCCTCTCATTCCTTCTCCTGTCTTCTTCTTTCTTCATCTTTCTCTCTCTCACTCTCTCTTTGTCCTTTTCTTTTTTTTGTTCAGTATTAATAGATTAGTTTAATATATAAGTCGAGCCGTGGGTCCGGCATACGCCGCCGGTCGAATTAAATTCATACAATGTAACAGTCGTATTCTTTACAATATTCGTACGTAAGTCTTGTAGCAGAGATAAAAGCGCAGGTGCCCTAAACGCACGTTTCTTCTTATTTTTTTAAATTTTTATAATAATTATTCGTACGCTCATCTCTAAACCTCTGGTACCACCAGTAGACTCGGAGACTGCGACATGCTGTGAAGGAATTGGTTGTACAATTGTCTACCAGATCCTTGTTCTTACTCTCTCTCTCTCCCTCTCTCTCTACTTACTGTGATGTATGTATATTTGACTGTATTATATAAATCTCTTTTGATAAACATTTCCATCCAGACAATACAAAGGCTATGTCCGAAAAAATATATATATAAAAAAAAAGACAAAGACGTTTGAAAAATTGAAATATCCGAGAATTTATCCTCGTTTACCGATTTTATCGAGATAGCCGAGGAAAGAAAATTGAACATATTTGTTTCTTCAAAAATTGAAAGAGATCTCTAAAAAAATCACTAAGGAATATCGCAATGTTTCAAACGTCTTTTTTTAGACACACTTGTTGTCCGGAGAATTTGGTCCGGCGTCTCCCTCAGAGCAGTGACGGTGCCAGAGGTTTTTCGCGAGCTCCAATATATGTATATATATATATATATATATAGCGCAAAGTACAATTTGATCCTCTTCAAAGTCTTATCGTGAGCACACTAGCACACCGAAACTACGCAATGAGATCCGGCTTTAAGTTCCCAAACGGGTACTCTGTGTTAAGTGTATAAAATTGGTTTTTTTGCAGGACACCTGGATTACTACGCGAAATACCCCCGGGGACTTTATCGTCCTTCTTCTTCTTTTTTCTTTTCATCGAGACAGTCAGGCACGCCTGGCTTCTGAAACTTTTTTTTAATACACAATTGTCGCTGCTGGTAAAACCACTGAGCTCGCAAATGGCCTATCGGTGTGGATACTCTCTTGATGCCCGCTTAGTCAATGAAGAAAAAAAAATCACTGAACTCGTTTCGCGCGCGGATCGCTATTTTTTTCTTCTTCGGAGAAACGCGACAGGTTCCTCTCGTACGCGATCCGTCCACGCGCGCGCTCTTTTCGAAAACTTTTCGTCGACTGAAAATTCATCTTGACTTTGACTCATCGCTACGCATCGCGCTGAACGTTAAAACGTGATCCGATAATTTTCTGTAAAGTAGTTCGGGAAATCTAAACGTGTCTTAAATCCTACTTACGTTGCTGTTAATTGTCGCGTTATGAACACTGCACACGGCGAATCGGCGCGGGCTCACGCTATAAACGTTGTTTTTGCACGTCTTTTTGTTTTTCATTCTTTAAAAAAACTCGCTTTTGTACTCGCATTGAGCGTAAAAGTATATATGGTCGTCACCTCGCGCGCGACGAGGAAATTTTTGCTTCCGTCACAAATCCATCGTACTTCTTTTTTGTCGAGCATATTCTGTACAAAATTTCGCGTTCCTACAACTTATGAATCATACTTAGGAAAACAAGTCAAAGAGTCTTAATCTCACACACACACATATACTGTGTGTTACTCCTATACATGAAAAATACAAAATTTTTTTCGTAAAGATTACAAAAAGGAGAATCGCGTCATCGGAATTGATCACCAGCAACGACCAGAGTATAAACTAGCTTTTTACAGTACAAAATACAGCTCCTGCACACACACACGCGCGCATACACACACGCACACAATACACACATATGCATAATAAAATATATATATATATATATATATATATATAGTGTATACACATGCGCCATATATATCTATATATCTATATATATACATATATATATATATATATACATATATCTAGTAACGAAGTGTTCTTTTTTTAGCAACATGTAAGGATATAGTAAGGTCGATGAATTCTTTTGGGGCGGGTTCTTTCCTCCTCTTAGTCACTAGTCCATTTAACATTCCGGCAACGGCATGAACAAGTATATGTGAGCCTATGATCACGTTGTATTAACAATTATACGATAGTACACATTACAAAATGTATGCCAACTTGTGTACAGACCACCGTGTTTATATGTATATATACATATCGATGTACGCTTCGAACATCTGTTACAAATGTGTCGGAATTAACCGCGACATTTCCTCTCAACTTGCACTCGAAGATATATACCTCGTAGAAGAAACACACGTCTTCTCTTTATTCATCCTGTCATCGATGGGCGAAATAACGCACCCAAATATAGTTGTATATAAACCCGTAAACACTGACAATCCACAACTAATATACATTCTGCACTTGTCCAACATGGAACTGGACGAGTTTCAAAGAACAATATGCATCAACGAGGAGAAATGAAAAAGCGGTTTTTCACTATTTTTAGTTTCGTACATAATCGCTCATACACTGATTGAATGTCGGGTTTTTAAATCCGCGATGCTTTCTTCGTTCAAGAGCAAAGTGAACTCGCGCGCGTGTTCTTCCTTCGTCCCCTCATTGTCTCTCGGAAAAATATAGTTAGTAAACACTTTTTTATTTCTCCTCGTAAGAACGTAGCGAAAGAAAATCAAAAAATGACCTACTGCAAACAGCTCGGCGAGATCCTCATTACATCCTTACACATTAAAAATTAACGTTACTAAATCTTATTTTTATGCATTCAGGGCCGGCATGTGTGTTTTGCTTCGTTATTATTCCACTTCCCGCTTTTACTTCCGAATTCGTTCTTTTTCTTTTATTTTATCAATTTGTAAGTGTCGGCTAGAGAGTTCGAGAGGGAGGATCGGAGAATACAAGATGCGTGGATATAAAAAGTGCTGCGACGTAAGTCTTATGACTCTTATGGATTCTGTCAATGAGCCAACAAGACGGGAGAACTATCGATGCCTGGCGCGGTATCGAATATTGTATGTATGTACGTACGTACGTATTATTATTATATCGTATAATAGTTTTTCTCGTTTTCAATAGTGACTGCGTTTTGCAAAGCGCGTATTCACGCGCGATGGTTTGGTTAGCGACGAGCAGCAGCCGTTCGAGCGTACAAATTGCGCGAACCACACAAATTCAGCGGGACCGATTATTTTGTGAATATGTACGCGCGAATCCGACCGGGAAGTTGTGCACAAGAAGTCTCAGATGTCAACATTTCATTATTGTTACATTAAGTGTTTTGTGATATGAAATCAATGCTATTTCTTTTTCACTTGTTTTACATTGGTTTTTATTGTGTCACTTGCCCACTTTCGACTACCCAAATTAAGAAAAACGTCTCTCTCCATGGACGTCGGACCATTTTCTTTTTTCTTCGTCTATCAATAATTGTATTTCGTTTGTGATAAGATTCTTATAAATGTACAATCGCATGTGAAAGATATTTAATGCAGTACAATATAATGATGTTCAATATAGTTTCTATAGTTAAACTTAACGAATTTGTCGGACGTACCGATTACACCATCGTTTACTGACTGAAAATTAAATATGTATACTTAGTTTAATACAATTAGTTATCGTCGTAAATCGACATAGTTAAGTTCAGTGCACGTAGTACAATAGCGCATCCAATCTAGTCTCATGTAATCGCGTACAACAAAACTTGTATACACTCCACTAGTTTTTGCCGCTTATATAATTGTTCTCGCCTATGGCGAGGATAGAAAAACGCGTACTGTACACACAACTTAGATACATACAATATAATGCTGAACTGCATGAAAATCAGATTTGTTAGAAACTAATTTTGTCGTGATTTCAGTCAATAAATCACACCTATAAATACTCCGACAACAGTTAACAATTGGAATGTAAAAATGTGTTGTGGATATTTCATAGTTCTAATCGACATCTGTGATCATTTTTGACTGTGAGAAGCGCACGTTTTTGACTTTGTTTATAAATATGTACCTATACATATGTATAAGAACAAAGATAAAGTTGTCGGAATATTTTGATTGTATTCTATTATCAACTGTCATTGGTTTTGTATGAAACAAATCTTATATTTTAACGTAACGTGTGCACGAAAATTATCATACGCCAGTATTTAAACATAAAATTCAATATATCAATAAATTACAGCATACGAGCGCAATATGGCTCGATACCAAATTTAAAAATATATTAATAACATAGTTTAGTAAATTTTGATTTTCTTGCCTTCATGACTTTTTTTGAAAATGCTTTAAATTGCAATTGCATGAAAAGATAATTAATTATTGCATAAGGTCTAATGAAAGAGCGTCTCCAGAGAGTAAGAAAACTATTCAAATTCAATTTGAATTTAGTCTTTACGCTAATAATCTTTCCTATCTATAATTCATGCATAAAATTATGTTGCATTTTGTAACTTAAATCTAATTTCCCTTATAAAAGGAAGAAAATTTTAATCACAAACGTATGATCATGTCAGCGTATGCTTATCGGCAAATCGGTACATTTGACAAATCCGTCTCTTAAGACCATCGCATAAGAACGCTTTATAAACATTCTTGTGCGACGGTCTTTACAACCCTAATTTCGACCTGGGTAGAAGAATAATGACAAGACTACGCATCAGCTTCCGAGAATCCATACATCTTGCATTGGAAAAACAATGCGCGTACAAGACAATTCGAAGGTCAGGGGATAGAGGACTCCGTGTCTCTACTCTAATTCAATCGAATGTTTACACTATTATTACTTAAAGGTGTGTGTACATGTAAATGTGTGTCCATTCATGCGCGTGCGCGCGCAAATGGAGATGTTTTCTTTTTTCTTTCATACGCTGTGCTCTATACGCCAGTTTATTCCTAGGATAAACCTTCTGCAAACGCACAATCACGTACTAGTATGTGTGGTATAGTCAGTATAACAGCAATAAAAACTTAAAGAGACATTATTAAGAAAAAGAAAACCCATGTGAGAAAAGAACAACGGTGGGCAAAGAGGATAAGGATATTTGGGTACAATAGAGGGAGGAGAAGGGCTGGGGGCTGGCCTCCAGGAATTTGGGAGCATGGGAGAGATGAAAATTCGAACGATTATGTTATTCCGACGACGACAACGATGAAGACGACGACACCGGCGGCGATACGCGTCCTCTTACGAATTGTACGCGTCAACAGACATACGTCCGCACATCCCTACCTAGCTACAATCCCCAGTAGTGGCACGCGCGACGTTAAACGGCTTATCAATATTTTAAAGCGAGCGGCACGGATTGGGTTTTCCTACTTCCTGTCATCCTGGTCACACTCACGGCTTATATGACCCGTTTTGCCACAGATGTAGCAAGTCTTGCCGCCAGCCTCGGTGCAATTGCGAGCAATATGACCGGTCTTGTTGCAGTTGTAGCAACTCTGCATTGCGAAGCGGCCAGAATCATTTCCACCTTCCGGGCAGCTACGCGCCATGTGACCAGTCTTATTGCAATTGTAACAGCTCAACTCCGGACCCTGTCGACAAACATTATTTTTGCTAAACAAACCAACATCTAGTAAACAATAGTCTCAATGTCATGACGTTGTTAATATTGAAAATAAATTGAAAAAAGTCAAGAAAAACGCTAACATCATGCGCTGTACCAACCTGTTGACAATCCTTTGCAATGTGGCCAACACCATTGCAGCGATAGCAAAGATCTTGATCTTCTTTACATTCACGTGCAAAATGGCCAAATTGGTTGCACTTGAAACATTTCTCTCGACCACGTCCAAATCCACCGTCTCTATCTCGTCCACGATCTCCTCTTCCTCCACCTCCACCTTGTGGGCACTCTCTTGCAAAGTGGCCCATGCGGTTGCACTTGTAACACGCGCTCGAACTCATTCCTCAATCTGTAATTACAAGACATTATTGTAAAATTGTAAAATTAAAAAAATTGTTACATTTCTCTCTCTCTCTCTCTTTCTTAATATATTTAGTAACAAGATATTTGTATCATTAAGCAATGCTACAAGCACTCGTGATAAACTTTTGTTATAAAAATGTTTATAAATAAAAACTGACAAAAAACTCTTAGAAATTTGTATTATACTACATATATACCGCAATACAACCCGACCAAGGACAGAACTATAATCGTAAAAAAAAAAACCATAGAATAATCTCAATTGTCTAAAACCAAAGCATTTCCCCGGATAGTGACTTTGCCGTATCAACGCGCATCCTGTGTGTGCGCTCGCGCGCGTTGCACAGAGATATTTCCTGCTAAACGCGCAAGCATACGCGCGCAATAGAAGAGAGAGTATGACACGCCAGGTGAACGTGCATTTTATCGCAGCGAGCAGGCCACGCAGACTCGTTTTGTAGGCAATAAGGAAGCACCGGCCGGAACGCAATCGCGCACGCCGCGTCAGGCAACGTCGCGTTGCATGGCGCCGGCCGGAACAGCCGCGATCGAAGCGGTGCGCACGCGAGACGTTGATAAAATGGCATCTCTGATGCGTCACGCGAGTCTGGAACCATGTACGCGTTAACGTGAAAAGATGAAGAAAACGGATGCGAGACGCGCACGTGTTTCGTGTGCCGCGAAGCGTGTGATGGCGAGTAGCAGGCAGTGGAGAGCGCGTGCACGTTTGTGCTCCGGATATGCGACGTCGTCGCATCCACCATTCTCCGATATCACAATATAACGCCTAACTTTTCCGGACTTTTCGCATCTTTTCAGAGCTTACTTGTACATATCCTTACCTCTTGCGGTTTCACAGCGCCCGTACAACGTGGCTGCTTGATTTGTTCGCTCGCACACTCGATCTTTCTTTCTGTCCTCTCTCTACCGTCCCTTCTTTTTTTTCTCTCTCTCTCTCTCTTGCTCGCTCGCTCGCTCGCTCGCTCACTCTTACTCACTCACACACTCTCTCTCCCCCCACTTTATACTATCTACTAATAGTATGAGTGCGTCCATGTACTACATGTATACGTACGCATACAAGACGCTCGGAACTGCGCGGCGCGCGAAGATGGCATCCGAGACCTGACGCCGCGCGCGCTGCGCTTTTTTTTGCCCCTGGTCATAAGGAAAAGTTCGCCCGATGGCGATGCGATGACGCCGCCGTCAACGCAAACGACGACGATGCGCCGCATTTCGGCGGGCATCGTCGCCGGTGTCCCCGTTTCCGACCGTTCGGACCTTTTCTAGGAAGCGACACGCACGCGAATCATATCGCAAATTCACGGAATGTCTCAGAATAGTTGCTGTACAAGAACCAAGACCACGTGCCCAGGTTGCTGCAGCGTAAGTTTCAGAGACAAGAGATCGAACGCTTTCTCTTTCCGGCGACGATGTGACCGCGTGCCGTGCGAGTGCTACTGCGGAGGATCCGGCGCAGTTTTACTCACCTCGTTGATGGTAGGACGAAAGAAAACTACAGACGGTGTGTGATGAGCTTCGCGATACGATGCAGTACGTGCGACAACTAAGAGTCCACGGGAAGTAGTGTTTTCCGCACGAGAATACGAACGAGGACCCAGGCGAATAGACCGCGACCATTAACTAGCAAGAGGATCAGATCTGCTAAACTCCCGTTTCTTCCCGTTTTCATTAATTCAGCTCCACATCCGGCTCGAGGAAACGACCTGCGCACCACAAACCGATCAACTCGCGCGTTGATTAGTCATCGGGCTTTGGACGTCCGCTGGAGTGGGAGGGACTTTCTGATAGAAGAGATCCATAGTCTATGTTGTGATTGGTTTGAATTTAAAGTAAGAAGCCCTGCAATCACATTTGAATGCTACTTACTTGGTTACGTTCCAAAATCCTACTTTGGTAACCAAAAACTATAGTACACGTGTAGAGAGTCTCTCAAGGTACCTTTTCATACAGCAGCACGCTGCGGCAGCAAAACGTCACGTGACTAAAATTTTCTAGGACTGCTTCCGCTAGGTATATTTGCTGCCCCTGTATAAAAAGGTACCTCAATACATGTGACGTGAACTATAGACTTGTAATATCGGCATTGGTCTAGTTTCCACCGAAGCATTAATTCACACTTAATGCGGCGTAGAATCAAATTTAAGTCGATGGAAACGCGTCAAATTGCCCTCATTTTACTTCCGCTTCGATTGAGGATTTCGGTAGGAACTAGATCATTGTGAGCATCGAAATGCTGCCTGGGTTACGTTCCAAAATCCTATCTTGATAACCAAAAACTATAGTACACGTAAAATATAGCATTTTAGTAACCAAGGTAGGATTTTGGAACGTAACCTTGGAGTTCCAAAATTCTACCTTGGTAACCAAAAACTATAATATACATGACACGAAATATAGCATTTTAACCAAGATAGAATTTTGGAACATATCCTGAATGTAGCGACATGAGCTTATCCAACATACCGAGAAAGTAAAATTATTCTACATATATATATATATATATATATTATATAAACAAGATACACAATATTATTTATTAAAGAAGACATGCTTTTCAGTGAACCTGTTACATGATATTTAAAATACTAAAAATTCTATTTATGTACTAAATTACAGTTTCTTAACATTTTTAAGTAATTTATTAGAACTTTATATACAGAGAAGAGATTGTTTGAATAATATGTAACACATCTCATTTCACTTTTTTTCCGACTACATAGTTTTATAAATGGAATACATGTGTGTAATCTTACTAATTTTTAAGTGTAAAAATGGTCTTTTTTAAAGATCCATTTTAACGGACTTTACATTAATCAAAAAGATTTGTTTGGTGAATATGAGACATATGTACATAAACCACAAAACTATTCAACATTGCGTGTGTACCAAGAATTAATTTACAATAAAATATATTTTTTTTACAAATATTTTTTATCTACAGTTTACATTAGCCGCGCATGCTTGTTTTAAGTATATTATACGAAATTCTCTAAAATATGTTATCAGGCTACATAAACCGTATAAACGTACAATATAGATATATTTGGTGTTACTCCTTTGATTTTTAGTACAAATGTAAAACCAAATTACTTTGTTCCTCATTATATAAATTACAGCAGAAGCATTTCTATAAAAAAGATTACATCATGTTCAGTATCAGTTCACAAAGTGTTAAATTTTTATTCTTCTTTTTGGTTTTACAAGTGGTGCACATTTTTGAGAAGAAATATCTTTGAATACATATTTACGGATATATATAAAAAGGATTATTATATCTTCCAGTTAAAATTGATATCTCTACTTAAAAATATATTTAAAAATATTTGATAATATTCGAAACACAATACCGTGTTATTTTTCTTTAACAGAATTCAGTGTATTTACATCTCTAATTACAATTAAATAATCATAATTTATAGTAATATTTTGAACATAAAATTCTTTTTTTTACATAAAAAAAAAAAAAAAAAAACAGCAGTCAATGGAACGAAGTAATTCGAATGTATACACATATTTACTAAAATATTCATCTGAAGTAGAATACTCGCGTATATTGCTATTATAAAATTTTGTTATAAATAACGTAACTATAATCAAACATGGTGACTATAGCTTAATATTATTGTATGAACTTTTACCATTTACATCTAGTAATGTTCTCTACATATATAGTATCTCAAGATCGTGATTATCTTAAAAATATTCTGATAATTTATATTTGCCTCCTGCTTTCCTCTTTTCTCTTTTCTTTTGCTCTATCATATATACTTATACATAACAAATGTTACAATTTTTGATAAACCCTGACACAGTAGGCAATCATGGGTTTAATTGATTAAGATATAGGTAATTTATTTAAAATGTAGAAAATATATGTTTTCGTACTTGTATATAATTGTAAAATTACTACAAATGTTTTATAAACATGCGTACACACAACAATGGCCGATATAGATTATCTTTTCTTGAAGTTATCATCGGATAAACTAATGTTAACAAAGTTTCGTATAAAATATAATATGTTCGAAGAATATATGTTCTCGATATTCGGAATATTATCGTTTTTCGCATCCAAGATCAAATATGGGCGGATTAATATAATTAAGTGTATCAATGTGTGCATCGCGCTATCATAATATATAAATATATAACAGTCTATACACAGATATATTTTTGAACAAAATATTCGCGTAAAGATAATTTATGAAATATTTCTATTTAGATTTTTAGGAATTGTTTAAATTCTTTATTATTGCAAAACAGTTAGCATTTGACTTGTTGGTTTTAGAATAGAGAATGTTGTGTTATATATATACAAATTGTGACAATTGATATGCAAAGATATACCACTTGTCACATTATACTAGAGTTGTTTATACACGAAGGTATCCACATTATACTTATTCATTCATATTCTTAAACGTCGCTTCAACCTTCGCTTACGGAAGACAACGAGCTACGTGTAGACTCGGTCGTATGATGTGTCAAATCGGGAAGATCAGTCGGCAAGCATAATGGTATCGCGCTAGGTCCATAAATCGCTTCCTGCTCTTCCAATTGCAGTGCAAACTGCTCCTCAAGTTTCTGTAATGTGAAAAAACACATTAAAAAATCTATTTTTGTGTCGAAAAGAAATTAGTGAAAGATGTGTAAGAGAAAGATAATTTCGTGTAACTATAAAATTTAATATGAGTTTTTACATAAATCTAAAGAGAACATGTGTGTCCCTAAAATCAATTAAATATCTCATATTTACGGAATGTTTGTAGACGATCGTATCTGAAACATGAATCAACTATATTTTACAATATTGTTAACTAACCTTGTAGCTACTTTGTACACTGCTTTGAAATCCAACTTGTGGAATCTCTGTCTAAATCTATAGTCGGCTTTTTCTGTTATATTTAAGTAAGAGCTTGTAACAAGAACTAATTTACTCTATTTAACTATACTGGAGATAAAGGAGCTTTAAGGAAACTGTTCATTATACATTATCTTATTAATTTTAACACATAGCCCACAATAACCCACTTACCCTGTTATTTCCATATTTAATGTTTAAGCTCAAAAAGCAACATAATATATGATACGTTTACATATTCAAAATATATGAACGAAATTATAATTGCACGATAAAATTCCAACATTTAATTATAAAAATATATGAGATTGTATATTATTTTTTCAAAACATAAATGTTTCTTTATTCTAATAAGTAATAATTACTTTTTACAGTAATGTTAACTTAATTCTATATTTTAGGTCGAAATTAAGTAATGGATATTCTTTATATTGGTTGTTATATCAACTACGAATAATGTCAAAATTGTGTGGCTAAGCGGAAGTAATCAAAGAAGCTTGTATATAAACATATAAATGTTTATATATATACAGGGTGTCCCAGAATTGCCGTACAATCTCTCGTAGGCAGGTAGAAGAAATAAAACTGAGTCGAAAAGTCCTGAACCATTTTTTTCTATTATTTATAATAAAGGAGTAATTATTGAGTAAATCAGGCCAATCAGCGCAGACTTTTAGCCAGGCACACGTCAGTGAGCCGCGCGCCTGGTGTGTGTGAGTGCTCACTGACGTGTGCCTGGCTAAAAGTCCGCGCTGATTGGCCTGATTTACTCAATAATTACTCCTTTATTATAAATAATAGAAAAAAATGGTTCAGGACTTTTCGACTGAGTTTTACTCCTTCTACCTGCCTACGAGAGATTGTACGGCAATTCTGGGACACCCTGTATATATATATATATGTTTATGTATCTGCACAAACTCAACTTTACATACACCTCAAATAATAAAGTTCTCAAGTAATTTGTGTTTTAATTTGTTCTCCTAGTCTTGAAAGCATATGAAAAATAAATTATATATTACATTTTATATAATAAATATATTGACACACATAGGTCCCATTTTATACAACTAAGGTCAAATATACATGTATAAGATAGTGATAGTGGTCAAATAACTATTGCAGTAGATCTTAAAGCAATCAATAAAGCAGATATTGGTTATTTCTGATTAGAATTAGCGCTAGATAAGCAGAGTTGTGCATTTACTAGGAAACATACTAATTTTAACATATTTCAAAATGTGAATTGTTTTAAAAATTCAGTATTTGCAAAAGCTGGAAAAACTTATATGGTAAAGATTATACTGCGTACATAATATGCACGTTTATACACGTTAAAAATTGTTTTCGGATCACTTAAACAAAACTATTAAGAAAAATTTAGATAGGTACTATCTACGGGACGGTGGTACTAAGTCTGGCTTGGAGTGACTTCGTGAAAGCATGCTGTTTGACAAAAAGGTATCCGAATCTGAACTACTAATCTTTAAAGACACTCTAGGTATAGTGAAAGATGGAGAAGTGGGAGTGGACCGTGGTAAGCGTGGAGATCTCTTCCAAGTGTCGGGAATTGTGATTTTAGAACAATCGAAAAAGGGAAAAGAGAGACCACTAAGACCAGAAGAAGGCAAATAGTCTTGATAGCGCTTTTCCAATGTTTCCATTTCAGTCGCCAGATCAGCTTCTATTTTCTATAACAAGTACATTAAGATTTATTTCAGACTTATGACAAGATTTAGGTCAATACTTTGTACGCGCGTAAATATTTCAACTCTGTAAATTCTATATTGAGTTGTAGTTTCTTTCTCTATATACGTCATTCTTACCAATTTTTTTTTATTTTTAATTTTACTTTTTATTAATAATTAGTCATGCAGATTAAGCTCAGCGCAAAGCGATGCAAAAGCAAATATATTTACTACACATTATCAAACAATTTAATAAGTTTGCATTCATGTCGGCTCCAAATACGACTTTGCGTCGGTTTGCGCCGACCTTTTTTAAGTAGAAAACTAAATTCTCACACTGTTGCGGATAGATACAAAATAAAAACAGTAATTTTGAAAATAAAGCATAGCTAAACCAAATAAGAAATTAAAAGGCAATTACTACCAGGCTGTCAAAGTTCAATTGTTGCACCCAAGAAATAATAAGATATAGTTTTACGATAGTCTTCTCCGTCCAAACTTTGTTTTTATTTACCTGTTTTCGTGGTTTAAGTTGCGCCTTCCACTCCCGAATTTCTCGGCTATAAGCTTCTTCTTGTTCTTTAAGCTTTAGTGTTTCGTGCTCCATCAGCATCTTTCTCTTCTCGTTCTGCAATTGCTCCAATTCCTTAATAGTAGCGTCACTCTGAGCTCTCATTTCCTCGAGTTGTCTGGAATGCTTCAATTCAAATCTCTGTTGCTCAGCTCTATATCTTTTCTTTTCGTTCTCCTGAAATTTTTTCAATTTTTCTCGTTCGGCATCGGGATCCGGCGTAGGCGAAGATGACATCGAAATCCTCATTGATTCTCGAAACATCATCTCGCGCGCCTTCATCTCGTTGCGAATTCTTTTTGGAAGATTTCTACGTTCCACCGTCTGTCGTTTTATCAACTCTTCCTCTTTTCTCTGATTCATCCTCTTCATTTGTTCTAATTCCTTCTCGTGTCGAATGAGCATCTGATGTCTCTGCAGGAAAAATATATCCTTAAGTTGCTTCTTGAGCAATTGCTGCCGCTCGTGTATCTGACGTTCTTCCTGTTCCCAAATAGCAGCTTCCCTGCCGCGCATCAGTTGCTGTTTCTGTTGCAGAAATTGTCGCTCCATCAATGCAATCTTCTCACGATGACTATCCGATAATCGTCTCAACGATATCTCATGACTCTCATTGAGCTTCTCCAAGAAGAGCTTTTCTCTTTCTTCGTGTTCTGCTTCAAGCTGTTCCTTCCGTACTTTGAATGCGCTTTTCCGTTTGTCTTTTGGCATTAAATCTATTTCTTGCTTGAGCAATCTTAGTTCCTGTTTTAGGCCTTCTCGGAATTGTTTGAGCTCTCTTTCTTGTTCGCTGCGAATTTTTTTAGACGCCAGTCGCAGATCGATTTCCTGCTGCGCCTCAGCACGTTCAATTTGCTGTCTCTGTTGTCTTGCGAGTGTTTCTAAATCTGCTTCGGCATTACGCTCCAGAAGTTGCCGTTCCTGTTCGAATCGCTTCTCTTGCTGGTCTTTGTTGAATTGAGCTTTCTGAGCCAAATCCTGGAACTGCTTTTGCTCCATCTTTTGCAGCATCTTTAACTCGCGCAGCTCTTGCTTTCTAAAGATCTGGTCGTCGTAAACCTTACCGTTCTCATCGTCGCCGTATATTACTTTCGAGGTTGTCGTCGTTACCACGACACCGTCGATCTCGAACTTTCTTGTACGCTTTCTCGTTTTCTTCTTCAGATTCATTATCTGTATATCTTCCTTTGTTCTTGTAGTTTGTCGGGACGTTACTTCGCGATTGTAATCGGGTTTTCGGCGCAAGACGACTTCCTCATCGAGTATTTCCGCGTGTTGAGCTTGATTCAAACGATTCTCTTTGTTTGATTCCCTACTGTCTTGACTGATAGTAGTTGAGATGGACTCAGCGTCTGAGCGATCGATGCTCTTGCTCGGCGTGTGCGATCTTATAGAACTGGAATCACTTTGAGATCTTGAACCTTCAAAACTATCCGGAGAAACTCGTTTCTCTTTATTGAAGCTTTTAACGTTCACCTCTTTTTGCTTGACCGCCTTAATAATCCTATCATCAACGTGATGTGGCATTTCATTCTTGATCAGTCCATTCATTTTCTTTGCATTTTTCTCGCAATCATCCATGTCTGGTGATTCAATGGTTGTAGGAGAAACGATCACTTTGCCGTTCTCATCTCCGCTATCGCTTCTCAAACTCGATCTCTCATTCGAACTCAGATCGCTGTGAGACGAACCGGTGCGAACAACGTTGTGCTTTTTGGACATCGACGAATCCTTTACTTGTTCTTTATCGTCTCCAACTGTGACCACCGAAACGTGACTGGTATCTTGTAATACGTCCACAATAGGACTCACTATAACTACTTCCGACTCGTCCAACTTCTTGCCGATTCTTTTGGACACGTCAGCAAGTACGACAGGCTGTTCTTGCGGCGTATATTCTAGACTATCCAAACTAGGAAATGTATCGTCGTCAATAGAATTGTCATTCACCTGAGTCTTGTTCATTTCATTGGCAACGATAACAACTTCTGACGTTGGTGAAGTGCGACGTAGAGGAGGTGACGTCATCGTCAGCGTTGAGGCCGGAGGTGCATCCACTAGCACAGGCGGATGCGTTGTTACGACTGTTACTTGACTTACGTTACTCGCTAGACTATTTGACAAGTCTTGCGAGTCGGCAGTAATACGAACGGTCGATGTGTTTAAGCGTACTTCTTGCTCAGGTTGAGCTTTTCCTACAACATACGATTTTTAAGTAAAAAAAAAAAACAAAAGCAAATTATCTACATATTTCAAATAACATAAATTTCAATTTTACCAGTAATAACGACTATGTTGTCCCCGCTGCTTCTCCTCGAGTCGTTCTTACTTCTAATTGGCGTCGATGTAATTACTGACACATTAATTCCCGAATCTTGTTTCTCCGAGGTCTTGTCGTCAGTCATTGTGTCTTCATGATTATGCTCTGTTCTATTATTGTTATCCGTTTTAACGGGCAATTCGTCAGAGAAGCTTTCTAAAGAATCGTTTCTAGACGATCCCGCGCTGTGACTCTTTGGGGGACTTTCAGTCTTCGTTATACCAAACTGAGTTTTATCGTCCTCTGTTGAACTAGCTTTGATATTTTTCTCTGACAGATACGTCGATGCGACAGATGTGTGCTTCAACGTTTCTATTGAACCGTCATTTATTTTTCTCGCAGAATCTATGGATAATCGCTTCTCCAATACAGCGTTCAGTTTTTCTCCAATGGATTTTCGCTTAACTTCTAAACTCTTAAAGTCCTCTCTTTCTTGAGATTGCAATTTTGTTACGTCATCCACGGATAACAGTTTATTTCTGTTTCTAAATTAAGAGATATTACTTTACAATAGAGAATCTTTTATATTTTTAATTTTTATTTAATTATTTCTAAATTCATTCATATTCTCGACATATAAAAAAACAAAAATACTTAAACAATAGAAAAAAATACTTACTTATCCTTATCTTCTAAAGATGACTGTTTATATATTACTGCAGATAAATCTTCAATCATTTCTGGTTTTACTGGTGCCGACTTGCGTTTTTCATTTATTCCTAATTGTTTTCTCGTAGCGGGACTTGATTTATTATTTATTAATTTCTGATGATCCTCGAATTTTTTTATGTTATCGAAAAATATACTATTCTCTTCATTTTCTAATTTTATTTTTTCAGAACTGTCTACTTCAGTTTGCGTTTGATTGTTTATTTCTGAATTCTTTTGCTCTTTAATATTAGTCACTTGTTGAGCCATGATATTCTCATCTTGCGATTTGTTATCAGTAGATTTGAATTTGTCCGCAAGTTCCACGATGTTGATTTTCTCAATATTCTTCAAAGTATTTTCCTTTTCTTCGTCTTTCTTCTTCTTTTCTTCGCTATCTTGACGCATGGGTGGTGGTGGGGGTGCCGGTCCTTTATCTCGAGATAATCTACGTTCACTTATTTCGTTTGGTGGTTTAGGTGCCTGCGCGAATAATTTACGCGCGTTATTAACACTTAAATTTCACCTGAGCACAATATAACGTTACAAAATATTTAATTATGCTATCAAATACCTGCTTCTTCTCGGGAGGCTGTATGTTCTCTTTGGATTCAGCCTTACGTAATCTCTTGTTCTTGTCCTCTTTCTCGCCATCGCGGTTTATTTCACGCTTGTTACTTTCTTCTTTCTTCACTGGCGCAGGCAATGTCACAAGATTTTCTTTTTCGGCAACTAAATTGAATTCAAAAATAATTAGTATACATTTTACAATATCATATATATTATGTAATTGCATTGTAAATACTTACTCTTAACATCGGCATCAGGGCGCGTAGGAGTGGAGTCATCTGTGATTTGATCCAGCTCCAGAGGAAGCTGAGACGTACGCTGCTCCTGAAACAGTAACATACACGTTGCTTACATAGGAATATAAATCATAAAAAAAATCTCCTGTTAATTCTTAATCGCTCAACCTCCGTCATGTATTACAAATGGCATAATATACAATCAAGTACACAAAGATCTATAAACATAAATTAACGCTAAAGAAATAAATTATGTATACTTTCCTTTAAATTCACCATGAAGCTTAATTAATTCTATGAGCGCACAGAATGCAATATCACAAACTACTAACCTGACATATAATGGGATAATGAGACTGGCGAGAGTCAGGAGAACCGCATGCACAACCAAAGTAATTTATATTATCACAATACATTCATTGTAAAAAATTGCATGTTTTTTTTATCATATACAAAATATTTACAATACTGTGATGCTATTCTACACAGTTTTGATCATTTGTTTCTTATAATTGAAATTTAAGTTTAAATGCATGCATTATTGTAACATTTATTAAATAAAATAACCACGTTATGCGTGCAAATATATGTAGATAGTGGAAACACAATCATGTTTTACGACTTTATAATTAATATTTAAGTATTTACGACTTTATAATTAATATTTAAAGTAAAACATTCACGATTTGTGTTAGACACATTTCAATCAACTGAGACAAAAAAATACAACATTTGATCACTGATGTTTTAATATTTTATATTTCGCCATTTTATAACTGGATTGGGGCAAATGAAACATGTATGCTTCATCTAGAAGCAGCTTACCAATGCGCTGATATTGTTCTCTGTGTTTTTTCGTTTTTTTGGCCTTCTAATAACGGATGCATGTAACAATTAACATGTATTACATGTTAATTTTGCATTTTCAAAATATCACTTTTTAACTATTTAAATAATGAAACTTTACCATGTTTTTGTTGTATTAGAGAAATCTTTCTTGCACTAGAATAAATTTCTTTGCAAGAAAAATTGGAACTTTGGTATCAAACTATTGTTTAGTATAATTTTGACGCAAGTACAATATAAAATAAAAAAACAAAATTACTATATGTTAGAATATATAGATTTTTTAAAGCACATGTTATAGATGTTAATTAGAAACGCAAAGTAAATGTTATTACATAATTGATTGTTTTTATTTAAAAAAATTAATACTTTTGTTTTTTTTAATATATATATATATATACACATGTATAATTTATAGTTTGTAATAAATAATCAATCACATCATTTATAATTTATGGTCTGCATAATTAACATGTACATAAAAAAATAAAATATAAGGAGAAATAAATCTTACCTCCGCTTCCTCATCTACAAGCTCCTCTTCGACAACGTCTGCCTTATATTCAAGCAATAGATCTCGAACAGGTTTTGAATCTAAATTTCGGCTTATAAACGGATGTTTTAACAAATCGTCAGCTGTAGGTCGTGAAGTCGGATCCTTTATAAGTGCTTTAGCAATAAAATCATTAAATTCCTTACTCCATTTCCCAGGCTGATCCAATTTCGGCGGATCGCTTTTCTGTATTTTAAGTAACACTCGCATCGGCGACATTTCGTGGTTTGGTGGTTCCATTTGTGCAAACTCTATAAGAGTTATACCAAGAGACCAGATATCGACCTAAATCAAAATCATATCTATATCTTAAAGTGAAAAAAACAAAAAAAAACAAACAAACAAAATAGGAAATACATTTATACAACTATACAAACATTACTTACTTTGAAATCATAAGGATTGTCCCTGAACGTTTCACATAAAACAACTTCAGGCGCCATCCAATAAGGAGTACCAATAAATGTATCATGTTTCTGCAGAGTATGTTTGTTTTTTGCAGATACTCCAAAATCAGCTACGATTGAGGAATAGAAGTTTTAGAACATGTATTATGACAAAAATTACTTTACAGTATTTTTACAAATATGCACCTATTTTAACACCCCCTGCCATAGTCAGTAAGACATTTCCAGCCTTCAAATCCCTGTGTATAACTTTGGATTTGTGTAAAAAGGCAAGGCCTTTAGTCATATACTGACAGATGTATGCTATCTGCATTTCTGTTAGAGCTTTTTCCAGTTCAACCATTATGGAATCCACAGCACCACCATCACAATATTCGATTAACATCTACAAAAACAATTGTATCAATAAATATTGATTTAACTTTATATAAAAAAATGTGTTGTATTCCCATAAAAAGCTTGCACTATTAACAATTACGTTTGTTTAGCAATAATGAAGTAACATACCCATAATTTTCCTTCAATGAAATAAGCTTCATGCAATTCAACAATATTAGGATGTTTGCATTCTGACAAAATATCTATCTCAATCATAAAATCACTAAGATCATCTTCACCTTCCAATGCACACATCTTTGCAGCAGCAAGCTGATTAGTTTGCTTATGCTGCGCCTACAGAAGAATAAATCATATGAAACATAAGTATAACAATGGCATTTTTTACTAAAGAATATTTTATATGTATGTGATGCTGTGTGTTACCTTATAAACTTTACCAAATGCACCATCACCTAATTCTCCTATCATCTCCCAAAACTCCTCGGGATTACAGTCCATTTTGATGTTGTTGTACAATTTTTTCTTTTTCGCATCATTACCACCAAAGTGGAATGCTTTCTTCAGATTTGATAAAAATGACATTTTGGCAGTGTATTGTGATATACTTAGATGTAACACTAAACTATTATTACAATTTAAACACACTGAAATCAATACTCTTTACTGTACAAACTGTAGTTATTAACAATTGCCCATTAAACATATAGTAAAATATATAACTTCTGCACTCAAAAGAGCTCAATAATCATTATTTTTCAACACTTTAACATATGGTGCGCTTAAAACAATGTCAATTTACATAGATAGTTCACATTATTTTATTTCATTTTTTCAGATCCCTGCTGGATACCAGGGGACCGTGCCACACCACTCCCGCATCTTTGTAAGCTCTAAGTTACACTTCTCAATTAATTGTTTTGTTCAAACTGCTGATGATATAGATAAAAGAAGCACGACCCATTGCTGACAATCTTCTTCAATATTGTGTAAAACAAATATTAAATTAAATTCTGAAACAGAATATATTTTTTAAATTACACACAATCTTTCAACTTTTATTATCTATGTTCATTATTAACATCTAAGATAAGAATAAAGCTAGAGACTTCAAATAGCTGATAAGCTTGAAAAAACTTATTTACTTAATAGAAGATATTATCAAGAACAGATAAATACAACACTGATGAGAATTGTTCTAAATATCTATGACATTATATAAAATTGTTTTTTTTTCTTTTAACCATAATGTCTATCTATTTGTCAATCTGTATCATATTTATCTTTAATTAACAATCTTTTTATGTATTGTTTGTTCTACTCTTTCAATATGTAGGCAGTGGGACTTGCAAAACGTCTAACCAGCTCGCGGAGGGATGGAAAATTTAATTAGGAGTTAATCAGAATACCAATACGACTACGATGCAGACGCGCTACTGCAGAACAAATGCACGTGAGAAATGCGTCGTGATAATCTTTTTCAGTACAATAAAATAACCCATCCATTCGTTGCTGTCACTGCCTGATCGATACCGACCGCTGCTCTCGACTGTGTTCGCATCTCGCGGTAAGACGATTTAACGTCCCGCGATGAGATTTGCTGTTTTACAAGCGATAAGAACAAAATCGTATGAACAAACGAAACAAGTAATGAGTAAAAAGAAAGGGGAGAGAGAAAGAGAGAGAGAGAGAGAGAGAGAGAGAGAGAGAGAGAGAGAGAGAGAGAGAGAGAGAGAGAGAGAGAGAGNAGAGAGAGAGACAGAGAGAGAGAGAGAGAGACAGAGAGACTGAATGTGAAATGTCGACAGGTATTAACGCTCAATCACGTAGCCTGACATAATTTTGACAAATAATCTTAAGTCTGTGTTACTGATGTAGCCGCCATACAAAAAAACACATCGCGGATTTTCAAAAATTCAATTCTTCTCATTCGGTTCTCGTACGCTTTCGCGAAAGCTGTAGTTCTTGCACGTACACGCCCCGACACACCGCGCGCCAGGAGAAAATCAGGGTATGCACGGCCGTTGACGTACAATAACGACAAACGGAGTCGGAGATGATCAGGCCAGTTGTCGACGACGTTCGCAAGATAGCTTCATGTCACATCAAACAATAGTCTCTCGTGGTCGATATGCAGAATCTACAGACATTTGCACATCCCACATGTCCACCTACAATCTTCTTTCTCCTATTTTCCATTTAAAGTACGAAAACACATAACTTTACATTTCGAGTGTGAAAAGTGTAAAAGTGCAGCTAGGTAGAACAGACTTTCCGATGCAAATGGAGAAACTTGGAGAGAGAGAGAGAGATGTACATAACTGCTACTCTCGCTTCGACTCTTCTGAGAATATGCGTGTCCGCATGCAACTTCAGGGCGAATCGTGCGTGACGGTCATATTCTCGTCATCAATCAAAAAAACGAGACACTTTGGGAAAAGTGAATGCATAATGAACGTTGTTTCCTTTTTGCTTACCTTTTTGCTTTACATTATCTCTAATCTAGGTGCGTAGTCTAGGCACCGTTTCCCTCTCACGTTAGTGCGAAATCCGCCGGAAAATAGCCGCTATTGAGTCGACAACGTTGCACAGCTCAAGTTCGTTAGATCTGTCAATCGAGAATAAACAATTCACTATTTACACACGCGTAAGATCATGTTCCGTCGTAACACTGTACGAAATTATTTCTCAAGCAAGGATCGCTGAACTTTGCGACAAAGCTATGTTGAACTATGTACACGTTACTCGGCCATTTTCAGCACCGATCACTACCACATATTTGCATCACACTGTAGATGTGACTCACGCACGACATGTTATATACACTCGTCCATCTTCATGCGTATACACAAGTCTCGCTCCACCACGCCTGGAAATGACGTATCGAGTGGCACAGTTACGTACAAACTGTGTTCCAAAATTCACTGCTCGTACTATATAAGAATCTATGATACAGTAGTATAAAGGAAGTTTCATCACGGTGATACGCAGTAACAATAGTGAAACGTTTCTTTTTTTTATTGCACTACAAATAACATAACAGTATCAAATAGAAGTAGCCAATAGTCGCGTTCAGCAAAACAAGTTGCTTTGTAACAATCGGACGTGATTGGCTCTTAGTTTTAGAATCATCAAATCAACTAGAAAGTTCCTTCACTCCGCAACCATTGGCTGCCAGAGAATATCCCGCCAATCTCGCGCGTAACGTTATCCCCATTTTCCTCCCTTATGCGCAAAAAGAGGTATTTTATCTCTTTGAACTCAGGATGCGGTCTTTGTTAAATGTTGAATAAAGATAAGGTCTGTTCTTTTTACCTGAACTGGCCGCACTAGTTCAGAGTTCATCTTTTTCACTCCACATTGGAAGAAGAAAGATAAACTCTGAAGTATAGCCAGTTCAGGTAAAAAGAACAGACCTATAGAATGAGCTTTAAAACATTTGTGGTGAGACTTTGGCCGCACTCATAGCTGCATATGCATAGCATGAAATCATTTCAACCAACGAGTGTCTAGCTTAATTCGTCATATTGATTTACATAAAACAACAATAAAGGCCCTTTTACAATAAAATATTAGTAATAAATCAGAAGTCAGAAGTCACTAATCACAATCGATTATTTTTTTGTGATTTGACTGTGATTGATCAATTTCTTGCTTCTGACTTCTGATTTATTACTAATATCTCATTGTAGAAGGCCCTTAAGAGCCGAAGCACAGACTTTTGCATAATGCATAACGCATAAGACATAAGAGAATCAACCAATCAAAGCTTTCTAGAACAAGTAGTAGGGATGAAAACAAAAAGCTGGTCGAGAGTTACCAGGCAATCTGTCTATTCTACAGACCTTAGTGTGCGATAGCCTTTATATTAAGCCTGTTCTACATTGATTGCAAGCGCAAACGCAAAGAACAGGTCTGGTAGAATTGACTAATCAAGTATTGATCAAATCAGCCAATTGACCAGCGTGATTGGTCAATTCTACGAGATCTATACCTTGCGTTTGCGCTTGCGATCAATGTAGAATGGGCCTTACGGGCTTGCTTGCAACAGCAAGCAGCTTGTTCAATCATTGGTCAATCTGCAATCGTTGATAGTAACTTCAATCCTTGTAAGGCTAAGTTCGGGGAGCGCGCTATCAGCGCTGTTGCATTATTCTATCTTTATTACTCATTAGATGTAAAACAAAGATAGAATAGCGCTGATAGCGTGCTCTCCGAGCGCAGTCTAAAGCTGTGTCCCAGAATTGCTGCCAGCACGTTGCCAGTGCTAAAAATGTATAACATATGTGACGTAAACTATAGATCTTTAGCGCTGGCAGTTAGTGAATTTTGGTACACAGCATAATGGCTAGTCTACAATGGGAGTAGGCAGTATAGAGTAATGAGTAAGGTTTTTGGAGTTCTTTTATTTTTGTCTATACAAGTAATTATTTCGCGTTTTTTAACACACGTCTTTCATTGGCTAATAGTAAGGCAGTAGGCAGTGCGAAATGGGAATTGTCCATTTCGTTATTCCCGTCGTTTCTTCACCGAAAAATATAGTTTACTCTCTACTCCTACAGCCTTACAACCTTCATTGTAGACTAGCCATAACATGCGAAATGTCAGATCGATAACGTGTACAATGTACGTAACTACATATATGTGAGTAAGTTTGACGAGGTTATTACTCTGAGTATTGTAACACACATTTACACGTGTTTCATTTGTTATTGCGAACGGTATGACCGTTTTTTAATCAATTACTATATTAAAGATATAAATGTCTCTAACGCATGGGTTTTTCTTTCATGCCATATAACATTGAAGTGAAGATATAAATGTGTTGAAGGAAGTTGGCGCCGGTAAACCGATATACACACATAATTGACAACTTGGCGATAAATTAGATTCCGCGCGCGTGTGTGTGTGTGTGGAAGAATAAAATTTGGAGTTAAGTTTATGGAACAAAGTATCAATTCGTCAATTAGGAGATGATACGTACAAGAGAAGAATTAGCGGAAAAATTGGGTTTTGACAGCTGCGAGGATCAACATACGATTATAAACAACATGGTAGACGCAAGGGCCTGTTACAAGCCTAGTGGTAAAGTGAGTATATGCGATTGTTATTACGCTTTTACCAAATTACAGCACAAAACGTGAAATTTGACGTGTCTATATACATATATATATAAACTCTATATTTTTTTATGTTATTAACAAATTGTACAATGTATATACATCTCTCAATCTTGTCTTTTGGATCATCAGAATTGAACAAAATCAATATATTTAAACGCAGATGATCCTTAACAAGTTTGCTTAGAAAATACTCACCTCTAGCAGATTAAAATATATACTGTACAACTGTAGAATATTATACATGTGTGTATGTCAAATTGCATATAAAAATCATATGTGTAGCCTTGCATGCAGAATTGTAGTTGTTGTAAGTTGCACTTTGGAACACAGGGTGTTTTTCATCCCTGTTCACGGTAATTAATGTGATACATTGATATATCTATAACTACGCATTACAGAGATTGTGAACAATGTTTTGATCAGCATTCTAGCTAATGATTCAATTGTACATTAATTGTAGTATTTTATGTGTTCTCGTTTAATTAACGAAAAGTTTTGCAAAAAATAATTGTAGGAAAATCGATAGTGTATTATCAGGTGTATATTTCGACACACGCACACGCGCGCGCGCACGTACACACACACACACACACACACTCTCTCTCTCTATATATATATATATATATACATGTATGTATGTGTGTGTGAATCAATCTCGTATTCAAACGCACTACCGCAGGTATCAGGTTCCACAAGCGCTAGATAGTTTTTTCGCTTTTGTTCGTCAGTAGAAAAGGAATGGTTGGCGTAAGTGAACGTTTGCTCTCGATTGCTCTTTAACTGTCGTATATATGTAGTTGTTGATTCTGTGCATGCAGTCGATTTCGTAATCTCTTATCGTTATTCAATCGTTATAAAGGTTGCTTATGCAAAACAAAGAAATATCATTTATTTGCACATCGCGTTTGAATTGCGTCAATGACTAAGAGTCTGCAGCATACGATTTTTCTTCATGCCAAATCGCATACGAGCACTACGATTTTGTAGTGATTCTGTAATTTCCAAATCGCGATTGATCGATTTTGCCGATAGAATCTATCACAAAAAAGTATCGTGTATCATAAGCTCTTAAACATTAGCTTCACAAATATTCGTGTACTTATTAAAAAATGATCTACCTGTTTTATTTTGTGTGTTTAATCTGAAAAAAATGGTGTAACTTTTAAAAAATTATCGTACAATATTTTCTAAACTTCAAATTATCAGCCGTAAAAACGTTGACAAATAGGACTCGTAGTAAGTGATTACACACGCGCTTAATAAAATAAAAATATCACTATTGTATTGTAATAACATATCTGAGATCATTATAAATCTACTGTAGCGCTTTCGAAACATTTAATTTTTTTATACAATAGAAAAAACTTGTACAATTGCATCGTGCGTCAGATGTAAAAACAGCTTATCGCTGTCTTAATTGCAATCATAAGAATTATGTTTGAATTTAATTAAGCTGCTCTTTTTCGAACTTTTTTTAAAATAGCTTACAGAAATTGTTCTTGACGCACTGTGCACGATTACTTATATGATTTTATAAATTGCTAATTAATGATACGTGTCTTATTTTCTTTTGTTTCTTTTAGTAAGCACGCAGTAAGAGAGAACGACTCGTGTAGATATTTGCAATATTATTTACGTTCCTCTACGTCTTTATTTTTTCTTTCTCTCTCCTCCTTCCTTATTTCTCTCTCACTCGTCTCACCTTCCCTTCCTTCTTTCTGTTTCATCAACTACCTGCACATGCATGAGCCCAGGCTTGTTGTCGATTACCGCGTCTCCGTTGTGCACTAGCGACAATCATCTCACCGCACGTGTACTCAACGAGCACCGACTGTCTCGGATACCAGATTCTGAATAACGTGACCAGACATGACCAATGATAAACAGGTGAGTGCGGCTTGTGCGCGCAAATTAAGAGACTGAAAACAAGATTTGTTCGGAGTGAATTACAAAACTGTGATTCGATTCTGTATTATTTTGTCAAGTTGCCTTTTAATGTTACGTATATTTGAAATTAAATTTTTTTAGAAGTAGATATAAAGGATGGAAACAATGTATTATTCATACATATTAGTAGATCATGTGTGTATTTATTTTACTTACTTTAATTCCAAACGTTTTTATGTAGGTGTAAAAAATATATTTTAGAAACTATGTGATATTTAAAAATTAGAAGTTTTTCATCTAAACTGCATGTTCTTTTTAAACAAAGCATGGTGCGACATTTATGTGTGCATGTAAATATTTCTTTAATATAAGACTGTGTGACAATAAGTGACAATAAGACGTTATTGTTTGTAATTTGGAAAACTAGCGGTTGAGAGATAGAGAACTATGTGATAAAAGTGATTTCTCGCTAAACGTCAACGCACTTCAATGTAACTGGAGTGAGTATCCACTTGTTCAACGCATTACTTTCTCTGTATATAAAAAAATAACTAAACAGTATAATGAAATAAATTTGTACATATATAAGGATATATTAAATTATTAATGTTTTGTAGCAATATTTCTGCATAATAATGATTAAACATCACCACGTTTCGTAATGTAACTGATCTTCATTATGACAAAGTATATAATTTATCTTTCCAAATCTATCTTTTATGTACAAGTTGTTACGATCAATTTTCTGTATCAATATTTCTTGAAAGAAATATATAAATATGATCCATTTTAAATATGATTTTTACAAGCAATTGTACTTGAAACAATTTTTAAAAAGTGAAATAACTTATATTAATTTTGACTCTAATTTCAATTATCGTCAAAACTCACTAATTGTGAATTAAGTAGCTCGTAAATGAAAGTTGGCTCACTTACGTCTTAGGACACCGTATGTCTCTATTTTGAAGCAAGGAACAGGTCAGTCCTTTCGCCACGAATTTTATAATTTTTGCAATCTGTTTACTTCTTTTTTAGATGAGGAAAAGTCGCATAATTCGATCTATCTCGCCGCGCTACGCTGCACGCAGCAGTAAAATACCATTTTACAAACTCAACATATTTCATACCCCAATTGGCAGTCAATTTGTCTCTCTATTTTGCTATATACAATACATAAATAAATAAATATATTTATAATATATTATATATAATATATATATAATATATTTATATATATATATAAAAAAAAAGAAAGATGTGACTAAAACTGAAATTTTAATATGCATGGAAAAAGAAAAAGGTTTTAAAAATTATAGTCTATTTTTTTCAAAACTGAATTTTGAAAATCTATAGTTATCATCTGATAACAAGATCGGTATTCACGTCGGATGATATTGATCGGCAACTTTCTTTTTTTACGGTTTCTGAAGAAGATATAATAAACTAATAGAAAATGTTTCTTTCTCTTTTGTTTTGATAACATTTTGTCTCGAAAAATTATCGCATATTATATTGATAATATGTGATGTACATAAAACAATATGATTGATTAACGCATTGTGTAATTTTGTTGCAATAAAAAATTCAAGTTGATGTGTGTGTGCGAGCTTAAAATTCTAGCAATTAAAATCGATTTTTCTTCAACAGAAACAGGAATTGTAAACCTGAATGTGATATTTTTAGTCATGGTTTCGCGGCGTTCGAAGCAGCAAATTCCGGCATGTCTATGGTGTGCCAGCTAAGAGAGAGAAATGTTATGACAACATCAAAATCACGAAGAACGCCCATGATTCACAATTCTGCGCTGTTAATCCAAAATTTTTGGCCGTCGTAACAGAGGTCGCAGGTGGTGGAGCGTTCTTAGTATTATCATTGGATCGTGTAAGTTATTTGCGTCTCATCGATTTATTGATTCCGTTGCCCTCCTTACAAAATGAGAGCAGCATCTATTAACAAACTCTTTTTTTTTTTTTTTTAGAATTAATGTAATATTATTTTTTATTTTCTTATTATATTTTAGACCGGGCGTCTCGACTTTAATGCTAGTCGTGTAACTGGACATACCGGTCCCGTTTTGGATATCAAATGGAATCCATTCAATGACAACATTATCGCATCCTGTTCCGATGACTGCACCGTAAGAAATCAATGTTTACGTAATTATAGATTTCTCTATCCGATAAAGAATATTGTTACATGAACAAAAAATCGCGAAAAATCAATATTTTATTTCATAAACCAAACTATTATCGTGTAATCAAGATCATATTTATTTTCAAAAATTTAAAATATTTAGAATCAAACGATAAAAAATTAATAAAACAATTAGTAGATATATTGTTGATCACAAAATTATTTCAAAGAGTTCAATTTTCTTAAAGTACTTTATATAGAAAAGTTTGTATCTTTATTTAGATAAAATTGTGGCATATACCTGATGGCGGATTGTCGAGAAATTTGACCGAGTGGTTGGTGGAATTGCAAGGACACAAACGACGTGTCGCTTATATCGAATGGCATCCAGTAGCAGAAAATATACTTTTTAGTGCCGGTTTCGATCATCTTGTTATTGTATGGGATGTAAACAGATGCGAAACAGTGAGTGTTATCGATAGGCATCCCGATGTAATTTATGGTATATCTCTGAATCGCGATGGCAGCTTGTTAGCAACTACTTGCAAGGACAAGAAATTGCGGGTTTTCGAACCGAGGTCTGGTATAATTGTTTCGGTAAGTAAAAACTGAAAAAGTCAGATGATGGTAAGTGAAAAATATAAGTGAACAACGTTAATTGTTAATTACCGCACTTCCTTCCTACCGCAGGAAGGAGTATGTCACGCTGGCACGAAAGCGAGTAAGGTAGTATTTCTTGGCAGTTCGGGGCGTCTATTAACTACTGGATTTAGTAGACATTCAGATCGGCAATATGCTATATGGAGTCAACATGACTTGACCGTTCCTCTGACATGCGAAACGATCGACTCATCAAGTGGAATTGTCTTTCCATTTTACGATAACGATACCAATATGGTATTTTTAGCTGGAAAGGTGAAACACTTACATAATAACGTTTAAATCGCGCAGGAGAGAAACTTCCTTTCTTACTTATACATTTTATGATTTTCTGCAGGGTGATGGAAATATTCGTTATTACGAAGTAGTTAACGAAGCACCTTGGATGCATTATCTCAGTCAATTTATATCTGGCAATCCTCAAAGAGGGTTAGGAGTGATGCCGAAAAGAGGCATTAACACAGCTATATGTGAGATATTCAGGTTTTATAAGCTACACGCGACTCGCGGAATGTGCGAGCCGATCTCAATGATAGTACCTAGGAAGGTAAGTTTATATTCTCATCTAATATTTTACATATATAAATTTGCTATCTAAAAAAAAGAACAATATATTTCAGTAGTAAAATTTACTTACGCTTTTCTTTTACATCGTGGATCATAAAAAATTACGGTTACAGAGTGATCAATTTCAAGAGGATCTATATCCTGATACAATTGGAACGTCTCCTGCACTGTCAGCTAGGGATTGGATTAGCGGCATGAATAGTCCGCCAGTCTTAATCTCTCTTAAAACAGGTATATTTAATATATGTCAAGATACGAACAATAATAAAAAATTGCAGCACACAATTAATAAATTATACATGATTTATTATTAGGTGGAAGCATTTCTACACATAAACCACGAATGTATAAGCCGCCACAATTGCCTGCATCTACAGACTTGAATAACAAAAAGAAATTCGCGTTTCTTTCTACGGAAACTATACCGGATTATAGACCGGTAGAATTGCACGATATGTCGGAAAAAAGTCAAAAGACCTGCAGTAATCAAAGCACAAAGTTTCAGCAACTTCAGCAGAAATTTGCAAACGTCGGTATGCAGGTAGAAATTATGTTATACTTTATATAATATATACACATATAATATATATACGCACATAAAAATATCTTTAATAATATTTCTTTCTGTTGTAGAAAAATATTATGTCATCTACACTGAATGACAACAAAGTTATGGAGACTGTGGATGTTCCAAATAACGAAGCAGAACTTCGATTAGCATTCGCCCGTCAAACCGATGAATTAAGGCTGGTTCGACGACAACTTGCTAACAGTCAATTGCGCGTTAAGGAATTAGAGGACCAAATACGAAAATTGCAGCGCCAATAAAACTTAAGATAACACTTATTTGCAAGTTATTCGCTTCATTATTGGTTAGATAAAATTTTCGCAGCTTTCGATATAATCAAATAATCGACAGTCAAGTCTATTAAGCTTTCGAAGAGTTTACGCTAGGTCTATGAAACTCGTACACAAAAAAAATATTCGTACAGGTTAACTTGAAATTTTTTTCGGTTGCTTTGCAGAAATATTTGTTAAATGTTTAGGGTGACCACAATTATATTAAAACTTATTATTAAATTATTATTAAAACTTTAGCAGTGATCACAGAGATAAGGAAAAAAGCAATCTGCGATTGTTGCGTGAAAATTTGTACCTGTTTACACATACCTGAATGCACAAGTTGAATATTCAGATATCGCAGTGCCGCTATGTCATATGTATGTGGCTAAAGCATTTTGCTATATATATACATATATATATATATATATATATATATATATCTTTTACTGCCGTCTGTACTGCCGTGATGTCGATGGCAATAAGATTTTCGGATCAATTAGCTTAAAATTCTTTTTTATATAATATGCAGCAAAATGTGTATGGAAGATTATATACAAAATGCAAATCATTGAATATAAAAAGTGTACAATATATTTACGCTCTATGATATAAATATCCATGTATATTTTTAAGAAATGCGGCAGTTTTTTTACTTGATGTTAAATTATAACTAATTATAACAATAATAATAAATGCATACCAAACTTTATTTCTAGCGTTAATTTCGTAGCTGAAATGATATACGTAATTATATACAGAACTGTATTTCTGCTTAAGAATATACACTAATGATAAACAATTCGTATGAATTATATATGTATTTTTCATACAGTGTGTAATTGTATTGTGTGGATTGATAATTTATAATATTAATGATAATTTATAATATTAATGATTGATTATTTATAATATAATTTATCTAAATGCTATACACTTGATAAATTATAAGAAATTTCTAGTGTGTGATTAAGAGAGTAAGATTTGTGTTGTGTGTATGTTTAAAAAACAAAGTAAATCATAAAATTTATCAGTAGAGCATTCAAGTGATACTGTTTCTAGTCTTTCCTCATCAGCTGATTGTATAATTATTGCTATTAGTTTTAATATACTTGTGAAGGTATATTTAATACGAGATCTAATTGAATGTTCGAATCATTATTAATTGAAAAATTTGTTTTTTTTCTCTTCGTTAGATTTACAATTAAGATTGTAAACTTGCTTCGTTTGAGTAAATAAAATTTATAAAATCCCTCATGATAGGTATCACATTTCAATTTATGTAATGATTTTTTTCATATGTCAATCCAATATATGTTATTAAGATTTAACTATTTGATATATTATACATTACATAAAGAAAATACATCTTTGTTCAATAATCTACAAGTAGATTATTATTAAACACAGTACGCGCGTCTGTCAAATAGATTTAAAGATATTGTAAAAAATGTGTGAAACTATCCAAGATTCTTAATAAGAGTATTATAATGAAATAGTATTTATATGTAAAAAATCAATTTTACACATTTTTTTAAGGTATCTAAATTGAGAGAGAAACTATGTGGTCTGTGTCAGTAATTAATTCTAGAATTACGTATCTTACGTCAGCTTTGATCTTTTCTACAGATCAATATCTAAATGATTAAAATTTGATTTGTCATTCTCTTGGACGGAATTTGAGTAACAAAAGCACATGTAAAATTCAAGAACAATGAATTATACAGTTAGGTTACAATTATACAATGAATTATTCAATACATTCCCTGACATATTGAATAAAGTATTCTACCTGCAAAATTGTCTACTCCAGATTATCAATAAACTTACTGGAATGAGTAAGGTGTATAAAAAATTTGGCTGGAGATATGTTGCTGGATTGCATCCATCGCTGGAGCATGTGAATACACACGTGCGGTACATTAGCTTATCACCTGGTTGTTTTACATAATCGCAGTAGTTTCCCATGTGCGCAGATGAGCAAAACCGCTTTGTACCAATGCCACCTATTTTTTACATATCACGTTACTTATACAATAAGAATTTTAAATAATTAACCTCGAATGAATAAACAAATAAATAAAATGTGTGGATATTTTGCAAGTAATGAAGAGATCAGATAATACCCATGCATGTAAGTTGGAAAGAATGTGAGAAAGCATACTAGTGTTAGATTTGACTTTATGATAAATTTAATAATTAAATAAAAATATACAACAAATGAAGGAAAAGCATATTTCACATGACACACATACACACACACACAAAGAACATTGAAACTTGTAAGAACCTCCATAACGGCCAATAGTTTTGACACAATAACGCGCCTCATGAATATGATCACAGTTTGTTGGCACCAATGAAGTTTCAACCAAATCATTGTTCATGCATTTCCATTCATCTTCAGATGAGCATTGGTAGCATTCCAAGTTCATGGCTTAATTAATTAAAAGAGAAACAAATTAAATTTTTTAATTCCAGGCACTCATGATGTTTGATGTTTTATAGATACGTACGTATATGTATATAAACACATGTATGAGAACTTTTGTAAAATTATATACAATATTCTCTATTATAATTAATTTTAAAATATCCTATAAAATTATAAAACAGTAATATAGAATAATTAATAATTAATCATATAAACAATTCATATATAGACAGTATTTTCCTAAAACACATGATAATAATGTTTAACCTTTAGAGGGTTGCAGTAGCCGCTATTTAGTGGTCAGCAAAAAACTCAGAAACTTTGTGCAACATGTTTATATATATATATGCATAAATTTTTTGTTAAAAGTCAAAATTTTACAAGAAAAATGCCAGTCCTCCAAAGATTAAATGATTTACATTAATATGAAAAAAAAAAATTCAGGTTAATAGCTATTTCTCACAGAATGAAAATGTAGCAAGCATGTTTCCAAAATTGTTTGAAAAATCTGAAAAAAAGTATTCTATTAGGTTAGGATAGGATGTTCCACATGCCACTTTGTTAGTCTGCGTGCAAGTGAAATACAATTGTCAGTAATCAATCTGCTCTCCCTGTGTTGCCCCTATGTTAAAGTTTCAAGCTAAATCGCAGAAATGTCTGTGTTTACCCTCGAAACGGCCTATATGTTTGACACAATATTGAGCTCCATAAACATCCTTGCATGATCTTGGCTCAAGATCCACATCACTTGTTAAAAATTCATTACACTGGAAAGGAAACTCGCTGCTGGTGCTGTTACATTGATAGCACTCGATGCTATATCCTAAATTAGATATCATTTTTTATAACTATATATATATGTATTATGTGTGTGTATATATAACGTAGTACATATATATTATCTAAAAATTATATATTTTTTTCTATACAAGAAACTTCAAAATTGTTCTGTCACTAGCTTGAAAAAATATCAAAGATGAAGAAGGATGCCCCGCCCAAGTTAAGGCGATGTGTCACAACTACAAATTGTCTTTAGAAGTTTAGAAAACGCAATAGATACACAATAGTGGAACAATTATCGCTTGTAATATAGAATCAGTTCTTGTTAAAACTTATACACGAATATATTCTAATTACAAGCAATATATAATCATCAAGCGCTGATATTTGATAAACTCGTACAAGGCTCTTCCTTGCGTGCACTCGCGCATCTTATGTGTATATTTTATCTCACCTCTTTCAAGTAGCAGCAAAATTATCACAAATACGAAGTAACACTTTGTGCTGGCCATTTCGAGAGATCTGTGCATCAGTTCAGCTCAGTTTTCCTTTGAATCTCCTGTTTCTTTCTTGATCGTTGCTCCGTTGCGTGTTTACACCAGTTTTCACTTGCTAATTTCTATATTTGGTTTGGTGCATATATGGCTCAAAGGACCGTTTCAAGCTAGTCCATACGCCATTCTAAGTCTTTAAAAATCGTGACACAGGTCCTAAACCGTGGTTTGGGTACAAGCCACGGAGTTGTACGTTCGTTAAAATTAATGATAAACCGAAAAAGTCGGTGTAAAAACACCGAGAATTGTCCAAAAATATCTAAGCGTAACTACGCACATCCAACCGGTATGGCTGATGCAACACTTCTTGAATAATTCTTTCGATGACCAAATTTCTATATTTTATGTAGATTTTATGAAAATAATTTTTGAACGTAGCTCTACAGTGATTGCGTTCCGATTATCACTAAATCTATAACAAAGTATAGATGTTTAATACCTGGCAGTGAATATCGGAACGCAGCCAATTGGTTTGTTCTTTTTTGCTGAACTGATCACACTAGTTCAGTAAAAAAGAAGAAGGTGTTCCGAAATCGCAGAATGATCTCAATTTGTGTGTGTGTGTGTGACAATTGACACGAGTCACATATACTCTCTTCCCTCTACTATGTTTGTAAATTTATAATTAATTAAAATTTATAAATAAAAATGTTTAATTTGCTAAATTATCTGGAAAAATGTCATTGGTAAATTTATTATTTAATACGTTACAAGTTTACATACAAGTATTTATAAATTATAACATTTAACATTTGTAAAATTTAAACTATAAAAATATAGCGTTTATTCATTTACTATTCACAAATCGATCCGTAGAAAAATAAGTCAATCTATGATCGGCGTGGCGCAGCACACGCGTTATTCTTTCATGTAAGTAGAAAGTAATCATTCAATCCTACATTCAACATCACTAAAAAAAAAAACAAAAAGAACATTCGCAGTTGTCAGCGTTGCATTATCGCGTTACTAACATAAATACAGATCATAGATCATGTAATTAAACGTACATATACAGATATTTATCCGAGATTCACTCAGAGACGTCATGTGATTGCTGTTCGCGGCAACGACAATGTTATCGCTGACCATATGACCAAATTAGAATTCGAGTTAACAAAAACGCAAAAAGAAAACAAACAAATTGTTTTGTCATATACGAATATTATACGAATGAACTTTCGCGTTGAGGCGATTGCCTCGATTTTGCAGCAAACATAACCTTTGATATTATGGCGAGCACGGCTGAAAACATTACCTGTAGTGGCTTTGTGTTTTTCAACAATTTCGACTCGGCTAATTTAGCTAAAGTAGAGCAAGTGAGAATATCGGAAAAAGCTGTTGATAAAGGTATTTTATTTATCTGCTAATGTAAATGTGTTTTTAATCATTGTTTTGCTTGGTTACACATGTTTACAAATTTGCATTTATTTTTTACAAATATGCTTTTGATAACTTTAAGAATTTTCTTTGTTTTTTTTCTTGTCAGGTGTAATTAAAAAAAAAACTGGTATTCTTGCATATTGTGTAAATTTAACTTATTCTTGTATATACAGTGCATGAAGATACACATATACTTGTTATATAACAACAATACTATATTATTTCACTACTTTTAGATGTGTATGAAATTGATGATAAATCATCTAGCAATACTTTTAATTCTAAAGATGCAGTAGATTATGAATTTAACTTATGGACAAAGCACGACTGTCATGGCACACAATTTCAAAATAACAACAGAACTTGGTTTTATTTTGGAGTCAGATCTAATTGTCCAAGTGTCTCAGTTAAATTTAACTTAGTTAATTTGAACAAGCAAGTTAAGATGTTTAGTCAAGGAATGTGTCCAGTTTTTAAAATTGTGCCAGGACATTTAAATTGGGAGCGAATTCGTGAAAGACCTACTTATACAGTAAGTAGTACTTAAGTTGAGATATTATAGAATCATTGGTGTAATAATTATGTGGTATATAATATTTAACATTACAGCTTGATCAAAAAGGAAATGAGTTTACTCTATCGTTCCTTTATTACACTCCAGAAAATTCAAAAGCTATTACTTATTTTGCTTTTACCTATCCATTCTCATATACAGATTTACAAAATTATTTGAAAAAAGTTGATGCGAGAATGGGAAAAGGGAGTGTAATATCTGAAGATGATATCTATTATCACAGAGAATGTGCAATAAAATCTTTGGAAGGTCGTAGATTGGATGTATTAACAATCAGCTCGTATCATAACATAACACAAAAGAGAGAAGACAGACTGAATAACATGTTCCCTGAGTTAAGTGAAGAAAGACCTTACAAATTTCGGGATAAAAAAGTATACTATATTGTACTACATTGTAATGTTAACACACAATGTAATCGAATTTAAAAAAAAGATACAATACTATGTTTTTATGTATTTAGGTAATTTTTATTAGCGCCAGAGTCCATCCAGGTGAAACACCATCTAGCTTTGTTCTCAACGGTTTTCTCAATTTTCTGTTAAACCGAGAAGATCAAGTTGCAATAAATTTACGTCGCCTATATGTGTTCAAATTAATACCAATGCTCAATCCAGATGGTGTTGCCAGAGGTCATTATAGAATGGATACTAAAGGAGTAAATCTAAACAGAGTTTATTTACATCCCTCTCAAGTAGATCACCCCACGATATATGCCGCAAGAAATTTAATAAGGTAAACACATTTCTGGCTGTAATTTTAACATTTTACTTAGTGAAATTCAAATTTACACGCTTTATTGTAGATATTATCATCATTCTTATCAAGTGTCAAGTGAACCAGTTGACGATGACCTGTCAAATATAAATTTAGAAATTATGGATAACAATATTATAAATTCAACCGCTTCGCTAGCTTCAAACCATGCACGTGACACAACTACAAAACTGTTACAACAAGTATGATACAATTAAATATGATTCTTTTAATAGATATCTTTAGCTTTTTTTATTTATGCTAATTCAAATATCAGCACTACTATCAAACACATTATTCTCTTTTAATATCAATTTCTTTTCAATAGGTAACACTCATGTCATTGGATGAAAAAAATATGTACACTTTGGAAACCACTAATAAGTTTTCGTTAGAACATGCAGATAGTACATCTATTGGTATGTCTTACTTTTATTGATGTAAGAGAATATCTTACAAAACTTAAATTTTAATTTATCTACTCGTTATATACAGATAAAAAAGAGGAACTATCTAAAAGAAATGATAAAACCGAGAATATTACGGAAGATCGAGCAAATGACAGATTATTAAATTATACAACTGTGTGTTCAAGCGAGACACCAAAGTCTTCTAATAATTCTGGATTATATTTATACATCGATCTTCACGGTCATGCTTCGAAGAAAGGTGTTTTTATGTATGGAAACCATTTTACCGATCCGGAAGACACTGTTACATGCATGCTGCTACCCAAATTGATGTCTATCAACAATCCACACTTCCATTTTGCATCGTGCAACTTTGCGGAACGGAACATGTACATTATGTGAGTTTCTTAAATTTGGCATTTGCCGAATTTGTTTGCATTAATTTATTTTATATATATTGTTCTCATAGAGATAAACGAGATGGTATGTCGAGAGAAGGCTCGGGACGCGTAGCAGTTTATAGAATGACTGGACTGATACGTAGTTATACTTTAGAGTGCAATTACAATTCCGGTCGTTTGGTGAACACAATACCTCCTCGAGTTCGCGACAAGATGAACAAAACTATGAATCGCATATTTATTCCTCCAAAATATACTCCGGCTGTTTTTGAGACAGTAAGTTTATTTCGTTCCTTTGTTTCTCTTAGTCTCTTTTTTCTTTCTTTTTAATGTGACATAATAGTACATATATCGTCAAGCTACGATGATTTACAGGTCGGAGCAGCGCTAGGTCCTTCTATACTCGATCTCACTGAAAACAATCCTAACAGTCGGTTGCCAAATAGTCAGTATCGTTCTCTGAGAGGAGTAAAATCACATTTGAAATTAATGTATGTGAACAATCTTTCTACACCGACCAACAAATCAATGCGTAAGGTAAATTTTGATGTAAATAACGAGAGTGACGATGTTTGCAGTACTGACATAAAACAGTGTACATTATCATAGTTACTAACTTAATATGCTGTGTTTAGTATTAACGCTACAACACATTAGTGCCTGAAATCGACATAAACATTTTATGTATCATTAATATTATGTACACTTGAATGTGGGAGAGAGATTTTGTATTAATCTTACAAAACTCAAAACATTACGAATTTCTGTGAATATTTTATATTTTACAGTAAAATTCATAATTGATACAATTCAGTTTTTCATATATGTATTTTCAAAGTATTTTGTGCATCAAATAACATATTTCTATTTTGATGTTTCATATTATCTGGAAAATATTATATAAAGCTCTCGTTTACAGTAGAACTCCAGTAATTTCGAGCACATGGGACTGATTCTTCCTAGAATTCGAAATTAGTTTCTTTCCCTTCCATTTTTCCCCTTCCAGCGACCAACTGGTAGCAAGAGACGAAAGATACAGACAGTCATCGTGTTTCTTTCATTGTTATCTGCGCATTCTACGAGTTGCGCAGTCACTCAAGAATATCGGGGAATCATGAATAGTAGGGTAAACTATCGGCCCGCTTATCAAGGAGAAGTCGAAATTATAGTGTTTGAAATTACTGGAGTTCTACTGTAAATAAGTTTGTTAATGAATCTTTGATACGGTAATTCTTTCAATGAGACAATAATATACTCTTAAAAATAAATTTACATATCATATGGAGAGATGTTTTTTTTCTACTTTAAAAAATATACTTTCAAAGAAGATGATATAAAACTATATGTATACACGTATGTGTCTCGAATTACAGATGAGTTGTATTTTTACAGTGCAAATATATGTGTGTGTGTATGAACATAATATTTATGTATATATCGCATAGTTTGATATTTTAAAATTCAATTTTCAGGAGATTAACTTTTGGTAAAAGTTGAAGAACGCATACATGTATAAAACGCGAAAAACTTGCCTTCTATTATTATTGAATTATTTCACGTTATACAATTTAGTAACGCGCTCATTAATCATACATATTAATTAACACGCTTTTATGTCTGACATATATATATATATATATATATTAATGTTTATTTGTAAATAATTAATTTTCATGCACTACGTACTATATACTCTTCATTCCATCTCTTCTCCGCAGTAATATATATTTATGTCGCTTGATTTGTGTAATGATAAAAAGTTAGACCATCTATAATAAATCATTATCAAAAAGAAAATTTGTTAATATCGTACATGTGTGTAACTTATTCTATATATTTCTTTAGCGAAGATCACAACGTAGAGGTAGAAGTGGTTAAACCATTATATCTCTGGATGACGAAATTGTTGAAGTGGAATGTACAGAGGCTTGTTGAAATTTAATCACGTTATACACACGTTTTAATGATAAAAATTTTGCTTTATTACTTTTATTTTGACCATACACAGGATTGTTCTTTCTTGTGGTATAAATGTTATTATATTTGTTTACATTAAGCAGAGATATATAAATTTGTTATTATTGATGAGAATGTACATATAAAAGAATTTATATATTTCATGTGTGTGTGTGTGTGAGCGTGCGTAATACGCAATTTCATCAAATAAGTAAAATTAAAAAACTTAATTAACAAAATTAAATAACTTTTCGTTAATAACTTTAAACAACTCATCAAAAATTTAGAGACACGTATAGAAATCTTACAATGTATTATATATGAATTTACATATCCAATTGTGTTAATAAATGTTTTATAGTTTTAGTATTTATTTATATATTTGTGTTATATTTTTATTTATTTCCCGATAATCTCCTGATAGATCCTGTCAATTAATGCAAATATCGGTTTTGTAGAAACATTTCTTTCTCTCTCTCTCTCTCTATTTTCTAGATAATAGATATTTTTACCAAATATATATATATATCTTTTTAGTTGCACAATTCTCACTTTTTTGTTCAATTTTTATATATCACACATACACACGCACACACACACAGAAAGAGAGAGAGAGAGAGAGAGTGTGTGTGTGTGTGAGAGAAAAGAAGAGAGAGATGATGCTTTACCCTTTTAAAAATAGATGATATATACACCCATGTTATATTTGGTCTAGATAGTAGTATCGTAGTTCGATGTAAGTCACTATTGCATTATTAAACAATAATCGAATAAAATCTCTCTCGTACATATATTACTTATTTGTATGCTATCGTGAGTTGACCAATATTTTTCTGACACAAAGACCCATTTCTCTGTCACAAATATTTACACATATTTCTTTTACTTACAGGACAACGTAGATGCTGTTGCACAAAATACTTGTATTTTAAAAGACGTAGAAACAAAATTGAACGATGCGATGACGGGAACAAGAAATGTTGTAAAAAATGAAAACAAATTAATGAAAAAATCTATTCTCCGCCGTGGTGTATCTCTTTACTCAGCGATGAAAAGAATCAAAAGTAGTAAGAAACCTCGGCAAACACGTCAAGCACTGAGGACTCACAGTGCTAACAACGTAGAGAACAGCACAGTAATTTGTACAATAAAGTCCGAAGTAAAACCATTTTTAAAAACGATTCATTATTGTCGATCGACTAGATCTAACATAGAATCAGTCATTAGCAGCGACATTCTAAAGCCGCGTTTAAATATATGTACAAATAAGAAATTAATTACTACAAGCAACTCAATGAAGACATGTAATATATCTATTGAAGAAACAACAGCGGTGAAACACGGTTCAAAAAGATTGAAAATGATTTCGTCTACGATGACCAAGAATACTCTCTCCGAAATTGAAGAATCGTTTTGTTCTGAAACCAGCACTAAAGTATCTTCAAAGATGACACGTGTTCACGGTAAACAAAATATCAAAGAAATAAACAATAAAATTCAAATACCAGGCAAGTCTTCCAAGATGAAAAAAATGAATAAAAACAGTTCTGTACTTGAAGAAGACACGAAGTAAAAACATAAATAAACTAATTAGTTACAATACTAAGAAATTGCACTTTATGTTCCGCTGTTATTTTTCTGAAACTATAATTTTTATTTGAAGTTTTTTCATCAAAGAAAAATCATTTTTTTAATTGCGATTTAGAAATTCTTAATCAATTTACGTTATATAAAATAGATACAATCTGCAGTACCGGTTGTGAATTTTGAAATACAGAGTTACTATTTTTTAACTGCTGACTTCGATGACAGGTTTAAATACTATGTACTGAAGTCGTGCGCATCCTATAAGACATTATTTACGTCTGATTAGTTAAAGAAAAAACAGTATGTATGTACGTACCAATGTTTTAATATAATATGTAATGTGGTGTTGTTTTTTTAATTAAAAAATTGTTATAGTTGTGTTAAATAAAATATTAGAGTATTCTAACACCAGTCTATACGCATGTGCAATGGTTCCATAGGTTTGATGATAAATTTTGGCGTTTTACATTTAAACACTTTTCAACTTTGAAACAAATTAAGCCCCTTGCACAATGGAAGGAATAGCGATAGCGATAGAAATAACACCAGTTTTAAAGAGTTTATATTTATAAATAATGGTAGGGGAACATACGGAATCTAACATAAAAAAAATACACATGTATCAATGCAGATCAGAAAACGGAATAAGCAATAGCGATAAAATTTCCGACGAGTCGGAATTCTGTGTCTATTGCTTATCGCTATCACTATTCCCTCGCATTGTGCAAGGGGCTTTAGTGGCTACGTTCAGCAGAACGTTATCTTGTGTTTTGTCAACATTCGACGTTGATTTAATAGTTCTAAAAGTAAGAGCCAATCACGTCCGATTGCTACAAAACAGCTTGTTCTGCTGAACGCAGAAAACTCTTCACTCCACAGTCATTGGCTGCCAGAATTTACGTTCCAAAATCTTATCTTGGTTACTAAAATGCTATATTTCTCGTCACGTGTACTATAGTTTTTGATTACCAACTTACGTAAGTAGTTAAAGTGTTACCAACTTTATAACTAAAAAAAATAGCAAAAGCTATTTCGGAACACACCTTTGGTTACTTTGGTTATTTCCATAGTTACGTTCCGTTTCCGTATATATACTTGTATTTATATATACTATACGTGACGTGTACTATAGATAAATGCGCGCATATGCGTGAAACGGAACGCAGCCCATATTATCTCCAGCTAAGTTATTTCGCACGATCTGTCAAAGAGCGCAACGTTATCTCGTGTGATGTCATTGTCGTGAACAAAGTATATACGGAATATCTGGTAAAATACCTATCTTTTTATGTCTAATGAGATTCATATATCTTTACAGATGTAATAATAAATAACATTACCAAGATAGTTTGTATACTAGATAAAGAGTGTGTGATGTTATGATTTTTCTTATTCCAATTAAAGTGTGGCAATAGAACGTATATTGCAAAGATTTATTTTTATTATTACATTTTAGCATCATGGAATGGTTATTTGGCAAACGAATCACTCCCGAAGAAATGCTCAGAAAAAATCAAAGAGCATTAAACAAGGCAATGCGAGATTTAGACAGAGAAAGAGTAAGAATGGAGCAACAAGAAAAAAAGATTATTGCTGACATAAAAAAGCTTGCAAAAGATGGTCAAATGGTGAGCTAACTTATTTTACTCTAAATGTATATATATATTTTTTAATGTTAGATCATAATTTTTCTTAAATTATTATTAGGATGCAGTAAAAATTATGGCTAAAGATTTAGTTAGGACAAGACGTTATGTAAAGAAATTTATGCTGATGAAAGCAAATATTCAAGCTGTGTCTCTAAAAATACAAACTTTACGTTCTCAAAACACAATGGCACAAGCTATGAAAGGAGTGACAAAAGCAATGCAAAACATGAACAAGTGAGTATATACTACAATTCATTGTACATTTTTCACAAATTACAAACTCATATTGCATACAAACATTTATGTACTTAATTTGCATTTATTAAACTCTTACAAAATATAATCTCTAAGATGGGATCTCTCTCTCAGTAAGAGCAAGTGTTTGTGTACAGAAACTATAATAATTTGGTAAACCTTAAACAATAAATTTTTCTCTATGTCAAGAGAGATTTCTCTTAAAGTATTAATTTATTTCAATGATTTGTTCAATTTGTTCTTGCAAATATCAATCTGGTAATCTGATTATTTTTTGTCTGTTTTATAGGCAATTAAATTTACCACAGATACAGAAAATATTACAAGAATTTGAAAAACAATCTGAAATAATGGATATGAAAGAAGAAATTATGAATGATGCGATAGATGATGCTATGGAAGATGAAGGAGACGAAGAAGAAAGGTTTTAAACAATTTATGTTTAATAAATTATTGTTAAATTATGCTAAAAAATTATTGTTAAATTATTGTGTATTTTTAACTTAGATTTATTATTAGAAAATTACACGTCTTATTTTATTTTCACAGTGATGCTGTAGTCACTCAAGTGTTAGATGAGTTGGGTTTACAGTTGACAGATCAACTATCAGGACTGCCACAAGCATCTGGATCACTGAGTGTAACTGGTTCTAAGCAACCGGTTGCAACTGCAGCAGGTAATGAAGAAGGAAGCAATCTTGCGGATGCTGATGCAGACTTACAAGCGAGACTTGAGAATTTGCGACGTGAATAAGGATTGAAGATTGATAAAGATTTAAGATATTAGGAGCAATGTATAAAAAGTGTATGTAAAAAGTATCGGTTTTACATATTAAAAAAACGTAGCTTTAAGAGAGTTTTATCGAGTGCTTAAATATACTTGAATATTTAATGTACGTAAATTCAAAAGAGTTGCCTACTGCATACAGATTTCTTGAATGTTTAATCTTTATATTTTATATGCACTTCTTGAATTTTATAATGCTTTCGTAAGAAAACTGTACACTCTGTAAATGCCTAAGTTGTTAATGCAAACTTTACCAAATTGTTACATAATAAAATGTGTAACAACAGTTTTTTCTTTAATTAGTTGTTATGATACTAAACAGCTGCTGTTATATATTTTTATTCGAAAGAATCAATTACAATGTCAATTATAAATTAACGTAAAAATTAATTTTTAAATTAGCGCTTTATTCAGCACTAATTTCTGATTGGTCGTGACGTCATTATGCGCAATACACGTACATATAGGCTGCGTTCCGTTTCACGCATATGCGCGCATTTGTCTATAGTGCACGTAACGTATAGTATAGATAAATGCGCGCGCATATGCGTGAAACCGAACGCAGCTATGTACTCTGCACATATATACATGTTTCTCTATGTTCTATACCATGATCGCACCAACCAGCAATTTCAAAGATATCCAAATCCAACGTCATTTGAATTGAAGTTGCCATGCAGTTGCCATGCACACAGACGGCGGTTCTGGCTTGTGTGCGTGCCCTAACCGCTCGATGCTCTCGTTGCTCTCTGCTCGATCTTGCAACCAGCGTTGCCGTGGAGTTTGCAGCGCTGCTTGCAACTCTGGTTCCGAGGTCAAAAACTTTTTGAGAATTAATGGCGTATGGACTAACTCAATTCGGTCCATTGAGCCATTTTTGCACCAAACCAAAACTTTTTGAAAGTTTTGAGCACAATTTCGATTGGGTTTGTGATCAATTCTCGACGAGTTCCGTTAAAGTGTTCATTTTCGTGAAAAAAAGTAACACATCGGTTACACTCGGCAGCAAAGTAGTCTCGATACAGAGAGAGATGTATGTACAGAGTACTACTTACATGCTTCTCGATATTTAGTTGGTTATATTGACAATTAGCTTTCGAGAGGAAGATAGCCATAGAGGGTTAGGTGAATATTTGGCAAGGAAGAAATATCCTAAGACTTTGGATCTCACAAAGGATCCGTTGTAATTGTGGAATAAGAACAATAAATAAAAACTGACATACTGCTCTAACAATTTGTGACGTCACATGGTGGACGCGGCAAATTTGTGCCGTCCAGGTCATAGTCCATAAACAAGAGTCACGTAATACACGTTTTGATTGATATTTACATACATTTGAATTTCAAATTTAAGAACGTTTCATCATTTTTATAGTGTAATTTTGTTTCTAGAAGTTGTGGAAGTTTTGTTTGTTTAGTCACTAGTCTCGTACGGTAAAAAATGAGTCAAGACTTGCGAACTCAATTAATTACCGCTGCTGTTGCGGCAACTATTGGTGTTATAAGTGCAGCTGGTATTTTTATTTATCAAACATTTCTTGAGAGACAGCGCCTTAGGAAAAATCCCAATGTGAGTTTTCATCTCGATAAGGTTGAACAACGTCTCATGGAAGTACGAGAAGAATTACATGAATTGAGGTAAAGATTGTTTTTTTCTTTAAATTTAACAGTATTTATATAATTACAGCTGCATTTATGTAATTATAGCTGATATAAGTTAATTTGAATCTATCTGATTATATCACAGGCTACAACAAGATAAAAAAAATCAACAAGATAAAAAAGATCAACAAAGAAAAAATAAACGTGACAACGATAGTACACACATCGCAACAGATAATGATACAGATGTTTTTTCAATAGCAAGCACTGATGTTGCTGAAGATGAATTTGTTGATTGTTCAGAAAGCGGAAATAGCATGAGCGATGTTGAAAACAGGTCAGTTTACTATACTTATATATTTATTCTTCAATTTATACAAACTTTAAGTGATTTGATGTTACAAGTGTTCTATTTAAGTTCTACAAGTTTGAGTCAACAAAATTTGATGTTTGTAGAATAGCTTCTATAGTTTTTCTTGTTACACAAACAAATCAATTCTAAGCTCAACAGGAAGAGATTTATATATGTTTAGTGATGCAGGGATTGTATGGGACAAACAGCTGAAGACACTTGCTCTGGATTAGACTTATCCATCTTCGATATACATTACCAACAACGTGAATTCGCGGAAGAAGATTATATCGCTTTAAACAATCTTGCAGATACTTATCCAGACAATGTAGATGTAATATGGAGATACGCCAGAAGCTGTTACAAATACTTAAATTGTATCACTGATTTAAATGCAAAAAAAGCTACTATTGGCGCAGGTATATAATTTAAACTTATGTTTTATAAAATTAAATTTATTTTTAAACATAGATTACAACAGTTTTCTTTTCAGGAATTAAATGCTGTGAGAAACTTCTTCCTGAGTTAAATGCAGATCTGCATAAATGGTGCGCTATACTTGTAGGTGTTTACGGCGAATATTTACCAATAGCAGAGAAAATAAACAACGGTTATCGTTTCAAAAAGCTCGTAACGAAAGCTTTAGAAATACGTCCAAGTGATGCCGATTTACATCATCTACTTGGTAGATTTAACTATGAGGTAGCTACCTTGAGTTGGATAGAAAAAAAGGTGTGTTCGATTTTAACGCATCAAAATTAATATCCTTTCTCTTTTCTCTCAATAATGGCAACTCTTTTTAAGCTACAGATTTTGTGAGACTAATTTTCTCACAAAATTCAAAAAACAAAAAAATATATACTTATATATATATATATATATGTCACATGTTTACAAAAACAAAAAACTTTGAGAAATAAATTTTAACGTAACAGAGATACTCAAAATCATATATAGTTTTGTTCATTTAAAGTAAACCTTTCGATTTTACTAACAGAAATTCGATTTTAAAGTTTGACTGAAAAATCTGTAGTTCAAAAGTAGTGCGTGTGCTTGTAATAATAGCATGCTGTCTATAATGATACTTTTATATATTATTTCTTTTTAATAGGTTGCTGCGACATTCTCGGAGCTACCAAGTGCCTCGTTTGAAGATGCGATCGAAAGCTTTCAGAAAGCGGACACTTTTTCGAATAAACTAAATCCGGAAAATCATCTATTTCTTAGCAAATGTTACATAGCAACAAACAATTACAAATCGGCTTGTTCTTATCTGAAACAAATTTGTGAGTTATCAGTTACTAATGAAGAGGAAAAAAGAATACAAAATGACGCTCGTCAACTTTTTGACAAGTATTCAAAATATTGCCAGTAACAAAAACATTTAAATAGATTAGTATATATATTCGTCTTTTCTCTCTAATATAAATACATTAATCTTAGGTGAGAGATCTGTTTACATCTAAGTAATTATCCAATTATAAATGTGAAATGGGAAAGAATAAAAGCAATTTTAATATATAGATGAATATACATAACTTTTATTATATAACAAGCTTTTATACAAAATTTATATAAAAAATAAAATTATCTGTAAAAAAATTTATATAAAAAATAAAATTATCTGTAGTATAAAAAAATGTAATGTATGTATAAAATATGTGTTTAGAACAGAATTTATAACAAAAATAAAATATTAGGCAAATATATTTTAGAACTATTATTTTATTATAAAAATAGGTCTCTTTATATTACAATTAGTAAAATATAAAGTTCAAGCACTTGTTACAACAATGATATTTTTCATCTTGTTATCATCTATTTCTTTCAAATAAATTTTGCATTCCAATAATACTGAGTAAACGCAATCGTTTTACACAAACGTGTTTAAAAGTTTTATTATATTATTAATAAACCTATATAATTTCTCTCTTCCTTTTTTCCTTGTCTTCTCATTGTTTTCCGTATGCGTGTGTGTATAACACACGATATTTGTTTACAATATTTTTAATGTTCTCATCAATATACCATGGAATCATTTATTATTATAGTTGTAGTTTATGTATATCACAAAGTTCTACATTTATATATATGTATATACAACAAAGCGTGATAAATAAAAATGTAAATATTTAACATAAGTGTGTATTTTTTTAAATCAAAATATAATATGAGCTATGTATATATAGCTCATATTATATTATACATATATATATATAATGCTATTAGATAATAATGTTGTTCCGAAGATATATGCAGCATATTTTATGTACAAAAATAGTTTAAATATATATTACTAACTATAACAGAGAAGTTTGCGATTTTTTTCTTTTATTGAGATCATACACCTTTCTGTACTCTCAACAGATCAATAATGCTCCACAGCATCCTCCGAAGCAGTGATAGAGACTGGGTAGAGGGTGAAAGGAGGAGAAGCCCCTCTAATAAAATCAGAAGGAAGCCAGTAATATAAGGATTCCACAGTGTTTTGCAAGGAAACAGTCAAGATTCGATGTTCGTGAAGCGTACTTCGGTTGTACAATGTACATGTAAAAAGTGAGTTTTGAAAAATTTGTTCTCTCGCTTGTCAAATTTTCGAAATCTATTTTGTGTAAAATAAAATTACCTCGAAGTTTTGTGATTTCTTTACACATGTCGAAAGTAAAACATTACGTCGATAGCGAAAAAATAAGCTATTTCTCAAATTATATATAGTAAAAAGTTTTCGTTATTCGCACCATTATAAGTATTAGTAGTGTGTGTGTGTGTGTGTGTACAATAAATTGGCATAAACGTAATATGAGAGATTATTGTCTCCATTGCTTTCTTTATATTTCAAAACTTTATTCTTTCCTTATGAAACCTAATTATTTCAAATTTTTTCTACAGGTATCGATGACAAAACGCTTTATAATCAACAAATATTCGAAATAATAACATTAATAACCAGTTGTTACAAAAATGTCAGATATTTTTACATGTGTTTCCTCGAACTCGAATTAATATATTCTGTATTATTTTCAGGATACTCATTTCCTGCAGACTGTAATGCGTGAATTTTTACGCGGTACATTGTACTGCGCTCTGTGGTATGGTAGTATAGTAGCAGGATTTTTATTCATCGCATGTCCGCTCTTATTATTGCTGTTGTTCAGTCCACCGAAATTCCGAAAATGTGGAGATCTTTTGTTTTCATGTTGGGAACTTTACCCTACCGTAAGTATCTTCTTTTATTGATTTAGTTTTGCTCAAAAAATAACTTTTTACTACAATTTTTATAAATCATATCACTGCGAATTTAATATCGGCGTATTTACGCTGTAATCATAGGCTCTGTTAAATATGTTTGGTGTGAGAATTTATGTATCTGGAGATCATATATCTCCTCACGAATCGGCCGTGCTCGTGATGAATCATAGAACAAGGGTGGATTGGAATTTCCTATGGGCGGCAATGTATCAAGCATGTATGCCCCATGTAATTTGTCACAGATTGAAATTTATCTTAAAGGATCCTATACGACACATTCCTGGGCCAGGTATATGCACACACGTATATAAATCGTACGGTTTTTTTTTTCAGTACAAAGTAAAAATATAAAGATAGATGTGTGTTAATTGTATATATCGCGTCTCCATAACAGGATGGATGATGCAAATGAATGGTTTCCTTTATATAACCCGACGCTGGCAAGAAGATCAGGGTCGATTGTCGCGTACTCTTGATTACCTGATCGCATTAGACAATCGTACGCAGTTGCTGATTTTTCCCGAAGGCACTGATTTGACGAAGAGTAGCAAAGAAAAGTCAGACAAGTACGCCGCAGAGCATTATTTACCCCGACATAAATACACTCTGCATCCGAAAACGACAGGCTTCGCTTATTTGGTCCAACATCTTCAGCGTGCGAGTTATCTCGACGCCGTGTACGATCTAACGATAGCGTATCCAGATTACATACCGCAATCCGAAATTGATTTAATCAGAGGTAAATTTCCGGATGAAGTACACTTTCACATAAACCGAATATCATCAGCGGATATACCAAAGCGCGATTCGAACTTGAGAAAGTGGTTGGAGAACAGATGGTCCGACAAGGAAAAGATACTGAATAGATTTTACGAACAAAAAACATTCTCCGCCGAAATCTGGCCAATGGCAAAACTGCTACCACTGCGAATAGCGTTTATATTCTGGAGTATATTAACTGGTAAGTTGTTTAAAAAATCATAACAATTATTTTTCTTCTTTTCATCTCTTTTTATTTGATTCTCAGGAACAACAGTACTTTTGCTCATCGTGTCTCCGCTCTTTCGATTATGGGCATTGATCAACGCGGCTTTTTTCATCGGACTATCGATTTTCAGTACAGGCTTTAATCAGATCGAAATAGGCTGGTATTGGCGTTGGAAAAATTATCTTTTCCAAAAAACCAAAGTAGGATAAATACATCCAACTTAAAAATTTATTTTAAAAAATACAATCTTTTTACTTCTTCCTCTCTTTTTCTGTGATAATGTTGTATATAAAATCGTAAAATTAGAAAAACATAACTTAAAAACTTTTGCAATATCACACATTTTACTGTAGTCGTAATATAATGCACATGTATAATTAGATACATCATGTTCTCTTTCTCTTTCTCTCTCCTCTCTCTGTTTCTTTCTCTTTTAAGAAGATAAATTGATATCGTCTTCGCAGAGGATGGGTAATTGCAAATTTGGAATTTTATGTTAATATGAGAGACAAGGAAGGGGAGGGGAGAGATAGATGGATAGATAGATAGAGAGAGAAAGAGAGAGAGAGAAGTATATTTCTTACGAGAAAAAAAACTTCATGTAAACATCTATATATTTGTAAAACATTGTGTAAAAATGATACAGACCTTTTCTTATAAAAACACAATGCATTTTAAAAGATTTACTATTTTTTACGGCAGGAAATTTCTGTAACGTACGTATATACCGTATATTATATACGCTAATTTATATTAGCCAATTCTTATAGAGAATATTCTTATAATAACAAAGTATATATTTATATATATAATCAAAATTTTTTGAGAGATTTTCTGTTATACTCTAATACATACACACTATTGTTTTTTTTTTCAAATTCAAAAAAACATTTGTGTGTGACAATTATTCGTTTCTGTTTCAATATTGGTTATTGAACTGTTTACGCAAATATAAATCGTTCAGAAAATTTTATACAAATGCGCAAGATGTACAAATTTCGTGTGTACGTATAATTATACATATGTATGTACAGAGTGTCTGAATGAAGGTCGAGACGTGAAAGTAGATTGCGTTAAATCTAAATAAAAAAGTTAATTTACTCTAACTATTGCGAATGTTGCAAATTAGTACATGACTTTTCAATTCAGATTACTGCAATCTATCTTCACACTTCGACTTGGTCAAAATTTTTCAGACATCTTGTATAGATGTGCAAACTTATATATATAGTTCATAGGATGATAAGATGGTAGAAATTAGTTTGTCTTCATTTAAGAAGCATAGATTGCCGAGTAATTACAAGCATACGACTAAAAGTGAATTCATTGTGCCAAAGTGATAGTTTTACATACGAATTTATTCAAATGATAGTTGCAGAAAACACGTAAATACCATATAAGTAGAAATGTATTAAAATTGTGTATAGATGTATTTATGAAATTATATAAAAGTGCAATTGTAATCAATTTTAACGTCGCAAGTATAAGTCTTACTCTTATAACAAACAAAAACACACACACAGTAATTCTATATATACATATATATATATATATATATGTACACACACACATTATTATTATAATTTAAGCCTTTATTATCGACACCAAATGAAATCGTAACATTTATTCACTATATAGAATATTTTTCAACAGTTTTAAATTTGCGATTCTCGATATTTTCTCATTTTTCACGGCATACATCAGTTGAAAAACGCTGCATCAGAGTGCTGAAAATGAAAATTACCTTAAGCTATCATAATTTTTGATTCGACTAAGTTTAGGAAAGATTTAGAGTTATTTATAACATTAAGCCAATCTATTTTTGTAAAATGGATTAATCGGACTTGGTATAGGGCTAGTCTTCAGCACGCTATATAACGGTTTTTTGTTCGCATCAAAAGGAACACCAGGGCTCTTACGGATTTGTTGTAGATAATCTGATTTATAATGCGCATTATTTTGTGATTTAAACATTACTTTTTTCTTCGTCAACAAGGAATTATTAGAACATGTCCGTTTGGTCACACAACTCGATAATACCTGCAATACGACGATAAAAGGGTACTCATAATCGGAAATATATTCGCTGCAGTCGATTATAAACTATTAGAAGAATAAAACATAATATATTACAGTAAAAACAATATTATTCTTACATTTTTTGAAGGTATATCTCGGTCACGTGCAATCTTGTTCCTTGACAGCGCGTTTTTCACTGCTGGTTTTATCTTGCGCTTAGTTTTTTTTTGTGGATATGTCACCGTTTTTGTTTTATATTTTACATTTTTATTCGTGTTATTCGTTGAAATCCAGGATTCAGAGTTTGTACTCTCAGCAATTTCATCGTCAAGCGGTTTATCGCTAAGTTTATCGTGTTTTAACTTACTTCTTTTCCGTTTCTTAAGTGATATTGCATCTTCAAAATTAACTTTTACATCATTCACTTTGCTCGTTTCAGAAGTGATTTGATCTTCATTCTGATCCGAAACATTTTCATTTTTCGAACTATCGAGAGAGGATGCATTAAAAACAGTGTTGACTAATTCTTTGTTACTTTTTCTCTTTTGTTTTTTAGTTATTTTATCGGAAAATAATTTTTTTTCGAATTTAATAAAACGCAATGCAGCATTCCGCACATTCGTGCTTTTCTCATGAGAATTTGGTTTTTCGATCGTCTTCATTCCAAGAGGCATGTTTCCTTGCGATAGTTCCCGAAATCTGTAATATAAAACAAATTGTTTTATGTACATAATTTATACAGTAACTCGTAATTTGATATATATTGATAAAACAAACGATACGTACTGTGAAGCAAGTTTCAAAAGCCGTTTTCGAGACTTTGCCGTTGACAACGGGTGAAATCGATGTTGCAAAAGTAAGTCGGCAAGTTTCGCAGCATCAAACGGTATTTGAGGTAGTTCTACATCTACTCTGCCTGCTCTTGGATCCAAAGATTTTTCAACTTTATTTTGTACGTCAATTTCAAGACATTGTTCATTTTCATTGTCAAAATCATCTTCCATATCGGATATTTCAATTTGTTGCATATCATCTAACTTTGCACAAGGAAATCCAGCCTATTTATATAATATGTAAAAATATTTATATTATATATATACGTAGAAGATTCGCAAACTGCGAGACACAATAATAAGATAACATGGTAAAAAAAAAAAATTAATAATAAAGGAAAAATTAAGAACATACACTTCTCCAAGCGTTGAATTTATCGGTATAATTCAAACCTACATCAGACTGAAATATCAAGTACCTAAAGATACATTGTGTAATATTTTTAATCTGCCGCTCATCATTGGACGTTACTAAGTACAAAATAAATGGTTTAACAAACTCGTAAACCGCATCTTCCGGCAGATTTCCATCACTAACCTGTACAACAATTCATCAAATAGCACTTTGAAAAACATTATCAAATAAAATCTTCCTTATCTCAATGTATTTTAGTACCTTGGCAAGCTCTTCCAAATATACGTCTGTCAAATGCAGATTGTATCCTACTGGAGTTTTGGGATGTAATAGCAATTCTTCAAATATCAGCGAAATTTCCATCACCCATTCCATGTCCCATAATTTGTTCTTGCATACTACAAATGTTTGACGTACAATTCGTCTCACTAGCTGCAAAACAGAATAGAAAGATATTACTCATATTTTATTAAAGAGTATTACCAATATAAAGAAAGAAACATATGTACCATGAAAAACTTATCTATCCTATACTGATCTATGCCAAACCACTCAATAGCAAGTGTCTTTAAAGCACAGCTGGTATAGAGTACAATAATATTCTTTGTTGAAAAACAATGCACAAGTTTAGAGAGCGATTCAGCTAACTCTTCTTGGACCAACATCTTATCAGACATCCACATACAATAAAACAAACCTTTCCATAAGCTCATAAATTCTAATTTTGTAAATGCTGCAAAAAATGTTACATAAAATTACTATAAATCTATATTTACATTAAAAATCAATATTTACTTATTATATCATTTACCAGATGGATCTTGCGATCTAACTGTTAACCATTTTTTCATTCTTTTGAGCACTTTATCTCGCACTTTTTTGTCATTGTTAGCTAACAGTCTCGCGATCTTAATTTCTTGACTGATAAGTGATACTTTTTTCTTATCAATTTTAATCTGACTGAGATTTTTAGTTTTGTTAGTATTTTTAGTTCCGTTCAATGTATTGGTTATATCGTTCCGTAGCGGTGCACGACGCAGGTTTTGCTTTGCCATTTTTCCTCTTTCTTTTTCTGTTAACGAAGTGGTTGATAATTCTACTACCAAAATATTCCTTTAAAACAATAAATTATCGGAGGAAATCCTCAAGTTCAGCTATGAAAAATCCGTTAAATATGTTAGATATTAGGGCGTAGTTGAACTGTTTGCAAGGTGTTGCACAATGATAAAACCGTTAAATTTTTGAACAAACGTTTTGACTATTTATTTTTAGTCCTTCTCAGTATTATTTATTGACGAAATACGTAGTTTGTCTGTGTGTTAAACTGTAGTCGTTGTTGTGTTTGTAATATTGTCAAGACTGTCTTGACAAACTACATATCTCGTCAATAAATAACATTGAGAACTAAAAATAAATAATCGAAACGTTTGTTCAAATATTTAACGATTCTATCATTGTGCACAACACCTTGCAAACAGTTCAACTACGCCCTAATATCTAACATATTTAACGGATTCCTTTAAAACTTATTAAATAGCATGTAAAAATCGAAAGAATCGAACTAACTTCAACCACTCACTTTTCAAACTTATTATAACCCTAATCTCGTAACACACAAAACACGAAAGTGTGCACGTGATTGCACGCTCTAGGTTTGGTTTGGTGCAATCAGAGAGAAACCTGAGAGCGGCCATCCTATTGTAATTTTTTACGACGGTTTCAGCCGTATTTCCACAAAAGTGGAACTCAAAGGCCGTTCTCCATGAAACTCAAGTAGCAGGTCTCGTGGAACTGATCAATCACGTTGGTCAATTGGCTGATTTGACTCTGCAATTGGTCAATGCCGGGAATGTCGCATTGGTTGATTTGCCAGACATGACCAATGCGATTGGACAATGTGGACGCAGCTGCGTTCGCGATCGCCGCGTGCGCCAAGTCGAACTTTCTCTTAAGCCCATTCTACATTAAGCGCAAGATGCAATCGCAAATAGCAGGTCTCGTGAAATTGACCAATCATGTTGAACAATTGGCTGATTTAATCAATGCGATTAGTCAATTCCATTCAAGATCTACTTGCGTTTGCGTCTTGCGCTTAATGTAGAACAGGCTTTAGGAATAAAGGAAATTATCGTCTACCTCTGTGGTTTGCTCCACTGCACCATTTCTTATCAACTAGAATTTGCATATTGACGTATAGGAGCGATGTTTGGAGCCCGATAGCAACTAAAAATTTCACTTCATAACTAGAATTTGGTTGATTTAATTTTAGTTGAATTTAAACTTTCTTGTACGCACTTTGTGAAAAACACATGCTTATTTATCGCTTAAACAAGTATAATGAGTACAGAATTTCTACTTGTTGAGTCAATTGAGATTTTGCGAAATAGTCTGTCGCATTATCACACTCTGTTGGAAGCAATTTTGGTACTTTGGTTAGTGTGGTTTATTTCAAAAAAACGAAAAAACAATCACGATTCCGAAGTTTCGGAAGAGTTGGTCGAAAAAAAATTGGCGGAATGGCAACCAGAACCTCTGATACCAGAAGTGCCAGAAGAACATGTTTCGTTAAAGCCTAAATATATCACTTCTAGTGTTGGAAAACGAGTCACAGTTAATGGTAAAAGTTGCCTTAATTTAGGTACGCATAACTATCTGGGTTTATGCGATGATACAAAAGTAGTAGAAATTGCAGCAGCAGCTGTTAGAAAGTACGGAGTTGGCTCGTGTGGACCACGAGGATTTTACGGAACTGTGGATGTACATCTTGAATTGGAAGAACGTTTGGCTAAATTTATGAATACAGAAGAAGCTATTATATATTCTTATGGTTTTTCCACTGTAGCAAGTGCAATCCCAGCTTACTGTAAACGCAATGACTTAATATTTGTAGATGAAAAAGTAAATTTTGCTATACAGAAAGGATTAGATGCGTCTCGTGCAAATATTTATTACTTTAAACACAACAGTGTAGAAGACTTGCATAATCTTTTGATTAAGCAAATGGAGATAGACCAAAAAAATCCTAAAAAAGCTGCAAAAACAAAACGCTTTTTGATTATAGAAGGTATTTACATGAATACAGGAGAGATGTGCCCTTTGCCAGACTTATTGCAACTTTGCAAAACATTCAAATTGAGAATCTTTATGGATGAATCTGTATCATTTGGTACTGTTGGTGCACATGGAAAAGGTGTTACTGAATATTTTAATATACCTACCAATGAAATAGACATGATAATGGGTAAGATTACAAGCCTGTTTGTAATATGGTACATAGTAAACTTATTATTTTACATATGTCTTTTAAAATGATTTTTACTATTTGGTGTTACTTGATACTATTTACAATTCTGTCTCAGGATCCTTGGAATGGGCTGTAGGATCAATTGGTGGATTCTGTGTAGGAACAACTTTTGTCATTGATCATCAGCGGTTATCAGGACTTGGCTATTGCTTCTCAGCATCTCAGCCACCTCTTTTAGCTGCTGCAGCTATAACTTCTTTAAATATCATGGAAAATAATGTGCGCATATTTCAATCGTTGAGAGATAACGCTCTAGCGATAGACAATGGCCTTAAAGATATTCCGATGCTGCAATGCTCTAGTCATAAAGAGTCACCTCTGAAACATGTGTATTTAAAAGAAACAAAAGATCGTGTCACTGAGGAAGAATTATTGCGTGCGATTTCACACAAGTGTTTAGAAAATAATTTAGCTGTTATACTTCCCGTCTACTTGGAACTAGAAAGATTTATGCCTAGACCTAGTCTGAGACTTTGTATATCTGCTAATCTAGACAAGAGCGATATCAATTTTGCGCTAAATACTTTGAAAGAGTGTACGTACCAAGTTTTATTGTCACTTCACGGCTGAAACAAATACAGTCTGAGAACATACACGACAGAAGTGATTTGTGCATAGATATAACAATAAATGTTATATAGAAGATTTTCTATCATTTAATACATTTTATCTTGAATACTTTAAGAACATTTATTGAAAATTTTCACAATTATAAGAAAGTTGAATGTTATTTCGACGGAAATTTTTATACAAATACGTACACACGTGACGTTGGCAAAGAAGAAATTTGTATTATCGACCAAAAAGATGCGCATGCGAAACGAAACAGTAAAGTGCAATTGCGAGTTGAGTTTATTCTTAAATAAAAGTATATATGTACACAAGTGCTTTGCGTATTATATGCTACAACATAGTGTTGGTGATCATATGTGATTAGTGTTTGTGATAATTGATAGCATTGATAAATCGTGATCTTGCAGAATCCGATGTAAATTCTCACATTGATCCGACTGAGCTGGAGTTTCCTGTTGTGCAATTTATCACTTAATTCTCCAGTATACAGTATATTTTTCAGACAGTTTATTTCTAAAAATTTGTTTATTAAACAAATAAGAGAAAAGCTGAGAATGGGCTTGTTATCCGAAGGAAGTCCTCTGAGTTGGGAAGAGACGAAGAAATTATCCGATCACGTGCGCAAGCATGGAGTAATTCAATTTATTAACCTGTACAAGCGACTTCGTGACAGACAGGGGGATGTGCTAAAATGGGGTGACGAGGTAAATAACGTTACTTTTGTAATAGCTGCAACTAATGTAATATACAATAATATTGTTCTTGCAATGTCGTATCGTTGCGTAATATCGCAATACTCTGTTCATTTTGTGGCTTTACGTTTTTCATATACATACATGATATCATCGTGATAATCGCATGCGCTGTAATATAGTTTCTTCCTTTCACTTATGAGAATTTATTTACTTGTGACATACAACACACAGAAAGAAATATGTATCATTAAGATAATTTAATTGTTTTATTTTTTCAATTTTTGTACAAAACGTAACAATTTTGTCAATTGAAAGAGTTTATTTCTTTTACACACACATTCTTTCTCTCTCTCTCTTTCTCTTTCTCTCACTATAGTGTTACTAAAATATTTATATATATTCCAATGTCAGTAAATTGATCTAAGTCCAAGTATATAAAGTTTTTGCTTTTTTAAAATTAATATTGCATTCTCATTTAATGTTAGATGTTGCATATTGCGTGATTGGTGTGTCATTTATGCATTCTATCATTATTATATAATTACTGATAATGATTTCTGTGTGTACTTCATTTTTTTAACATCCTTGAAATTCTCTTATAATGGAATAATTACATATTTATTTTCTTATTACTTTTACTCTTGTTAAGATATTACTTTTTCCTTATTTTATTTTTTCACTATATTAATGTAAAATCAAATAAATATTAGATATTCAGGATTACAAAATATTATATAATGTATATAGTTATGTAATATACTTGAAATAATAAAACAAAAAATGATACATAACAATATTTTAAGATTAGTGATTTATTATATTCTTTTTTATAATTTTGTATTCTATAAGAGAATTTTATTATACAATAACTATTACTAAATATCATTGTTTATTACTTGTGTTACTTTTGTGTAGGTAGAATACATGCTCATAAAATTTACTGACAATGAAAAAACTGCAAAACTCAGTTTAAGAGCTATGGAACTATTAAAAATCTTAAATGAAAAAGAAAATGAAGACCCAAAGTAAGTATAATAATTGCATATTTAGCAGTAGATTGTAAATAATGTAAAAATAACCAAATTCATCAACATAGATAATAAAATAAAAGTAAATAAAAGTAAATATAAGAAAAAAAAAGTAAAGATATTAATGTAATGTCATATTGTTTTAACTTTTAATTTAGATATAATTTTCCAAGCTTTAAAAAATTCATACAAAATAAAAATGATTATTAGCAAATTATTTTATGTTTCTCATGATAATTTATCTATTGTGTTTCTTAAAATCGATTTCATAAGATATCAAATTGTTATAGTGTGATTATTTTCATAGTAATGTAAAGTCTCTATGGAGACCTGAATATGGTGCTTATATGCTGGAAGGAACTCCAGGAAAACCATATGGAGGATTATTAGCTCATTTTAATGTTGTTGAAGCTAATATGCGTTATAGAAGACAAGAAGTAACAAAGTTGCTCGAGCCTAATGAAGTTTTAATGTCATTAACCGTTTTTCCAAGGTGAATAGTTTTTTTACTTCACTTTTGAAATACTCTTATTTTACTTCACTCTTTCAAAGTTACAGATTTATCAAGTATTGTAATTCTCTCTTTTTCTGTATGTTATAAGTCAATTAATTTTATATGTTACAGAATAGGAGCTCCTGATTTTACTGATCCTCCTACTACTCCAACTCCTGAAACTGGTGCCTCCAGAAGTTTATTTTTTCCTGATGAAGCTATATATCCTGGTCACCCACGTTTTAAGACATTGACCAGAAATATAAGAGAACGACGTCAGGAAAAAGTTGCTATAAACATTCCTAGTAAGAATTATTTAAGTTTTTTTTTTTTTTAGGTTTTTTATACGCACTATATTTCAGAAACTTAGAACGCTAATTTTTGTAACTATAGTAAAAACTTTTTCTAGTTTAATTTTGTAACTATAGTAAAAACTTTTCTAGTTTACAGAGACGAAAATGTACCATTGTTATTTAAGGAAGACTTTAGGAATAAAGAATATGACGAATCTGTTTCTAAACCAATGAAAGATAATCATATCTACATGGATGCAATGGGTTTTGGAATGGGATGTTGTTGTTTGCAACTAACGTTTCAGGCGTGTAACATACAAGAAGCGAGAACGTTATACGATCAACTGACACCTTTGTGTCCAATAATGGTTACTATAAAAAAATATATTGCTCAACTATATATATATATATACTTAAACTCTTTTCAGTAATTTTAGCGAATATTATGTGAGCACGATATTAGATTGCAACTTAAAACTTTTCTCTAATAATAGTAACGTATCGTGTCAGTGTTCTTTTATACGTGCGTTACAGAATATTTCTTTAACATTCGACAGTTGGCTCTAACAGCAGCTAGCCCCTTTTATCGAGGCTATATAAGCGACGTTGATTGTCGATGGAATGTCATATCTTCTTCGGTGGACTGTAGAACACAGGAAGAACGCGGGTTAAAGCCTCTTAAGGAAAATAAATTTAGAATCAGTAAGTCCAGATACGATTCTATCGATTCATACCTCAGTGAGGCAGGCGAAAAATACAACGATGTTCCTTTAACATACGATGACGAAATATACAAAGAACTTCGGGATAATGAAATCGATCATTTGCTCGCACAACACATAGCTCATCTGTTTATCAGAGATAGCGTCTCTTTGTTTTCTGAAAAAGTACATCAGAACGATTTAGAAGATACCGATCACTTTGAGGTAATATTACAAATGTTATAATATATAATTTCTAATACTCTGAATGATCTGAATAATTAAATGTTTTCTTTAAAGTTCTAGAACTTTTGACAGACTTTTTATTATTAGATTTACTTCTTTAAATAATATTTTCTCTTATACATATATCTTATATATCTTATGATTTCTCTCTCTATCTCTCTCTCTCTCTCTCTCTCTCTCTCTATTCTAAATATATAAATACATAATATTATTTTTAACTATCTTTATCATATATCTGGTAATATCCAATTTTGTTTAGAACATACAATCTACAAACTGGCAAACAATGCGCTTTAAACCGCCACCGCCAAACTCTTCAATTGGTTGGCGGGTAGAATTTCGTCCATGTGAGGTTCAGATCACAGACTTTGAAAACGCTGCAATAGTTTGTTTTACAGTACTATTGACAAGAGTTATTTTGAGTTACAAGTTAAATCTTCTAATTCCAATTAGTAAAGTTGATCAGAATATGATCAGAGCACAAAAACGAGATGCAGTAAAGATGGAAAAATTCTGGTTTCGCCGTGATATTACTTCAGATTCAAAAACTGATAACATCGAATCAGAGTATATCGAATTTACAATTAATGAGATTATTAATGGAAAGGTATATTTCAGACAAAAGATATATATTTAATATACGCACTGAAACTTTTCATTTTTATAATATTTGTTATTACACTATTATGTTATTTTTTTAAATTTTAGGATGGACTATTTCCTGGTCTTGTACCATTAGTAAACTCATATCTTGCCAATATGGATGTAGATGCCGATACTCATTGCACTATTCAAAGGTATTTAAAATTAATACAAAAACGTGCTTCTGGAGAGCTTTTAACAACTGCCGCTTGGTTGAGGAAGGAAGTTACTTCGCATCCCGAATACAAGTAAGCAGTATCTTTGTACGTTAAATATACATATATGCACGCACATACATGTATATATACATGTTTTGTTTTACCTTTTTGTAAATATTGATTTATTTAGAAGGAATTTTTCATATGAATCTGATATATACATTTCTTTGATTAAATTTTTTATGCAAAACCAGGCATGATGCTGTTATAACGCAGGTCATCAATTATGACTTACTTAAGAAAATCCATAATATTGTTTCTAATGACGTGCCGTGTCCAGAACTACTTGGGCAATGTGTGTCATCTAAAACTACCGATACCATACCTGCTGCTGTTGCGAAAGCTGAGAAATGTTCAACAACAAATTTTTAACGACTCTTAAAATGCTTTACATAATTCAATACTATTTTTTATAACATTATTTTATTACATGTTTAATATAATTTTATTGTGCAGAATTAGAAATATATTTCACTATTTACTTATCCAACAATGTGAATAAATACAAACTATATAGGATGTTTTTAAACTGAATACCATAAACAAAATTATATTTTTTGTATATAAACAATCAAGATAAAAAGTCACTTACACTTTTTGGATCTAAAAATTATCAACTGAGATCTTATATGTTGTTGAAATTCGATGATGACTTTAGCTCGATTTTTTATGTGTAGTTTGTCGTTTATAACATTTATTTTGGGAACACTTTGTATAAAGTTTTGCAATTTTATATATTTGTTATACTTGTTATTGTTGCTTTTATATACTAAACATAAATATATTTGACAAGAAAGGTATAAAATTTTTATAATTGCCAAGATTGTAACGGTAGCAAATCAATATTGATTATTTATGCAAATAGAAACGATTCTTTTAATAATAAATCAACGTAATCACATTCCGTTAAAGTAAAATCGTGCTACATATAGTTTGTTTAATATATCACTTATTATTGTGTTTTGAATAAATAATTTAAGTAATATTTGTTAAGCCGAATATTACGCGCACGCGCGTACGTATATAAATTAAGCTTGCAAAACGCTAATTGAATATTTATATATATTTTAAACTAATAAAAGTTTTAACATTATTTTATAATTTAGTAACAATATGATCTTTCTCTAATAGTTTGCTAAATGACGCAAAACAAGATTTTGTGCTGAGGTTTACTTCTTTTTTTATTAATTTTACGTAATAGTTTGTTATTAAAATCTTTCTGTTATGTGTATATATAGTACACAAATATGTAATTTATAAGCAGTACTAAAATGTGCGAATATTTAAATGCTAAAAATCATTCGATACTTTATATGTAATAAAAGAATGTGTATGATTGGAACGTATATATATATATATATGTCGTAATATATATATACATATACATATAATATATATATACATATATATATACACATATTTGTTTATACACGCATGTGTGTACTATATTTTTTATATTTNTATATATAAATTACAATAAAAATGTACTTGCGAATTTAAATATCTTGTATAAAAAATTTAGGAAATACATACTATTTCTAAAACAAAAATCATCAAAATTACACAATACAAATTTTTAAATTTATTTTTCTAAACTTATTATGTTATATGATTTACACACACATGTTCGTGAATCAATTTCACGTACAGAAAAGTATGTAACTCTATTACATCTTTCTCTGGTTTTTTATAAAACTAGATTAATTTTGAATTTGTTAGTTCTTTTTAGTGGTTTTAAAATATGCTCATTTTACAGTTTCAAAATAAATATAAATTCTCTTTACATATAATGAAGCACTACTTTTTTGAAGATAACTTGATGAAGTGCACATTACAAAGTGATAGAATATGCAATATATATATATATATATATATATATTGCTCCTATAATAATTAGATGTGTCATATGTACATACTCTTATACAAATTTTGCAAAATAACAAAAAGTTTTTAAAAGGAACTAGTATTTATTTAAGAATAACTATTATATAAAATTATAATTTTGTCTGTTTATCATATACTTCTAAGCTGTTTTATGTTGCTTTACTCCCTACTTTTGTTTTTTGTTTTTAATAGATATGTAACTATGGGTATGTGATGTATAATAAATAATTTCAACATATTAATAGTATGTCTATACTTTTTAATGGTAGATTACTTGGCAAAACAATGAAATTAAGTTTTTATAAAATTATAATCCTAATATTACAAAATATATAAGTTTTATTGTTGCATGTATACTAAACGATCCTTAAGAATTGTAATAACTTTGACAGTTACACACAACTGTTTTACATTGATCAATCATGTTATATCATTTATATTTATCTAAACTTGTTCTATATGAAATGTAACTATTCCACAATAGAGCAACTGATTGTACAACTAGAGCTTGATAATGTAAGGGTACCAAAGAAAAGTTGACAAGCTGCACCATCGGCCATAGCTAAAACATGTCAGCATAATAAACTGTAAAACATTTGAAGAAATAGAATATCTCCTTAAAAATATATTTTAATAAAATAATTAAAGCTTCTTAATAGTCTCACAGTCTTAGATTTTAACGTCAGAAATTAGAAATATTTTTTTATTTACACATAAGTGTTGCAGTAATATTAAGCATATATTTCCTTTCTTCTGACATCAAAATCCAGCAAGATAGCTGCAACACTATCAACGTAAATATACATAATTTATATAAAATTAGTGTGTTATGTACCTTGTAATTATTTATCAAAATATCATTATATTCGTTACTCATTTTTATTTTTAGTCTTTCAATATCTTTTCCTTGAGAAAGTCCAATAATAACTAGTAAAACTGCTAAAAATGTAGGAGCAAAGAGTAATTGATCGCAAACAACTTTTTTTATTGCAACGGAATGACCTTTTGAACCAATGTATTTATCCAAGATTCCATACCATATTCTCGTTGCTGGACCCTGTGTTACATGTATCATCAAACATAAAAAGACTGATAAATGATATATATTTAAATTTTAAAGTGTACGCATATGTATATACAATGTTAAAGAAAGATGATTATTCACTTCAGATAATTATTTGGCTTTCTCATTTTAAATATTGATAAAAATAAAAATAAGTTAAATTACATTTTTGTCGAAAATGCAATTGAGAAAAAAGCGCTGGCCTATAAATCGAGTAATTAATCATTAACCATTACGAGAGCGATATATATATATATACAATTTTATATTAGAAAATCAACATCTATGTCTTTCTCTCATATGCTTTAAATACCTAGTTGCCTTTTTAAAATTGACCAGAAAAGAAAGAATTGTATTTTTTTTTTCTTTTCGGTTTTAATTTTTGCATCATAGTTCTACTATGTGTTTTGATCCTTCAAGTCTCTTGCTTTACTTTTCTGCCCAGAACACATAGACCTGTGAGTGCAATATAAATAATAATATTATATGTATATATATATTTAATATGTATATTAATGTGGTAATATGTGTGCTGTTTTTTTGTTTTTTTACAAAAAACAGTATATATATAACAACCAAGTACAAGTTATATTATAACCATGATTTTATACACATTAATATATAATGTGTATTAGTTAAGTTTATATAAATGTATAATCATTATTAAAATATCTATATAAAAAAATATGTAAATTACCTTTCAATAAAAATTCAGCCAGTCCCGGTAAAAAATTTTTCATGTATAAACTTGTATGGACATATTCGGTATATAAATTTGCATAATTAAATATAATAACTTTAATTTGTATAAGTATATATGATTATATATCAAAAATTTTTTTAAAATATAGTAAAAATATAGTTTTATATAATTTTTTTGTATCTAACATGATACTAATAGAGTTATTTTATAATTTGATATGGAATATCTCTGAAACCATTCTCTTAAAAAAAGAAATTCTCCGTATAAAATTGTATGGACATATTTGGCATATAAATTTGCATGCTTAGGTATAATTATTTTAATTTGTGTATAAGTATATATGAAAAATTTTTTACCGGGATGTATGACAGTAACGTGTAATATGTCAAGTTCATCCTCGATAAGTTTATCTCAAGGATGTTGTAACATAAGAAAAGATACTATGATTTTACAGGTAGTAATGTCTAAATGACTTTGATCAAACACTGCAACCGTCTTTGCAGTTTTGTAACTGCCATTTACAGCTCAATGATTTGTTTCATATTTTTGGCTTTCCAAATTTTTTGTTTTGCACAAAAATACAATAATTGAGTATATTTTCATCAATATCTAAGATGAGAGAGCTGGGTACCGATTGTGTATTTATGCGAAGTAGTGAAAATTACAAAAGTGAGAAAGTTTACTAGTTGTTGACTAATAAAATCACAGATATTTTAGTAAATTTTCTCACTTTTGTAATTTTCATTACTTCGCATAAATACACAATCGGTACCCTGAGTTGGATAAGTAAATGACCAAATTTTTTCACAATTTTTTTAAAAATTTGAGGTGTGAGATCTTACTTTTTCACCTTTTATGTATATATAAACAAATAAGAATATTTCAAACAGATGTACAAAGATGTCAATGTTTCATACAAAAAACCAATAACATGGAAGAAAATGTTTCACGAAACAATTTACTTACACTAATGAACAAACCAATTCCAGCGAATTTCATTGTACGTATAAAATCAATGGTTTTTGAATTATTTTCTATAAAGTTTTGCGCAATTTGATCGCCAAGTCCCATTAGTATTCCTATAGATAATCAAAGTTATTATCACAAAAAATAATACAAAATATATATAAAAATATACAAATGTTAATTTTATATATTCTATATGTATATGTATATATAAAAAATGAATATATATATATATATATATATATATATATATTTATGTACATATATGTATATACACAATGTTTATACATTAATTACCAGCTTGTACCGCTTGTGTTCTTATGGGATATTTTTTCAGTGCTTTTTGATATATTATGTATATACTTCGCATTGTAAAATCACATGTGTAAGCATTATTTATCAAGTTCGAATTCTCAAACAAAACAATTTATACGCACTTAGATAAAGGCCATTGCACAAACTATCAGGACTGTCACAGCAGCTTACAAATACAACATTTGTATAGCTCTTTTTTAGTAACAATTTTGTACTGAAATTTCCGAAGCATACTACAGTAGCTGCGTTCCGTTTTATGCATATGCGCGCATTTGTCTATACTATACGTGACGTGTACTATAGATAAATGCGCGCATATGCGTGAAACGGAATGCACTCAGTGGCTGCGGTCCGTTTCATGCTTAATCGTGCATTTATCTGTAGTATATGTCACGTATACTATAGATAAATGTGCGCTTAAGCATGAAACGCAGCCAGTGTGTGTTTCCGAACGCAGCCTGAGCTGCATCACTATCAACCAAAAAAAGTGAGGTTAGATTTCTTGTGTATATCGTGTATTTTATCAAGTTTTTTTTGACAAAAAACAGTGAGAAAAATAAAAAAATGACTAGTAACAAACAGTAAGTAATAAAATTATTCAAATGTATTTACAACAATGAAATTGTGTTGTAGCGATATTATATTGATTTTTGAATATTCACATAGATATGGCTTGATATTACCAAAGAAGCAACAACAAACAACACCAAAACTTGGAAATGTTTTCGGAGATGATAATGCCTCTGATGACGATGAAGGTACAGATTGGGTTAAAAAAGCTCTTAGAGTAGAAGGAGAAAAGCATAAAATGAAGAAACAAACTAAACTTGATATACAAAAGGCTCTAAACGAAGATCCAACAATCTATCAGTATGATGAAGTATACGATGATTTGGAACGTACTAGATGTCAATCGGAGATCAATAAACAGAAAGTGAAGAAACCCAAGTACATACAGAATCTCTTAAAAACAGCTGAACAAAGAAAGAAGGAGCAAGAACATAGAATAGAGAGAATGGTGCAGAAAGAACGAGAAGCAGAAGGCGAGATGTATGTGGATAAGGAAAGTTTTGTTACATCGGCATATAGAGCAAAGCTGGAAGAATTCAAAAAAATGGAAGAAGAAGAAGCCAGAATAAGTAGATTAGAAGCTATCGCTGATGTGACAAAACAACAAGACATGTCAGGATTTTATCGTCATCTGTACAAACAGACTGTTGACTCACAGGATAATAGTAATGAATATAAAAACAGCGAGACAGAGAAAACAAATATTGAGCAAGTTGAAGAAAGAACTTTGACAAATAATAAGGAGAAAGACAATTTAACAAAAAATAAAACAAATAATACAGATACAAAATTGAAAGGAATTACGAAATCTAAAACAAGGCAATATAGACAAAGGATGGAAACTTGTGACTCGGACTCTGAACCTGAACCAAGCAAGGAAGAAGTTAAAAATGAACAATCTGTTCTGTCAACAGAGAAAAGTGTTAATAAATCCGGGATACAAGAATTTCAAGAAAAGAAAGATACACAAGATAAACATAATATAAATACAGATGAAAACAGCACAGATATAAAACTTGTGAGCACTAAAAACACAGAGAATAAAGAATCAAATATAATGGATGTTGAAATATCTCACGATCATAAGATAGTTGACTTAGAGAGTGAGAAAGAAAAGTTTATTGAGAAGAAAGATAAAACTTCTATTTATGCAAAGAGAACAACAGGTTCTCTATTTGAAGCAGCATTACAAAGGTACTATGCAAGAAAGGCAAAAAAATTAGCTGCAATACATCAGGTCTGATAAAATTATGATTATATTAATTTTGTTGCAACACAATGATAATACAAGTTGTTTCTTCATACTATGTATATATCTAGGTGTAGTAAATGTACTCGTATAAATGCTGAGTTTACTGTATATTTATAAAATTATAAGAACAATGATAATATAATTTCTTATAAAAATACATATGTAAAAAAAGTAATAAGTATATATAAGAAAAAAACAAAAAAGAAATTTTCCATGTCTCGGAATTTTTATAATAATTATTTTAAACAATTGCCGTTTTTATCTTTTCAACTGTTCAACCCGTTTTATAAATTAAAAAAAAAAAAAAATGAATATTATAATTTACACTATAAAAATACTATTTCAACAAACATTGTCAAACAAAAGATATAGTATCTTAATCTGATTTTATCCTTTTTGTGTCAGACTTAAGTATGAGTAGAAATATCAAAATACACTACTAGCGTTGTACTAGCGTTATTAAAATGTTTTGACACCAAAAAACCAGCATTAGACTTTTCATTGGCATGTTTTATTTTATAAAAGAAAAGTACAATTTATACAAAATATACAGAAAAAAGGCGTTCAATAATAATCAGCGCTTAGTAAGAAGTTATCTCAGATAAAACTATTCTAAATCTTGTGTAGATCTACGAGCATATTGCAATCAGTGGCAATATAAGCACTCACCGCTTAATAAGCACTGATTATTGCTGAATAATACAGGCAATGCTGTTTTTTAAATATCTCTTTCCTTATTTGCTCTTTCTTTGTTACTTGCAACATTTTATACACATACAAGTATTGTGTTTTCATAAAATATCACTATATCGAAGAAATATAACACATCGAAGTCTATCAATTCATTCAGTGATTCTACAGTTTAAATTGAGCCACTCACATTTTGAGTTTTTTAGCAATTTCCTCTTTTCCGCTCACAGAGTTCTTATTTACGAGTATAAGAAACTTGGAGTTATTTCTTCAAGTCATGTATTTTTAGCTGGACGTTATATCTTGTGGTTGCATATGTCCTGTGTCACCTAGACAAAACAATGAAACTCTTCCACTAGGAAAAATACAAAGCCAAGTAATACTGCCGTGTTTCAGACATATTCGTAACCACGCTTCTGGTGGAAACTGTAATGCTCTACAAAAAGAAACCATATGTTTGATTGTTACTTCTCTACTTTCCTCCATACACATATTAATTGCGTTCAGCAGAACCTAACACTTAGCAAAGCGCCTTGCGATTACTGCTTGTCATTATAGTTTCATGTTTTCAATAGATTTACGAGAAGAAATCAATCACAGACATAAGCGCGCAAAGCGCTTGCTAAGCGCTGGGTTCTGCTGAACGCAGCCATTAGTACAGGAATATTGTCAAATCAAAGTAAAAAATGTTTTACCGACAAATAAAATATCTGATGACATTTGCATGGCATACAAGAATTGTGTAAGAATCTTGTTGTTGACTAGGATCTGCACGATGAAAATATTTCCGAAATGCTGCTTCTATTCTAGGTCCATCTTGAAAGAACTAAATAAAACTAGATTAAATTATATTCTTCCAAATTATATTTGCTGTAAAAATTTATTTTGTCGATTTAGTGATATAATTACAGTTATATCTTACATGTTTCTCAGATGTCCACTGTCCGATAGGTGGCTCCGGGGGTATGGGTGCACCTTCAACTAATATACTATCATCTTCAACTGGCACATCTGGAAGACTCTTTTCTATTATTTTAGAAGTTTCTTGGGCACGTGTCATTGTTGATCTTACTATCAATGAGTAAGGCAAATGTAAATCTGCCAGTCTCTTTCCTGTTGCTTCAGCTTGCCTTTTGCCTTTATAGAAAAGAAATATATTCTTATATACTCTTTTGTTAGCAATACATTGTTTTGTGTGTGTGTGTGTATGGGGCATTGTATACGTAAATTATAATATTAATTGTACAAAACTAAAAAACATTTATAAAAAATATATAGGTATAACAAAATTGTAAAAAGTTGTACAATAATTTGTAATATAAATGTGAATTTCTTTAGATAAAAGAATAACAAGCATTAAAAATGGATTAATATGTGTGTTTAAATAATAATAAAAACTAATGAGAGAAAGAAAAATGTAACAAAGCATGCCAATTGAAAAAACCAATACACAATGAGAGACCAAGACACTAGAGTTTACAAAGTATATTATACATACTTCTTGAAAGCAATTTAGTTGGTATATTTCTCAATAGAACATCATGGAAAAAAGCATTCTACATACATATATACATATGTATAAATAGATAAAAGATAAGAGAAACCTGTAAATAATATTTCTAGAAAATATTGTAGCAACAAGATTTGATCGAGATAGTTTTCAAAAATTGTAGTTTACTGAATATAATGATATATATTATTGTATAAATTTTATTATGTAATAATTATTGTAAATCTCTTCAGTAAAATGTAACCAACATAAAAATAAAATTCTATCAATATAAAATAAGTATACAGTATAAATATATTGATATAAAATAAATACAGTATTACATTTGTGACTAACAATAGCCAAGAAGAGATATAATACAATATAAGATCAGTAAATTTTCTATTCTGCTTTGATTTTTATAAGTTGAGCTTTTTTTACTGTATCAAAGATTTTACATGCTTTAGATTATGCAAACATATTTCACTCATAACTATATTATATTTGAAAGAAGAAAAAAACTCATGACAAAACAATACAATTAAACAATATCTCACTGTTTATTTCATATATGTATGAGCTAATTCTTACCAAGTTCAGTTAACACCCGCTCCTTATCTGTCTTTCCATCTTTATGATATTGACCATGTCGTATCAAAAGTATATGCCTTACGAATTTTGCCCTTTTTGTATCAAATTTTTCATTATATACATTTTCATCATTTTCATTAAGTATCCGCATTGGCTTGACCAAACTTTTCGGATCCCTTCTGTAATTTAACATACTCTTCCAGCAAAAAATTGGAATAATACAAGATATTGTCCAAGTCATTTGTTTCAATGACAAAACTAGGAGCAAAGTAAAACAAATGAAAATAAATCCTACCTATCCCAGTTACGATCCCATTTAACTGAAGGTGTGTAATTTGTTGTCCACGAATTATGTACTCGTAAAGAATCTGTATTATTGTACATATTATAATAATATAACACTGCACCACTTACTGCACCGCCAACTGCGCCCAATCCTAGAGCCCACTTTTGCAATTGCGAAATGGTTGGCATTTTTAAAAAGATAACAAGAACTACCGAACAAAATAGCTATTTTTTAATGTTTCCAATAAACTGGCCGAGAGAAACCGACGATTTTTAACCTCGCTATGTCTCTTTATTTTCTTTCTTTCTTTCTCTCTCTTTCACACACTCTTTACTACCTGTAGAATTTGTACAGCAAAATTCTGCTTAACTTCAATAATACACTTGAGTCAACGTAGTGATTCCGTTCAGTAAAATCCTCTCGTACCGCCACTTGTCAGTCACTATATAGTCGATATTTATCTGCGCAATACAGTGTGAAGGAGTGGGGAAAACAGAGGAAAGTTGAGTCATGCGAATTGCATGGTTCCGATGAGTTGAATCAATCGGAACTCTGCTGTATAGCAGAATTTTTGTGTAAAGCGGAGACCCAATGTAATTATAAAAAAAAAAAAAAAAAATCAAACCATTATATATATATAAATATTAATTAATAATTGTATATTGTACAAAACATTTATACTATCAGATTTCTCTTGGTACTTTATTATTCCAATGTCGTTCTGGCTGAATAAACTCCAAATCGGAATCTTCAGAAGTATTATCATCATCATCAAAGTATGGTCTGGCAACTTCATTGTCATTCGAAGAGTATTCTTAAAAAGAGTAAAATAATTAAACTTTGTACATATTAACATTTATGTATAAGAAAATTTACATTTGATACATTATATATTTACTTAACATATTCACAATTACCATTTACTGGTCTTCGAAATATCTCAATTTCCTTTTCGTCATCATCGAAGAAACTGTTACCGTCTTTTAGCAGACTAAACGCATATTTTCTGTTTTCTGCCTTTCTGTTTTCTTCCAAATCTTCCGAAGACTGACATTTTGTGTAGAAACATACACAACATAATAAAATAACAAAAACTATCGTACCTGCAATCAGATTGTATAATTGTTATATTTCACATCTATTTATCACAGAATGATATTTTCTTTAGTTTAATTGTTGGAACTTGACTACCTATTTTTCCCTCTGACATATAATACATATTGTTAGACTAAACTTTACCTGTCACCATAATAAACACCAATCTAGGCATTCCCATGACATTATCGTCACGAATAAGTTTGAACATTAGTCTAACGTTGGTTGCGTCAGACGAAGACGTGGAAATAAGTTTAGTCACGTTGTGATAACCAAGCGCAGTGGCCGTAATATTGTGACTTCCAGGTTGTAATAAAATCGAATAAAAGCCTAATTTGCTGCTTTTAATCAAGTGTGGCGACTTGTCGTAAGATAAAATAGCATCTTCGATTGGTTCATTGTCTTCATTGGTGATGTATCCTTTTATGCTTTTGCTTACTACTTGCATGCAAGCTAGTAAACTGGCTTTATTTTCTTGCCACACGACACTTGAATGATCGGCAGTACAGCAGGTAACATATACATCTATCATTAAAGTACTTGTATTAAAATAGATATAATCTATTAAAGGATAATTTCTTTTCCCGCCGATTCCTACACCTGCGCGTATCACGCTATTGTCGTCGATATTTAAGTTATATTCACATTTTGAACTCGCGAACTTATTTGTTCTCGCTTCAGCATATACTGATGCCAAATGTTGTAGCAACTCATCATCGGCGCTTTTATACTTCCGCTCGCGTGTCTCTCCGTAGTCGCGACCAAATGGAATTTCGATATGTCGCGATCCAGTATTCAGATTGACGGCTAACACAGCATCAACGTTTTTGAACCACTTTGCAATCATCATTGCTTCATTAGTAAGCTCATTTCGAATCGGAAACTGCAAACCTTCCAATTGCAACGAACAACTGATACTCTTGTTAGACTCGAGCGAAAAAGTTGGAACTACATATATAGACAAATTATCTATGTAATGCGCAATTACAGCATCCTGTTTATAATTGTTCAATAGATATGAAGCAAACTGTAAGAGTATTCCAGACGTCACTGGTTCTGCACGTAGCACACCGGCCGAGAATATAACCGAGGATCGTCCTACTTCTCTTTTCTGGAATTTATTCTTTGAACTAATTTCCAAACACATTATTTTGTTACCTTTTGTTGTTTTGCCGATAATGTGCAATGTCGTTTGTTGTGGATATTTTGCATTTAAATCGCTCAAGACTCTATTTACAAAACTCTTTTCAGGTTCCTCGCGATTGCCGAACTGCATTACATTCGTTTCTATTAACTTAACTTCGATATCCGTTATCCTCTGTTGTTGCACAGAAATTTTCAACACTTGTGTAGTGTAGTCTTTGCAAGAGACTGTTAATGTATATTCACCGGGCACCAATATTATTTTGAAGTAAGCCATATTGTTCGATACGCTATAGTTTTTTCTTCCAATTTCAACGATAGCTTCGCGAAGTGGAGTACCGTGTTTATCCGTCACCGTTGCACGAATTCCACTTGCAAGAGTGTGCACTAGTTCCATAAGCGATTGCAAATTTTCTTGCCAAATATTAGGAATTAAGTCCGCGGCTGGATATTTGCAGCAAGACAGGCTTATACTTATCTGTATAAATTAATATATATTTTTTAAATTATAAATATATACATATTTTTATAAATAAATATATATTTTTTAAAGAAACAAATATATATACACAAAATAAATAGAAAATATTTTTGCTTACCACTGATGTATCGTATTCACGGTGTATAAAGGTTGTCAAACGTTGTAAACTATCATTTGAATAGTTGCATGTTTTTTTATGCCTTAGATGTTCGTAATTTTTAGCAAGTGTTTTAAATATGTCGAGATCATCATTTGAATAACTAAAAAAGTTAATAAAATACGTTTGTTCTCAGAGATTATGCTTGTGTAATCGTGTATACATATATACACACACACACATTCTACATTACCTAATACGTGAAGCTCCGCCTCCTAATATTATCACGGCATCGTAAGTTTCAGTCCTTAACATTCTCTTAAATATATTTATAATTACGTCTGCTTGTTTCTTATTATTTTCCGATAACAGTGTTTCTCCTATTTCGTCTTTAACTATAGGATTGCAATTTGTATTGTCTGCTATGTTATCGAATTTTGGATCGACACTAGGAATAAAATGTAACATAGCGTTGTCTAACAATTTTTTAATAGGCGGATCTCCAAATTGATTTCCCATGAGGATGTGCGTTGCTAAACGTAATAGAATTTCTCTACCTACTGGTTGGGATGCAAACAATCCTCCGACCAATGCAATGCGGAATTTATTCTCATCAGGTGATCCCATCTAAAAAATGAAAGACAAAATCTTACATAACTGAGACATAGAGAAGAAAAGAAAGAGAAACTTACGTTATTCGTAATTTTCAGTGAATCAATAGTCATACTCAACGAGTCACTAGCTATAAATTCTGCAACATTAGGTTGATGATTTTCCAACTGACTGAATCTAGCACTCAAATCGGAATTTTTCAAATAACCTTTTTGCAAATTTACCCTCAATCCAAAATCATATGCAGATGACCTATTGATAAACATATATTTCTTCTTGTAAACACATATTTTATACATTTATACAAATGATAAAAAATAAATAAATGATCAATCTATAACACTTTATTCTATTTTGCTTAAAATATATCTTTGTGTGAGAAAAGTATTAGAGAAAGTACAAGAGAATTTATTTCATATTACACAGGTACTCTGATAGGAAAACATTTATAAAATTATGTGACAAAATCTTGCATTAAAATTGTAATTTGCAATTATATAGATATATTTTAGGAAATAGATGTAAAAACATTGATCTTTTATAAAATATTTGTAACTGTTTGCAAAATTAATTTCCAAATACTATTTCGGCAAAAGAATAACGATATGGCGAATCATCTTAGCAGTATATTTGCAAAATTAAATTCAAAAAGAAATTGTCCAATAATTGAGAAAAAAATTTCAGCTATGTGATGTTTAAAATATGTAGAAATATAATTGCATATAAAGAAATCAACTTAATTCCTGTATATACTTATGGAAATACATAACGACTTTTTCGCAATTTTTGACAAATATTATTTGCAAAATTTTATTTCGACATAACTGTTGTGTTATGGCGAATTATCTAAGTGCAATCATTGCAGGATCGTCGTTATTCATGATGCCATTTTTGTGCAATATTTTCACAATTTGCCTATTGAGGTAAAAGTATTCTATAGATGTACGTGTTTTTACTGTTAAAACAATCATACCAGTGGTCAGGATCGTCACGCATTAATGTAAAGTCTAGAGTTACTTCTCCTACATCGATATTTTCGCCTAATGGAGGTATATCGATACTCTGCGTAAGCGTTTCGTAACCCACTGCGCTAACAGTTATATTGTATCGTCCTGGCGTCAATAGTCGCCAATAATCACCTCCTTCATTAGTATAAATATCATGTTTTATATTTTCTACTGAGATTTTTGCGTGAGGTATAGGTGTACCAATTGATGAACTTACTATACCATGTATACCTTTGCGGGACTATGAAAAAAACAAAAACAGGTAAAAAGAGAGAGAGAGAGAGAGAGAGAGAGAGAGAGAGAGAGAGAGAGAGAGAGAGAAAGAGAGAGAGAGAGAATAATTAACGTGTAAAATTCTCTATACAAAAAATTGTGAATTCTTTTATCAAAAGAAAGACCATACCATTTCAATAAAACGAAGAAGTGGCTCTCGATTTTCTAGCCAGTAATTTGGCAAGTCACTGGCGTTTGGAAATTTTGTGCATCCGATTTCTAAAGTAATCTCGAAATCATTGCTGTTCACATAATTGTAATCCTGCATACCGCCGGACACAGAATACCAAGCAGCCCCGTTCGTTATTCCTTCAGGAAATTTTTCATTAAGAAGTGTTTTCGCGTCATTCACATTGATCGGCGGACACGGTTCTCCAAGATGCATGCGAGGATGAGCATTGGAATACGTCAATGCCAGCATCTTGAAGACGTCATTATCAGGGCTTGGATTTTCAACATTATTCGAAAATGATGATTTTCCCGGTCCGTTGTCATAAGGATAATTCGCGACTAATGCTCCACCGTGAAGATTAGCGGAAAGTACAAATGGAATTTTCGCTATCCAATCCATTACTACTTTGGTTTCGGGCTCTTGATGTCGATTAAACTAAAAGATGCATTTAACATGTAAGAACATACTCTTAATTTTTTTATCGTTATATATATATACGTGAGTATATGTGTGTGTGTATATATATTGTATATATATATACACACATATAAACCACATACATATATATACATGTATAAATAGAAAAAAAAAAAAAAATAGTAAAAATGACTATGTCTGTGATAATTCATAAAATTGAGAAGGACATACACTATTGACTTCGTACTGATCAGGGAAATTTCTATTGAGGTCTATATCATTTGCATTTTCTCTGCCTTTTGTTCCATATATATCGCCTTCTTCAGATATTTCGTATCCATCAGGATTCATACTCGGTAATACGTGGAGTCTAATATTGTCTACTATTTTTGTAACTCTTCTGTCTATACCATAATTCTCGCAAAGATACTTAAGTAACAATAATAACATTTCTCTACCCACTACTTCATTTCCGTGCATATTTCCGACATATTTCATTTCTGGCTTTTCAGGACTGTGTTTGCCGGGGTTTTTCGTGACTTCCATAACGTACAACTTGCGACCTTGTACGGATGTACCTATGGTATAGAGCTTCGTAATATTAGGATAATTCGCATACAGCTCTTTCAAGTATTTTTCCATCGCGACATAGTTGTGATGCTTGAATTCTACAGTATGATAAAACCCATATTTGTCAATAGGTCTTATTGTTTCCTCAACATCAATTACATTTTTTCCTGTATCATACGAATCAACAAGTTAATGAGATCAAGTAAAAAATTCACAAAAGTAATAGTTTTAAAGTATAGCAAGCGTTTCAATGGAAATAATAAATTTAATAAATTTCTTTAGATAAGTAGATAATATAACACATACACACACACAAAACATAATAATATTATTGTTAAGAATAAAAAATAAATGTTATATCACACAGAACAAACAAGGTATAGAGAAATGAATATAATATATATATATATATATATATACGCGTGTAAATTAAATATTTACAAAAATGCTATAAAATCTTTGAGAATATTTGAGAGAAGAAAAGGATAAATATGTAAATATATTAAAAAAGTTACACACTGTTCCAGAGGGCAGAAGAACCCTTTTTTTTTTATTTCTCGCTTTGAAAAATACATGCTTGTAAAGAAAATGTTCAACATATCGTTTATATTTTCTTATACAGAGATCAATTCATTAATACAAAGCTATTTTTTTAGAAATATATTATTTTTTCGCAAAAAACTAATACAATAAATCAAATATTGGCAGTACTATCTTTTGTGCTTTTGCATATTATTTGCAAAAAAATACAGTACCAACTTATTTATTTTACGCTTGTGGTTGTTCTATAAGAAATAAAATAAAAATGTTTTATATACGGTCATATATCCAGATCATACTACTTGTAATTATCCTTCGCATAACTTCACATTCGTTAAACTTTTCTAATTCTTCTTAATTCGTTTGATTAAAATTAAAAATATATAGAGATAACTATGAGAAAAAGATAAACGCTTAAACTATCTAAAACAAACTTTTCTTATGTACGTATAATGATAAAATAATATATATATTTTTATATATGTTAGAGCAATATATATTGATACATTTATTCTATTCCACATATTTGTTCTTCTCATTATAGTAAGCTCTTTCTTTATTTGAATTAATTTACTAATATAATAACACTACAACAGATAAATATATAATATATAAATTATTTATTAATAGTTGTTAAACAAAAAAACTAGTATAAACATATAAACAATTAATTAATAAGTTAAAAGTAAATAATCTATCTAGTTTTTGTAAGTACGTATATGTAAAAAGAATATAAAACTCGCAAAATATAATTAAGTGACAACAAAAATTTGTATAATGTGACTTTCAATCAAATTCAATATATAATATAAATAATCCCTATAGTTGTATAGACAACTGTAATTTTTGTAAAAAAAAGATATGTTTAGTTACGCAGTGTTTTTGTAGATAGTAGTACTGTACATACTACAACTTTCCTAAATATGAAAAGAGACAGAGTATTTTTTTGTAATAAAACCGCGTTTTTTTGTCTATGTGTTGTCTATATAAATAGGAATGTGTTTGCAATATATATCTTTAAAAAAATATACATGATAAAAATAAGCAATTAATATTAAAAACATGAGAGAAAACACATAAAGTAAAGAAAATCATAACATGTATATTTCTTGTAAGAAAAAAAACCAAAATATTAACCTATTTTTGTGGAAAAATAGGTTCTTTAAGTGCGGTCTTATTTCTTTTCTTTCCGGTATATTTTGTGCAAAATTAATTATTTCTCCATACCTTGTATGTACATATGCATACGGATCTAATGATTTGTTCATTTAAATTTTAAAAATAAAAAAATATATGTAAATAAAAAGTAAAAAAACTTTACGATCAAATTAAACAAAAAGATTTCATTGTACTCTAATTTTCCAAATGTCAGATAGACCAAATAAAAATAATGAAATAGTAGACAACAAAATATTAAATAAGTAATAATAATCAAGTAACAACAACATATGTAATATTTAATATAAAACAATATGTAGAAACAAAAATTTTCTAATAAGATAGTCATGAATAAAATGTCAAAACATATTTAAATGAATGAAAAAAGAATCAGTTAAGTAAAGAGTTTGCGACATTAAAAAAAAATAGTTGTTAAACACCAGACATGATAACCAGTCGCGATATAATTAAGATACAGTGTATTACATAAGTTAAATAATTGAAATATGCTACATATATAGATGATATTAATAGTCTTGATTATCATAATCCATCACCGTCTTATAGAATGCAGAAACTCTTTTAAATAATGGTAATGCTTGTGCGTAATCTATATCACTTTTACCTTGCTTATAAAGTTCTTCTTTAGAATTTAAGGTAAAATTAAGAATTGTTGGTCTTCCTTCTAATACAGTTACATTTAGGGGTTTACTAGGCTCATATCTGAACAGAAAAAAAAGATATAACAGAAATTAATACATCTAATAAGAAGTATTCTTTAGTTGATAATAAGTTCAACACATTAATTGTACAGAATCGAGAAAATTACACACATACCCCCAAGCAATAGAATAAACTGAATAATTCCCTGGAAGCAATAAACGCCAATATTCACCGTCGGATGTAGTTGTTACGTTATGATTAATTCCATCCACAACAATGCTTGCTTCTTGAATTGAACTGCCATTTTCATCGCGAACAAAACCTGCGATATTGGAGATAGATGTATTATAGAAATAATTGATCCAAGCCATATAATGAAAAAAAAACTACACGTTTGAATATTACCCTTTATCCCGATATGTGCTTGTTCTAGATATTTAATTAGAGATTCTTTATTCAGCTGCCATTGATATGCTATTGTTGAAGCAGGTGGATACTTGCAACAGCTCAGTTCAAATGTTATTTCAAATGCATTAGAACGAGCATAATTATAATCCTGCATTCCGCCAACTACTTCATACCTATTGCAAAATTAAAACATTTTATTGCACTAATTTTAGAATAATATTATACGCATTCTCAAAAAAAATTTCCTTTGAAACTCTTCTGGCATTTAAAAGGTGCCTTTTATGACAGAAAGAAGTACAGCCAAGCTGTTACATCACATATATATTTGCTTGTAAATTTCACTGATTAAAAAAATAGTCTTACATGCTCTATTTTCTTAAATCTAATAAAGATAAGAGCAAAATTCTTTTTAAATGCTTAAATTTATGTGTATGTATGTACAAAATCATATAGAAAAATTGATGATGTTTACCAATATGCTCCATTTGTGACACCACCTGGAAATATTTCTGGTGGACAAGCATCACCTTTATGCATTTCTGGATGATTATCTGCATAAACATGAGCAAGATACTTAAACAAAGTATCATCTGGGCTCTTGCTCTCTATACAGCATGTTCTGGGAATACTAAAACAAACATAAAATATTACTAAACTTCTTGTTAAACTAACAGAAAATTTATATATATATATATAAAGTTTTACATTGCACCATAATATATATGGTGCAATGTAAAAATTTTTAAATATAATAATAGAATTGTACATTTTCATACAATTATTCATGCTTACCCAGAATCATATGGATAACTAGCAACTACAGCACCACCATGAAGATTTCCAGAAAGTACAAATGGTTCATTAGAAATCCAAGTCATCATAGCAATTGTTTCATTCTGACGACCTCTAAGTATGGAGTTGCCTTTTCTAAATGATTTTCGATTGATTTTCCTGTCAAACTGATCAGGAAAGTCACGATTTAAGTCAACATGATTGGCATTTTCCCTACCAGAAAAATCGTCTTTGGATTCGCATTTTCCTTCCTTAAAATATACATGTTATTCACCATATATCATCTCTTGATCACCAGTCGAAATATAAATGTGACTACTTTACCAGTGAATTTTCAAAACCGTCTGGATTCATAGATGGCATCAAATAGATATCAGTTTCATTTACCAATCGGGCAATTCGATTATCTTTGTCATACTGGTCTAAAAGATATTGGCCAAAGATGATAAGCAGTTCTCTGCCCACTGCTTCGTCGCCATGCATGTTGGCGACATACTTAACCATAGGCTCGAGACGATTACGTCGACTAACATTCTCCGAAATTTGCAAAACTAGGAGATCCCTACCCTCCACTGATTTACCTATAGAGAACACTCGAGCCAAATGTGGATATTTTTGCTCCAATGAACGGAGCAATTGTTGGAGATCTTCGTAATGCGTGTAAGAATTAGTAACATAATCACCGTCTTGAGACAACTGTGATTGATCGTTGGCCGATTGGCTCAACTTGTAACCGTTTCCAAACACAATTAAAATGCAAACGAGCACAAAAGTGACGTAAATATGTTTCTTTCCCATTTGTCAAATCTTGTTTTTTATTGCGCAGATATAATACGCTACCTACCGCAATTCGTTCACTTTTTCAACTGACCTCACAAATTACCACGAAACGAACTGCCACGACCTGTCAAAGCTCATATGATCATGAAATGTCTTAAGCCGGAAACATACGAAAAAACTTAAGGGCCTTCTACAATAAGATATTAGTAATAAATTAGAAGTCAGAAGCAAGAAATTGACCAATCACAGTCAATTCACAGAAGAATAATCGATTGTGATTGGTCAATTTCTTGCTTCTGAATTCTGATTTATTACTAATATCTCATTGTAGAAAACCCTTTAGACAACAGAGGCGCTATTCTCTATTACAGCATGGAAATATCAGCTGTTTCTCTCTTTATTAATGGTTTTTTAAGCCCCTTGCACAATGGAAGGAATAGCGATAGCGATAGAAATAACACAGTTTTAGACACAGAATTCCAACTCGTCGGGAATTTTATCGCTATTGCTTATTCTGATTTTCTGATCTGCATTGATGCATGTGTATTTTTGTATGTTAGATTCCGCTGTTCCTACCGTTATTTATAAATATAAACTCTTTACAACTGGTATTATTTCTATCGCTATTCCGTCCATTGTGCAAGGGGCTTTAGCTTGTGTTCTAAAATTCATTGCCGGTACTGAAAATGGGTGCGTTCAGACAACTCAACAGTTGCACAACGGTTGAGAGATAATCACTTATGATTGGATCATACTTTTGGAACTGCATCAGGTTTTGAAGAATAGTCCTATCATAAGTGATGATCTTTCAACCGTTGAGTTTTCTGAACCCTTTAAAGGGTCGTCTACAATGGAGAGTTTTAGACTGTAACAGTAAGAAATTGACAAATCACAATCGATTATTCTTCTGTACTTTGTCTGTGATTGGTCAATTTCTTACTATTACGGCCTACAACTCTCCATTGTAGACGGCTCTTTAAGTACTAATATCTTATTGTAGAAGGCCCTTAACATGGTCAGAGATTATGGCTGCGTTCCGATATTCACTACCAGTACTGAAAATCTATAGCACATGTAACGTGAAGTATAAATTTTTCTACATACTTGCACCTAACTGAACACGATGTAACTGATGTGACGACGAAAGTTTTCTTCTTGCAAATGTTGAATAAAACTGAGTAATTATTGATTTGTTTTGTACAGAAGAAAAGAAATGGCCGGATTAGAAGGTTACGAGAGCGTATATAGGGGTCATCCTGCCAAATCGTGGGACATCGGGACGCCTTATTCGCAAAAATATCACGGTCGAGAGGTTATTCGTCCTTTGGATATACCTGTTATTCATCCTTTAGCAGAAGACAATCCACCGGTCGTTGATGATGGTGAGTTATATCGTTTTTACAACACAGCAAGTAATAACAATTGACGATATTTTGTGAAAATATATATGTCACTTATTATAATATGCAAACGCCATTAGTTCACATGATTCAAACTAGTATCTCTTGTATTTTTAATAAACTTGTATATTTTTTGCAGACATTACTGTAAGCAAATATGTAGGACTAGGTTGTGGGTTAGCAAGCTTAATTACAGGAAATTTGTTGATTCATCCTTTCATAGTATTGAGAAGGCAATGTCAGGTCAATCCAAGTTCAACAAAGTATCATTTAATGCCTGTTACTTTAGTGCCAGTGATAGTACGTTTGCATCAGACTCAAGGTATAAATACATTATGGAAAGGAATTGGTTCAGTGTTACTTGTAAGAGGCATGACATTGGCAATTGAAGATCTACTGTCCAAAATCACACCATGGCCAAAGTAAGGTGATCGTTAAATAATTACTTAATGTGGAATAGTATGTAAAGTTTTTTAAAATTATTCTCTTTTCTATTTTGCTTTATTATTAAACATTTTTAATTTCAGAAAAATCACTTGTGATAGCTCTTTAAAAACATTTGGTCAACATGTTCTTCTCAAATGGTAATTTATATTATATAAAAGAGATGTGTGTGTGTGTGTGTGTGTGTGTGTGTGAAAGAGATATGTACAAACAAGTTTATTACTATATCTTGAATCTTACAGTTTGTCAATAGGTATAGTGACTCCTTTTTATTCAGCATCACTTGTAGAAACTGTGCAATCTGAGATTGCTTCAGAATGTCCTGGAATCTTGGATGTATTTCGGGATGGTGCAATTCGTTTGCTTGATGTATGTAACAAGGGTAGACTCATTCCTATTTATGCCCTTGCACCACCCAGTATAGTTTACGGAGTAACAAAATATCTTTTCACTTTGATTGTGAGAGGTGTTGCTAGTCGAATTATGCACATTAGGCATAAACATTTACAAGAAGCAAGAGTATGTATATCTGCTTTTTAAATATTACATTGAGAGAGAGAGAGAGAGAGAGAAAGAGAAAGAGAGAGAGAGAGGGAGGGAGAAAGAGGAAGAGAGAGTGTGTGTGTACGCGTGCGCGCGCATATATGTCTACACTCGTATCTCTAGATATTTTATTTCATTTTAGGGAGCATATAGTAAAGACTTACTTTCCGAAAATGTCGTACAAGATATAGAAATGCAGTCTGAGTTTGTTTCAATATGTGCCGCAGATATTGTTTTTTATCCTCTTGAAACTGTTATTCATCGGTTACATCTTCAAGGTACACGTACTATTATCGACAATTTAGATTCGGGAAGAAGTGTCATACCATTGTTAACCGGATATAACAGTGCCGTTGATTGCTACCGTACTATAATCTCGACTGAAGGACCACTTGGTTTATATAAAGGATTCGGCGCTCTTATACTACAATTTACAATGCATTTTATGGTATTAAGAGCGACAAAATGGATTTTAACAGAACTAGGTACAATGTTGATGCCGCGACCTAAATCGATAAAACCACAGAAACAACAACTTTACTATAATGAAATATAAATACTTCAGCATTGCAATAAAATATCGAATATACACATAGAAGTAATCATTATATTTGCTCTTGTTAATTCAATAGTTACATGAAATGAAAATTGAATTTATAAAAAAATGATTTTCTACATACAATACTTCACGAATAACAAAAAGATTTTCTAGATAAAAGCATTTTTGTCCGAAAATGTACGTCTCCTATGGAATTCTCAGGAAGATTTTATTCAAGCTTGAAATATCTTTGTTGATTGTAACTGAGCAGCAGTTGATTGTAACATAGCACTTTATAAGTATAAATTATGCAAATATTTGTACATTGATCTAATGAAATTTATAATACTAAAGATTCTTAATTATATGTATTAGAAGTCCAAAAATTTGTTACATTTGCAAGATATAACCAATATTTCTAGATATACAGCAAATTCTTGTATAATATATACTCTCATTGTTTTCAACTAATTAATAAACGTGTGTATTATAAAAAAGTAAATATCATAAATTTTACTAGAATATTAATATATAAATGTTACACTGACTGTTTATAAAATAAAGAAACTAAATCATAAATATGTGTCGTAGCTTTATTCCAAAAATATAGAAGTATTCTACATATATAAGATAAAAGTGTTTGGATTATATATATGTGAAGTGAGATTGAAGATTTAGGAGACAAATTTATTATAAATTTCTTTTCATTCCCTGTTATATTTTATACAGCCTGTTTCGTTATTTCTTTTTCTTGCACAGGGTTTAGTAAATTACAATAGTGAGAAAAAAATTTACATATAGTGAATATATTTTACAAACTGTATAGTTACATAGGGGTCGTACATTATATTCACGTATTTTATCTCTTCTTTTTCGTTAAAATTATTCTATGTACAAATATATTATACAGGATACTTTTTCACCTATTGTATTTCATTGTAAACATAAAAATCTTTAGTTTCTCTATATATATATTTTTCCATCTTCTGTCACAACTATTTTTCTATTAGAAAAAAGTTGCTACTATAATTATTTTCTTTTAGGATTTTATTCAACCACAAGAATTATTTTTTCTAAAAGTTTTTTTAAACAATGCTTAATATACAGTAGTTCCCTTATACAAACAATCCTGACAATGACAATATGAGAAAATTTACTTTTAAAATTGTTGTACATATATTTAAAACATTTTTATTGTAAAATAAAGATAAAATTTTTAAAACAATATTTTTCTCGTTTTTTAATTGATCTCAAGTTTATATAAATCAATCTAACCATACGACTTCGTTTTATTGCGCCTAATATATAACATTTTGGCATTCAGATGTTGCCAGATGTGTTTTATAACATGATTGTGATCGAATATAAGAGTATACATATATTATTATCACTGTGTAATATTTTCTATTATTAGATGTCTCTTTTCATGTTTTGTTTTCAATACTATTGCCAATAAATTGTATGGATGTTGTATGGATGTGGAATGCTACTATGAGTTGTTCTTTTATTTTTCCTGCAATATGAATGAATTAAATAATATAAATCTTTTTATTTATATTTTTCCATTGAGAAAAAAATAAAATTTGTTTCTTTCGTTTTCACATTTAATTATTTCTTATGGGACACTTTTTGAGAAAATATAGTCGTAATGCATAATAAACAAAGCGCTAAATATATAACTATAAATTTGTTTTTATATTTAAGTCAATTGTAATAATTTAAAACATATTAGCATTCATATACTTAAGTTTTGATATTCTATTATTTTGAATATTTCTTTCTGCAGTTTGTATCACACAAGATAATCATTAAAAATTGTATGTACATATATAATTTAATTGTAGAAAATAGTATGCTCAAATGTTATATGAAACTATTCAAATTGAGTAGAAACTTGCTGTAGCAAAGAAATAAACAATGTGAGGAAAAACATCTATACTAGTAGATTACTCAAGGTACATATATATATATATATATATATATACATACACACGTGTTTTTTGTATTAGTTTTTCTATGCGAATGACACATGTACACACACACACGCACGCACGCACCCACCCACACATACACCTCTATACATGCAGGAGACTATATTTTTTTATAATATAATTAAAATAGAGAAATTTTTTGCGAATGTTGTAATTTAACGTTTATCTACATTTAGTGATAAAGAAACGGTTATACCAGAATATTCTTTAATTTTTTGTTAATTATGTACATGTTGCGCTTGTTGAATCTCATCCTCATTGCTGTCATCTCGTTTCACGTACTGCGGTTTTTTGTGGCCCTTTACGCACTGTTCTGTTATATGAACTGATACTATATCGCTTCCTGGTACCTCGAACATAGGTTCCAAGAGTAACGACTCCATTATTGCTCGTAGACCTCGCGCTCCCGTTTTTCTCTCCATCGCCAAACAAGCAATTGCATTCAACGCATCGATGTCAAACGTTAATTCCACCTGTGAAAATTTAATAATTATAAACAATGTATATAGTAAAAACTAAAACAGATTTTCTTGTTATAAGTCATAAAAATAAAGTTACAATATACCTTATCCATTGAAAATAACATCTGGTATTGAGGAATGATGGCATTTTTTGGTTCGGTGAGAATTCTTGCTAACATATCTCTGTCGAGAGTATGAAAAGGTACAAGCACGGGAAATCTACCGACAAATTCAGGAATCATGCCAAAATCGATGAGATCTCTAGCCTCTACCTGTTGCAACAGCATGTCCTTCTCTTTGTTGTCCCTTTCGGTGGAAGGTGACATGTTGGCGACATCGGCCAAAGTTGCCGCTCTTCTGCCCGGATTCTCGGCCGCGGGCGTCGCGCCAAATCCAAGATATTTTTCCGATTTGCGTCGTGCGATCAGCCTGTCCAAGCCGCTGTAAGCACCCGACGCAACGAAAAGAATATTCGTCGTGTCAACTTGTAACATTTCTCCACGCAACTTTCTCGAGCTATTTCTTTCCGGCACATTTACGATCGTTCCTTCTAACATCTTCAGCATTCCTTGCTGCACACCTTCTCCGCCCACATCACGCAACTGATGAATCCCAGGAATGGCGCCTATCTTATCCACCTCGTCCAAAAACACAATACCCATCTGAGCACGATCCACCACATAGTTAGCATCTTGAAGAAGTTTAGCTATGACACTTTCTATATCTTCGCCGACATAACCAGCTTGTGTAAGAGTGGTACAATCACAGATCGCGAATGGGACATCTAGGCATTGAGCTATCGTTTGCGCAAGTAATGTTTTCCCAGAACCCGTAGGACCGAGCAACAGTATATTGCTCTTCTCGAGTTTCAGCTGATGCTGTTTGCTATCTAATATAGCTGAACCAGGGGCCGACTGACCACTTACTGATTTTTGCTCACTTCCCGGATTAATTGTATGTTGAAATCCAACTCCTGGAAATGGATTTCCGATTCCTGATATGTGCAATAAATCTACAAATAACATACAAATATTTAAGTAACATACAAATATTTCTACGAAAATTGCTTGCAGTAGTATTTTTTTTACCAAATATACAAATCGTACAGATAGCGACTACTACTGTACGTGTATATAAGAAGTTTATTTATTATTGTTTGTTATTAAAATATTTTATATAACATTAAGATATATTGCTATTTACGTGGCTTAGGACCTCTGTGAGTGAAGGGATGATTTGTTTCTTGTGTGCCAACTGAATTAATGTTAGTCTGCACTTGCGAGTTTTGTACAGGTAGATTGTTGTAAATTCTTTTATAGTGATTATACACAGCGACGCTCAGTACTTTCTTGGCATATTCTTGACCCACAACATGTCTGTTTAAATACTCAAATATCTGAAAATAATGCTTGATATAATTACTATCTTTTTTGGTCAAAACAGATGCGTTCAATATTAAGTCTTTGCTTTAGTTTTTTTCTTCTCATCTCTATAATCTCTGCACAATTTTAAATAATAAGTTATCACAATGTTAATATATTAATTACCTTTTTTGGTGGTGGAGGTGGCTTTCTATAGAACCCTTGTTTACCATCTTCTGGCCTAAGTGCTTCTTTTAAACTTCTTTTTGAGTCAATTTCAGACAATACAACGAAAAAATGATGACATTTTTCACATTTGACAAATCTTGTAGATGCTGTGATTATTTAAAAAATTATATGCTGGGTTAGAATAATTAATATTAATATTTATAGCAAAATAAAATTAAAAATGATAATACAAATTTAGATGCAATTTTGAGAAAACTTGAGTTACATATATATATGTATATATAATATATATAAAAGCAATTCAATTATATTCAGCACTGTTACACTTACATACAAATGTTTCTACATGTGTACAAGGGTCACCACATTTTGGACAAGTAAGCACGTTCTTCTTTCCGCCACCAGAACCACTACTAGAAGAGGATCCACCAGATGAAACAGCATCTTTAGAAGGTGGTATAGGTTCTGAAGGAGTTTTTGCTAAACTGCTACTAGTTGTAAATGTTCTACTGGCCACAACTCTTGCAATTTTATGTACTGCATAATTACAAATATAATCTTTTATCAGACTTATTTTTTTAAAGAACTTTTGATATAATTATGTACATATGTCTATTTGTGTTGTAAATACTTATTGTTTATAATAAAAAAAACTTACCTTGATTAGTAACATGGTTTGAAGTCACTAAGCGACCTGCGCTAATCAAGCAGCAACGTACAGAACTCATAATTGATAAATTTTGCTAATCAGGAACTGATAAGAAATCAACAGATCTATCTTTGACGTTCTTACTTAGATCTAAAATTAGAAAAATGTTTGTTTGCAAACCATATTGCTGAATCATTTGTATATCTCATCCAATAATCAATGAGATTACACTTGCATTTGCAAAATAGTATCAGGTAATGATATAGCTATTTGTTTATTATGTATTGAAAAATAATGCGAGCCAGATACTATCAAGAAATCACGGTACATTATATACATAAATATGCATATATGTACATACAAAAATACAAACATACATATATGTACATATATGTATAAACATATATAAATATATATATATATATATATATATATATATATATGTACAAGAATTTTTTAAATACTCTTATTGAAGTAGGATCACCTAAGAACTTGGTACGCTTTTGAAGAATGACTGGATATCATGTTGTAAACGCAAAAAATGAAAAAAATATGAGTAATATTCTGAGGAACCAATAGGTTTATATCGATTCGAATAAGTTTGCAGAACGTATGTGAGACAGCTGAGATTCGCGACATTGCGCGATATAGACATTGGCGGTGCAGTGTGCGATCCGCGCAAGGACACACTTGGACGATAAGGCAAACAAAAAAAAAGGTACTGTATCGCTCGCCGGGAGGAATAGATTGCAGAAAAATGTCTTCGCGCACATCACACACATCACGATACAAGACTGTCAAATTCCGTCGAGAGAACAAATGTACGCTCAAATCTTACCTAATTTTAAAATTGTTAAACACAAATGTACGATGACACGTTAAGTGTCGCGATAAATAACGCGACACAGCTCTAAACTTATGTATATAATTCCCACTTTCTTTAACGAAATCAACAAAACGCGCCCTCTCGCGCGCAATCTTGTTGACTCATTGGCCGCGTTCAGCAGAACAATCGCTAAGGCCCGATTTCTTCATACCTCTCGGTAGCTATCCTCTGGATATAGATATACAAAAAAATATACTTTATATCTTTTAGGCCTGGTTTATGCGGGCAAATAAGGCCTTGTTTAGGCCTTGTTTATGCGGGTAATAACTTATGCCAGAACTGGTACAGTTCAACTATAAGATTTCAATGCTTCTGTTTATAAGAAATTGTCGAATGCGTATAAACAGAAATATTAAAATCTTAGGCCCGCATAAACTAGGCCTAAAGGGCCATCTACAATGATTATGATCAGAAAACTCAACGGTTGAGAGATCATCACTTATAATAGGACTATTCTTCAAAACCAGCAAGGGTTCCAAAAGTGTGATCCAATCATAAGTGATTATTTCTTAACCGTTGTGCAACTGTTGAGTTATCTGAACGCACCCAATGCTTCGGTGGAAACTAGACCATTGATGTTATATATATATATATTGGCTGCGTTCCGAGTTACGCATATGCGCGCATTTACTTATAGTACACGTCACGTATAGTATAGATAAATGCGCGCATATACGTAACTCGGAACGCAGCCTATGTATCAATAGTAAGTGCGCACGCGTAAGAAAATGCCACGATTTTGGAACACCGTACTTGCAAACGTCAAGCATATATGGCAGACAATGGCAGACGCCCAAGAGATTGTCGTCGTCGGTATTGTTAATTGACTTGGAAAAGTTTTGCGATTATCCTCTTTACTGTTTTTATTCATTCTGAAAAAGAAGTTATATAATAGCAAGAGATTGTGGAAACTTCGCTCACGGTAAGTGAACAAAATCGACTTTAGACAACGATCGTTATCGCGTGATTAAATGCAAAATATGTGTGGTATAACTCGATTTCTGAAAGAGTCTTCTGCTCTCTCTTTCTTCTCTCGATGAGAAGAAAATAATAAGAATTAAAAAGTTCTAAAATTCAATATATGTGCAATTGAAATTACATTTGAGCGGTGTTTTTCTTATGTTCACTATTGTTGAGACAACTTTACAACGAGCTTGGTTATCTCTGTGCTCTTTCCGGCTAGCGTTACATTGCGTGAGTCATACATTTCAATTGATGTTTGATGTCATCGACATATATTTTTGTGAATCACACTGTGCCACGTTGGATGATCAATTATTGGAGACTACTGGAGCACACTACTGTGCAAGTTTGTAATTGCCATATTTCATGAAAGTTTTCTATTTCGTTTTTTGTTTTGTTTTAATGTTCAGTTATATTATAAAAATGTACATCCGATATGTTACAAAGATATTCAAATAATTTCAAAATAATTTACCTGAGGAACTTGTAATATTTTCTCATAATACATTTCTATAATTTAAATGGTCTAAATTTAATGGAACAAATTATATTTAAAAAACTTGTGTTTAAAGAAAATTTTTCATTAACCTCTAGTTAACTTAATGAATCAACCATTATTGATTAATTCGGCTAATCGACTAATGTGACAGTCATTTCCAATAGAATAATCAACTGGCTAAATTAAATGTCAGAATTAGTGAAATTAATTGGCCCGTACCACTATCTTACACTGTGTATTTCAGATTGTAAAACAATTTTACACATGCGCAGTAGTAACATACTCAAGTCCAAATTCTCACACGCCTGTCAGTTCTGTACATTTCCTTCTAAATACACCTGAGATGACAATATATTCGTATATGCACAGAAAAAATTTAGAAAACATTACATACATTATATAAGTTAAATAATTTTGTTATATGTATGTTGATATATTTTATACATTGCACATGTAATAAATAATAATTCTACAAAACACTACTAATCATTTAAAGTCAACATCATTTTATTTGAAAAAAGTATACGTTGCGGCTTACTTATCATATTTTTAGCTATATACAGTAAACATAATTTTTACACTAAAGATTTAGCATTTTTGATTTTTGTTTCAACACAAACTAGTAGAGCGAATAAAGTGTAAGAATGTTTTTCTTTCTTTATAATTTTTTTAACGTCTTTAATCCTTACTAGAACTTTTTAGTATCTGCTGTATACGTTTCGTTTATCTTTACTGTTCGCTCATTTTTGCACTCTTTTATTCATATAAAATTGTAAACGCATTACGATATAAGGAAATAGATCATTCTGTCCGCCATTTTGGTAACGTATAAATATAGAAAATTGGGTTTGGTTAGGTCAAAGGCGCTGCAAGGGTGTGGAAAACTAGGGGGTGGGGCTGCAATTCGCAGCACTGGTCGAAACTCGGAACGTCGAACTAGGCGGACGTTATCTTTTATCCTACCGATTTCAACTTCCACTTTCATTATCGTCTCACCATCGTCTTCGTCTGGTTTAATTAATTAAACATTCACAAGTTTAGACTAGTCTAGTTATCGGAGTGTTTTTGCAGTTTTCTTGAAAAAAGCTACACTCGCGGCAAAGAGCATGTATTGCTCTGAATATATTACTCCGTAAAATTTTTGTGCATGTTTATCTCGATATTGTAAAAATAACACACACAAGAGAAGGATTTGTGATATTATGTGTAAAAAAAAAAGATTTCTTTTTAATTATTCATAAATTCTTTTTTGTCAGTGAAACATACTCCAGAAAATATAATCGAGAATTACGGCGGTAAAACTATATATAAAATTAGATCAAAATATGTTCACGTGATGTTGAAGTGGATTTATATCTTTTATTGCATATCTTGATAATTGTGCTTGAGCAACCAATTGATCGATCAATTATCTTGTTTTTTAAATATTCATATTTTAATGATTATCTTGTTTTTCTAAATATTCATATTTTAAACACGATGGTATCGTTTATGTGAAAGAACAGATTAAATCAATAAGTGTGAACGTATTTTGAAAAGAAATAAATAGTATGTATTTTTTTCATATAGATGATATATTATGATTGATTCTCAAATATTTTTTTCGGCTATTTGTGTCTTTTGATTTATTTAATCACGAGAATTGATTTTGTAAGAAGAAAAAGTGAAAAAAAAATTGCAACAACTTTGTTAGATGCGACTTATATACGAGTGCAATATCACAAATTTTAACAAATATTAATATATAAAGATTCAATCTCTATACATATAAACACGCGCGCATATATATATATATATATATATATATGTTGTGTGTGTGTGTGTTTAAGTTTATGTGAAAGAGTTTGTATAAAACAAAAAGAAATATGAAAAATGATATGGTCAAATTTCGCTTAACAAAATTATCGGTCAGATTAAGTAAAGAAAACAGAATACAAACATATTATTTGACAACGCAATTTGGTAACTTTTTTGTCAGGATAATTGCAACAAATTTAAACGAGTATTTTTCCTCGAAAGAAAAAAACAAAAAAGACTTGGATAGTTGCAAAGTTTGTGTCGAATATAAGAGTAAAACTCTTTTCTTTTTCTCCGATAGAAATTGAATGTTAGATTAAAGCAAATGATACATATATGAAGAGAAAAATGTTCAAGTGTTGCATGTGTAGTGATAAGTCGAAGAGAACAAACACCGAAAAGTCGGAAGATTCACCAGTTAAGTCGCCCAGACTAACGGTAATTTCCGCAAAAACGGATGAAGAAATTAAATCTTTTACGGATAAGGTAAACGGTAATGTGCAGCAAAGTAAAAATTCACCCGCCTTGGATTCTATGGATATACCTCGCTCCAATTCCTTAACGAAGAATTGTTGCGACTCTGGACAAAATAAAAATAGCGAGTGTACCGAAGAGAAACTGCCTTTGAACACGATGAAGGAGACATCCAAAAACGGTAGTCCAGTCGCCGGTAATAACAGCAACGTTGATGACAGTCTTATGGAAAATGTTAATTCTGGTGCAATTGCCAAACCGAATTTTAACAAAGCATTGGGATACATAGATAGAACGGTAGATGATGGACCGGATGATGAGGGAGACGACTCTGTTTTCGAAGCATGTTTGAATGACAATGAGACAATTAAGAAAGCACCTGCAGGTACATACAATACAATTTTTAGGATGCAAGTGGTGATATATACTTTGCGTCTTTAAGTTGTACAGTTTTGAAAAACTTCTCCCACAAGAAGTAAATATCCCGATTAAATCTCTTCTCGTGGAAATTACGTCACGATTTTTTGTTTTAACGCCATCCAAGAGGAAACGTCAATTTGAAATATCAGTATACATTATGTTCGCCAGTGATTCAATAATTTGCTCGTATCATTTGTTAATTTAGAAGACGGAATATGAATCGGGGGAGAAGGTCCGAATTTAAAGAATTAAGAGACAAATTCTTCTCTTGATGAATAAAAGCCCGACATATTGTATGTCGTTCTCCACAGTTGCTTCTGTTCCACGGTGGCTATCGGAAGAAGACGATAGTGAGTACGCTTCGGAAGGATGCAGCGGCATGAAAGAACCGCCGGCGACTCCCGTTGCACGCGACGAGCTAGCTTTAAGACGTCACAGATTTTTCTCCGATTTGTTACAAGCTGCGCAAAATTCGACGGAGCACAGAGTGAGATTTGATCCTCTAGGACCGATGGTGCACACTGGTTAGGACTCGTCTGCATTTCCAATCTCTTCTATTCTTTGCACTTATTCAGAAATCTTTGCATTAAGATTAGAGCTACTGACCATTTGTTATACAATACGTACAAAACGAAAGTGCGTTGTTTGATATGCATTTATTATCAAAGTGACAAGTATTAATTGTTTCAATTTTTCCCGCGAAAGAGAAGAGAGGAAATAATATATCGATAAAATATGTTAAGTTAAAATAAAAAACATTACATATATGTTATATGAAATACGCACTAAGATACTATCACGATACCACTTGCAGTTTCTGTAATATCAAATATCATTAGATGTGTGCCTTCTAAACACGTATTACACATTTGACATTTATTGTTATTACGTCTGTTATTGCGTAGTACGCGACACAAGTAGAAAATAAAGACTTGAATTTTCGTTTCGAAGTTCACGTAGAATTTGCTTTGCGTCATTTGAGCTCTTATATATGTATAAAATTACATAAAAATTGATAAAATATTAAATAGTGAAAATTCCTCAGATAAAATGAACTTTCCTTTTTAATAAAATAGTCGTAGAATTTGGTAATAATCATGTGTTGTATCATATGTTGCTTGTTGTGTATGTATATATATATATATATATATATATCAAGCGTTACTTCTCTCTAGTACAATATATAAATATTACGATTATGTTACATTATATGATTCATCTCATACGAGAATGTATCTATGTGCGTATAAATATACTTGTGCACGATGCTAGCAGATTCTCTAATAATAGTTTAGAGGATTCTCGCGTTGAACATTTGAGGTGTCTTCCAGTTTCCTTCTACTTTTCGAAAAACCTAGTGTATACGCGCGACGTTGCTCGTACAATATATTTGCAATAGTTTTCAATATTTAGACAAAATAAGTTAAAAATTATTCTTTTTTTTTTTTTTTATTTGTTTTACTGTAAATATTTCTAAACGAATTTTGTAATTTAGTGTTTCAAACTGAAATACTTTCAGATAATTTTGATATTTTTTTAGAAGCGACGTTTTCTTTCACATTAGTTATTAATTTTATGTATAGTTGTTAAACTCTCGAGAAATAAAGGAGTTTTTCACTTGTTGAACTCTACATTTTTATATAAACTAAATTTGCAGGTTGCGAAAATAGCGATAGAGAGGAGCATTTAGAGGAATTAGTGAATCGACTGGAAAACGTGACAAGACAACTTGAAAAAGTATCAACACGTTGCATAGTTCAAACTCAGAACATCGCTGTACAAACGAGCACTCCTTCTCCGAAGAGAGAATCGACAACAACAAGTGATTCATCAAGACAAGATTCTCCACTATCATCCATTCAGTTTTTGAAACAACAGACAATCCCAAATCAGGCTGCAACCATGTCTATAAGTGGATACAAAGACCTTTTGGATGGTCCAGTTAAACAATACTTAGAACTAAGTCAAAAGATTGGCAGTGATGTAGCTGTTCACAGCAAATTGGTAGAAAAAGCTTTCCAGTTAGTAGCACTTTCATGTTGAAATTATTGAAAAATATATATGTATATAGTACATATATTTTAATAACTTATTAAATATATTCTAATTTATTTATTTTTATGATGCGGCTTGAAAAATGATTAAAACACACGCATATCCGTGTATATAAAAAAACAAGCTATTAAAAATTGCGTAAAAAATGTTTATATTAATTTCAGGTTTCAGTTTCAATTTATACAAACAGCGGCGAATCGGCCGGCACCAACAAATCAATCTGAGCAATTAACTTTGCTCGCACCTCTGTCTACACAGATTCAACAGATTCAAGAATTTCGTGAAAAAAATCGTGGGTCATTATTTTTTAATCATTTGTCAGCAATTAGCGAAAGCATCCCGGCTCTAGGATGGGTCGCAGTCTCTCCTACGCCAGCACCGTATGTAAAAGAAATGAACGATGCTGGTCAATTTTACACTAATCGTGTATTGAAAGATTGGAAGGAAAAGTAAGAACTTTTACTTACTTTGACTAAATTAATAGTCTTTAAAATATATGTTTTAAATAAATAATATTTAAAATAATATTTATTGAAGACATAGACGATATTATTTGTTATTAATATAAATACTTATTTTCAACAAGTTAATATTAGGTTGATATTATAAATTAATGTGATTGATACAAGTTTATATTATAGATTGATACTGATAAAAGTTACAGCTACATCTCTTATAATTAAGGGAAATTTTGCAAAATTCTTTTTATTCGTAGAGATAAAATACATATAGACTGGTGTAAAGCATGGATGCAAACTTTAACTGACTTACAACAATACGTTCGCCAACATCATACAACAGGTTTAGTATGGGGAAAGCTTGGTTCTATACCTAATGTACCTAACGTACCACCCCCTCCACCTCCTTCAATGCCGATCGGAGATATTGCACCGATGGTGAATGACGAGAGAAGTGCTCTGTTTGCACAGATTAATCAAGGAGAAAATATCACGAAAAGTGAATATTTGTTATGATTTTTATTTTCTATCTTTTTTCTCTTTTATATGTGTGCGAACATACGTAGCGTACGTGTGCATTTCGCTTTTGTAATTTCATTAATTTAATAGTATTTTTACATTACAATGTAAACATTACATACGTCTAATATTTTTATCATAGATTTAAAAAAAGTCACTTCGGAAATGCAAACGCATAAAAATCCAGCTCTGAGAGCTGGACCAGCACCGTTTAAAGCACCAGTTACTAATGTAGCATCAGTAAAAAATGTACCGCCAGCAAACGCGCCTATCGACAAACCGCCAGTATTTACTAGAGACGGCAAAAAATGGCTCGTGGTAAATAATTGTACACGTAAAGTTGTACAAAAAAATATCTAGAGTTTTGTGTTTGTTGAATTTTTTATTCTGTTATAAAATAATTTAAAATGTCTAAAAAATTTGAAATGTCTTACAGGAATATCACAAAGGCGAGAACTTGATAATTGATAACGTGGAAATGAATAATGTAGTTTATATATTCCGATGTCAAGATAGTACACTCACTGTCAAAGGCAAGGTGAACTCTATTGTCATGGATTCTTGCCGTAAATCATCCGTTGTATTTGATTCTCTTGTATCCAGCATTGAATTCGTTAACTGTCAAAGCGTACAAATGCAGGTATGGAAACATTTTAGATCTTTAGTGTACTGTTGTGTATAATATAGTTTTTTCAAACAAGATAATTGGAAAAATGGCATCGGAAAACAAATATGTATATATTTGTCATACGTGTATATGTTTAAAAAATGGATAATGTTTAAAAAGTGGCAAGTGTCGAGAAAAATATTTTTCTTTTTTATATATTAAAAACTTTTTTTTCTTTTTTATATAGTAAAATAGAGTATTCTTCTTCTTGTTCTTCACTTTAGAACATAACATTGCAAATAACAATATACAGATTAAACCAACAATTTGTCTATTCAGAAAACACATTCTTTCTTATAAAAGAAACTGATAAAAATACACACATAAAAGATAGACTATACAAGTTTATTCAGTATGTAAATTGGAAATTGATGTACATGTATCTGCAATGGAAGGTTTCGCAGTTACTTCTTTTTCTTCTATGTTTTTTTTAGACCATAATCCGTTCTGATATGTTAAGTTTCTTTCCTGCAGCTTGTTATTTTCTATAATAGAAATAACAATTACTTCTTTTGGAGCAGTATTTTGTACATGTTTCGTTATTCGCGTGTCGAATCCACTGTTACATACATATTTCTTATTTGAATGTTCTCTGTTGGTTGTCCGAAATTGCGCATTTCGATCATTAAGTAGAATTTCCGAAGCTTCCTTTAACGATGCGTCAGTATTTCTATGTTTTTCCGATTGTTTGACAAAATTTTCCTTATCTACATTTAATTCAGTTAAATTTAAGACAGACTTTTCTGCGCACAAATATTTATTTATGTCACCTTTCGTATAGAGTTTTTCCTTCCATAACATTGGACTTACGGTAGGATTTTGCGTTTGATGTTTTATTCGGCGAGCTGAGACTTCTGAATGATTTTTTGATATGAAAGATTTGGTAAAAGTTCTTTGCGGCAATATAATAGATCGAGTTATAAGTTGCAATTTATTTTCTATACGTTTAATTTTACTATTTTGCAACTTTGCACAAGACTGACGTAACAGTTTACGGATGTGTTCCAAAATATCATTGCGCGTCGAAAATGAATGCGATTTTTTGAGAGAAAAATTTAAATCTTTACTTTTATTTGTTAGTAAAGACATGTCGCTTTTGGCTTTAAGCTGCAGATAATTATTGTTTGCAGATATTTTATTTTGATTTAGATTATTTAATAAACTATCTGCATTGATTAGAAGTCTTTTTATGTCTAACAACAAACACAATGGAGATGCAGCGGAATTTAAAGTAACATTTTTTTCTTTTAACATCTTTTTTTCTGATTTATCAAAAATGAGAACTTCTGCTTCTTCTTTGTTCGACTTTACTATATGTTTTGTATTTGACATAGGTTTACTAGATGCTATATTGTTGTTGATAATGTATGATGGATTATTACAAGAAATTAAATTGGATCTGTCATTCGTTTGAGTAGTTTTAACAATGTCTTCACTTTTGATGATTTGTGCGTGCCTTTGAAAATCCATGTCAGTTATTACTTGTTTATGCGTTTTATTGTTTTTTTTTGACGTAACGTATTCTTTTTCGTGTTTAGGTTTTAAATCACTTTTGCATAAATATTTTAAAATTATCGGCAGTGGAAGGTCCATTTCTTTTTGTCTTATTTCTGCTGTTTCTAGCCATTGCGTATTCTTTTTGAACGTATTCTCAAATGAAGTAGTAAACCTAAACACTTTTGGATTTCTTTTTAAGCACACATCAGTACAGGACTTGAAAGTATCATCGTTGATGAAAAGTTCGGGTTTACAACAAGTGTTTATCAAAAGATATGACGAATTATTCGGAGAACTAACAACTGGATTGGTCAATTGATTGGGCAAACGTGTGCGACTCGCTTCGTTTGAACAATGAAAAATGTTTTTTTTACTTCGATACCGAAGCTCTTTGCATGCTGCGGATATCGTTTTATTTTGGCTCTGTAGAAAATTATCTATATACTCTCGGATATTCTTCACGTGTGTTAAAATAAGATCCTGTAATCTTGGCACTGACGATAAGTGTTCTTTTGTCAGATTGTTGACATCATTCACGTTTTTTTCCGAGGTTTCGCGCGACTTTATATGATTCTGAGTATTTTTCAAGATTGTTCCTGTTTGCAACAATGTTTCACTTTTATTGATATTGTCATGGCTCTTTACACCAACTGGTATTCTTGCCGTAATAATGTTTTTGTACATTAATGGCTTTGATGATGATGATGATGTTGATGAAACTTGGCTCTCAGTTGTATCGTTATTATGAATTGCCACATCAGTAATGCTGAAATATTCAGAAGGTGTTTCGGAAATACAATTTCGATTTCCGTCGTTTGCTATAAAAAAATTGCTTGCAGTTTGCGTATTGTGTTTCAATGAAAAGTTTTCTATGAAATCTCGATTCTTGATGTTTGACCGAATCTGTGTTAACAAAGCTTTTTTAAACTGCAAAGCCTCTTGCAGCAACAATGCTGTCGATTTCTCTTTTTTGTCATTACTGTCTGATACTTCACTCAAATCACCACTTTGTGATGTTACGTTTTTATCAAAAACATCTTCAAAGTTTGCAATATCATATTCTTTCATCAAAGATGTTTCAGGTTTAGTTTGTGCATTCTTATCTTCGAATGATTTGACCGATAAGTTACAGCATATTCGGTCTGGTTCAAACATCTTTTTTTTGAAATTATTAGATTGTGCGTTTAAACATATTTTTGTTGCATTTTTGTCGACTTTGAAAGCTATGTTTGAATTGTTGCTGCAACTCCAATTTGAAATGTTTTGTGCGCATGTAAGTGTTTCACCGCTCTTTTGCTTATTCTCACAATCTTTTTGTAATATCGCATTGGACGAAAATGAATATCTTCTGTGCGGTTTCGTTGTTACAAGCGCTGAAAAATCATTCTCAACTGGTCTTTGTAGAAGTTTTATAGATGCGTTTGATGAATTTCCGATCGAAGAAGATGAACTTTCTCGTGAACAACCTAACTCAAAATATTCACAACTATTCGTCATCTTCGAGGATCGCGTTCCTTGCAAGACTTTAGAACTAACATTACAATCAAGTTTGCTTCTATCTTTTTTGATTTCAGACTTGATAAAAGTAAACGTATTAGGTTTATCGACTTGATTTGTTGATTCTAATTTTTCTGAGGATTGATTCATATCTTGATAAATTTGCAATATGTTGTGTAAACTGCGTAATTTCTTTTTAACTTCGTATAACATTTGTCGAGAAGATTGCACATTGTGTGTTGTCGGAAGGGTAGAAATGAAGTTTGTGAAAAACGTGCTGGTGTCATTTACATCAGTGGAAACATTTTCATTACTTTGAAAATATTCTTCGGCATCCTTTGTTGATTTGTTTTCTTTGAGTTTTTTCTTCTTCATTAGTAGTAGTTCTTTTTTGTTTACTGTTGTTTGTTTGTCACAAAGTACTTTCTTTTTTACCTTTCTTGATAAACTTAAAGCTCTTGTTCCCTCACTGTGATATGTAATTATAATGTTACAACATAAATACATAAAATTATGTAATGTAGAGGAACTAATAATGAAATGTTTAGAGTAGTTTAGCAGCAATTTGTGTCTAACAAAACTAATTTAATCTTGATTTTTGAATTCTAAAAAGCTCTGATAATTTAGCGCTTTTAAAACTTTATATATCGAATGTGTGTGATATTGCAGTTGAAAAACAGGAGCTTTAAAGAGATTGTACTAAGAGTTTGTTAAACTATTGATTTTTACTTCTTTCTTTCTTGATTTTATATACCTTAGCAACATATGTTTCATCCAGGTTTTTCGATCACACGGACTCGATAAGGTCATTTTAATTTTTTTTAATGTTTTCGAATTTAAATTATAAATTTCGTGCGGTAGTGGCAAAGTTCCGTATTGCATTTTATATGTTAAGACATTGACTCTCAATTCTAGATCCTGAAGTGTATATATCATGTTACTTAATATTTGATTGTCAAGCACAATATGTTTTGAGTACGTAATCTTACGATACTTTATGTGGATAAGTATCAGGGAAGTAACGGCTATCAGGACCTTTAAAAATATCAGAAATTAATTTATACATTATATTTATTATATTCTTATTTTAAATTTTATTATATATAATTAGTGAAACGTAAGAAAGAAAAAAATGTAGAAAGAAAGAATTTACTAAGAAAGAAAAAATATATGCGGAATATATAAATATTTTGTACCCATATCAAGCCTTCTTTTGCTATATAATCAACAACGTCAGATACTATCTCGGACCAAAAGTAATTTGCCACCGCTTTTACACAGTACCTCCAATTTGTGTCGTAACATATTGCTACAGCTTCAAAATTTCCACCTGCAAAATTTCTTTAATTAAAATTCTTTTGGAAATACATAAAAAGCGAAAAACGTGCGCGCGCGCACACATACACACACATACACACACACAAATGTTTACAAAGAAGTTGTTTGGAAGCATTCAAAATACGAAATAATAATATTAGAAAAAGCTGTTAAGAGTTAAATACTATTATTTATGCGTTATAGAAAACTAAATTTTACATAATATATGTGTATTTTTTAGCTTTAACTTAGAGAATTTCAAATATATGGTGTATAAGTTTTAAGATATGTATATACATCCTACACATATTTTGTATAATTTTATATAATTTATATATCTATCCACGACAAAAAGTTTTTCATATATGTAGACAAATTTTATATCTAGTTATATATAATTATTTATAATCAGATATCGAATTTTTATCTATCTAACGCAAGATCTATTTTTCCTGAATATATTTTAGGAAATATTAGGTTGTTTTATTTATTTATTTTTTTGAAACGTACATAGTAGTCTAAAAATAAAGTGACTTTACCAACTTTCCACGGCATTCTTATACACACAAACAAAACGTTTGGATAATAATTCCAGATAAAACTGTGTATAAAATAAACATCACAAAGAGAACTACGCAATATTTTCCCACTACCGATACATGTTCAACACTATTTACAAATTCGGGAAGTCATATGCTAGCAATTGTTATCGAAACGCATTCTGAATAATTGCTAATTTCTGTATAATATATACATGTGTAACATACACATTATAACAATTGTTGGTCCAAAACGTTATGTCAATAATGAATATTGATAGTGCAAGTCAATAATAATAAAGATAGTGCAAGTAAAAAAATAATGGTGATAATTATTTGATGATTAAATGAATTACTATTATAAAAATAATATAATGAGATGTATTATTATTATCGTATTTATAATTTGAAATTTTATTATTTTATTTATTTTTTATTTTCTTTATTATTGTCATATTATGTTTTCATATTTATTTTTATCTCTCTAATAGTAACTTATTTAATCATCAAATATGCCGGTATTGACGGCTGAAGAGAAGTCAGCCACCCTCGGACTCTCGCTCCTATTTTGCGAATTTCTATCGTTCATTGTAAAAAAAAGTTAAATAAAATTTATATATACATATAGTTTATTTGTCAATGCTGAAACTCTATATCTACTTGTTGTATTGTACTATAATGCAAAACTAAGATGTAACAAATTTATACCAATTCACCAATTTTTATGTTTATAGGTTCTTGGAAAGGTACCTACAATTTCGATTGACAAAACAGATGGTTGTCAAATGTATTTAAGTTCGGAATCCTTGAATGTTGAACTCATTACCAGTAAATCTAGTGAAATGAATGTAATGGTACCTAAACCTAACGGAGATTATGTAAGTTTCACTTCGATTAATTCGTAGATATTTGCTGTTTTCTCATAATTGTAGCATGTATATGCATTTTATAGACTGAATATCCTGTTCCGGAGCAATTTAAGACTACTATTAATAAGAACGGTCTTAATACTACAGCTATCGATTCGCTTGGTTAAAAAGCAAGAAATTTGTTGAGGAATAAAGCCTACACATTTCTTTAATATAATAATATAATACATTAGAGATGTATGTGTGGTCATGTCAGTATCAATTTATTATTATTATTATTATTATTATTATTACTATTATTATTTATTGTCTTCTCATCGAATAATACAGAGGTAAGGCAAACAACTAATCTAATTTGATATATTTCGCGTTATGTGTAAAAATGAACTGACTTTAACAGTATCTACTTATTCTTGAAAAAAAATTTTTTTCATACTTTTCTGATTGCCTGTCTTCATTTGAATTCCTTAAAATTATGGTGTCACTAAAAAAAACTTTCAATCGAATACAACGCGAAATTTAAACGGTCATGAGAGTCTTACGCTGGATGTTTGTTGGGGAAAAATCTAATTTCGCGTTGTTAGTTTGAAACTTATGAGCCTAAAACTCTTTATTAATTCTTCAATCAAATACATTTGTTTGTAGTATAAACTTTTTACTTTTTTTTACACTATAATAAAAAAAAAAACAAATCAAGCAATATTTTAGACATAAAATTTGAGAAGAAAAATTAAAAACAACTAACTAAATTAATTGATCACTCCCAAAATAAAAGCAAGATTTTTGCAAGAACAATTAGTGTAATTTAAACAAATATTTCTCGAATCTCGGTAAAATTGGAGACCTTTTTGTGAGGTTTGTTTAGATAAAAACTGATTTCTTGAAAAATTAGATTTTTTTGTAGGAAATAGACACTCTTTAGTTACATGTATTATTATGTTTTTGTGATGGACATGTGAAAAATTGTAAACAATGAGGAAATTTCGATAATAGCAGTATAATAAGCAGTATATCATATAGTAAGTATTTATTAAAACTGCATACCAAATTTTATGTACTCTTTGAGAGTCTTTGTACTGTTGAAGTTTGCCAAATTAAACTTAAATTAAACTTAATTAAACTTAAACTTGATATGCTAATGCAATGGGCTGAAGAAGAAGTGATCTACTACCAGAACACGGCAGTACGTCAGTAAAGTTTCGAATGTAACTAGACACACACTGAAAGCTTACTTATATTCAGTATGTATCAGTTACATTAAAGGAAGTGCTGCGAAAAATATCACCTTGGTCATTATTCTGAGAACATGGAACTTTCTGTTAAATAGAAGGCTTTACGACATCATTTGGCCACCACAGCACTTGGTGATACTTCTCGCAATACACTCGGATATAATCATTGATTTCTGAAGATAAGAAAACCAAATATGGTTTCTAGAAAGAGTCAACGCGAGATGCTGATGTGAAACGTGCACTCCAGAGAAATCGTTTTTCATGTTTGTAATATATATAATAGGATTTTTGTGAATTATAAACTTTTCTTGTTTTACATTTGTGTATAATATATATATAACAAGAGAGTGCGAGAGAGAGAGAGAAAAATAAGATCAAAAGTGCAGACAAATATAGTGATAAGCATAGTGTAGATAAAAAGTTTTTTATCATCTTCAAATCGCTCTTTTATAGATTTATACTGTTTTTTATCAGAAACAATTTTGCTCAAATCTGCCACTGCATAGGATTTGCTAGGTCACTGATAGGTGTTAATGCAGTCTGTTTAGATATAACGAACAATGATATTATTAAGTTTCTCTGAGCATTAATTATATGTAAGATATCAGCGTTGATATGCTTTATCTCTGAAACTTTTGCTTTGTTGAATTCAGTTGTTACATTTACAAATAAGATATTTTTACTCTTAAAAATTTTACAGAGTGATTAAGGCTAGTATTCATAGTCGAATTTTATATTTAACATCGTTTCAAGTTTATCATCAGATAGTGTACAAGCCGTTTTATTGGCTATAGAACATATAAAGATAAATTTAAGACAATCTTAAATGTAAGGTTTGAATGAATACCGGCCAAAAATTGCAAATAAATAAACAAAATTATGCTAGTATTGTTTCAAAATGACTTATTTAAAAAAAAATCGCATCGAATAGATGAGATGATTCATTATATGTATTTAAGGAAAAGAAGTATTAACTTAAAGGACAAATTTACTCGCAGGTTGGAAATGTGGAATAAATAACAATAAATAAAGTACAGGACATTTCGATTTTTATTTCGAAACCATCTTCACTCTTGGTTTACATATCTTATTACAAAAATTATAAAAGTCTAATAAATAAACTATTAAATTGATATAACTTACAAATGAGTTTATAATTTCAAAGTAACTGAGATTGTTTATATGAATTGTATATAAAAATATATCTATATTATTTTATAAATATATTTTACAAATTGGTGGACTTTTTGCTATACTGTCGTAAAACTAGCTATTTACTGTATTACATTGCACGAAGACCATAAGTTTTTAGTTGGTTTTAAATTTGCGACGATTGAATAAATAAATAAATAAATAAATAAATAAATAAATAACGTTGTGTAAAATTTTTTAAATTATTTTGTCTATAAAAAATAAATTTATTAAAATAATATATGTATAGTAAAAAAACTCAAATTCTCTCTGTAAGATATATGGTTTCTTCAAACAGAAATCATAGTATTTACAAAGTATGCACTGGGACAAGTGGCGTTTGTGACTTACATATATGTCAAATCTTGAAATTTTGCGAGTGATAAAATTTAAAAAGATTCTCTATGTATGATGTTAAATATGATACTTCTTTTTTCTAGTAAAACTCACAATTTTTGCCGTCTTTTTAATTGTATTTTTAGGACTTAGATTTCTCTTCGTTGTATTTTGTTGGATCTACTTGGATTTCGTATGAAGAAAACTGGTGATTGGATTTATTGATATTGATTGTATCATTTTTATGCGTGTAATCATGTACTCGGAGTAGTTGCTCTAAGAAAGTTGTTTCATCCACGGAAAGATCTTTGATCTTTGATTTTGCTCGCATTGGTTTACCAATTCCCTCGTTGTTTCTAACAAATGAATTTTCTATCACGTAGGCTTTCAAGGTATCATTGTAAATTTTCTTTTGTAACTCATCCTTCGTTATCCCATTATCTGCCGCGTATGATTCAGAGTTTTCTTCCAAATCATCTGGCGTATACTTAACAATATCGATTTCAACAAACGTCGAGTTCCTCGATACGTATTGTTTTAATTTATTGTTATTCATTCGTGCTAAATTTAAGTCCGTTGATGTGTTTTGTTCATAATTTGGCAATTGAATCGCATCATTATTTTCCGTAATTAAAATTTCTTTAATGGTTTTCTCCGATACTGATGGTAATAACGTAACAGTTTTACTTTGGAGTGCATTTGATTCTGTTGTGTTACGATTCAGAACGTTATTCAAAAGAGATGAAATACTTAAGTTACGAAGAGAAACATTACTTTTGTAATTTACGACAGATGTAACCTTGTCAACAGGTATTGTATGTCTAAAAGGCTTTGTGGTTACCGGAAGTTCGATCAGGCTTGATATAAAATTACCGCCATTCAAATCAGAAGTATTATAACTAGTATAAACCGGTTGTTGCAAACTACTGTTAACTTTTCTGTCTCGTAATGACTCTTTGTCTTTGTTGTTCCTTAAAACTATATTGCTATATTGATTTTTTGCTTCTAATTCGATTTCCGAATCCGGCACAGGCTCCGCTACACCGATACCACTTAGTGGCGTCACAATTTTGTCGTTATCATGTGACTCGTTATTATCCGATTCCGTTGTTGATAACAAGTTATTAAATTTTTCTTCCACTTTTTCAGTAGTATTTAACTCTCTGTGAAAGACATTATCTTCTATCGTGATATTTTTTATGACTTTGTGAGTTTTCGAAGTTTCTAAAGTAGAAACCATTTCATTGTTATTATGATTGGCTTTTAACTTGACACTAAACATTTCCAGAGGTAACTGCCCGACTACTTCGATATCTGGTTTATTGTTTTTGTATGCAGTGTCTGGTCTAGATATTGTCAGATCTGATATGATTCCATCTTGTGGAAACTTGGTATTTTCTGTATCAAAAATATTCATCATTCCAGGTCTCGACAAATCTGTGCTAATAGTACTGCGGGTTGGTAGTTTTGGATTATCACTTATTGATGAAGCTGTTTCCTGCGTGCTCGATTCTGTTGTATGATCAATCTCTTTGACGTTACCACGAGGAAACAATTTGAACTGTGTATTAATAAATCCTGACACAATTGGTCTCCACAGCGAGGTTTCAAAATCAGGATTACGAAAATCTTTGAAAGTATCTAAAGTACTTTGAGAAGTCGTACTTTCGAGAGACATAGTTTTTATTGCATCTACCGTTTGTCCGTCTGACATATGATCGCTCAAAGCGATTATTGTGCGTTTTATGAAAGCTGTTGGAAGTTCATTCGTCGGCAAAGGTTCCTTGAGATTAGATATTTCGTTTAACGCGGTGGTTCGTTCTTGTATTACTGTCGTTTCATCAATACTTTCTGTTACTAGCTCGGCTGTCCTTTTATTTTCTTCTGTAACATTAATTTTTGTTGCCGTATAAATGCCTTGTATGGTGGGAATGTTGCTAAAGTCTATATTAGGCTCAACAGAATCTCTTCTGATTGGTTTTGTTTTCTGTTTTGGAATCGTGATCAAGCTACCGTTCCTATTCGACCGTAAGAGACCGTTTTTAATGATCATGGCATGTTTTTGTTGTTCATGTTTCTGAGTTACTGCGCTTTCCTGATTTATTCCTGGTACAACACAAAGATAACCGTTTAAAATGATATTGATAATATATCTTTTACTTAAATAAAATAAAAGAATGAAATTAATCTTGATCGTATGTATACACCGTGAATTTTCTTATTGTAATCGTGCAGCACATGTAGAAATGTGAAAAAAAGGTATAACAATATGAGAGGCTATTACTCTAGTTGAGAAATATACAATTTTCTCTGGCTCAGAAATTAGCATTTCTTGTCTAAATCTGATTGACTCAACTACTTGTTACTTACTTTTTACTGATACAGTTCTCAGATCTATTTCCATGTTCTTGAATAATGACGATATCGAGTATGTCTCTTTAATGATAATATCTTTAATAGTATCTTCGACGTTTGTGATGGAGCGTGGTATCTTTCTTCGATCAAGATATAATCTGAAGAAAACTTTCAAAGTATCGTTTTCGAACTTGTCTATCGTTGCTTGTTTGTAAGATGAACCAAGCACGCTTCTTCTAAATAAAAGCTCGAACTAAAAACAAGACAAAAAAATAGAAAAAGCATTCATTCAATTGTTCAACACTTTTCTTATATATTTTATATATAAATATAAACAACTTTGACAAATATTTTATTTACAATATTTTTAAATTTTCGTTCCTTTTCTCGGAAGACCATGCTTGTGTTTAATTTCAGCATAGGATTGTATTTTTCCCCTCTCGTTATTCTAAAACTACACGAAAATCCAACGATAGCTATAAAAAAAAAAAAAAAAAAAAAAAAGAAGAGGCATGAAATTATATTTATATGTATAAGCAACTTACGTTATTATACTCAGAGTAAGTTAACAAGAATTGATTGACTCACCCTGTCGAGATCAAAAACTCACCATTTTTGGAATCCGTCCGAAAAGCTGAAATATATATTCAACGAATATAGTAATAATATGTTATTTTCATACATATATAAGTTTATTACGAGGTAAAACTTATTATAAGTTTCCATTAAAACAGCAAGCACAAGAAAAAATAAAACTTTGGTAAAATTGTTTTGTGTACAAAAGAAAAATGAAACATTTTCAACGCACCACCCATCCATAAAGCTAATCCGCCAATGGCCATTACTGCGATCAGTACTAACAATGCGGATAAAATTAAAACGGCACTGCCAAATTTCAATGTAGTATTACTCGTCCTTTTGTCCACCGATATCTTGGACAAGATAGATCTTGGTGTTAGATAATAATCGTTCTGTAACAAAAAGCATACACAATGTGTTATTTTACTTCTGGTTGGCATTTATTTTTGTTATTGTGGCGGAGGAGCAAGTCAGATGGCACGATGATGTCGAAAAAAAAAAAAAAAAAAAAAAAAAATACAAACTGTCGCTTGTATGTACAGTAATTCTGGTAACGGTACCGTCACAGCGCGCTGGTGTAAAATGCGTAAATAAAACGAAAATTTCTGAGTATCAAGATGCGAATAATGCGTTCAGTTTTGCTTGACTTACTACGTTGCAGAGGACTATGTATAGAAAATTCATAACATGTCAGCTAGCGGTACATGCACGTGTGTACATACTTATATGTATATTCAAGCATGATTGCGTCGCGTTAAATTTCAAATGACTGACCCACCGATGTATACTATAAGATAAATAATATTTCGGATCACGTTTACTTATTGTTTAATTTAATGCAGAATTTTCTTACGCGAAATCAAGTAATCTAATGCAAATAAGAGAAGATAAGGATATTTATTCACAAAAATGCAAAGAGTACTAGAAAGTTTGCTTATATTGTATAAACTACAACAGAGATGAATTACTGCTATATGTGTGTCTCGTCACTCAAATAAGGACATTGGGATTTCATACTTGTTATTTCTGCATCTCTTCTTCAGATAGACAAGATATTTCAAATGGTATATACCGACGCGAAGTCGACCATATCGGAAATAGTTACCAGACGAGAAGTGCAAATAATGAACCGTTACTATAGTTTATATTGCAAGTTGTTACGATTTTATGTACATCTATTGACTATGCTCTTATTATTTGAACATTGGAAAAATGAAGCAAACAGAAAGTTAAGCTATCCTTTTTCGAGAAGCTCTTTATTGTTTCTTTCATAGTTTTCAACACAAAGATAAATAATTAGAGTAATTCTCAACAACACTTAAGTGATGTTGCCGACCATATCCAACTATATGAGTCACAAAGCGTGGTAACAGCTTTGATGATTCTTGAAAAAGACTATTAACTCTGTCATCTTACCAAAATTGTTCAACTATAAATAACGACATTTCAGAAATAAAGTAAATCATCGATAATTTATTCGCCGAAGATCAACTCTGCGGTAAAAGAATTAAACGAATGGATACACGTCTCGGTATATAGAAATGAGTTTGTGCAAGCTAATAGTAAGCAATTTATTTTGAGTTTAAAGCTGCTCATTAGATACAATTTTGATATTATTAGAAATAATAGCTTGAACAAGTATCAGTACATACAACTATCTGTATATATATGTACGTATACATAATAATCTAGGTAGAGTCAGTGCACAGGGTCTTCGAACAGATGATACACAAAGTATAAAAACCCATCCAACTGTGCAAAGATTCTTCAAGGTTGTTATTGCAACTTCTTCGTGTTTTGGTTTGTTATCGAACTCGAAGAATACGTTTCAAGTTTTGTTGTATTTTGTTGATCAGCAATCGAAAACGAACTGAATAATATAATCATAAAACATGTTTATATTATTTTAACTAAATAAAGTTTACAATGTTCAATTTGTTTTTACTTTTTGACTCAACAACTTGCAGCTGAGAAAAATAATAGTGAGTTTGCAGTACTGCAACGATCTGTTTAGAGCCGTTCAAAGTTTTGCAAACAAGTCACTTTGTTGTTTTACACACGAGAAGAAAGCAAAATTAAATTTGCTTTTTTTTATGCTCCGAATTGACGTTGACATTTTCTAGTGCGTTCACAATATACCGTTATACAATAATAATACTATAGGAAGTAAGAGAGAAGTTCAGATGAGATTTTCAGTCTCTACTGATACTAGATAGATTAGCTGATGATATGTATACTCTTGATTATATTCTTTCATAACACACGCGCGCGCGTTTGCGATATGCAAATATATCTTAACAATAGAGTGGAGATCTCATATAATGTGTTTTTTAATTCTTGATGTTATTTCTCGCTAGAAAATTCCCAACGCTAAAAGAGTTTAAGTGGAAATGGAAATATACATTATACAAGTATGGGAACTTCCTTTGTTTGTTTCAGAACGCAGTTAAATTTTTTTATAATTCCTTAGCATCTTACAAAGTTATCAGCAACGTAACGTGTTGTTCTTCCATTTAAATTTATTAAATCACGTTTTCAACATTGTGAACGTGAAGAAAGACTAGAGAAAAATTAGATATTACAGTTATAATTTGTTCTTTTGTATGAATATATGTATATATGTAGCATGTTACCTATTAGAGTCTATGCAAGTGTAAAAAAACATAATTAGTAAATAATAAACTCACCCGATAAGTGTAAGGACTTGGCCTATAATAACTGCCAGTATTCATCATGGCATGGCTCTTTCCGTTGCCGTATATGGTAGCCATTTGCTCAATAATTTATAATTTTCACGTTTTTTAATTTTTAATTGATTTTTTTCACAAATTTCAGACATTAATCTTTATGGTTAATACATCAGGAATGATGCACCGCAAACGATTGATCGTGTGAAAACTTTTTTTTGCGCTCTTATCGTCGCGACGTTGCTTTTCAATTATCATTTGTCATATGTGAATTATATATTTATTTATCTTTCTTTAAAAATACTTCTTTTTATAAAATATTGATTAAAGAGTAGACAATAGTTAGTTTAACACGTGTGATGTTCACCTTTTAAGTAGGTAAATACATGCGAGCGAAATAAAAAATTGCACGCTTCTTGAAAATATTTAATTTTCACTGTTTTTTAGAATATTAAATAAACCATAAATATATAGACTCTTCAAGTTGTTAGAAAAAATTATTTGTGTCAGACTTACAAATTGTTGAACACTTTTATATACATATATATTATATATATATGCTAGATATGTATAAATAATTTTTTTCTCTATTTAGAGAAGACTACACAAAATAACTACAAATCATCACTAAATTATAGGAATATACATTATTTTGTATATACTGTTTTCACGCACTATTTTATATATATTCGTTGCGACGATTTATATATGTATATATATAATACACACACACACATATATATACATATATACACACATTATATATATATATACATATATATATATATATATATATATGTATATATAGATATATATAATTTATACACGAAACCTGTATACACAATGTTTTCCTCGACTGAGAGGCGATCTGAAGAAAGACTGAGGAAGACGAGAAAGAAGGTAAAGCGCGAGATGAGGTAGACGCAAGCGACCCCTCCACGTCTCAACTCCGTTATTGTTGCCTACTACTGGCAGTTTGAAATCTTGAGATTTTCTTCACTTATGTTCTTCCCTTTCGCGTATAGTGTACGTGTGCGTGTGTGTGTGAGAGAGAGAGACCAAGCCATCTCACATGTTTCACCTTTAGTTTCTTTGCCATTCTGACAAGAAAGAATTGATTAAATATCTCCCTTCCCGGTCATAAATTCACGCGGCTCTGTGCAGCAACCATTCAATTCAATTTAAACCATTTGAATATGAGTTACACAATAAAAATAGATATATAAATATATATATGTATATATTTATATCATATTATATAATATTACCAATATAATATTACCTATCAAGGAACGCTATGCTGTTATTTATTTTATATCCTATAAGCATGTGTGAATTCCCCGCTCACTTAAATAGCTGATTCTGCTAAATGCAGCTGACAATGCCAATACATACATATGTATTTTGTCATGTACTACAATAAGTACAATTGGACCAAAGCGTAAAAAGCGCTTGCGCGGCTCTTTTTATACCGGATGTTTATCTACGTTCATTGGACGGCACTTTTCGATGGCCGTAGGTTTCGTCTTTCCATATAAAGAGAAAAAATCATGCATGGAGATAACGAATATAAATAAACCGAGCGCGCGAATTGGCGGTTTTCCGGAGAGTTTCGTAGAAACTACCGCGTGTTTCGCAACCGCAATCACGTTTGCAGGGTTGTCAGAGCTAGATAACTGGTTTGGCGGTACGAACGCTAGTTGAGATTCGCGCCCAAGGTTTCAGTAATAAGAAATGGCTGCTGTTTTGAGGAGAAAATTCCGTATCGTGCTGAATACGATTGCCGGCAACGGAAATTTACCGTTTCTTGTAACCGCACGGTAAGCACAAATTATTAAACTTACGCCCGAACGAGTCGTTTATTATTATACACCAACATATGTAAACGATCAACGGGAGCTTTGTACGACTCTACAAAAGTTATGAATTCGTGAATCGACCAGCCAGATAATCAGCCTGTCTATTTGTAGGACCCTGTCAAGATCATTGGTTCAACAGGATCTCAGTGAGGGATGGATTAGTAAGCTCTTGGTGAGGAAGATTGAACCCACAAAAGAATCTCACTCGCGGATGCTCTCCGACAAGGAGGTTATTTATGCACTGCATACTCACAACATTCGACCTGACTCGATTGACAAATATTTGGCTAATTAGTGAGTCGACATCTTTGTGACCTTGTCTGAGTGCACAATAGGTCGTTGACCTATAAACTAAATGTGATAAAATTAATTTGTTTTCAGTCACGTTTCTTTCATTTTTACCATCATTTATATTCATTTTTGGTTATAAATATTGAATATTGCAATGTAACCTAATATGTATTTAAAAGTTTGTGAACAAATAGTATATTCTTTCTTTTGCATCTATTAATAGTTTTCAAAGTATATCGACATTTTGATTTTTTATCACAAGTTATTCTTTAAATATACAAGAAAATCTCTTTGTAATAATATTATGTCTGTTTGGTTTTTCTGTATTATTACAGTGAAGAAAATGTCAATCTTATACATTCAAAAAAATCTGAATTGAGTTGCGAATTGGTTGGCTCTTGGACAGTAGAAGTGGGAGATTTGGATCAAGCTTTACACTTGTGGCAATGTACCGGTGGATATGAACGTATAGATCATGCACAAGCTGTGTTATCCAAAGATGAAGTACAAAAACTAATTTGTTTACTTAAGTAATTTAATGATTATCTTGATAATATTTAGTAAAATAATTATCTGTGACTGTTTCATAGGCTTATCAGCGATTACTCAAAGAACGTGGAAATTACTTGAGATCCCGTCATTTGCAGTATCTTTTGGCATTCAGTTATTGGCCACCACTGGAAAAACGGAAAGGCTCTAATAAATATGAAATACGCAGTTATAGTTTGAAACCAGGTACAATGATAGAATGGGGAAACAATTGGGCTAAAGCTATCAATTACAGACGTAACAATGATGAACCATTTGCTGGTTATTTTTCACAAATTGGTCGACTATACAATGTGCATCATATTTGGTGTAAGTATAAAATTGTAAATTGCTTATAATACATGACTTATATATTTGTGTCTTGTTCTTTATATTGTTTTTTCATTTTTAGGTTACAAAGATCTCCAATCCCGTAAGGAAACACGCGAAAGTGCATGGAGATCTCCTGGTTGGGACGAATGTGTCGCTTATACTGTACCTTTAATAAGAGAAATGCATTCGCGAATATTAAATCCAACTTCGTTTTCGCCAACACAATAAAGGTTTTTGTGTGTAAAAAATGAACGCATTTGTATATTATTGGTTATTTCTATACATATTATATATACTATCTGTATTGTAATATTGTAAAAACACATTTGTTATATGTATACATTGTAGATGTAATATTGTATAAACATACGCGCAACATAAGAGCTACAAATTTTTGTTGTATTATAACTGACAGGTCATAATTTGTTACTGACTTGACGCAGTGCAACAAGTGTTATATAAATATAAATTGTTTTTATCATGTAAGATGAAACATGTATGTATAAAGGAATATAAAAGAAATAGTGTTTATAATTTGCGTTTCTTCTTTATGGTTACTCTTATATGACTCTATAATCTTGAGTGTAATTGATAAATAAAACCAACACGTTTCTATACAAATATATTAAAACAAATTCCATAAATTTGACAATACGTACGTGTAATAAACACAGTTACTTCAATTTCTTATAATGTTAACACGCTTTTGAGATAAGTGTTTTTTTGTGTTGATAAATATATTTTTTGCGTAATTTGTATACATACAAACGAGAAGTATACCTCTTACTTCTATTTTATTATAAAATCTTTATAATCTCTGTTGTGAAAAAGAGACAATTTATAATCTAGACAAAAAATGATATCTTCAGAAGTCAAATACATGTTTATAAATTGCACAGAGTTTATACATAGTTTATTATTAAATTTTTAGCAATCAACGAAAAAATTCAAAACTACTTTTGCAAGTAGAAACTTTGCGTAAACATTTTATTTATTATAAAAATTCTGAATATTGTTTTTATCAATATATTAGAGATATATTGATATATTTGAATATATATCAATATATTATAAAGATATATTGCACAGACTAGGATATTATAAATATGTTAAGATTGTAATCTCAAATAAATTTGGCATATGGAAACAAGAGGATTGCACACACAGTTTTATAACATCTAATTTACAAAAACAATTGTGTGACGAGGTATATAAAAGAAGTGTGTGTGTGTGTGTGTGTGTGTATTTATATTCCACAAAAAAGCTATATACAAGCTATTTATATATAAACTCGTTTTCTCTGTTATTTTACGAAAAAATGCAGTTTATTAATGGTAAAAAACAATATTTTTATTATTTGTAAGATCAGAAAAATATTAAAATATTAAATATAATAATATATAAAATGTTAATACAAATATAAAATTTTTTATACTCTGCATGTGCTAAATACTGGCTATTTTAAACAATAATTTAAACAATGTTTCTACATGGAAACTAAACATATTAAAAATTAATGAAACTACAAGTAGTTAGTGCAGTTTTATTCGGTTACCCTTAAAAGATGTGATTTTTCATTTTATACAACATATGCAATACCTTAGTTTCATAAAATTATAGCATGCTTTATTACTTTCTGGTTTTGATGATGAGTCTGAAATGTTTTCTACTTTCCATACAACAATGATATTTATTCTATATGTGATTACGCGTTATATTTTTGTTACTCTGCGCATTTTTATCTTGCAGAAGAAACATGGCTATTAAAATAAAGTCACAATTTATCTAATTAAAGTCAAAAATTGTATTGAAGTACATATAATTATATTTACTTCAGTATTTTAATGTATACAAAAACAATGTATTTGTAAGTGGCCGATGGTGAAGAAAAGACATAAATTATACAAATTATAGAAGTGTAATTATTATAGCAATCTAAAACATATTGCAATGTTATCTCACCACGGTAATTTGTATTGTAATACAAATCACCAACATTACAAAATCACGCTTTCAATGGAAGTAAGTGAAGAATGAGCTGGTCAAATAACCACAAGCATAATTCGATACTATGGTATTTGATATGTTATGCCCATGATTAATTGTCTAGCGTTTATCAGTTATCACATTCCAAATTTAACTGATAAAGTTAGCTAAATTTTTATAGAAAATGTTATAAATCTCTCTGTGTGTACACTAAATACTAAATATCATAATCAAACTTCCATATCGCAGTCCTATGTATATATATATATATATATATATATATATATATATATATATATATATAAAGCGAATAAATATTTACAAAATGCTAGCAAGATTGACAATTATATAAATTTCCTAAATTGGATATTCAGCAAGTTATGATGATTACACATACTACGCGATTAAGAATTATTTTCTTTTTTTTGTATACATACATACAACTTAATTCAGAGATAACTCGTGCTATAATTAAAAGTGCATATAAAACTTAACAATTTCTTTATATAGAACCTTTGTAATAAAGATAAGTTTAAAGTCTAAAATTTTAATAATCGCAAGTATACATACATACATACATACATACATACATATATACATATACATATACATATACATACATATATATATATATATATATATGTATATATATAAATTACTTATAGAATTACTCATAGAAGAAATACTTTTTACGTATATAACATATGTGAAATTAATCTAAACAGCTTCCTTTTAAACTACATTTCACATATTTGGAATCCAATTTCTTAGCACGAACAATCTCTGTTAATTTGTTGCTTGATTATAATTGATCGAATCTCTCTCTCTCTCTCTCTTTATTTAATAGAAAAAAATTTAAGGAAGAATTTTATAAATATATTTCCATACACACATACACACGCACACACATACACATTTGAGGAAATGCCACCTTACTGCCTTTTCCATAATGGGTTGTTGCATTTCGATTATTTACTATGTGTATATTTACACGTTGTATAAGTAGGGAAAATTTAATTGTTGATTGTGACAGTTTTCTGTTATACAATTGAAACGTATATGACCATGATACCAATTGTAACGTGTTGTTCATCTTTCACTACGATCACTTGTATCGCTACAATCGAACACACTCTACTTAATAAGTTTCACTTTTACACGTCATAAATTTATCTTCACCAAGAACATTTTAATTATGTATTTAATATCCCAGACTAAGTAATGTATCTAGAAAGGTACCAATTCTACATGCAAATATAAGTCGAAAACCTAACAACGTATTCTACATTTTTAATCTTTTCGGTTATATCAGTTTGAAAACCGTGAATGTACTAAGTAAAATATGTGCCGTGTATTGCCATTAATAATGCAAATGATGAAATATATATATCAATATTGTTCCAAAAAAAATTTTGTATCTTAATTTTATTTAAACACAAATTGTAATTTTAAACTTTGTGAAATAAAATGCAAAATATAATTTTTGTTACAATTTTAATTTGTGTGTTCCATAGTTACTTTTATCTCTTTTAAATCTATGTAAATTTAATTTATATTTTGATATATGAGAAATCTCAAGTTTTGATAACTATAAAGTTAAATTAAAGTGTACAGAGAACAGTATTTTTTTTATAATAATAAACTACTCAATAATTAATATAAACATTTAATTGTCTTTGTTACAACTTACAAATATTTCATGACAACATGTTTTACTGTTCTCAATATATTAAAAAAAGAAATTTATGTTGCTCTAAATTAGAAAACTGTATATAAACTCTCACAATAATAATGAGAGACACATGTTTTATATTTATTCATAGATGTTTTAAACTTATTGACATTTGGTAATCCAAACCTACTGAACTTGTTAAGAGAATATTATTATTTAAATATTAACTACATAGCAGTAGCACCTCTTTACGAGTGTTTGTGATTAGTGGAAATATACACACTTCCTTATTAAAAATTTTTAATTTAATATATTATAATAGTAATTTTTCAACAAAATATACGTTTTTTTGCTGATTATAAAAACATTCTCATGTACCAGAACAAACGTTATTAAAAGAACAACAATCACAATCATTCGAATTTAAGTGTCATATGTATAATGGGTTTTATGATATATATATATATATATATATGTGTGTGTGTGTGTGTGTGTGTGTGTGTGTGGTGTGTCATAAATTTTGCTAATATAAGTTGAAAAAATTATATGAAAACATTAATAAATGACAAGAAAAACAAAATGTGTATATATATCTTGATGTAAAAGTACAACATTGGGATGTGTACTGGATGAAAGTTTACAATAAAATTATAAAAATTTAAGACTGATGCAACTGGATTAGGTATATTATAAATTTTTGTTAGAGAGAGATGCCTTTGCAAAATGAAATAATCACAATTTGTGAAAAAAAGATAAGAATTTAAAAAGTTTTGATTTGACATACATGATCTGCATCAAACATAAAAATAATTAGTAGAGTTAAAAGTATAAAGGAATTTATTAAATGACATCAATTTATCTTAAATGTAATATTTGTGTCATGAAATAATACATTTGTTGTGATGAATCCAATTTCGCAACTTTGTTATTTAATGATCTATGAATGAAACAGAAAGTGTGAAAAAAAGAGTAAAAGAAATTTTATGAAATATAAAATAACTAGAGCCTTATAATAGAAAATGAACTTATTAGTATAATGCAGAAGATATTCGAATAAACAATATAATAACCTTTAGATCTTATTATATACACTATTACATAGAAAGAATTTTTAAAAAGTCTTTTCTACCCAATTTATAATAAAGGTAAAGTAATATGTAGTTTAAATAAGTTTTTTGTATACACTTTTTATTTTTTATAAAAGCTACTTTATCTAAATTTGTATACCCTACTTTTATACATAAACTATTAAACATTAGCATATGTACTAAGATACTATTGATGTTTACAGAATCATATTGTTAGCATGAATCAAGATAAAAACTTTGAAAGGAATTGAAAAGTGAATACTAATTGTGTACAATTCAACAATCATTTTATTATCAATGTACCTTTTGATATCAATATATTATAAAATGAAAATATAATGTAATAAAACTCTTTGTTTTTGAAGATAACTACATTAGACAAAATGCAATTTTGTATGTGATTAATAATGCAGTGTGAGTGTATACACACACACACATGTAAAAGAAAGATAGATGTACGTGAAATTTATTAGAATACTTTTTCTACATTCAAGTAGTTTATGTATTACTTCAAATTAAATATTCTCAAACTGTTTTAAAATATATAAGAACAATGTAACTAACGCACTCGATGTTGGATTATATTACGAGGAATTTAAAATCTTTATTATAAAAACTATATATATATATATATATAGTTTTTGCGCAGTTGTCAGAAATTTTGGAGTTCACACTGACAATACTAAGAACGGCAAAACCTCCGGGCAACCTATGATGCGGTCAAGGTTAAATCGCGAGAAACAGTGAAAAAGAGAGCGTACTAATATAATAAGTGAATGAGACAAAAGTCTTTGGTCAACTGATATTGGTATAGCTCACTAGACAAAGTATCTTTACAAACAAAAAGGTTTTTTACTCTACATCGAAAACTGCAATAGTATAGTATTTAGATGGAAGAAACGCCAAATCCTATAGACTAAACAATGTCGAGTTCCAAACGGAATACGGTGAACTCACTGACAACTGAGCGGTTACTACTATATTATGTACTGCGTTAAAAAAACTGTTAGAATACAAAAATAATCTCAGGCTTATATCAACTCTTAAAACGGAAAGATAAATAAAGAAAAAAATACGAGTACGTACATTTTTATCCGAATATTTCAGAATTCTTGTACTGTTATATTTGCGATATATAATAAACAAATGTCTCGAAAGTTTTTTTCTGTAGTGTGTACAAAATCTTTTTATTAGTTATATTAATGTTTCCTGCTTTGTAACTTCAAATTTTATTAGATACTGGAAATGAGATTAATGTTTTAAAGTCTTTTTATCTCTATATGCATTTTTCGAAATATTTTTGGTTATGACTAATAAATATTACAATGTTGCAAAAAGCATCTAAATTCTTCTTCAATATGAAGCGCACGCTCTCTCTCTCTCTCTCTCTCTCTCTCTCTCTCTCTCTCTCTCTCTCTCTCTCTCCTCTGGTAAATTATATTTATGATCTTGACAATTAAAAAATATAAAGTTATGATAATTTCAGTCCAATACACATTCCCAATTAACTTCAAACCTCTTAGGTTTGGGTTAACGCATGCAAACCGTTTTATTACATATGTAAGTCATCAAATTATACGGTAAACTCGTCATGTACTTGTTACAGCATACATACACACACATACACACACAGATATATATAATATATATATCATATACATGTCCGTATGTATGTGTGTGTGCATATATATATATATATAAAATTAAATTTAAAGACTATTAGGGGGAAAGGATGTAGAACTATTACTGTGAGCCAGACTTAACATCGAGCCGCTAAGGCTTTCATCGTCCGGATAAGATTCTTTTGATGCCTCAGCTATTGCCAGAGCACTGCAATAATTTGAAATATACTGTGAAGATAAACATTGTACAATGAGATGTTCGAAAAAAGGAGATGTGAACACTTGGTGTGTGAAAATTATTTGGTTGAAAAAAAAACTAAAATAAAAGTTATTTTATAAATTTATATTTACTAACACAATTGATTTCAAATGCAACGGTTTTTATCTACAGTTTTATAATAAATATAAAGAGAAATACTTTGTGTCTATACTGACTATTTTTATTTTGACTGAGTTTGATTATATTAATCGTACTGTAGTTACATACCTGAATCCTATTCTTGCACTTTCTTCATCAAATTGCTGCAATTCCCGTTCTTGCCTTTCGTGCAAAAGACGTATACGTTCACTACGTTCACGTAGAAATTCCTGAGTTTCTAATTCCATTTTTTGTTCCAGCAAAGCTCGTCTGACAGATACACGATCTTCCAACTCGCGGCGTTCTCTATTTCTTTGTGCCTCGGCTTGCATTTTATTTTTTGATTGGTACGCCATTAGAATTTCTAATTCATAATTTAATCTTTCCTATAAAAATCAATTTCAATTTATTAATATAATTATACGACTGAAGAAGAGACAAAAGAGAATAAGTAGATGTACAATATGTAACAAGAATATATAATCATATATTTAATGGCAGACCTTAAGATTATGGCATTCTACTTCTTGTGATTCATCTAGCCGTATACTTTGTTTTTGGAGCATTTCAGCAATACTTTGTTCATACTGATCACCTAAAAGTGCCAATTTACGTCTCTGCTCTTCTTTTAATTTTTTAATTACTGCTTTCTGCTCTTCTTTAGCAGTTGTTTGCAAGATTTGAGCTTTTAGTGCTTTATATTGCCGTGTTTGTATTTTACAAGTTTCTCTAAACTGTTTACGAATTTGCATTTCTTTTTGCTAAAATTGTGAAAATTATTTGGTAAAACAATCTTTATAGTAAATATAGAAAAATATATATATTTCAAGTATAGTTTTTGTTGTGATGTTATACTTGTAATTGTTTAACTTAAACAAACATAAATACAAAATCACAGCTACACTAGTACTTGCATCGTTATTTGTTATTACTTACCTTGAGACTCTTCGGTTGTTGTTTAAGTTCTAACGCATGTTTTTTACGCAGATCACGTTCAGCTCTTTGCATGTAATCTTGCTGATTGCAAAGCTCCGTTGTGTGCTGTCGATGTACTTGATCCTCACGAAGTGCATGTACAGCTCTTTGTTGTCTATATTCCAATTCTTGCGTCTTTTCATGATGTCGTAAAAGCATAGCATGCGCTTGCTCCAGTTGCTGTTGACGCTTATTCAATTCCTGCACAAGAAATGTGTTTTATTATATAACTTAATATAACGTTACAAACGTGACAAAAATGATAAAAAATTAAAGATCAAAACGTTGTAAGAACAAGTTTTTATGATTTATTTATTACTATCCACGATCATTAGTAATCTTTGCTCTTTTAAAATATAGTATTGTATGTTTAAGATAGTTGAAAAACTATTTCTATTATATTAATTATACGCACTTCACGAAGAAGCTCCTGCTCCAAACTATGAAAGATGAGTAATTTTTTTCTACGGAATTTACGAATTTCTAGATCTAAATATTCTCGTTGTCCTCTTGCGAGCCGTTGCTCCTCTTGTGCCTCCATCTGTCTTAAATTATCCTTTTGACTTTGAAGTGTAGCATCTCGTTGTCTTTTTGGAGTTACTTCATCTAGAGAAAGTTCTTTCTTCCATCTTTCTTTATAAGCCTGTATGCAAACATATATTATGCAATATATTTTTTAAATTACGATATGTATATCATACATATTTTTCTTGATAATATCTTACTTTATATTCTCTTTTCTGTTGAGCTTCCAGAGCTTTACGATCAGCCTCCTGTCTACTCGTTATCTCCTTATGAAGCTTTTTTTCGGCATTTTGATTCTGTTTTAGCTTGCGTTCCAATTCTTGCAGATGTCTGAGCTGCAATTTTTCTAGTTCCTTACTAAACTGTTGTAAGAGAGTTTCATATTCTTTATCTAACAGTTGCTTATGTGATTCCATTTCCATTTTGCAACGTTCCTCCAATTTTACCTGCAATAACGATATATTAAATTGTAAACAGTTGTTAAATATTTATCTCGTACAAAACTTTAAATATTTGATCATACACGGATGTAAAACTATTGTATATTGATTTACACAATTGAAGTTCTTCCAGATATTACAATGTAAACTTTGCATTTCAATATGTATGATTATTTATCTACGTCTTTTTATAATCCATGAAATATAATAAAAAATAAAGAAACATTTAAATTCTTACCAAAGCACCTTGATGTTCTCTTCTCATTCGCTTATATCCACTCATTTGTTCATGCATTTCTTCTTGCATATGTTCCTTTTGTTGTTTCGTTACAATTGAAGTTGTTCTAATTGTTGCAAAATTATTGGCACCGTGTTCAAGAAGATTGGCAGTGACACCACCTGCTGAAACTTTATGCCGATTTCTGACAGATCCTGAAGAATAGTCATTACCATCAGCATTTGGTAGCGGCAGGCTATTCGTAGAGGAACTTTGAGAGCTTGCTGAAACGCCCATCGAATGAATTGAGTGTTCTGAGGTAATTGAATTGCTTTTGCTACTATCACCACCGGTTTGCTCATCAGGAGTATCTGCAACAAATAATCATAAAATCTTAAACGGTTCTTAATCTTTTAAAATATACAACACATAAAAAATATATGTATAAATATTATATTATATACTAAGTTTAATATTTGATACATTATTGCGACATACCATCAGCATCACCAACTGTGCTCTCTGTTTCACATGCATCAATCATCAAGATCTTTTTCATTTTACGATAATTCAGGTTATCTAATTCTCGAACAGCAGCTTTTGTTCTTTGTATTAAATCTATTAAAACTTGAGGAGAACGTGGTCTGGTGACAAATTGATGCTGTAAAATTGTGAATCTATAAGAGAACCAGACTACTACTAATACGCGCGCGCGCGCGCGCGCGCAAGCACACATACGCACACATATACACCTTTAAAGGTGCAATATAATAAAATAAAGAAACCTACATGTATATAAAAAGAACATTATCGATATACATAGTGACAACTCACTGATAACAATTTCCCGGATGTTGGTCTTTCAATTGGACTTTTTGTGAGACACACCTCAACAAAATGACGAAAGACATCAGACCAATCTGGCGAGTTTAATGTCGGAGTATCATTTTGTGCAATATGATACAAGGCGCTCATAGCATTCATATTAAAATAAGGCGGTTTTCTTTCCGCTGTAATTAACAATAAACAATGTAAGTATATAATATTCAGATAAACAAAAACCATCAATAATTGTAAACTTTTTGTCATGTTTAAAAGAGTCAAACTAAATAAATAATAATAAATAATAATATAAAATAAATAAATATAGCAATTATACACAACGAATCACTTTAAAACAAAAACAACAAAAAGTGGAACAAAATATAAAGGATCACATTAGCTTGGAATTTAAATATTTGAAGATATCATTTGAAATTAATATACCTAATTCGATGCATGTTATTCCCAATGACCATACGTCAACCTTGCCGTCATATTGCCCCTCATCCATAGCCAATATAACTTCCGGTGCCATCCAGTATGGCGTTCCTACGAAGCTATTGGCTGGGCATTTTATACTTGCAGATCCAAAATCAGCTAATTTTACTGTGCCATTCTCAGTAAGTAAAATATTTCCTGCTTTCACATCACGATGAATTCTTCCAAGAGAATGGAGATAATGTAAACCACGCAATACACCTTCGCATATCGCAGCTATCTCTTCTTCTTTTAGAGGTCTTTTGTGTACTTCAATAATATCTGATGCTGAGCCAAGACAATATTCCATCACCAACTACAAAACAGCTCCAAGTTGTATTATTTAGAAAATATAAATTATTTTAAAATATAAATTGTTGAAATATATATAAGAAATTATGACTAAAAAATGACAATTTGCTGTTTGCCTACCCAGGCAGTGTGGTCCCTGAGATAGCAACCCTTGTACTCTATAGTATTAGGATGATTAAGTTGCTTAAGAAATCGAATTTCCTTTAAAATGTCCTGCCATTTTTCCACCGATTGTTTCCCCATGTAAGACATCTTTTTGATGGCAACAATTTCTTTGGTAACCAGACATCGTGCATAGTAAACAGCCCCAAAACTACCATGTCCAATCTCCCGTAGATCCTCAAATATTTTCTCCGGATCATTTTTCTCAAATAATTCAGCAATCTCTGGATCCTTTAAACTACCAGGCCTTGCAACAGCTGGCATAGTCGAGTTGTTGATAATTAGATGCCCGAGGCCTAGTGCACACAGACACCCTTGCCTTGTTTATCGTCTTTAGATTCCTTACCCTAACTTTTTGATTTTACTGAATCCTCTGTCAGTCCATTCCCGAATTTAACATTCTATCTACAAAAAGACAAACATTTTCCATTTTATAACAGTTCACAGTGTCATATTGTGTGCGTATATAATTGAAATGAGAAATAAAGAGAACAAAACAATTTGTTAAAACATACAGAACATATATAAAAACATATATTAAGATAGATTATTTAAAATTGTAAATTTTTTTACTTTAGGTGCAGTTGTATCTTACTAAAAATTTCAAGACAGTAATATTGTTCATAAATAAAAAATTATAGTATTTTTTTCGTTGACAGCTATCTGAAAAACCAACTTCTCATCTTTTTTCAATCATATTATATATCGAATTGTACATGTCATATATACTTGAGTGATTTCGAGTTGAGATAATACACTTTTTACTAAACTATTGCAATTGATATTTTTCAATGGAGTACTGAAAATTAAAGCATCTTTCAAACAGATGCACAAATAACGTTATTTATTATACGTACGGCACGACACGCATGCATGACAAACACAACACTCATAATTTGGTTCGATTTTTGTTGTCGTTTTTCTCGCATGTAGAAAGCGACGTACAAGCGATCTTTCGTCGACAAGAGCAAGAATACGTAACGATTCAAACGACACGGAAATGTATCCGTAGAAGAAACGAAAATCGCCACATATTCGTCATTGTTGCCGCGTTAGTCACGTTACTCGACAGAGAGAAACTGACAGCTAATGCACGTATACGTTAAATCAGAGATTCTGGTAAAGACGTATCTCTGTATGCGCAATTATATACGTGTTAACTATCTCACGCAAGAGCATTGACACTCTTGCACCTGCTTTTGTCGCGCAAATCACACTGGACCGGACCAGACTAAGGGCGAAATTCGGCAGGGCGCGCACGGCGTTCGGAAGACAAGGCCGTACAAAATTATCGAGCGACACTGACAAAATTCGGAAAAAACTCGAGCCTGCGAACGACGAGACTTTTGAAAAACATCAAATTGATCAACGACGGATAATACGTAGAAAAAAATACAGCAGATCGAACGATGACGAAGAATACGCAGGATGTGGAGAAATGCGGGCGTAAGGAGGGTTGGGTCTTCGCACTCATCGGCCCGATCACGCTACCCTCTCTTCCCCTCTCAAGTGTGCGAGCGAGAGAGAGGGAGAGAGAGAGAGAGAGAGAGAGGGAGGGAGGGAGAGAGGGAGAGAGAGAGAGAGAGAGAGAGAGATATCGCTGCACTATGCCGCGCTCCAATGCAGTATATGTACATACACGATAAAAACACAACTCGAATTAAACTCTCATCAGCGTGTATTACTACCGGCTTAACGTGACACACAGCGCCGAGTTAATGTGCAACTCAAAATGCGCTGAACGGAAAGAAATTCGCGAACGCAAGGTAGAGTCGATCGAGTTGGAAAAAAAGGATTCGAGAAAAAATCGTATTCACCTCCAAAATGGCGAGAGAGCGGGCGGGGAAGCATGCGCCTCGCAGACTCCTCGTGCACTCTCTTTTAGGCGGAGGTGGTGGTGGCGGAGGAGGAGCAGGAGCAGCAGCTCTTTTTCCTGGATCTGACCGCCGATCCCACGGGCATAATTAAGCGCCTGTCCACGTACAATTCCGCTGCTGATTCGCCGTCGCGCAGAACGCACACCGCGCCCCGGAACAATACACCTCCTCCTCGCGTCTTCGTCCTCGTCAGTTGCGTGTAGTAGTGTAGTGTGTACGCACGTCAACACACACACGCACACACATATGTAACATACGCGCACTCTCTTGCGAGAGAGCGAGGTGCGGAATCAGCGAGCGAAGAAGACAGGTCGCGGAAAGCGTATCGACACAGCACCCACCGTTGCTCCGATCCAGCCGCGTAAACCACAAACTTCTATATTATACTACACTAGATTGCTAACGGATCCCTTTAACTGGTACCACAACTTAAGACGCATGCGCAAAATAAGGACCTAAGGCGCATGCGTATGATAACGTTACATATACGATTGCGCTTATATACACATATATGTAATCATACTTATTCATACACGCAATGATTGCATCTATAGATGTGTCAAAAAAAAAAAAAAAAAAAATACAAATTTATTTCTTTTTCATGTCCTTTGTATAGATTTGATGCTATTTTCCAAAGTAACAATTTCTGATTTTTAAATGTTTTTAGTTTGAATTTGATCTTTTCTATGGCGGACGCGCGTTTGTTGACTTTTTCACTGGATTTCCCTGGTTTTATAAAACAAGGCATTAGCGAAACATCGCGTTGCGATGATTTTTTCCGACGCACACAAAATCATGCTATTAAAACAAAAATCTCTTGATCGTAGCGTGGCGTAGTCGCATTGCACGGTGCGTAAAGAGAGGTTATGTTAGGTTAGGTTGATCAGTCTTTATTCTGCGCAGGCACCAGTTTTTTTACTTACAGAGGACACAATATACATTAGCAGTCTGTATACATAGTATATAATATAGAAAGTGGCGTAGACAACGTGCATGAGAATTCTATCACCGCACGTTTTCATATTCTTTTTTATCTGTTTTGTACACTAGCTTCTTTCCGCAAATTTTTAATCGCTAGCGTACAATATGTATATATTATATATGATGCAAAATCGGACGCGATAACGATAGCTCGATCATGTTGCAACTAGCCGTTTTAATATCGTCGTATTTTTCTTCATTGTTACAATTTCTCAAAGAAAAAAAATTGAGAGCATTATAAAAAAATTCTCTGGTTTTACCGACTAACAGAAAGTTTACAAATTTGTTTATATATATATATATATACATATGTGTATTGTGAATTGTTTCACTATACACTATGATCATGTGTAAATTAAATTTCTACTTTAGTATTTGAGAATATACATATATAATGTGTGTATATTAATGAGAATACACATACATATACCGTCCCCTCTTCTCATGTATGCTCTACATCTTCCATCAAAGAAGTGAGAAACGTGTTACCATTAATTAATCTAGTAGTTCCCACAACAAACTCGACATTCACTGAAACATATATTTCTATTACACATAATGTACACATTATAAATATTTTCTATGAATCAACATAGAAGCACTTTATCTAGTACAATACTTACAGTCTTCTTGTTGTGACAGAAACCGAAGAGCAGATATTTCAGCAAAAGTACATCCCCCAATAAAAAAGACCATTATTAATTTGGGTGGTTCAGAACCAGAATCCTCACTAGTAATAGAATTTCCTGGAAGACAGTAATTGTTGTATTTTAAGAACACACAATCATGATTTTAAATTAAATAATGCTAGCTTACGTCTTGTTGATGAAGATATATTATATGGAACACTGCTTACAGTGGGTCCAGGTAACAATCCCATTACATCATTTAATCCTTGCCATCCGTTTTGCTGTACTAATTGCTCTGCCAGTCTCACACTTAATGGCGCATATATGGAATGTACGTAACTGATATTTTTTGGTGCTATTTCACTCTCATCATCAACTGTGAGTCTTAGTGCTTTTCGCAAAACTGCATACTGTCGCACTGACTGTTGCTGTTTTAATAACCCAGCCTTTTCCAAATTCAATAAAGTTGGCAAATGTTGAAATCCATAAGCATGAATTATTTCTCTCTTGTAATAATCTAATAGTTTTGGTTTTAAACCAGAATTTGTCAATGATTGTATACAAAGAAGACGTAGAACTTTAAGTAATGGTTGTTGTTGCGCTATCATATCTTCAATGTATGCATTTGGTTTATCTGTATCAATACAATTTAACAGTTCTTGTTCAAGTTGCAATGATTCTAAGAAACTGCTTGAGTCGGTAACTTCTTTTATCATTTCTGCAATTGTAGTATCTATTCGGAAAGAGAATTGTATATGTATAAATTTTTAAAAGAGATTTATTTAAAGAGACCACAGAAATATATGTATCGAAAAAATATATATTAACAATTGGATTCATAAAAATGTGCAAAAATGATATAAACACACATGTCTTACGTTTTGCTAAAGATTGTTTTGTTGCTAACATGTGTGGTAACCTTGCAACAAACTGTTTTATCTCTTGAACACTTTTATCTCCGTGCGTTTCATCAAATTGAGATGAAATTACTTTGGCTTTTTTATTGAGAACTGGACCGACACCATTAAAATTTTTATCTCTATAACAGTATAAAAACATTCTGTAAAACTATAACAGTATAAAATAACAGTATTAAAAGTTTTACTTTTACAGAAAACATTCTGTAAAAGTAAAACTACTACAGAAAAACATTTATAAATAGTACCTGATTTCAGCAAAAAGTTCTTCTCCTGAATTCAATATAATTTGTTCTTTTTCATTCAGAGACATAGCTGTGGGAGAATCATCGGAATTATGAAACTTTCTTGCAGGTAACTGCACTGTATCTGAAATACAATAAAGAATATTTCTACATTTATATTTGCATATAAGTTAATAAGCAAGCATCAAAGCATACACAGGAAAATGCTATTAGAAGTATATAGGGGGAAAAAAATCAATATATTTACTATATTTTATTCCGAATATTTCGTCAATTAAACCTTCGTAAGTCAATTGTGTGACCAAAGGTGAAAGTAAATCTACAGATCGATCCAGTAATAACAAGTGTTCAATAGCTACAGATGAAGCAGGAACAGTTTTATTATCTTCATCTTCTCTATTTAATCTTTCTAATAGGTCCCAAACTTTGCTAGCAGCTGGTCCTCTTCCTGTGACTTTTGAAATTTTTCCATATAATCTCTGCAAACCTTGTATAGCTTGCGCAACTTGATACAGAGATGTAGGATCATTTTCTAAATAAAATTCTTTAAAGGATCCGCTCAATTCCATTGATAATAGATCGTTATCAAATGGAAAGAGATCGCATCTGAATTCTTCTAATAATGTAAAACTACCAAATACACCACGATTCTGAAGCTTCTTTTGACAAAGTAGACTCTTGCGTGGCACAAAAAATAAATGAAATTCTTTACGTGGTCTCTTACCCTCTTCACTGTAAATATATTAATACACGCATAGATTTTATACACACAAAAGTTCTAGTAATTTGTTTCAATATTAAATAATGTTTATCTGGGCAAAAGTTTTGTTGTATAAACTTACCCGTGAACATTTTCAGCAATCAAATCCATTAATTCTAATTGTGGTCTTGAGATAAATATAATATTAGCGATGTTGGAAGGTATTGTCAAAGTTCCGCCATACAACGGATACATTTTCACAACACCATACTCTTCTAACAAATTATACTTTGCAACAAGACCAATTGGCCCAGCCAATGATTGATCCCATATAATAGCCTATGTACAAAAAACACATACACACAATAAAAAAAAGTTGATATCTTACAAGGGAGAGAGATTAAATTATTAGGTAAAAAACAGAGATTAAAAAAATTAATTGGACAAGTTAAATTACTGATTATCTGATACCTTTGATCCATCACACTTTTCCAGCAAGCAAAGCAATTGCTTTCTTGCTTGTTCCTGTATAAGTCCGACATTTAATCTGCCTCCTGTCAAATGAGCCGATGACATATTTACAATAGTATTAAATACTTTCTATCTAGAGAAACGATTCAATACGAATAACAGCGAATGACAGATAACAGCAAGTGACAACAGTCAGTAGCGCCTACAGTGCTGCCGTCACTGTCACGTATCGATCTGTTGTGTGCGATATCTCGATTCTGCGATATCTTCGAGAATACATATCGAATATATATCGAAATATATATCGAAAAGGACATTTGCGATACGCAATGGTACAAATTACACGTAAAGACGTTGCCTTTATACATATAACACTTTATATTGTTGAAATATTATCGAGATAATTGAGACATTATTTGACAACTTTATGTATAAAAGCGCCTCTGCTAGTACAAAAAATAGCAGGTATACTTGTAGCGATGACCATCAATGCGACGATAAGTTATCACTTTTCTCTCTCTCTCTCTCTCTCTCATTATCATCTAAAATTGAGTCTTTCTTCTCTTTAACGTGAATAGTTATCGTGAGTGCCTTATAAAGTGTCCGCAATGTGTGTATAGTAACGTACTAAATATCGCATCACATTATAATTTTAGTGGTTTGTGTTTGTAATGAGTGCACAACTGCATATAAAAGCAATAAATAAAACACCATTTTATATTGTTATTAACTTGTCTAAGCACATCAAAACTGCACAGATTTCATAATTATTGGCAGGTACGTCTGCATGTATTGCAATGCTGAATTGGTGTAAAAATAATATTTAAATTATAGATTAATGCACACAGAAGATATGTAGAAACTTTAATTGAAATTGATTCTGAAATAACATGCAAACTGTCAAAATGATTTTTTTTCATTAGAAAAAAACATAAAAACACGTTTGTCCATTGGTGTGCAAGACACAAGTAATCTATAATTGAATATCAAATTATACTAGAAAAATATACAAAAGATAAATTATTTTCATATACACATTTTTATCACTGTACAATATAAAATGGATGTGATAAGAAAAACTTGTAACTGTTATGTATATTATTGCTATCCAGTGAAGTTGCTCTGTAGACTATATAGCGCATTGTGTGTGTACGCGCGCGCGCGTGCATGTATATGTGTATGCGTAGTTGGAAGCTGCGCAGCATCCCCGCGGGGATCACGCAGGCAGCGCCGCTGCGAAGAAGGGATGCGATAGGGGAAATAATTCGGTTTTTAATCCGTAGGTGTAGCGACATAGTGGGGGATGTATCCACAGATCTCCCTCTTTTCGTCACTCTCCTCTCGCCATCTCAATTCCACTCCTATCCACTTATCCCTTTCCTACTGCTTGGTTGCCTTTCACCCCCGTTGAGCCTTTTACCCTTACATTTGCACCCCACCATCGTTCTCGTCAACCCATGTCCCGCCACGTCGTCCCGACGTTATCTCCGTAACACCCTTCTCGACAAGCGAGGGTCGCTACCGGTTTCGTAGTGACTTTCGTCGTCGGGAATCGCGTGACATGTGCGTGAGGAAATACCGGTCCCACTCAGATGGTTCCGATTTGTCGAGTGGTTGCGACAAATCAGCGTGTGATCGACGTTCGCGTGAGTGATACTTGATTAAATCTATATCGTGAAAAAAGATCAGCAAGAGATCGAAGAAATCGTGCGACACTCGGTGATCAATCGTCATTAGCAAGCTTCATCGTCGCAGTGTGTCGATAGCGAAGGACAAAGTTTCTTGAGAAGGAGAACATCAAAAATTACGTTCTCGCGAAATACTTTTTTCGTCGAAGTAAACGACGGATCTCCGGTGTCATGTGGTATATCCGCTAAGGGATCGAGTGTCCTTTCAAGTAATTACCGAGCTCCCGAATAATTTCGAACGGATCTTTTAATGCGCGATATATCATTCTCGATATTCTCGTGTAAGTGGGCGCGCGCGCACACGCATGAACGCACACACACACACGCGCGCGCGCGCGCGCGAGCACACACACACACACACACGCATTCAGCGATATATACTACATGCGCGCTGCTATAATGTAATAATTCATCAACGCGTGTATATTTCACTTGCAGGTTTTAAATATTACAATTTTAAAATCTTCCTTATTGTTAAAATAATGTTTTAAAATATATGTACATATATACGTACATGTATATAGTATATATATATATATATATTAACAGTAAATCAGTTTTGCAACTAACACACTCGCTCTTTTTCATTCTTACGGCAGGAAGCGGTGTTTCCGGAAGTTTTACAACTCCGTAATTGAAGGTCATTCTCTCTTACATTGGTGCCATCTCTCTTATACAGGTCTTGTCACAACGATTGTGAACGTTTTATTGGACATCTTTTTCTTTTCTTGCATTTTGTCAGACAGATGGTTTAGATGCTCAACAATGTCTTTTCTCATTTGTTATTCCGACACTCAATTATTGAGCGAAGAATTATTTACTCAGACATCTATCTTCAATTCTCGTTAGTATTGACGTACTTATAGAATATTGCGAGTTCATCCTCGCATGATAATGTGTCGCATTATTAATCCGAAATTCCTTCTCTAAAATAAAACATGTGCGGCACAAAAAATTATACCAAGTCTTAGATATTTAGAAAGCACAGAAAAGCTATACTTGGATCGACGGTGTTTTCAACACACACACAAACATTTTAAACTGATACAATATTGGAAAATTTTCGAAAAAATAATAATACCGCAATCTCTTTCACGTAACACAATATTCCAAACAATTTAACACGGCAGTTTCTTGCTGAAATTGATCATATAAAATAAAAGACAAGGAAACAAGAGCTAACAAGATAAGACTATTTATAACGACGTCTTTGTCCCTTTTAATTAAATTAAGACATTAAAAGATTGAGAGAAACGTCTTCAGAATTGTTTTTATTATTTTAATGTGGATGAATTCTTGTTCAAAACGACGCATATATTTTGACTCTAACTGATTTGTCTTATTCCTTCAAGTTTCATAATTATGTGTACCGGTATACACTTAAAGGTGAATCATCTTTGCGTTTATAATATTAATTTCTGTTAAAACATTTTTTACATTTGTATATATATACATACATATGTACGTATATGTGTATTTATACAAGTTTTTCTATCTTGTTTTCAATATATTTTAATTTATGTGATATTCTTGAAAAAAAAAAAAACAATTTTATACGATTAGGGCACACATGTGTTAATAATACATAAAAAGTATACAAAAAGACATTATTCAGTATTAATCAATAGTAATTTACTTTTGTTATTATATTAAACGCATTAATAATTTTATCCGTGCTATTTTGATTTTCTTTGATCTAATAACTTGCACACGAGTTTCAAGTTGAAAATAGTTGTTGCGAAAAGCTCTTTTTCGTTCTTTACTTTAATTTTCTTTCGACAAAACTCTTGCAGATCTTTCTCAAACATCTGCTGCTTGATCTTGGTATCTCTCGTATTCTTTGCCGATTCGATAAGACTGTCGCATGTGTGTTCACTGTCGTTTCCAGAAAGATGGAAAAAAGACAAGAAGATAGTGATAGATTGTAGATATTCTTTCTGTGTGATTGCAGTGTAAACGTTCGTGCGTTATTAATAACTCACGTTACTATTTCCCCTGTTATACGTAATATAATAAAATATGATATAAAATATAAATAGAAAAAGAGGAGAAAAAATAAATTTGAAAAAAATGGAAACAAATTGAATTCCATTGTTAGACTAGAGATTCATATTAACGTTAAATTGTTTATTATATAATTCGATCAATCAGATAGCAAAGTATGTATGTTTATTTATCGGTTTTACCGAACAGAGAGAGAGAGAGAGAGAGGAAATTCTCGTTGAAGACAAGCAAACTGCGACGAGTGTACTCGCGCCCGTGAGCGCTGCTCACTACCGCGTACGCAGTTTATGATAATATTTAATCCAGTTATATAGCGACAAATATATACATAGAGCTCTGAGCACACTTGGACAAACCTCCTCGTGCCGCATGGTTAGCGGTCAGTCGATGATTCCGTTCCGACGTTCCGTTGTCGTCGACGATAATCCAGTTACACCCTTAGCTACGAATGGTACGTGCGACGCTACGTCAGTTTGTCGTGCATTTTGACCGAGTTCTTTTCCAATCTTATTCCCAATCACAAAATCCGATATCGTGGTGTGGTTATATGTGCGTTAATTGTTTGTTAGCGATAATATTATCGAGTTTGTGACGCCGGATGCTGCGTGTCGCGTAGATTAACATCATATGCTCGCTGTTCCATTTTAATTATGATTATCTACCGACGACGTCGGCCACATTCGTTGGCCGATATGTCATCCATTCATCTATATCGCACATCGTCATTCATCGACAATTTGTTCCTCTATATATAACGGCTAATGTTGTTTTATGTTATACGAAAGATCATTCCTCTCGCAACGTCACAATATCCATCCAGGATTATAATTCGCGCGCGCGATCGGCATCGCATATCAGAGAGTGTCGCGCTTTTATCGCGCATATCGCGACCTATACTGGTCTAGATACATATGTCGTGCGTTCAAATATCTTAGTTTTTGCGCTTCAAGTTGCCTATAAACCTAGTCACGTCAAATTTGCCTACGATGTGAATAAATAACACAACAAGAAAATTATTCACTTGTATCGTGTATTTACATTATAAACCAAGATTAGGATCGTGTGCATATTAGAGATCTCAAGTTACACAGGATAAAATATTGACACATAGTTCACATTCTTATATCATGTGTTGATCGTTTTGTTTTCTTATGATAACATGCAAAATTAAAAGTATTAGTAAGACAGTGTGTTACTGTTGATAGATAGATAGTTATTAATTATTTCTCTCTCTCTTTCTTTCATTTTTCATCGCGATAATACTGCAGAATTCGGAAAGTGCTGTTTCACGACAAGATTCTCAATCTTTGTTCCACTAAGGCTCGCAACGTGATCTGCAACAACACACTACAACGGACTTTTTTCTCGTTTCAAATTTTGCTTAACAATCAGATTGTTAAATTAAAAAGATTTTCTTTTTATTTTTTAAATAGCATTTTGTTGAGCATTAATCTTCTCCTATTTAAGATATCGAACACACGAGAGTGAAAAAAAGAGATGAAAATTGAAAACTACGTGAAAAGCAAGTAATTAAACGTAAAGAGAAAAAAACTGATATAAAGAATTCAAATATCATTTCGATCAATCAACTAAGAAAACGTGACGGCTTTCTTTCTTTCAACTTACAATCAAATAACACACACATACACATATGTAGGAACATATATGTATGTATAAATTGTATAAACTTTACTCACAAAAACTCATAGAATCACAATGTGTAAATGGCGAAAGGCAATAAACATGAGCTTTTGTTCTTATGTAACTCGGCAGACTGAACACAAAAGAATATCGATCAACGTAGATTAACAGTGTTTCTTAGGTTCTCCAAGCAAGTTATTTGTCGCGTAAGCGATTTTAAAGTGAAAAGTCGCGATTCATCAAAGGATGGAAAGAAATCGGAAGAACACGCGATTGCGTGGAAGGACAGGATTTGTGTCCACGTGCGTTTTCTCTTGAGAGTTACGACGTGCGTTCGTACAATCGCATGCATGCGTGCTAGATAAACACGTTACGTGATTACAAATCAACAAACAGGGCGTCGTTGGTGATGTTTATTGTGAGTAGATGTGCGGTATAATTGCAAGTTTACCGATTGAAATGTGTGAGCCGAACTTGTATGAATACGCGGCGAGTATTTCGTTTCGAGATTTCCGTTTTTTCTTCAAAATTTCACACAAACATTTTTTTATCCAACGTAAATTAAATTGGATTGGGTTTTGAGAGAAAGGGAGAGAGGGAGAGAGAGAGTAATCGCAGAAAGCAGAAACTCGCGAGCATCACTCGGGAAGCATAGAAGAGAAAGAAAAGACGAAGTGACTGATCGATTAAAGACACAGAGGAAGCCACGTCTCTTGCATGCAAGAGAGGACTCGAGTCGTCCGATAACTGTTATCAGTTTAAAGAATCATTGCAAAAACTGTCGTGGAAACACAAAATGTTGAAAAATAATTGTACATCATAAAAGAGAAGAAAAACGATAATATCTTCGCGCAATATCGATATCATACGTATTTAACCGAGTGATCTGGATAAAAATGTTGTAAAGGAAAGAATCGGAAATTGAGTTGAAAGTGAAAAAAAACTGATATGCGCGATAGGGGAAATTGATGCAATTCGGACAACGCTCTTCAAACGAAATTCGGATAAAACAGCTATAAAATTTTTGGAATCGCGATTGCCGCCGCGGCAATCGCGATTATTATTTGGGAACGTCGTTGTATAAAAAACGCAACGTGTCAAGAGAATAACCGGAAGTATCATCAGCACAGTAAAAGGAGAAAGAGGGAGGATCGCGTAAGTCTGTATTTTTATCCTCTCGCGGGAAATCAGTGACCGAAGATAGGAGTCAACGAGAGTCAGGAGGATACCATCGCCTACCTACCCTGTTCTTTATCACCGTGACCGGCAAATTGATAACGAGTCAATCGTCACGTTTTGAGAAAATGAGCCGTGTTCGTGAGGAAAGAAAGAAAAACGCACAAGCCTGTAAAAAGAGGTTTACGTAAGTTTCCGAAAGCTCTTTTCTTCCCCGCATTTATTGATGCTCATTTCACAACTGCACACCGGGGAATTATTTTCAAGTTTTATGATAGATCTATCAAACGTGCTTCTCCGCATCGTTCACCGATCGTAGAGAAATCGCTTTCAGTCATCGCGTACAAACGAGAGAGAAAGAGTCACTTTGAAAACAAAAAACGCGTTAATTAAGATTACGAGAAAAGAGAAAACGTGTTTTATGACAAAGAAAAAGTCACATGACTCGTGCAAAGAGAGAAGATAATCCGAAAAATCAACGATAAGAAAACGAATTGAGACGAATCGAGCGAATCAAAAAACAACGGACAAAAATATCGGAAAGGATATACGTTCGTGGAAGATTCGTCTTGGTGAACTTTCGACACGGCAATCTATCGCGGCGTACCGCCCTTCACGGTGAGCTTAAAGATATCACGAGAGAGATCCAGGATGCGCCCTTCCCACGGGTTTGTCGGGAGTAGCAGCCGCTCTATCGGGAACAGGAAGAAATGAAGTTATCAGTGTCGGCTTATACAGCTCAAGCCAGTGCTCACAAGAATCTCTGTAGTTATCAGCAACAGCGGAGCTACGGAGCTACCAATCAGGCATCCACGGCCCGGACCCCCCCAGACCTCGCAACGGTCCTTCCTGTCCTCAAGGTTCGTATATCGTGACGTTCTATTGCTTTCCAATCAATGCATCGCGCGAGATATGTGCCTACTTATATTCTTATCATATTAATGCAATCTGTGTACATTCTTTATCACAATTCTTTCCGAATCTTTTTTGATTGGCAAATTTCGTCATACAAGATGCATCTTTTGTGTAAACTATGCCAAATTCATCTACCAATGATATATAGCATACATTTTTTTAAAATTTATTCTCATTGCGAAAATATCTAGAGTTTATTTATTTTCTTTTTCGTCTTGAATTACAAACTGCTTACGATCCTATATAAAACTGGTAATTAAAGATCAATTTTATGTGACAAACAAAACTTGGACACTGTTTTCTACAATAAGAAAAAATAGAGAAACAATCAATAAAAATCTTCCATCTTGCTCTTAAAAAGAAAGTGACAATCTCGACATATCGCGCTTACATCTTGGCGATGGTGAACAATGGCTGTACTACTTGTACCGGGTTCGTTCAAACACGTCAAATGCGGCTGCACAAACATAATCAGGTATAGAAAAGCGTCGAGGATGTAGAGAATGCACGTTAGCTTCTGGAAATCGAATCGATTGGATCGAGCGGATATCTGTTGTCAGTGTTCTGCAATATACAATTCGTTTAGGAGGAAAATTATTCGTGCTTCGCGTACACGAAATTGCGTAAGAAAAACGTAAGAATTTTACTTTTGCATTGCGAAAATTTGTTTTTAGCTTTAGTTTTGTGTTAACAACTCACGTCAGGCATTTTATCCGATGTCGCCAAAACATTTATTAACAGAAAAAACTTTGTTCCAAAACTGACTTTTATATTACACTAATGATATGTTTCCGGATAAAATAAGATATGACGTGTAATTTTGCGTTGACTATTTCTTTACTTCTGTCAGGCTTTACTATCTTGCACCGGTTAAAAATCGCCGCCTTACATCTTTGCGGTCGACTATTGTGATAAGCCGCAATATTTTTGTTTGCTCTATTAATATTGCTTATCAAAATATAGTATAAATTTGGTAAAGCGGAAATACAAACAAACACGCAATAATTCAATAAAGAAATCCGAAAATTGAATTAACGCTGATAATCGATATATCTGTTGATTGAAAACGGATATCGATGAATCAGGACGTTTTGCTGGACTGAAGAGAGAGAAAGAGAGAGAGAGAGAGAGAGAGAGAAAGCGTAAATTAATATCGTAACCACACTTATATACACATACCATACTTGCTGCGCTCTCTCGTGCCGCGCACTCTTTAACCATTCTGTAATATATGCTCTCCAGAAATAAAAAGACATTACGCAGCGTCCGCGCACTCTCTCAATTAATACTGATTGCCCTCCGAACTGATTCGCGCACAAAGTGCTCCTGCGGGACAAGTTCTACGGGAAACCGGAACAAGCGGTTACCGTTACGTCGCGTGACACGACCGATGCCACTTTAATTACTCGTATATGTTACCAGTTCGAACGGAACATTGTATTCAGTGCAACGCATGTTCGCTTGAAAACAACTCGTGTTATTTTATTATTGTGTAATTTACTTTGTCCAGACAAATGTATTGGGTGAGTGCAAAAGTTTTGATGGATTAGGTTATAGAAAAATGGACCAAGTGGTTTTCTTAAAAACGACTTTTTCATTGCATAAGTAGTCACCACTATTATCTCACTTTTGCTGTTGTACTTGATATAATATATATGTATATATATATACACACATATATACAATACATATGTATTATATATACAAAACACTAAAAGTACTCGACATGTTTCTCTTTTTTCATAATTAATGAATTTATTTTTAACTCAACATTTTAAATTCATAATGTTTTAAATAAAATTTTTTAAATAGAGAATCTGATTTATTTCAGCTAACGGTTAAATATTGTTTTTAACGTGATCTGTAAACACACAAAGCGTTCTTATTTTCTTTTCCTATAGTATCGCCAGTCAAATGATATTGCAAAAATTTCTTAATGTTGTACAATTCATGTTGGATCGCAAGCCGCGTTTGAACTTGAAATGTTGTTTTCTAACATCGTTAAGCGCCTTTTTCAAATGTGTGTGTTCTTCGTGCAATTGTGTCACAAGTTTAACATATTGTAGTAAATACGCAAATGTGTAAACGTGAAGCGCGGAGAAATGAGGCCACCGATTAAGAGCAATAAGAATGAGAAAAGGGAAGACACAGATAGAAAAAGAGAGAGAAAAGACGAAGCGACGGCGGCATCAATGCTGTCTCGAGAGAAGAATCGCGAAGTCGCGAAGAACCGCCACGACGTTGCACATGGCAACTCCCAAGGAAGATCAATATCTCCGCCAATCGTATTTCTTTCTTGACTACGGCATAGTGTCTCTGTGGTTGCCCGATATAACCGATCTTTCTTTCCTCGTCGTCCATTTTTCTCTAACCATCCTTTTTACTTACATTCGTCCTAAAATGAGACGAGAGCACTCTCTTTTACGTTTCTTAGCTAAATGTGTTTGTTTTCTCAATATGCTCGACAGAGATATTAGCTCATGATTGATATATTAACCGTGAGAGAATAATATTCGGTAATAAAAAACGAGAAATACGCAACTGAAATATTGCATTATTTTATATCATTCTCTCAACTTGATATTGACAATAAAAATAAAACTCTGTATTTTATTTCACAAGATGTTTTTGGAATTTGTATAATTGTGATTGTATGTTTCTATTGAACTAAATAAGTGGCTTTTTCGAGATCAAAAAGTAGTTGATGCAAATATCACGCGCGTTAGTGAAAACTCTGTCAAAGAAAAATGTATAGTATACTTATGATAACGAAATGATATATATACCTGACTTTAGTTTTAATTTATTATGAATATATGCCAGTTTGTTAGTTTTGTTCTCTTTTTCTAAAAAACAAAAAAAAAGATGACGTACCTTTGAGTAGTTGTGTATGCGCACTAGATTGCGAACTTTATTAATTAAAACAAACTTTTTCTTTTATATTTCTCGCTGTATTGTGCGCGTATTCGCAAAATTAAATGGGATTAGTCTTTCACCAATGCAAATACATGCAATATTAAAAACGCGAAAATTGTTATGGAGTCGGTACCTATCTGTCTGACTTAGAAAATTAATATTTAGTAAGTAATTATTATCAAAGATAAGAAAAAGAAAGAGAAGAAGAAAAAAAGAAAAAACTTCAATAAAAAAAAAAAAAAAAAATTACGCAATATAGTGTATATACAATCTACCTTATTTAAGACTATGTATTTTCAAGTAGAAAATTGATTTAAACGTGATTTACACTCATAATTGAGAGATTGCGAGTTAAACATATTTAGGTAGAAAAAATAAAGTTTAATCAATTACTTTTGTTTAAACAACTAGTCGATAATGCAGTTAGTTAGACGCGAATGAAAAAAAGTGAATTACAGTGAACGCACGCGTGACAGCAGCAAAATTAAGTTGTTCAATATGAAAAATCTTGGCACATTCGGCAACGGAGCGAGGAGAGGTGTGTTGGGCCGCAGAGAATATAAATTGCTTGTCACATACCAACCCTCCTATCGCCGTATTCTCTCTCGCTCGTTATCGGTAGGCTCGTAACAGGCTGAATACGATGCGCCACTATTATTTGCATCTTCCTGTAGCGCACAGACAAGAAGGAATTTACATACTTTGTATGTGCAAAAGCGGCGGTTGTGTTCTTAGTTGGGGCGTAGATGCAAATTTTCCGATACACATCGTGCGCTCAGCAACGAAGACGATGCTTTTGTTTTCGTCGTACTGCGCCGTAACTCAGGCATACGAGATCTCATCACAGCTTAAAAGCGTCATGGATGATTTTGCAATGTCAGAAAACAGCAATATTTTTGACTTTTAAAAAATGGACAAGATGAACTGGAACTCGAATCTTTTGAAACTACAATATATTGAGAAAATTGACATTTTTTATTTTTACGCAAATTCCGAAGTATATATTAGGTGTCAAAGTAAGCACATAAATTTTCTATCATATATAAAGACATTATAGAAGAAAAAAGTTTATAATTTAGCTTATTTTTTCAAGTTAAGGCACTTCTCAACTTAAAAAGTATGACTTTATAGCCATATTTTTTACAACTAATTACATTCTTCTCTATTACAATTTGAAACAACATTATTTAGATTTGTCTACATTTGGTAACATATATTATGTCAATCAATCATCAAATAATAATTAGTTTGATATTTTAAGTCACTCTCTCACTCTTTCTTCTCCCTTTTTATTCTGTCTTTGTATTGCAGAATTTAGTAAGAAGAAAGAATATACATTATATATATAACATAAGAAAAACAACATAATATTCTGTAAAAAAGTTAAGATAAAAATAAAAGCAGAAGTATTTCAAAACAAACATCGGGAGATAGAAAAATTTTTGAGAGTGAAGCTCAACACTTGTAAACCGTATGTTTTTCGAACTCCTATATCTGTAAATGATAAAGAACTAAGTGTTTTCTATTACTTTTAAAAGACTTCTTTCTTATATTTTTTTTCAATTAGAAGATAGAATTTTCATTTGGTAGGGTTTGAAGTCGTAATGTGTACATTTTTTAAATTTAAATCATGCATATGTTCAAAACATATTTGCTTAACAAATATTTCCTTTCTTGGTAGAATTACTTCCCTTTAGGCAAAAATAAAGGTAGCCGCGCGCGCAAGAGAGAAGTTCAAAAATCTACGCGTATCTAAACTTATAAATAATTTATAATTCTGACGCGCAAAGAGCATTTCAATATATCTGTATAGTTTTAATTGATGAGAGAGTTGAATCTACATGAAAAAAAAAAAAAAAAACTGAAATTTTTAATCCGGCAAACATGCTCAAATATTTTAACGTGATGATTCGAAAGCTCATTAATAGCTCGTAATTCTGAAATAGTTTTTGTTTGATTCAAACATAGTGAGGGGCTAGCTAGATCCAGCGAGATGTTGAGTTTCATACTACAAAAATAATGAACAGTT